GGCTACTACGATAACGGGGCCAACGAGTGCCTTCTCAAGGAGTGCACCTGCCCGGGCGGTGGCGTTGCCAACGATGGGACCGCCTGCCACGAAAATGGCGAGGTAAATTGCAAGAGCTGCACCGCTGCAAATTTTGCCGTTAACCCCGCTACTAAGGATTGCGAGTGCCAAGACTCCCTAGGGTTTTACGAAGATAGCAGTGGGGTTTGTGCGCAGAAGACTTGCGTCTGTGATTTTGGAGCTGCAGCAACAGGAACCGATTGCCCGAGCAATGGCGCGCAGCAATGCATGCCGGTTGCTACCTGTGAAGACGGCTACTACCTGAATAGCAGCACGGGCGAATGCGAGGAGAAGCAGTGCACTTGTGCGAATGGGATAGGGAAGACGGGCAAAGAATGCCCAACGCACGACGCCCACGACTGCGCTTCGTGTACGAACAACTACGATCTACTCAACTACAAGTGCGACACCTGTTTGCCTGGATTTTACGAGCCAAGCGGCCCTGGAAACGGGTGCGAGCTGAAACAGTGCACCTGCCCGGGCGGCGGTACTAGCCACGAGGGGACGGCGTGTCACGAGCACGGGGAAGTTAGTTGCGACAGCTGCAGCAAGGCAAACTTCGAGATCGACCCGGTTTCCCGAGATTGTGTCTGCAGCGACGCCTCGGGCTTTCACGAGGATGCCGCGACGGGGGCGTGCGTCGTGAAGACTTGCGAGTGCGAGTTCGGGACCGCGGCCACGGGGCAAGAGTGCCCCATATGTGTTGCAAATATGAGTCTGGGTCTGGAAGAACGCAACTTGTGATGCAAATTTTATTCAGACAACTCAAAGATCTGTCATGCATGAACAGCGAATGCGGCCGAAAATAACCTGGAACCAATCTACAGGATTTGCCATGCAGATTAGCCGTGATTGTTGGACAACCTTCTCAAGACGTGTGAAGTAGATGCTAGGGCGCCTACTTGCATGCCAGACCTCTCCTAGGTGATACAAGAGCTGCAGTATGGCAAAGACCTGCGTGCACACACATCCAGATCCAGATCGATATTTGCAATGTATACCCCAGTGACGGGGCCGACAAATGTGTGACACCCTGTGATACCGGGTACTACCTGAACGGCGACACGTGCGAGGAGAAGGAGTGCACGTGCGCGCACGGCGTCGGGAACGTCGGCGCCGACTGCGCGACCCACGACACAATCAGTTGCGAGTCCTGCGACGCGGGGTACCACGTGAGCGGGGACATTTGTGCGGTGAACATTTGCACGTGCCAAAGCGGGTTGGGCACCACCCTCACCGACTGCGCGACCCACAACACCCCCAGTTGCGCGCTGTGCAGCAAAGGGTTCCACCTGGACGGGACGGGGGCCTGCGTGGAAAACGCCTGCACCTGCGCCAACGGCGTGGGCACCACGGGCACGGATTGCGTCACGCACGACACGCCCACCTGCGCCTCCTGCGACACCGGGGACAACTACGTGTTGGACGTCGGCACGCAGCGGTGCCTCTGCAACGACGCCACGGGGTACTACCTGGACAGCACCAGCGACACCTGCAAGGAGAAGCAGTGTACGTGCGTGAACGGGGACGGTTTTACCGGCGCGGACTGCGCCACACACGACCGGATCCAATGCGAAACCTGCGACGCGGGCTACCACGTCAGCAACGACGTTTGCGCAGCCAACATCTGCACGTGCCAGCACGGGCTCGGCACCACGCTGACCGACTGCGCCACGCACAGCACCCCTTTCTGCGCGCTCTGCAGCAAGGGCTACCACCTGGACGGCACGGGGGCCTGCGTGGAGAACGAGTGCACCTGCGACCACGGCGTGGGCACCACGGGGGTGGCTTGCGTCACGCACAACACCCACAGCTGCGCGTCCTGCACGGCGACGAACTACGTACTGGACGCCGTCGTGGAGCGGTGCGTCTGCGACGACGCGAACGGCCACTACACGACCAGCGCCGGGGCGTGCGAGGAGAAGCAGTGCACCTGCGCGAACGGGCTGGGTACCACGGGCACCGCGTGCACGACGCACGACACGCCCCAGTGTGCCTCGTGCGACGCGGCCACCAACTACGTGCTTGATGTCGCCTCGGAGAGCTGCGTGTGCAACGACGCCACGGGCTACTACCTGGACAGCAGTAGTGATACCTGCAAAGAGAAGCAGTGCACCTGCCCCAGCGGGGTGGGGAGAACCGGCGCGGCCTGCGCGTACCACGACGCGATTCGCTGCGAGTCCTGTGATGCCGGGTACCACCTGCACGGGGACACGTGCGCAGCCAACATTTGCACGTGCCCGAACGGGGTGGGCGCGTCTTTAACCACCTGCGAGACCCACGGCGAGGCCAGCTGCGCCGTGTGTAGCTTTGGGTACCACCTGGAGCAGAAAGCCTGCGCGGAAAACGTGTGTACGTGCGCCAACGGGGACCCGACCACGGGCACCTCCTGCTTCGCCCACGGCACTCCTGGGTGTGCCAAGTGCAACGAGAGCCTGGGTTATTTCTGGGACCCGATTTTCGGGTGTGGTATTCGCGAGTGCATTTGTCCCAACGGGCAGGGGAAAACCGGAATCGACTGCCCCAACCACGGGGACCACGAGTGCGCCAAGTGCGACGAGGGCTACGATTTGGACCAGGCCGTTTGTCACACCACGACCACGACGACCACCACGACGACCACATCGAGCACCACGACCAGCAGCACTACTACCACCACGTCCACCACGACGGTCACGAGCACGACGACCACCAGTACCACGACGACGACGAGTACCACCACCACGGTGACCACGAGCACCACGACCACCACCAGTACGACCACCTCCACCACCACCACAACCGCGGCCGGGTTCGCCAGCTTGGCGATGGAAGGAACCTTTTCCGCCCCCGAAGGCGTGGATTTGTCGACGGATCAGGCCTTCCTCGAAGCCGCGATCGCCTCCATCGCCGCCGTGCTCGGAATCGATCCCTCCGAAGTGGTCGGTGTTTCCTTCGAGCCGGTGCGGAGGAAGAGAGATCGGCGTCGTGCGCTGGTGGACGAGGGGGAGGAGGGGAAACATGACGTGTTCGTTAAAACAAGTGATAGAAATAGTTTCTACTTCTACAACTGGCTGTTCGCACCGTGGTCTACTTCTTCGACGGCGCTACGACGGATGTTGACCTCCTCCTCGGGCAGCAGTTCCTCCGCGGGGCAGACCTTCCGCATCACCGCCACACTGGCCGTGGACGACGCTTCCACCAAAGAAAAAATCGTGGCGGCCACCGCGGACAAGGACGCGCTGGCCGCGAGCATGGCGACCACCATCGCCACGGAGGCTGCCGAGAAGGTGCCTGGGCTAAAAGTGGAGTCCATGGCCGTGGACACGAGCGCGAGCGACGGGTTTCTGGCCCCCACGAAGACCGGGGCCGGGTTCGCCAGTCTGGCCATGGACGGGGTTTTCCGTTCGCACGTCGAGCTAGCGACCAGCACGGAGTTCAAGACCGCGTTCAAAGGCGCTGTGGCAACCGCACTGGACGTGAACGCCACCGCGGTCATCTCTAATGTGGAGGTGGTCAGTACGCCCCCGCCGCCGAGCTTCAGCATAGGCGTCACGGTGACTAACAACAACGCGAACGCGGCCACCCGAATGTTGCGCATGCTTATCAAATCTGCAAATATTTTTTGTCTGGGCTGCTGGAGTACATGACTTGTGATGCGGAGTCATGCATGAAGAGGGGTGCTGCAGCATTTGCATTTCTAGGTGCAGCGGAGCAACATGCCAGGACCAGGTTTATTTCAGAATTCTCTCTACTTGTTTGCAGTGCGCCTGCTCAGCACTGAAAACTGTGCACGGCTGCATCAGATCAAATACGCTGCTCTCTTGCCGGTCATGCAACGCATTACAGACTTTGATTTGTTTCCTGGAGTGGCAGACAAGCAACACTAGTTCCAACTAAGTATTTCCCGGAGAGCCAAGACATATTTGCACTTGATAATGCTGCGGGGCCTTCTATTCTTCGCAAGTGAAGATGCTGACGCTGAGGACGAGGTTGCTGGAACAACAAGCTATGCGGATGAAGCAGCTGCAGCACCCAGAACAAGAAATCTGGGGGTAAAAACGTTCCACCACCTGGAAATCAAAACCGCACTGAACGTTCCCGAGGACGACGCCGCGCTGCGCAACAAGATCATCGGCGCGACCCGCGACGCGGCCACCTTTTCCACCAAAGTGTCGAAGGCGACGACACTGGCCATGCCGGCCGCGGAAGTGTACTCCTTGTACTTCAGTGCCACGAAGAGCGAGGGGTTTCTGTCCGAGACGCGGATCGCGGCCAACGCCCCCCCGCCCTCCTCAGTGGAGGAGGACAACAACTTTGGGCTCATTTTCGGGGCGGCCGCGGGCGGGGTTTTGGCTCTTGCCTTCGCAATCGGGTATTATTACCTGGCGAAAAAGAAGAGCAAAGAGGGCGACCAAGACAGCGAGCAGGGTACCGCGACCAGCAGCAGCTACACCACCGCAACATCTTCTGCGATTTTTTCCGCGGAAAAGGCGGAAAGCAAGCTCAGTTCCGAGCACAAGTTTCCCCCGCACCTGTTTCAGTGGAAGCCGCCGATTGTTCCCGCCGAGGAAACCGAGTCCGAATTCTCGAGCCAGGACACCAGCCTCTCCTCCCACCCGGCGCCACATCAGCGCCACGAGTACGCCGAGAAGTGGCGTGCGTATCGCGAGGGGCTGCTGCGCCCGCCCGCTTCTAAGGCCACGCCAGATCAAGAGGGTCGTGCCGAAGGAGCGGAACCGCAGCAAGGGGCGGCCACTGGAGCTGCTGAGGAGAAAAATGGGCAGTGGCTCCGCCGGGGCGGCCGGTGGTGGTTTCGCCCGGACCATGAGCAGCACTTGGAGCGCGAGATCAGAGCAGCGGAGGAAAGCAACCAAGTAGAACAACCAGCGGTAGCGGCCCAGTCAGCTGTGTCTGAGTCAGTCAGCCCGGACGGAGATAATCACGACCAGCCCCCGACTCCACCGACGGAAGCAGAACTGGAGCGGAGCAGCGCGACGAGTAGCAGTTCCTCCACCGAGGAGCCCGCGCTACGCGTGCCCACCTACGTGCGGCCAAAACCGCGCGAGACCGTGACCGATCCCGCCGACGTGCACCCGAGTATACATAGCGACTCGTACGTCGCACCGCTCGACCCCTCGCACTTTTTCGAGAGCGCCATTGCGTACACCACCGCCAATCAAGATGCGCTGCCCACTAGTCGGAAGTCCGTAGAGCGGTTCCACGCGGACCGCAGCGCGAATATGCTGCGGCTCCTGGACGAGGCGGGGGACGGCAGTTATCAAGTGTAAAAATGTCTGGGTCTGGATCTGGAAGAATGCAAGTTTGTCATGCTTGTCTGGCATGACTCTTAAATCTGTCATGCACATTACCAAAGAGCCTCACTCTTCTGTCATGCAGAAACGCAGTTTGTCATGCAGAATAGGCAACACCTAGAAGCTCAGAAACTTGTGATGCTGCGCCAGCATTTGTGGCGTCATCATGAGAGGCCACCCAGCATCACAAGTTTCCAGACCCAGACATTTTTACTTTTGATAGCAGGCGAAGGAGCACGACGAAGCGGGTGTCGCTGGCCGGGGAGCGGAGCGTCGTGCTAATTGGTGACACGGATGAGGATATGCATTGCAAATATGTCTGGGTCTGGAAGAGTGTAAACTTGTCATGCAGGCTTCCCATGACCTTGAGGTCGGGAATGCGGGACCTAGCATGAGCATGACAGAGTTTGTGAGGTCTCTGCCGTGCCTATCCTGCATGAGAAAGTCCCTCCAAACCTGGTCGAAAGTGGACAGCTTTTGGCACTCGTGCAACACAGATTTCTGCATGATTCGGCTTTGCGGCCCCCTCTTTTTCGACGCGTTCGGACTGAGGATTGTTCCGCTTGGCCTAAGCAGCATCACCTCAGGCTTCCAGGCTTCCGATTTAGCATGGCAAGTTGCAATCTTCCAGACGCCGACATTTTTGCAATCCATAGAGGAGAGTACGGGTTCGAAAACACAGAAAAAGTACGACCCCGACGCACTGTCCCTCGATGCGGTGGTAGTGGAGCGCCAAGGGTCGTCCGATGAGTCTTCGGAGGACGGAGCAGCTGTTGAAAAGAACAGGAACACCACCACGGAAAATGACATGCTCGCCCCGGACGAGGTCGCAGAGCTGGAACAGCTGCAGCGCCCGACGACCTCCGATATGAATGACTACATTCTGGCCAGCATGGCGCACACCGTTGTTGACCACACGCAGCACGTGGACTACAGCCACCTCAGTGGGTTTTTTAACTACAACTTCAACGAGGAATATCGCAAGAAAAAACTGTTTCACTGTGAACTTGTGATGCATAGAATGGAACACAGGACTATTTGTCTTGCTACACCTACAAGACCTTGACTCTTTAGTGGTGTTTTCCCATTGAAAGCGCGCACCATGGCAAATTTTCTGTGTCATGTGTAACAAACTTGTGATGCAGATCTTGCAAAATGATCACAGTGAAACAGTTTTTTCGTGGGATAAGGAAGAGAAGCACGAGCCCTCCGAGGACGGCGTTACGGTCGCCTCGATGGTCCAAAGGAAAAAGAAGCGGCGCAAGCGCCGGAGCAAAAATCGTGCGAGCGAGAACAGTATGATCACAGTGGAGAAGAATGTGGTTCTCGACGGCGAGGCCGCGAATAGTGCGAATGGCGCATTAGCTTTAGCTGCTTCTGGGAATGCGGAAGGAACAACTGACGAAGCAGTAGTAGATCAGGCCGAAGGGAACAACAATTTGTCTTCCACACGCCGCACATCAAGTACCGCTGCGCAAGTCGCCGCGGCGCCCTTTCGCTTCTTCACGGGGGGATTTTCTTCTCTGCTACTACGAGGACCTGGGAATATTAATGGATCTGCGTCTAGTACTTCTGCGCCGTCGAAAATAAAGATCGGCGCAGCTACTAGTACAACTGCCGATGAACAAGTCGAAGCCCCCGCACTTGAAGTCGAAATGACCGCTGCCGCAGTCGCTGACGACGTGCGGAGCGCTGGGTCGTCCTCTGGTCGTCGCGCCGGCACGGCTGCTGCACCAGGGGATAATGCACAAGAAAGGACATCAAGCGGCGAAGTAGATTACGCGACGGCAACAAGTCCGGGCAGTTTGGGTCTGGGATCATTCGAGTTGGCCATCGTGGACGAGAAGTCTCCCAGCACGGAAGAAGTTTCTGGAGAACAAGCCGATGTTGCAGATGCACCTACAACGCCGACGTCGATACTAGACGTTGCCCTGTTGACCACAGGAGCGGCACCTTCTGCTGGCGAAGGGGCCGACGCGCGTATAGGAGAACAAGAACCCACCTCGCTGTTTGACGGTGGATATCTTTCGTCTTTTGCCGCGTCAGCTGCACAGCAGGTACTAAACATCATGGATTTTTTAGAGCCGTACACATCAACAATAAATGACACCTCCAGAACCTTTTTTCTCGATGAGGTTGCTTGTGCCCTGTTCAGCGCAAGATGATGGGACGGAACAAGATAAGAATTACGCAGGAGAGCACGTTCTTGCATAGGCTGTGGCCAGCACTTCTGCTAAGTCGACCGATGCTTCTGTAGTTGACCATGCATCTTCGACCACTTTCATCTCAGTTGTATGTGTATCCAAACTTGAAAAATTGAAATCACCACTTCTATAACAGGTGGAGCAAAAATCCGAACCGGCTCAAGAAGCTACAGCAGGCATTGCGGTTGTACCAAATTTTCCGTCGGTCATGGACAAGGTGGAACCTCCTCCACCTCCGGACGACAATAATATGGACCCGGCGCAGTTGGTTTCGGTCCTGGTGATTCCGCCATCGGAAAGTGAGAAGCCTTCGGACAGCGAGAAGCCAACACCGCGGGAGGGCGTGGGGGCAGCGCCCTCGTGGACGTCGCCAGACGCGGTAATATCGCCATGGCCTTGGGCCTCTGTACTGCAAAAGTCATCTTCGGCAGAAGATCCTGAGCAAGTGGAAGTAGATGCAATGGGAACTACGGATCCCACATCAAAAATCTGGAACCCATACGACACGGTCCCCGCGGTAGATCTGACATACGGAGGGTTATTTTTGCCCACATCTACTACTACCCAGGAAGTACAAGTAGAGACACAACAAGACGAAGAAAATAAAGAGAACTACGCCGGCACAGCAGCGATAGAAGACGTCGTAGTACTCGAAGCTCCAGAAGGAAAACAAGACACTGCAGCTACCTCTACGCAACTGGACAATAACGTCGACTTTATGTCCCTCCTGGTCTCCAGTTTCGCCGCATCGCTCGTTCCCTCCTCGACGGATTCACCGCAGGATGAACAAGCTGATAGAAATAAATCATCCGATAATTCCAAAGAACCTCCGAAGACGTCCGCTGAAAAATCAGTGGCAGGAGACGAAGCAGAAGTTGTGCAACAAGTAGATGGCCCTCAACTCGGCAGCAGCAGCAAGAAAAAGCTGAGCAAAAGTGCGGCCGCGTTCACTACCACTCTCCAGTCCGCCAGCTCGACCGGCGGCGCGCGCTTGCGACAAGCCGCGGGTGGCATGAGGAAGCTCGTGGACGCCACCGCCGCCCGTGCCTTTAGAAGGTCCTGGGTTATGGGGAAATGGAAGACCTCCACGGAGACAGAGGATAGTTCTGCGAGAGTAGAATTACCGACGGAAGATCAAGATCAGATCGAGAGTAGTCTGACAGTGGAAAGAATAGGCAAGATTAACGCAGAGGGTGGAAACAACGGTACCGCTTGTAGTTCCCTGGATGGAGCTCCTGTTCTTCCTGAACAAGTAGAACTAGCGTCGCCAACAGTTGCTGTCCCTGAAGATTATACTAATGGTCGTTCAGTGCAGGGGGAGGCTGTTGCTCAGCAAGAGGTGCGGAGTGATGTGCCGTCGTCCACGATTTCTCGAGCAGATGGTGCCACGAGGACCAGTGCTGATGTAGAAGGCGCTCCAAAAAATGTGGGAAGCTCTTCTACTGCACCTGCTGCTATTGGAAGTGCGCCACCAACCTCGGAGAAAGACCGAGTTGTAGTACAGGAAGAAGATGTTGGCTGCACTACTAGTTTCGAACTAGGACAACAAGCTGCCGAGGTGGAAGTAGCAAGTCATGCAACATCGAACAAAAGTACGGCTGCTCTTCCTGCTGTGCCCTTTTCAACATCAAGCGCAGATTTCTACACTTCCTCCTTTTACAACTACCCGACCCTGCTTTCTTCTCCACAAAAGGACGAGGAGCCCGATCTTGCTGCGCTGCAACAAGAGAATGGTTCTCCGCCACTGCCGGAAGCTGCGGAGAGTGAAAAAAGCCGAAGTTGTAGCACTCCTGGCAACAAGAACTTGTCCAGCTCTCTTCAGCCGTCATCAAATGAGAAGGTTGTAGTGCCGGAAGGTGAGGCAGCCAGTTATAATTTCCCGATGGTTCTTGCTACGTCCACGTCGGAAGTTGTACATCTAGAACAAAACGCGATCAAGATGTCGACCCCTTCGTCTTCAACCGCGCAACAGAACAAATCGCAAACACCTCCTGCTTCAGAGCTACCGAAAGCGCAGGGAGGAAATTATTACGGCGGAGTTACGAATAACACCTCCACCGCAGTTGAACCAAGAAAAGGAACAACGGCCAAACAACCTGAAAATAAAGTTCAAGTGGCACTGACGATGGAGAATCTGTATAGCATGTTCGACAATGGGGGAGCTGGTCTACCTCCGGTAACGCAGAGCTACGCTACAAGTTCCGCTTTTGACCGTGAACATGATCATGATGTTGACTCGGTTTCGCTCGGTTCTCGCAGTCACGTCGGAGTAGAGCAAGACGACAGCGTGGCGAAGTTGCGCGAGTATCTACGTGCGAACGCAGGCCAGGCAGTTGCGTCTAGCACAACTCTTGCGAGGATGAACACGACCAGCAATAATAAAGCCGCTGCACGGGGCGGCGCTACGGAAGAATCACAGCAGCATCCTACCAAAGGGTCGTCGTCGTGGCAAACGTTTGGCGACGCAGCCGAGCAAGGTCCTCGAATATTAAATCCTGCGAAAAGTAGCGCATGGCAGCGCGATCCGCGCAACGGTAAGTGGATAGGGAGAAGCGGAGCTGAAAGCGAGTCCCGCTACTCGTCCACCTCTCGCGGGTATCCGAGGAAAAAACGTTGTTAGTGTAAATTTGTGATGCGCAACATGCAAGATGATTGCGTCTGTCATGCTTGGCATGCATCGTAGGGTCCATTAAAGGGCGTTTTCGCGTGCTATCTGCGCATGGCAGGTTTTTGCTGTGATGCCAGGCAAATTTGTAATGCTGTTCCTCCGAAAAAGTTACACCTACAAGGCTTTTTTCTTGGATAGCGGGCCGGGAAGCAGTGCCGCAGGTCGTCCCAGGACCGAAGATTCTTTCTCGCAATATTGAGAGGAAAAATCCCCCCTCCCCATATCGAAAAGGTATGTTTCCAAAAATTTGTGTTGCGGAATTGAGGTCACAAATCACCTCTGTCTTGCAAGAAGGCAAACCCAAAGAATACGCCGCCTTACTTATACAGGCGATTTGTAATGCTGTTTCACCTACATGGCAGGCCTCTCTTATGCCAAGCGCCTACAACAAAACACCCCCACGCAGGCTGAGGCTTTGCCTGTAGTGCCTCGCTGCAAGACAGGGCTGATTTGTGTACACAAATCCAGCAACAGAAGTTTCCGTTTCAATATGGGGAGGGGGGATTTTTCATTTTGATACGCAAAGATCGGTCCACAGTGGACGGACAAACAACAGCACTACTTCGGGTGCAGCGCAACACCGAGGCAGCTCTATCGAGGAACTGCGCTCCCGGCTGATGGGAAGAAATGGCGGCACAAATTATCTCCCCGGGGTCGCCGAACATCAATCGGGGGAATCGGAATCCTCGTCCCGGCGACACCAGTTTGACGAGGATGATCTTCGCAGTGACTGGTCAGATACCCATACCGAGGATATAACCAGCGTGGATACCAGGTCGGGCGCCCCGGCCGCCGCGTCCGTCTTGGGCAGGATAAAAAACTTCAATCGGCAGAGCAGATCATGATGAACCAACAGGGAAGATGAAATAGACGCGATTTGTAGTAAAGCAGGAACATCACAAACTAGTACACTCGTCGCCGCGCTTCTTGTTGGAGAAACAGGACGTGCAGTAGAAAAGTATGCGATAAACGTGAATGTCCCCAATGTTTAGCATGTTTTTCAAAGTCACAGGAACGTGAATCTGCCGAAGTACTTTGGTAGAGCAGTAGCAGTACGTGTCACTTCTGATGAATGTTGTGTCTACCACTTTCCACAAGCACACGACATACTGGCAATCTTAACAGCTACTTACAACGAATTTTTCGTTGGATCATCAAGAAGGAAGCTGCTATATTTACTTGTTAGTTTTACCCCCTAAGAGCAATAGTAAATGTACTTGTATACAACAACAGCTCCTGCATACTCCTACCAGTACAGGAACAGACCACACTGTATGATCTGCTTGTCGTCCCTTTATTCGCCTTTTCCAGAAGAAGAAAATGAAAATTAGTCTCTACGTAGACGTACGCATGAAATTTATACAGTTTGTTTCTGAGTTTCTGTATTGTTATTTCCAAGTGTCGATGACGTAACTGTAATTCTAACTAACCCCCCATTCCTGGACAATAGGTTTATCAAAAATTCCGAATATGTCACTTGTGAGTTTGAGTTTGTACTTAATTGCAGCCACGATCTGTTTGTCGAAACGGACCGCGTAGAAGCAAAGCTTCTGCATTGATTAAACTCGAGCGCCTTCAGCTTGCCGTGTTCGTCTAAGTATCCATTCGTTTTTTTCCGGTGTCAATGCATTCCTTCGTTCCAGGGTTCTATGTGATTTCCAGAGCAGTTGCTTAAGTGACCAAATCGACGAAACAAAAGCTTAAAGCGTTCAAACTCCCGCTTCCCGTGAGCAAGACCAGTGACAACGCCAAATGGGAGGGGCAATGCTGCTATTTATTAAGTCAAAGAGCTGCGCATCTTCCCCATGATCATGTGCAAAATAAAATAACTACGGCAAAAATCTTGTTGTCGCGGCCTGGCGGTCCTCCGGGTGATGCTTACTAATATTGACACTATACATAGGTTGCTGTTGCAGTTCCTAGAAGTGGAGACCATCGGGGAAAGGCATCGGATAAAGATTGTGGCTCGACTCCGAGGAGCATGTCTGTGATGTCTGTCGGTACGTTCGTCGATTCTACTCTGTTTTGCTTTCTGTTGTCCAAAAAACGAAGGGTGTAAGCGTGTAAGTCGTCCAAAAAACCACGAAGCGTGTAGGAGCTTGGTGAAAACGAAGTGTGTAAGTGTTTACTCCCCACGCTTTCCGAAGTCTTGTTTTAAGACTTGAATCATAGCTACCCTGACAACCAAAACCACGACAACTTCTCCGCGAGATGGCCTCAAGAATGAAGAAGATCGCGTGCGGTGCTTTCACCGCGATGGGATCCGTAACCGGCAACGCGATGACAGTGACACAGTCCTGCGCCATCCAGTCCATTCACAATGGGGCTGGGTGCGGTGACGGTGCCGAGTGTCTCAATTACCATGCCGGCTGCTACAACAAGGGAGCGAATGATGTCGTCGACGGGACTGTTGATAGACCGAACATCTGCGCGCCGGCCTGCATCTCCGCGTCGCGGGCCTGGAAGGCGAAGCCGGAGTGTGCAGGTAGCGGGGTCGCGCAAATGCCGCTCCTGGACCCTGCCCTCTGCGCGTCCTCCGCCGCCCCGCAGAACGCGTGGACCGCCGCGACAGCCGCCGTCCTCGCCGCCGGAACGGTCGTCGGTGTGGGAGCGTTGTAACGATGGTGAACGAAGGCGAAGGGGAGGAACAAAGAGAATTATCGTGTCGACTTCTGATATGGCATCCGGAAGGGAAAACTGTAGTGATAAAGCTAAAAATAGAGAAAAAGAGCCCACAGAGCACTCGTTTTCAAAGAGTCCGCAGAGCAAAAAGGTTAGCTTCGCGCCATAGAAGTTAGCCTGTCCTAGTTTTTTTAATGCTAAGTGCGTGACGAGCAAGCTCGTAAGGTGTGTGCTTTTTTTTTGCTTTTACCGATCTTGATCTTCTGTAGGGTTGACGCAGTTTTGTTATTTCCATTATATATTCTACGACTTTCATGAATGTGAATCACCTACCGATAGTTGGTACCCCTATTTGGTACTCTGATTCTGGGGTACCCCGGAGCCGCATCCTCCCTCGCTGGGTATAAGCGAATTCGCCCGTAAGGGTCCCGTCTCGGCGGAATGGAAAAAAAGTTGGGTTTCTGGATTTTATGATGATAATAACATTTTAATGGTAAAATAAAATCTTACCCGGCTACGTCCTTCCGCATCAAGGAAGCAGGTGGTTTTCCAGACTGTTTCCACCTGATGTTTCTCCTCGGCCCTACTACATTCTACTGATGCGTGTTGTGTGTTTAGTTTTACGTATTCGTAAAGTACTTATCATCATCGTCGTTCTTCGACATGTTGAAGCAGAAGCCCCTGTTGAGCGGAATGATCTACAATGGATGATGAACAAGCTGACAACAGGCTTTACTCCAGCAATGGATGACTGTTCCTTACGCGGCCTCATTGTTGCTTCTATGAGGCACAGATACTTGCTTGCTGACCGCCAGATCATGTAGTAACAGTGGGCCTTGTCACCTCGTAGCGACGAACGTGGTCCTCACCTCCAGTATTAGTAAGGAAGAATAAAATGAAAAGAACGGTGTTGAGCTCGGTGCTCGCGCCCAACAGTGGCGCAACGACCGCCGGAAGTAGCGGGTCGTCCTCGTCCTCCTCTTCGAGCAGCGCTGCTTCTTCGAAAGAACGCCCGCGAGGAGCGCTGGCGGACAAAGCAGCCAGTGCGATATCAAATGCAAAAATGTCTGGGTCTGGAAGAATCTAGCTTGTCATGCTAAATCTGAATCATTCAAAAATCTGTGTTGCATGATTACCAAAAGCAGGCCACTTTTGACCTAATCGAGAGGCAGTTTCTCATGCAGGATAGGCATGATAGAACTCTCACAGAATCTGTCATGCTATGTCCTACATACCAGACCTCATGGGTCATGGAGAACCTGCATGACAAGTCTGCATAGCAGTCTGTAGGTCTTGTCGCAGGAGTCAGCATTTTTGTTGCTGCGCTCCTGGTTTGGCTTTCTATATGTTTTGCGAGTAGGAATTGTTGGCTAAGGTTGGCGAAATTTGGCAAAGTGGGATATGTTGGCGTGAAGTGTGTTGGAATCGTGGCCGGGAGATGATGGTGATGGCACTTCGGTGTCCGCCTGACCTACCTTCCCTGCGTGACAGCCATCTGCGGCCGTTTACAAAGGGGGAGGCAAAGTGTGCCGCACTGCTGTTTAGCATGACAAGTCTGCATTCTTCCAGACCCAGACATTTTTGCATTTGATATGCGACGAGTTCTTTCAACCTCAGCGCAGACGAGGTGAAAACGTACGGGAGTCGGTGGTTGAGCGAGATCCCGTATCAAATGCAAATATGTCTGGGTCTGGAAGATTGCGAGATTTGTCATGCTAGTTTGGTATTATTCTGCAGTCTGTATTGCGTGAGTAGGAAGACGAGCTCCTCTTGTCTGTCATGCAAAGCCGCTCTTTCTCATGCGGAATACGCAACACAGAGCCCCCACGAAAAAACCTGTCATGCTTGGCGGTGCATTGCAGCGTGCTTACTATTCACCGACATGCATCACAAGTTTCCAGCAGACCCAGACATATTTGCAACGCATATCCCGATCCAGAGGAAGGGGGTCCTTGGCCGCGGCGGCTGTGCGATTGTGTGGCTCGGAGCCATATGGATTGCAAAAGTGTCTGGGTCTGGAAGATTGCAACTTGTCATGCTCAATCCGAATCATGCAAAAATCTGTGTTGCATGAGTGCCAAAAGCTGTCCACTTTCGACCAAGATGGGAAGGAGTTTCTCATGCAGGATACTAGGCATGACAGAGACCTCGCCGACTTTGTCATGCTAGGTCCCGCATTCCAGACCTCAAGGGTCATGGAAAACCTGCATGACAAGTTTACACTCTTCCAGACCCACACATTTTTACATTTGATAAGCCAGTACAGACGGACAGTTATTTGCCGTGAAGCAGGTACAATTCTAAAACAACTGATGATTTTTGTGCGCAAGCAAATTGAGTTTGGTATACTGATCTGATCGTCCTTAAAGGCCTTCTTTATCCTCAACGTCATTACAATTTTTTGACGGGCCTTCGCTCTGTTAAGTACTTCGTGACACCACGACGTCGTTTTGTAGGGCGTTATGCGACTTCTGCTTTATTCTTTGTTCATACATACGTATTTGCAAAAAACTCTTACTGATACTGATAGATACAACGAACTCTAAGGTGAGCAAAAGCGTATTGCAGCGTGGCGAGCTGGTGCCGCAGACCGGGTCGCAGCTCCGGGGTCTACTGAAAGAAGTGAAAATTCTTCAGAAGCTGGCTGCTTCTACTTCAAGGAGCAATAAAACATCAAGTTCTACACAATCAGACGGTCAACAGCACGACTACGTATCAGCAGGAACAACCACAGCGAGCTCCTCGCGGGACGACCATGGAGATCTTCATGACCACCACATCTGTCATCTTAGGGCTTTTGTGGAAAGCCGCAGCGACCTTTGGATCGTGCTGCAGCACGGGGGTGTGCCCATCAGCCGGGAGCTGTACGAGGTGAAGGGCGAATTCCAGAACAGTGCGCGTGTCTACCGCGTACTGCACGGTCACTTGATGGAAGCTTTGAAACTACAGGACCACCATGGAGTACTAGAGGGTAGTTCTTGCTCCTTCCACACGCTGCGCGATTTCTTGCGGCAGCTCTTGTCTGCGTTCGCGTTTCTGGAGAGGGAAAGAGTCGTGCACGCGGATGTGAAACCTGAGAACGTGCTGATCGACCCAGATATCGCATGCCAATATGTCTGGGTCTGGAAGATTGCGAGACTTGCTATGCTAGCCTGGCATGACTTAGAACTCTGTATTGCGTGGCCGCAAAGAGCTCCTTTCGCCTGTCATGCAAAGACGCAGTTTCGCATGCGGAGTACGCAACTCACAGCCACGGAAAAACTTGTCATGCTTAGCAGCGCATTGCAGTGCGCAGCTCCCTATTCCCTTCCTTGCATCACAAGTTCCCAGACCCAGACATGTTTGCAATGCATACCAGACTGGCGGTTGCGGCTGTGCGACTTCGGCAGTGCCTACCAGGAGGGGGAAGCGGCGTCGATATTGAGAGGAAAAATCCCCCCTCCCCATATCGAAAAGGTATGTTTCCGAAAATTTGTGTTGCTGATTTGAGGTCACAAATCACATTTGTTTTGCAAGAAGACAAACGCAGAGGCTTCCGCGCCAATATGGAAGCGATTTGGCATGCTGTTGGGCCTAGAGGGCAGCCGTTTGTAATGCTAAGCACCTAGACCCAAATGTCCCTCCCTAGGCTGCGGCTCTGGCTGCGATGCCGTATTGCAAGACAGCGCGGATTTGTGTACACGTAATATCCTGCGTCACAGATTTCCCATTTGATATGGGGTGGGGGCTTTTTTCATTTTGATAGTCGAGTCTGGGCACTCCTGAGTACATGGCTCCCGAGCAGTTGGATAAACAGATCCACTGGACCACGACCGGAGGCGGAGGTTTCGCCGGAGCTGCATCTTCTGTGTCCACGCCAGCAAGTCGCTTGACCGCGAAACTCTTGGGTGGAGTGGGTAGTAGTAGTACTTCTAGTGCAGCCCCCGCCGCCACCGCGGCTCTTCACCAGCACGCATCGTCCGCAAGTGCTGGCAGTACTAGTAGACGCGGGTCGGCGGACCACTTGTCTTCTTATCATTTCGGAGCTGGAAGTGGTTCTCATCTTCCGGCTTTTAAAAGCAGCAGCACTACAACTTACACGACTAGTAAACCAAGCAGGGCGTTCTCGACGTCTCCGGAGAAGAAGATGCAGCAACTGCTGCACGAAACTAAAGAACGGCGCGGGTCCGCGAACGCGACTTCGGAGGTCGTGCAACAACAGCACCTTGAGCAGAACGAGGTCGTATCTGACAAGGTTCACGTGCGCGAGAAGTCGGACGGGTTCTCGTCCGCACTCGCGGGCGACGTTTGGTCGGCAGGAATGATCTTCCTCGAGATCTGCCACGGCGTGCCGCTGTTATCCTGTCCAAAACTGTATCGTATTCGTATATTAGATGCAAGTCTTGCATCACAAATCTTTTTCTCAAGGTAATAGAGCAGCATGATAAATTGGTAAAACAAGGAATCAAGTTGAGGTCATGGAATCAAGTTAACTGGAATCAAGTTAGGCCTGGAATCAGGTTATATGGAATCAAGTTAAACCCGGAATCAAGTTACATGGAATCAAGTTACTACCTGGAATCTATCAAGTGGTGGAATGGAATCAAGTAAACCACCACAACTTCATCCCCATCAGTCTTTCGCCTCGCAATGCCTCCCCTTGGAAGAATCTAGCTGCTGCGCTTTTTGTGTTTTGTGGCTGCCACACCCTCGCGCCTAAAGTTCTCCGCTATTTTTTTTGAAAGGCGGCCACGTTCATCAAAGGCGTCTGGCTTTTCTTCCTCTGGTCGATAGAGACGTGGCGAGTAATGTTATAGCTAACCTTCGCGCGCCCGTCTTGTTTTAGGGCTCTTTGCCGAAAGTTTTCGAGGCTTTCGCCTTGCGAAGTTCCAGGGAGGGATTCCATTTGTGTCTCCTTCCCTCGGAAGGGGTGTGTCTCTGGGAATTCCGTCTTCATTTCGCCTTCCCTCGGAAGATCCATCCGTCCCTCTCGGAGTTACATTCCCGCTTCGCCTCCTCTCGGGAGACCCATTGCTCATGGGATTCCGTTTCCATTTCGCCTTCCTGGGGATGGTGTCAGTCTCGGGGGATTCCGTTTTGCCTTCCTGCGGAAGGTGTCTCGGGGGCCGCCATTTCGCCTTCCTTGCCCTCTGGTAGGTCTCTCCCTGGCGGAAGGACCGCTGCTTGATTGCCTCTTGGGGGAGTGTGAGTTGTTTATTTCCTGGCTGGCGCGAAGCTTTCGCCATCGACTCCAGATTGATGAATGGCCCGAGCTTATTGACACCTCCTGCGCGACGTGGGTGGTTCGGGGTTTTTCTGTGCCCGGGCTCGCCGAGGCGTTTTGGATTCGGCTTCGGAGCGCGCAGGTTTGCGGCTGTCCGGGGCTGTGCGCGTGTGCTTACAGCTTTTGCGCCGGGGGCCCCGGGTTTTTTCTTTTGTGTCCCGGGGCCTCGTCACATCTACGCCCCGGGGCCCCGGAACATGCATGGCCCGTCGGAAGGCAGGCCAGCCTTCGGTAAAGGTAGGGAGGCGGGGGGCCCGAAGCACAGGCTGGCGCGTGCATGGTGAATAACGTTTGGCGGTGGAGGAGATAACGGGGCCCGCGCAGTGCTTCTCGCGGAAACGGGAAACGGGACACGCAACTTGATTCTAGGACCAAACCTGATTCCAGTCAACTTGATTCCAGAGTCCAACTTGATTCCATTTAACTTGATTCCAGTTACCAACTTGATTCCAACAATTTGACCAACTTGATTCCTTGGACGTCCAATTTCATTTCTCATGCTGAGGGAAGGGGAACTTGTATAAATGCATTTATACGAGTCTACGATGCTTTTGCATTGCATAGCTGTGGCTCTCCTACGATTGCTGCGTCGGGACCACGCGGACGCAAGGACTTCTGGGCGCCGGGGGGCGGGACTTCCGGAAGATACGGCAAAAGCAGTCCTCGGTGGTGAAAAATCTGCGCGCGCTGTTGCAGCACCACTGCTTCGGGGTCCAGATCGGACAGAACTCCGACGCTGTGGACCTGCTCGCGGGGCTGTTGCGACCAACCGTGCCGGAGCGCCTGCGGGCGAGCGCTGCACTGCAGCACCGCTTTCTCGTTTCTTGACAGAACAGGCGAGGGCATTACTTGGTGTGCTATAAAAATGCAGCGTACAAAAAATAATTGAAAATGGAACCTTGTTCACCAACTTCGCCTATAAATAGTTCCGATACATTTCTTGTTCTTCGCTGAGCACTCTAGTAGTGATCATGAAGCGCACAGGTTTTATTGACATGGGTTCGCCGTAGGTCGTAGCCGGTTGATATTGTTCATCGTCAAAGTTCTCTGTCAAAACGAATTCGGCGAGAGACAAGCAATTAGGGCGTTGAAAACATCAAAATGGCAGAAGCAGAGCTATGAACGAGTACCCGCCGCGAAGATGAGAGAGAAATATTTGATACGGAGTTTCCATCGAGACACGGAGTTGATACCATATTGATATTCTTCCTTGTCGCTGCTCACCCCGTTTTCCTTTATAAACTTAGAATCCGGTCGTGTAGTTTCTGTAGAAGTGAGATCGACATGAAAGCGATTGTCTTGCAAAGAGCTAGAGGAGGGCCGGGGAGAGTTGGAAGAAGTCTTCTACTTCTTGTTCGGGTCTAACCCACTACGAGCAGTTGTGGCGAAGTAGAGAAGTAAGGAAAAAAGCACACGAAACAAGAAAGGTGATCGATGTGATGTCGAGCGTAAATTATAATGATCAAGCTGAATAATGATCATGTAGGTTGATGAAGTACGTAGAGGTAGAGAGTAGGCTATTAAATCTGCATCTGTTGAACAAGTAGGAGGTGAAAAGCGGAATGAAGGGGGAAAATTCATCTACGTCGAACTTCTCCCGCCGCCGCTCCGGGCGGCGGTATGGGTCGTGGCCTGCTCTTCTTGCAAAGAGTCGCGGCGGTTTCGTTCTTGCTATAGCAGCAGGCGTCGAGGACAACCAGCACTACGTCGTGCGCGCGAGAACTACTACTTCGCGGTCCTCGTCGTCGTCGTCAAGCTACAATCCGCTCGAGGTGGACCACATGAAGATGATGATGAACAGCCAGCAGCTGGATCCGGGCACGCCTACGGCTGCGAACCCGGCGCCGCCCGGCGGCGACCACGTCCTGCTGTACGACCGGTTATCAAAAGGAAAAATCCCCCCAACTCCCCATACAAACACGAAACTTCTAATGCTGGCTTTGGATACACAAAGACAAATCAAATTTGTGCTATGCAGTAGAGGACTGCACGCCGATCCTAAGCCTAGGTAGCAGGGGCCTTTTGGTGTAGGCCTAAGCGCCTAGCATGGTAGACGGCTACACTGTAGGCGTTACAGCATTAAAAAGCGCCTACATAGTGCGGCGGACAGCCTGGATGTGCCTTCGCGCAAGACAGGCCCGATTTGTGGCTACAAATCTGCATCGCAAGGATGCGCTTTCAATTTTGGGAGGGGGGAACTTTCCTGGCAATACCGGTATGGTAGCCCTTACTACACCGACGCCACCTATGGTAGTGTCAGGATTGAAATCGTCAAAGTTGAAATAGTTTGTGATGCATAAAATGCAACCCACAAAGCGCCTGTCTTGCAGAGTGGGCAAGGGAGGCAGATTGTAAGCCTGGCGAGGGGTAGAAATAAAGCTGCTGAAGTAGCATGACACAAGGCGTCACTCTTACCCAAACAGCATTACAAACTGGATTTAGACACCGCCAAAATTTGTCATGCGCCACTTAGAAACTGGGTCCTAATTGGCATCCATTTTATGCATGACAAATAATTTTAACTTTGTTGATTTCAAGCCTGACGCATCCATACCACCGACACCACGGTGGAGTCTCCCGCCAAGCTGGACGCGGGGAAGCTGGCCACCTGGGCGGCCCACCTATGAACTGCAAAACAAGTATCGTACTCGTATAAATGCATTACAAATCTCCTCAGCGTGAGAAATGAAATTTGTATATGCGGATTTAGTATTGCCTTAAGAAAAAAAATTGTAATGCATGATTGCAATGCGAGTGCGATACTTTTGCAGAGCATACCACCAGGCGCGGGACAACTTTGACCGTTTGCGGGAATCCGGCCTCGTACCGGAGGCCACGCTGGTCCGGGCGTTGGCACAAGGGATCCGCACGGCGCAGGACCTCTTTCCCTTCCGCGACATTCGCATTGTCGGCCTCGACTCGGTATGCATTGCAAATAAGTATGTCATCTACTGTGTCTGGAAGGTTGCAACTTGTGATGCTGTCTTCGGATAATTCCAAAAAAAATCTGTATTGCATGACCAGCAAGAGGAGCAACCCAGGGCGTGCTACGCGGGGAGGGCATTTCTCATGCAGAATAGGCATCAGAAAGCCCTGCTAAAATTTGTAGGGCTAGGCCTTGCATTACAGGCATCCTGCGCCATGCAACCGGTGCATGACAAGTCTCGGAATCTTCCAGAGCCAGACACATTTGCAGTGCATACTCGGACCAAAATTTGGTCTTGTCCGTAGGGGGCCACCTCCTCACCTTTCCAGAGGAGGTTCCTCGAGTGTCCGCGAACAACGCGACCGCGTCCTCCACCGCAGTCGCTGCCGCGGTGGAGTCTGTCGCTCTGCTTCTTTCTACCGCTGCCGCGGCGCAGACCTCCTCGCATTTGGCTCGAAGTGCGCAACCCACGTTCGATATGATAATGCAAAACTCCTCCTCCCCCTCATTTGTCATGCAAAACAGCAAATCCTCCCTGTTCCCTTTGGCACTGCTTGATGAGGTCGCCGAAAGTGCTTCCTCGCCCACCCCCCGGGGAGGGGATCCTTGACCTGTGGCGCTGGGAGCGGGTGTCCACTACATGATGATGATGATGGCACTGCTTGCATGACAAATTGAAATTTCGGAAGCCGAAACAGCATTAGAATCCATCGGTCGTGAACAATTTGTCATGCAAAGGCTGCAGTGAGGCCAGGACTTGTGTTGCTGTTCATGCAAAAATACAAATGAGAGGGAGGGGGAGTTCTTGTGTACTGTCATATTCGACACGGCGCTGGGGGAAGGCATGTTGCTCACGCTGGTCATTCTTCTGCTCCTCGGAGTGTGCCTCGCTGTCCAGCTGCCCTATCAAATGCAAAAATGTCTGGGTCTGGAAGAATGCAAGATTTGTGATGCAGGTTGTCCATAACCCATGAGGTCTGGAATGCGAGACCCGGCATGACAGATTTTTTGAGGTCTCTATCATGCCTTTCCTGCATGAGAAACTCCCTCCCAAATTGGTCAAAAGCGGACAGCTTTTGGTACTCACGCAACACAGATTTTTGCATCGTTCAGATTTAGCATGACAAGTTCTAACCTTCCAGACCCAGACATTTTTGCACTTGATATGCCCCTCGACGAGCTGAAACCCTACAGCGAGAAACTGGAACTGAAATTGCAGAAGGCCCTGCTCGAGATGGACCGCGGCGGCAAGGTGCAGGCCATTCCGGACGACGAGCGGCCGGACCTGAACCCACTGGTGTACACGTATCACCAGTTCATTATCCTAGGCAAAAACGTCCCCACGACCCCTTAGTCAAGATGGAAAATCTGCTAGACAAATCCACAGCCTTGTTTGGGGCGACTGGCGCATAACAAGTTTTGGGACGCAGTATCTATAATGGTCCTGTGTGTGTAGGTTGTACTAGCCCAGACATCACATCACAAATCCAGTCTCTGATCCTGGTTCACGCATGACAGATTTTTACCAAGAAACACGATTCAGAAAACGTTGCCCGCCAACATGCGGAGCCGCATTACGGATTTTTTTGCATATGCAGATTTGCATAACAACTCTGGGGACGATTTTATTCCCTGAGGATATTGGTGCTGGAAAAGCTAGTCACGAACGCGAAGGAGGGATCAAATGCAAAAATGTCTGGGTCTGGAAGATAATTGCGAGATTTGTCATGCTTGTCTGGCATGACCAAATAAAGTTTGTGATGCGTGTCCACGAAGAGACCCTTTTGCCTGTCATGCAAAAACGCAGTTTGTCATGCGAAAAACGCAACACATATTTCTCATCATGCTTGGCTGTGCATTACAGAGCATGCACTATTCCCAACGCAGCACTACAAGTTGCCAGACCCAGATATTTGTGCATTTGATAGGAGGTGAGAGCGGAGCAAGAGGCCTACTTCGAGCAACTGCGGCAGAAGGAGGCAGAGCGCAATATGGCGTTCTCAATTGTTACATTCTCAACTGTTACATAAATTTGTGATGCAAGAATGGTAACAGCAAAATTCGGCGCAGATTCCCATGCTGTTTGGCCCTTCCAAAATTTGTCATGCGAGGCAGCTTCACTGTGTGGACGTTGATGCTCATTTTGCATGAGAAATCACGTAACAGTTGAGAATGTGACATTTGAGAACGCCATACGCAAGCGGCGCAAAGAGGAGGCAAGGCAGGCCAGGCTGGCCGCCCGCCGCGCGGCTGGGGAAGTATCGTAAGGAAAAACCCCACCTCCCCATATGATCGAAAAGGCATCCTTTTGGAAAATTGTGATGCTGATTTGTGGTCACAAATCAGGTCTGTCTTGCAAGAGAGCAAAGCCAGAGCTTCCGCCCCTTTATTAAGTACGCAGGCGATTTGTAAGAACGCAGCTGCGCCAACAGTGCAGACGTCTGCCAACATGCTGAGCGCTCACCTCTAGCCAGCCCCTTCCCGGCTTTGTATCTGCCTGCAGTCCTAATATACTGCAAGAGAAATAAGCTGATTCGTGTACGCGAATCCCGCAAGACAGATTGCCACTGTGATGATATAGGGAGGGGGAATAGTTTTTCCTTTCGATAGGAAGGAGAGACAGGGGACGACCCGTTTGCGACAAGCAGTAGCAGTTCTTCCTCCAGTTCTGCCGACTCATCGGACGAGTCTTCAAACGAAGAGCAGCAGTCTCCTTAGAAGATGCGGGTCACTCTTCACGAACCTTGCAGCTGGTCGTGCAAGAGGCAGTACAGGATCCTGCACCGGTCTACAGCTGCCTTGCTTTTATTTGATCATTATGTGACTAGTTCTAGTTGATCATGACCAAATTAAATAATACCGACCGCCGGTGACGTTGAATGTACACAAGTACTTGCACGCAAGAACGAAGACGAGAACGAGGAGCTATCACTCTAAAAGTACTCTGCTCTAGTTTGGTTTGTCGTAGTCCGATGGACATGGATTCGATAGAGATAAAGTATTGCAATCCATTTGGCACAAATCGAAATCGAGGTCATCTGACAAAGAAAGTGGAAGTTGCAAAAAAGCCTGGGACGCCGCTGCTGGTCGTGTTCAGCATCTTCACTGCGACTGCTCCACTTAATAATTGCCCAGCATAAAAAATTCGATAAATACTTGATCATACACTCACACTTAAATGCACCTGATTTTATTTCATGCACATGATGATCGGTGAAAATGGATCGAGACTTCTTCTTGTTGTCTCGTCATTTTTTATAGGCGTCTTCGTGTCCGTGTTTCGTTCTATAATTTCCCTTGATCATCTACATCTGCAGCCAAAGATGAATCTTCCACCATCCAGCCCATGCATGGCTGCAGGTGTCACTAAGTAGTACTTACCTTCATTGAAAGAAACTCAAACTGCCGCGTCTTCACTCCTGTCAGGACAAACTACATGCAAACTTTATTTTATTGCGAGTGTGTCAGTCTTTCTCTTTCACTAACGACGCACCTGTAGTTGACTTGGACTTGGTGCCCCACAAGAACGAACCCTCTGTTGACATATTCAAGGCTCTTTCTGCAGCTACTTCGAGAAGTGAAGAAAAAAATATTCTTTTCCGCACCTTCCCGTTCTGCCGCGTTGTCGTTTGTGTGTTTTTAATATTCGAGCAGCCTCCCAGTAGATGAATCGTGAGGCCGGTTGCTTTGGCTGACTCCAATTGTGTTGAGCAGGTCGGTTTTCACTTATTTTCGCTAATAAAATGGATGTGATAATCAATGGGGCCCGGCCGCTTCTTTGAGTTTTCGCTTTTAGGCTGGTGCTGACACTTTTCTTTTATATTAAAACCCAACTTTTGCAGCCCTGCCCCTGCTGACTAAGGCACACCACGTAGAGAGACATGTTGAACAGCAGGAGATCGACAGTACGAGCAGTCGTGTACTAAAACTCGGGCAGATATCCTCGAAGAATATTATCAATACCATGTCGTGGTTCATCGTCGTTCCACGACCTCCTGGGAGGTCGTTTTATTTGCACGACCGTCAGCACCCTTCTTGCAGCCGACGGCGTGGTGCTGTTTTTCGCGGCCACCAACCACGACTTCGACGTGCACACAGTGCTGGTGCCCGAAGATGTTTTACTTGCTTGGACCAGCTAGAAGTTACGAGGAAAGTACTCGTTGCGCCGGGGTGGTGGTCGTGTCGCATTCGCTTGTTGATGTCGCGCCGCCTTGTTCATCTAGAAGCTCTGCCGTTCCTCATTTTCATGGTGCCGCTCATTCTCATATTCGAACAAATTTTGACTTTTATCCCGATGAAGGATGATCATGATAGACGCCCTCCCTTAGAAGAGACACCACCACGACCCACTTCTGCCGTTATTTTTGTCTCCGCGTCCATTGCGGGTTTGACCAGACCGATTTGCCCGGCTACTGGGTATGGCCATTGTGGAAATGCAACTACCGTCAGAATGAGCACTCAAGTCAACATTTGGCAGGGCAGCCTAAAAAAGTGCGACGCGGACTGCCGGGGCCTGACGGACTGTGCGGCCTTTTCGTACGGGATGGCCAATAACGTCCGCCACAGGTGCTGGTTTTACGAAACCAGCGTCGGCTGTACTGGGGCAAGTTCCACCGCAGACGCCTACTCTTACACCACTTTCACCCTGGCCAGGAACACGGAGGCGTGCGTGGATTCGTCCACCCTCGAGGAGCCTCCCAGCTGCCCGGTTGCGTTCGACGGAGGGTGCGATAAACCGCCAGAGCAATGGATCGCCGCGATGCACTACGATCGGACTGATTACACCATCAAGGAGGGCAGGTACCTTTGTGCGAACACGCCCGACTGTGACAGTTTCTGGCTGGTTGGGTCTTCCGCTACGTCGGGCCGTCTCGTCTTGCGGAAGGCGGGATGTACACTAAAGGCGAGTGAAGCGGGTATCAAAGTGAAAAATCTCCCTTCGCGATATTGAAACGAAAATTTCTGTTGCTGCATTTGTGTACACAAAGACAAATCAGCTCTGTCTTGCAGTGAGGCACTGCAGGCAAAGCCTAAGCCTGTGTATATGTGTTTTGATGTAGGTGCTTAGCATAGCAGAGGCCTGCCATGTAGCCGCAACAGCATTACAAATCGCCTGCATAGGCCGGCGGTTTCTTTGGATGTGCCCTCCTGCAAGAGAGACAGGATTTGTGGCCACGAATCAGCAGCACAAATATTTAGGAACATACCTGCTCAATATGGGGAGGGGGGGTTTTTTCTCGCAATAGCGGGAAGCGAGCGGGGTTTTCTGTTAAGCGAATGCCCGCCCACCACATCAACGACGACGACCACAACGACGACCACAGCACGTGTGGACACTCTCCAGACGCCGCTGTGCCCCGCGGAGTGGGCGGGCGCAAGCTTCGGCACGAGCCTGGGTTGGTGCACCAACCAGGAAAGCAACAAGAAGCTGCATGTGAACACGAATGCCGGGAACACGATTCTCACTTGCGACCTGGTATGCATTGCAAAAATCTCTGGGTTTGGAAGAGTGCAAGTTTGTCATGCTTCTCTGGCATAAGCATGACTCATACTTAAATCTGTGATGCGTGAGCCAATATGTATAGGCGTGGAGTTACCCGTGCGGCAAAGAGCTCTGCCGCCGATCCAACGATGATGATGATGATGATGATGGGCAGGAATAAGCCCTCTTGCCTGTCATGCAAAAACGCCGTTTGCTATGGTATGCGGAATCCGAAACACAATAGCAGCTCAAAATCTTGTCATGCTTGGCTGCGTATTGCAATGCGCCCAGCAGTCACATTTTAGCATCACAAGTTCATGTTCATCCCAGACCCAGATCGATATTTGCAGTTGATACCTGGAGTGCCGACTAACGCCGACTTGCACCCACTACGTCATGGACAACAGCGCGACCCCCGTCTCGTGCACCTTCTACTCCGAGGGCTGCGCCTTCGGCGACCGTCCGCACGAGACGGTGAACGACGTGGTAAAAAAGTTGATTGCGTTTTTATCATTTGTAAAAACGTCCCCACACCAGAGTCAAGATGGGAAATCTGCTAGACAAATCATCCAGCTTCGGTCGTTTGGCATGACAAGTATTTCCTCGTAGTGTAATCCTGTTTAGGTAGTTCAGCAGCATTTTTACAGATCTAGCATACCATGCGGATTATAGCAGCTCAAATTCTAAAACACCACTATAAAACGGCTCTCATGGCGCTCCGCATGACAAACTTTTTTGGCATGCAGATTTGCATGACAGCTCTGGGGTGGGGACGTTTTTCCTCAGGATAGTTTTCCGTGGCCCGCAACGCGGCTAGCTGCATCGACATGCACGAAGTTCCACGCCTGGACGATCCGGACACCAAATGCGTGAGCGTGGTCAAGGGCTGCGCGACCGCAGCATCGGGCGCGAACGCTCGGAACACGATGACGCTGTACTCCTACCAGGACCGGGAGTACGGGTTGGAGGAGTGTCGGTACCTTTGTGCGATGACGGAGAAGTGCGTGCAGTTTCATCTGAATTCCAACTATCTGTCGGGAACCAGCACCCGGCCCGGGTGCACCCTGCTGAAGGGAAAAAGCTGCACCGAACCGGACCCTATCCCGTGCATGCAAAAGTATCGCACTCGTAGGGATTGCAGTCATGCATTGCAAATATCCACTCCAAGGCAGACGTAAAACAGCATTGACAAATGGTCTGCGCTACTTTGTAATGCAGTATACTCGCTACCAACCGCAACCAGTATCGGATTATAGATACTTTTGCGATGCATAGACCCGGTCCAAAGCTACGACAACTGGAAAGGGTACAACTTGGACGCCTGCCCCATCCGCGGGAGCGTGTGCCCCGCGGTGGGGCAGGGGAATTACGAGGATGGCTCGTGGTGGACCACCACGAGTATCACGCGCGTCGACCAGGCGACCTCGACCTGGGACACTTTTGTGACGGACTACGATCACTTTTGCCGGGGCCGCGGGTACCACCGTGTGTGCGGGACGATCATGAAGGACGCTGGCGGCGGGGGTATCGGTATCGAAAGGAAAAAAAAACCCTCCCCATATCAAAAGAAGCGAAACTTCTGATGCTGGATTTTTTGTGTAAGTACACAAATCCGAGCTGTCTTGCTGGAGAGCACTGCAGGCCCATATCAAGCGTGAGTACAGAGTTTTTGGCCTAGGTGCTTAGCATGAAAAACATCCGCGCCGTAGGCCCAACAGCATGACAAACCGCCTGCACAAACACAATGCGGCGGAGCCTGCGGAGTTGCCGTCTTGCAAGACGGACACGATTTGTGAGCACGAATCAGCAGCACAAATGTCCAAAAATGTACCTTGTGGAGGGGGGACGTTTTCTTACGATAGTCGGCTCCTTCGCGCAGACCGGCGGCCTCTGGAAGCCCGCTTCCATGTCCTACATGAAGTTTGACCTCGCCCTGTATCAAGAAGAAAAATCCCCCCTCTGTGACGCGGGATTTGTGTACACAAATCGGCTTTGTCTTGCAGTGAAAGACCACAACCAGATACAAAGCCAGAGTAGGGGCGCTTTGGTGTAGGCGCCTAGCAAGGCAGGCGTGTCCTCCGTAGGCCATACAGCATTACAAATTGCCCGCAGAACCATGCGGCGGAGTTTTTGGATCTGCCTTCTTGCAACACAGAGACGATTTGTGGTCTCAGATCAGCATCACAAATTTTCGGAAGTATCCCTTTTTGTTATGGGGAGGAGGGATTTTTCCTCGCAATACCCTGAACGATCACAAGTGCCGGAAGTACGTACCCCGGGTGGATCAGACCAGCTGCCCCGTTGCCTTTACCAGCCCGTGCGGAGGAAACTCTATCAACTGCAAATATCCCTGGATGTCTGGAAGAGTGCAAACGTGTCATGCAGGTTTTCCATGGCCCATGAGGTCTGGAAGTGGAATGCGGGACCTGATATGACAGACTCTGTGGGGCGGTCTCTGTCATGCCTATCCTGCATGAGAAATCCCCCTTTCCAACTTGGTCGAAAATGGACAGCTTTTGGAACTCATGCAGCACAGATTTTTGCCTGATTCAGATTTAGCATGACAAGTTGCAATCTGCCAGTCCCACACATATTTCTTTGCAATCGATAAACTCAGACGGTTCCCGCAACTTGTACACCGCCACCCACACCTATGCAAGGAAAAAACTGTGTAAGTGTAACTTTGTCTTGCAGATGTTGCAATACAGTTACGCTTGTCATGCTGGATATGCATCAGATACAGAGGCTATTTTCTTACGTGTTTTCGCGTACTAGCTACGCATAGCAGGTTTTCTCTGTCGTGCAAAACAAATCTGTGATGCTGTTCCTGCAAAAAAGATACACTTACACACTTTTTTTCTTGGATAACACCGCGACCTACAACTACTAAAGCGAAAAAAGCCCCCTCCACCCCATACTCAAAGACAATTCGTGTTGCTGGATTTGTGTACACAAATGAACTAGAGCTTGCCGGCATATTCTATAGCCCATTTTTTGAAAACGCATCCGGCTAGCAGCTGCGCATGAGAAACCAGTCTGACATACACGAAAACTCATGGCAGACTGGCTGCACAATGCGCCACATGGGTGCTGTTTGCCTTGTACGCAAGACAAAGGAAGCTGATTTGTGACCACAAATCACAAACGTCCTTTTTGTTTACGGGAATTGGAGACTTTTCCTCACAATAACAACGGGCAGAAGTACTCCGTGGCCGACTGTCGGTATTTGTGCGCCGAAACGCCGCAGTGCAGTAGCTTCATCGTGCAAGCCTCCACCGAGGTGTGTACGCTGTACAAGCAAGGTATGGAAGTGTCAGGATTGAAATCGTCAAAGTTGAAATAATTCCTCATGCATAAATTGCAAGGCGCGAAATGTCTCTCTTGCAGGGGTGGCAAGTGAGGCCGACGGTCCTCCTGTTTGGGGTCTACGATATAGCTGCTAAAGTAACATGACAAAAGACACTTTCTGTCCCTAAAAAGCATTACAAACTGGATCGAGACGGTGCCGAAATTTGTCATGCGCCGCTTAGAATAAATTGGGCTTCCAACTGGGATCGATTTTATGCTTGACTCCGCGACCCGGTGGCCTGCGCCTGACCATGATCTACGGAAAGGTGCCCTATGGGCGGTTGCGTTTGTGGTTTCGGTCGGTTTAGCATTACAAGTTATTTCAACTTTGTCGGTTTCAATACATTCCCATACAAGGCTGTACAGCGGACTCAACCGACGCGGACTACGAGGGGTACCATTTGGCTTCCTGCCACTTGAAGGACGACGGCATAATTGGAAGCTTCGTCCCGCCCAGCGCGTTGTTGGAAACCTACCACACCCTCGATTCGTCCAGCAATGGAAGTCCCCTGTGGCGGCCTGAGTACGATTTTGGCAGCTACTCGAAGGACACAGAATTTTTCTCGGTGAAAGGAGGCTATTGCGCGACCTTCAAGCAGTGGCACCAGGTCGAGTTCCGCGACGGGGAGGCCCATTTTGTCACGGGGATGATGCTACGCATTGCAAATATGTAGAAATATGATGCCTGGGTCTGGAAACTGAAACTTGTGATGCAAAGCAACAAAGGGAATATTAGTCAGCGCACGACATCACTACACTGGAAAAATGCGCTGCCAGGCATGACAATTTTTTCCGTGGTTCTGTGCGGCGTAGTTCTCTGCATGAAAAAAAAAATCCGTTCATTTTGCATGGCAGACAAGAGGAGCTCTTCGTCTTCGCGGGCGCGCAACACAGAGTTCAGAGTCAACAAAATTTCAGGGTCTCCGCGCGTATCCCACACCCTGTTGTCTTTGGTTATGTGAAATCTGTCCTGCGCCAATGGGGCAGTGACAGTGAGTGCGCAGCTTAATTTAGCAACTTAAGAAGGCAGGCCACTACCGGGGCCGGCAGCTTCCGGAGTCACGGACCCGGATAATTTTTGAATCTCTGGCAAACGCCTGTTCGTCTCGGAGGTACTCGTCGCAGTCTCAATATGCAGAAGGCCATATCTTCGCGGCCGCGCAACACAGAGTTCAGAGTCAACATGGCAGACTAGTCGCTGACAAGTTTCGCAATCTTCCAGGCCCAAACCGATATTTGCGGTTGATAGATGCTTTTCCGTAAACGCGAACCCCCCAACGATTCAGCGCGAGTAGTCAACCAAGTCGAGCACAGCCTGGACGGTACCGGTTGGACCGCCGTAACAAGTCCAGGGGCATTGTCGCCCACGGGTACCTATGCATTGCAAATATGTCTGGGTCTGGAAGGATACAACTTGTCATGCTAAGTCTGGATAGTGCAAAAATTTGTGTTGCATGATTACCAATAGGTGTCCACTTCTGAACAAGTTTAGTGGGGGCAGTTTGTCATGCAGGATAGACATGATGTTGATGATAGATGATAGAGACTTCGCAGAACCTGTCATGCTAGGTCCTGCATTGCAGACATCATGGTTATGGGGCATGGAAAATATGCATGACAAGTTTCAGATATCCACGTATATTTACATTTGATAGTACCTGGGTCACGCTGAACCAGAATGCGAGGAAGCTCCGGGTGTCGTCGAGCACAAGCAGCGGAATGGTGACGTACTGCGGTATTTGGGTCTACGAGACCACCACGACCACCACTACGCCTGTGTCTTACATGCCGGCAGCCACCGCCGCCCCTGTCGATGTCCAGCTTATCAAATGTAAAAATGTCTGGGTCTGGAAGAATACAACTTGTCATGCTGTTTTTGGACTCTAAAAAATATTGGTATTGCATGACCAGCAAGAGGGGTCCGGTTTGTGGTTGTGCTACGCGGACAGGGTATTTCTCATGCAGAAGGTGCATCAGGAAGCCGTGTAAAAGTCTGTGATGCTAGGTCATGCGTTACAGGCATCATGGATCATGAGAAATATGCATGACAAAACCCGGCAATCTTCCAGACCCAGACACTTTTACATTTCATACAGCTCCTGGTCGACCCAATCTGCGTGGCGGAGTTTGCCGGGACGTGCGTCGGCGGGCCGTTTATCAAGGTAAACGGAAACAACTACTTCAATCTAGCAGGCCAGGTGGGCGGCTTGCAGGGTTGCGACAAAAAGTGTCGCGACTTCGCTGCGTCAGGCGTTGCTGGTCAGGAGTGTGAGTCGTTCCGCTGGGACGCTGGAATACATGGGGGCAGCCGAAAGCAGCGGTGTCACTACTTTCGAGCGGGTTGCGTGGCTGCGGGTACGCAATCCAACTCGGACTTGCACGACTTCACAATCTTCACACTCCAAAAGAACAGGGGCTCGTGCATGAGTGCGCACGAGGTGCCGGCAATCAGCACGGACGCCGGGGTATCAAATGTAAAAACGTCTGGGTCTGGAAGAATGCGAACCTGTCATGCAGATTTTACATGGCCCGTGACGTCTGTGATGTATTCCCTGGCATCACAGATTTTCTGAGTGCTTCTTGATGCCTATTCCGCATGACAAATGGCCTCCCCGCGTAGCAGGAACTGGGCTCCTTTTGCTGGTCATGCAATACAGATTTTTCTAGAATCCAAAATTAGCATGACAAACATAAATTCTTCCAGACCCAGACATTTTTACAGTTGATACGGGGATTGCGACGCCGCGTACAACGGGGCGTGCACCGCGCCTGGGGACGTTGATGACGGCACGTTGCTTGCCACTTACCACTACCGCAACTTCAAGCTCTCGGAGTGTCGCTGGCTGTGCGCCATGACGGAGGGCTGCGCCTCTTTTTTTCTTAGACAAGGTACCGGCATCTGTAAGGTGTATAAAACAGGGTGCATATTACAAGGAAAAATGCCCCCACCCCCAAAGTTGCAATAATTACTATCTAAACTGCAGCAGCTGGTCAAAAATGCATGCGAGGGGTATGTTCGGGGGTGTGTCAGGGGTATGCAAATGGCAGTCAATCACGACCTGAATACAAATTTTTGGCGAAAAAGCAGAAGGTGGGGTATAAACATACCCCAGACACACCCCAGACACACCCCAGGCATACCCCAGACAGACCCCCGAACACACCCCAGGCAAAAAGTCCGAACATACCCCAGACACACCCCGGACACACCCCGGGCAGACTTTCGGACACACCCCGGACAGACTTTCGGACACACCCCGGCCAAACTTTCGGACTTTGCCACGCGAGGTTTGGCCCCGAAGTCCAGTCTGTCACGCGTCGCGAGGCGGACCGTGCGGCCACGGGGCGAAAGCCCTTTTGGGCAGTTGCTGCAGTTTAAATGAAGTTACTATTTAAACTGCACCAACTGCCCAAAAGTGATCATTTGGGGGGTGTTCCGGGGTATGTTCCGACCCATGTTCCGGGGTATCAATCACGACCTAACTCGGCCATTTCCTCATGCACCCCCCAAAACATACCCCACACCTGACTCCGGAAAAGTGACACCCGGCCCCGGAGGTCACTTTTCGAGAGTCGGGCCCGACCCCGGACCTGACTGTCGGAAAGTGGCTTTCGGGGCATGGTCTGGGGTGTGTTTCGGGGTGTGTTCTGGGGTGTGTTCCGGGGTATGTTTCGACCCCTGTTCCGGGGTATCAGACACGACCGGAACCGGCAAAAACCTCCTGCACAACTCAAAACATGCCCCCCACCCGACTTCGGAAAAGGAACACCCGACCCCGGGGGCCGCTTTTCAAGAGTCAGGCCCGACCCCGGGGGCCAAAGGTTGGCTGCCTATTCATTGGGGGGGGCGCCCCGCCCAGGGGCGCAGAAACAGGTCTGTGCGCCCTGGTTCGGGAGAACAGGCTCCAGGAAGGTGGCCGCGCCCCCCCCTCACATGGTCGTGGGTAGTCCTTTTGGGGGGCGCCCCGCCCAGGGGCGCAGAAACAGGTCCGCGCGCCCACTCTGGTTCGGGGGAATGAACAGGCTCCAGGAAGGCCGCGCCCGCGGTTGGTCGTGGGAGGGTAGTCCTTTGGGGGGGCGCCCCGCCCAGGGGCGCAGAAACAGGTCCACGCGCCGCGCCCTTGGAAGGCCGCGCCCTCGGCTGGTCTTGGGTAGTCCTTTGGGGGGGGCGCCCCGCCCAGAGGCGCAGAAACAGGTCTGCGCGCCCACCCTGGTTCGGGAGAACAGGCTCCACGAAGGCCGCGCCCTCGGTTGGTAGCGGGTAGTCCTTCGGGGGGGCGCCCCGCCCAGGGGCGCAGAAACAGGTCCACGCGCCCTGGCAAGGCCGCGCCCTCGGTTGGTCTTGGGTAGTCCTTTGGGGGGGCGCCCCGCCCAGGGGCGCAGAAACAGGCCCGCGCGCCCTGGTTCGGGAGAACAACCTCCAGGACGGCCGCGCCCTCGGCTGGTCGTGGGTAGTCCTTTGGGGGGGGCGCCCCGCCCAGGGGCGCAGAAACAGGTCCGCGCGCCCTGGTAAGGCCGCGCCCTCGGTTGGTCTTGGGTAGCCCTTTGGGGGGGGGCGCCCCACCCAGGGGCGCAGAAACAGGCCCGCGCGCCCTGGTTCGGGAGAACAACCTCCCGGACGGCCGCGCCCCGCCCAGGGGCGCAGAAAAAGGCGCATTTTTCCAGGGGGGCGCCGGCACCACGGGCGCCAAGCCACCCCGTTCTGTCGCAAAAAAAAAACCCTGCCGCATCATGGGCAAGAAAAGCCACCGCGGGTGGCCCTTCTTCGCCGCAAGGTCGCAGCGCGGGGACTCTGTCCCCGCGCCATGACCTTGTTTGTGATGCAAAGTTTTCAAATGAAAACTTTTTGTCATGCATGAAAGGAGTATGAACCTTTGTGAGGCAGAGTCTAGGCGTATATCGCATTGCTTGCATGCGAAGCGCCGCTCTTGCTGGGATCTTGCGCAATACAAATTCTTTCTATTCACGATTGGAAATCTGTGATGCTGATAGATGCAAGAGGGCGAGTGTTTCAGTTGCAAAGGTTTGCAATACAAATGCTCCCAAGTTCGGGGGTGGGCGCATTTTTCATTTTGATAGTGCACCGAAGACACCAGTCAGGCGGCCAATTGGCAGGGCTACGACCTGGCCACCTGCAAGCTGCAGGGGAAAGTCTGTCCCGCCGCCTGGGCGGGGTGGTGCGCCGAGAAGGACGCGCTGCAACTTCCCGCGGTCACGACCGTGGACCAGTCCACTTCGCTGAAGGACACCCGGATCGCCGATTTGGACGTGTACTGCCGGGGGCGCGGGTACAACGGGACCGCCTCCAGCTCCTGCGCCTCCTTTTCGCGCAACCAGTTTACGGGCCACGTTTCCTACTTCCGAGCGGGGTGCACCCCGGATCCAAAGGCCTTCAACCAGATGCAGTGGAGCCTCACGCAGAACGATATCAAGTGCCGCCACCCTGGGCATGTTCCAGCCCTGGGCACCTGCAACCACGCCTGGATGGGGTGGTGCTCGAACTGGCAAGACAAAAAGATTGGGGCCGGTATGTACTACAATGACCGGCCCTACACCGTCGCGGAGTGCCGGTACCTGTGCGCGGAGACGCCCGAGTGCGCCGGCTTCGCCCACAAGTTCGAGCACGGCATCAACGACTGCAGCCTGTTCCGCGCGGGCTGCGAGAAGACAGTCGAGCTGCCCCGCGCCCACCGGTTCTACCACCTGAGTGAGTGCGCCATCAGCGGGCCGGCACTGGACATCACGGGGCAGTTTGTGCACTACTCGCACCTTCGTGCCGCTGCCAGCTCTGGTCACGACCCCAAAACGGCTATCTTTCCGTACCGCCGCGCCGAGCACGACTATACCGAGCATGACTTCATGGGGACTGAAGACACCCGCATGTCTAAAGAAGGGCCTTCTGCGTGCCTCTCGATTCTGAAGGGAACCGCTATGGACTTCTCAACTGCTACATTGTCAACTGTTACATAAATTTGTGATGCAAGACTGGCAATAAGTGAAAGGAAGAACATTCCGCGTGTTGCATGACAGATTTGGCACAGGGACGCCCTGCGTCTTGATGAAGAGATAATTTAAACAGGGACGTCCTGCCCTTAGTCTCCCAACATGACAGATTTGGCACAGATTCTCAGCCTGTTTCCCCGTCTGCGAGTTTGTCATGCGAAGCAGCTTGATGGCGTGGATAGTCCAGGCAATTGCGCATGGCAAATCATGATGCAACAATTGAGAATGTACCGTTTGAGAGCCCCATCACCGCGCCGGCGGGTTCGTGGGAGGTGGAATTCCGCGATAACCAGTTTCTATCCTGTGCAATAGTATCGTACTCGTATTGCAATCATGCAATACAAATCAAAATGGGGATCTCACAACACAAATCTCGTTTGGGTTTCGTGAAAGAAAAATATCCGTGGGTTTTACAGGGAAATACAGAAACACAGGTCGGTATAGACAGAATAAGTATCGGTGAGCTTGTTTTTCGATTCGTCTGCGATGCGTTGGTTTCGTGAAATAATAAACACATGGAATAGTTTACGGTTAGTTGATAGAATTTTTAAAAAAAGAAAAAAGTAGACATGCACAGACTGAAAATCATGATACAAGCACCTCCCCACTGGTGGGGAGGTGTATCCTTGAAGATGACTTATCTTAAAAAACTGTAGCCGAGGTGTGTTTCTGTGTTTTCCTGTTTTTTTTTTGGATAACTGCACTCAGGGGAAATGAGAGAAGGTGAGAGATGCAAAAGAGACGAGAGTGCTATTAGCAGCTAAAAGGAGAAAATGCCCTTGCTGCAATTTATGTTTTCTATTGTCGAAATCTCCAGCCACCGTTGGTCATGAAAAAAGTAAATAACAGGATGGCTTATATTATCATTGGCGCATTTTTATGTGTTTCCCACGCTGGCCTCTATGCCACGTGTGCTCCCTGCTGGATTCCCTGCGAGGAAAATTGCCAAGATAATATAAATCAAAGTATTAAAGTCAGATTTTAGATCTGGCAGAATACTGGAGAACAGAGACAATAGAAAATATCGACGAACACCGGCACCAGAATAAATATGAGATGACATGAATTGGAATCCGAGCTATAGACTTTATTTCATTTACAACGTATTAGCTTTGCATCTTCTGTTACGCATAACTTTGAAGTAATGCATCTAGTATATAGAGGTGTCTAAGAAGACGGGGTTGTGAGCGGCTGGGAGTAAGTTTTAACTAAAAACGGGATTTATGAACGGCTAGCTGCAACTCCTGAAAATTATACACGCTCTCGGAAGGCATGGAAATAGAAACTATATGCATTACAAACTAAGAAGCTCGCATGTACAAAGTAAAAGAAATAAAGAAAAAATATAGTAAGGTCTCCATATTTTTCCGATACGCCCACCCAAGACGCAGCCGGATACAGAGCGAGAGGACGCAGATGTGTGAGCGGGAGACCAGCTTAGATTAGACCAATAAACATGTATCCTGAATGAAAAGTGAATAATTATCAAACAAGAAATAGAAAGTAGATAGATTGAAAATTGATAGAAAAATATATAACAAATTCGACAAAAAACAGAGGACAAAATGGGGAGAAAAAATCGCAGGAAGGCCCAAACGGGAACCGAAGCCGAGATTACGATACATCTTCGTGCCAGAATATGGAATGAGCATCTACTCAAGAACAACACGAATCTGTCGGATGCAATCAAGAAGCACCCGCACAAGGACAAAAATCAAGTAGGAAAAAAAATATACGTCTGCCGGCACTGCTATGACACCTTCCCAAACCAAACAAGACACTCGGGCCACCAGACAACATGCGGCAACGAAGATCTGATCTGCGAAGACGTCAGCAGTCTAATTCTCGATGAGAATTATTTTGAAGTCATGCATGTTGATTTTGATACTGATGAGACTAAAAATACTGGCATGACAACCATTATCTGGGTAAATAATCCGAAAAGGGATCAGATGAAGCGTCATGGTTGTAGTGGCAAGTTTGTGTGTGGTAACTGCGAAATCGCGAACAGTAACAACTACCGCTTCTTAGTTATGCATCATCAAACCTGTCAGCGCTCTATAGATAGGGCGTTGAAGGTGCAGCGACTAGGTTTAGGTAGGAGCACCCGGCAGTGCTTTCGTTGCTCTGCAAATGTGCTAGCCCTGCGCGCCCATATTATTCAGCATAACAAACTTGATAATGCAAAATATGTCAGCACCAAGAAACTGATAAACTTAGATATATTTAATTGGGACGAATGTGTAGCAATGTCAGATGTAATATTGGAGGAAGCGAACTGGGGCGAGTTCCTGCCGGTGTTCATGAACGCGCAGTCGATACACACGAACGGGGTGGGGTACTACATTATTGACTACCTGGACTCCTTTGGGCCGCATGTGGTGGGAATTAACGAGACCGGGGTTTCCAACCTGGACGACACGTGGTACATCAAGCAGTTTCTCGAAATGGGGTACCGCGTCCTCATCTGCCCGCAGGTGTTGAGAAGAAAGAAGCAGGGGTGTACGATGGTGCTGATTCGGGCGTCAGTGAAACTGGTGAACATTGTGGAGATTGGCGACACGGACGGCACGGAAATGATCCACGTCCAGCTGGAGATGTGCAAGAAAATATTCGACGTGAAAGTGTTGTACGCGCAACACGGGAAGCTGGATACTACCATGATGCCAATCAGCAGTGGAGTGGTAATGGGAGACCTGAACGCACGATCGCGGATGTGGGACGTGGAGACAAACGACAACGGAAAAAAATTGGAAAAGTTTCTACGGGGGGAAACGGGAAAGAACCTCATCTGCGCGAACGACCCGAATACCAGCACGAGGATTAGCAAGACCGCGCAAACGTCTCCGGACGTAGTTTTGTACACAGACGACTTTGCAGATGTGGAGCATTTTGATGCTATTTTGCCTTTCTTCGAAGAAAAAATCTCTCGCAATGAGCTCCCGCTTGGAGAGTTGTCCCGCAACATGCATGACGGGGAAATGCATGACCTTCTTGTAGAGCTGGATGTTGATCCGACTAGTACTGAAGAACCTACAGGGACTCCTGCAAACGTCTCAATCTCGCGAGGGCAACATGAGCATGAGGGACAGATGTCAATTGCAAACGGTTTGGAGTTGCTACGGCTTGATGATGCTGAAATACCCCCTGACAGCCCCCCGCAGAGAAGAAGGTTATCTGAGGAGTCGGATTTTGCCGGTCTAAATCCTGCTGCGGAAGTTGATGAAGATGAACTTTTTGCGCTTTCTCTAGATCAGATCCCGGAGCCAGAAAGCGACATGACCTTTAGAGGAGTATCAGGAAAGCAGAAAACAGGCAAGACTGCGAAGCAGAACATGAGCAGACCAAGGAGTAAGTCAGCTACTAGCGCCAGTGATGATGGGGATGACGCGGCGGGTGAAGAAATAGGGTCATTGAGAACAGCAGTACTATCTAGAAATAGGGGGGCAGAGTCCTCCTCATCAAGTAGTGCTAACGCTAGTAGGAATGTAATGCATGCTTCTGCATCTACTAGTGTGAACGCTGATAGCTTTGGTGACATTGTGATGGGTTTTGAGTCGATGAATATTGCGGATGTGCATGATACAGGTACGGGGGGATCGAAAAAGAAAAGCATCTCAAAGTCAAAAAATTTACAAGCAGACAATAAAAAGAAAAACAAACGGAGTACCACGCAGCCTGCCCGAGGAGCGGCGAGGACCAAGAAGGCGGAGGTGGACAATACGGAACTGGAAGAAAGAAGGAGGGAAAGAAAAGCAGCCGCAGATCGAGCTAGAGAGAAAGGAAAAATGTGGCATAGTTGCTCCGATCATTGTCTTGTAGAAACAAGATTTGTATTGAAAAACGCCATTCCTGACATCCCGGACATGCATGAGTATGATGCTGAATGGGGGGGAGTATCTCTTGATTTGCATGATAGTCCGTGCATGAATGAGGAAGAAGTTGCAGACAGGTACGCAAAGAACCTTCCAAGATTTATTTTTGAAGAAGGGGTTGAAGTGAAAAAACAAAAATGGGTGGGGCCTTTCAATGAATCCATAACAAAGGTGATGCGGACTTCGCGGATTATGAAGGAGGGATGGACAAAACTGCGACCGGTTTTCGCGCAGAAGGAGCTACAAAAGTTACAGAGGGTGATCATCTCGTCTGCCAAAGAACATCTTCCAGGGAAGCGGGCTGCGAAGTCTACTGCGCCGGGAAGCAGGGATCCGAAGCGAAAGAAAGCAGCGGGAAATGGAAGTAGTGCTGTAAACGGTTCCAACGTACAGGAGCCTGCTGATGAAGGTTCTGGCGAAGACTGCGACAGCCTTGACCCGAAGAAACGGTGGGATGTAATTAATAAAACAGTTCGGGATAAGCAGAAGTGGTCAACTGGATTTCCCTCGCAACTAATAGCAAAGGAGTGCCGGGCGAAATATTATCGACGGGTAACAGGCGACCACTCTGTAGGAGAAGACGAGAATGAAAAAGCAGACAAGCTGATCAAGAAAAAGAAATTAACGCAAAAGCCAATCCCGTCCGAAGTAACATTAGACCACAGAAAAATTGTGTCCTACTTTCACACACAGTACAGAACGAGGCCTGAGCTTGTATACCAAAAGAATGGAATTTCTGGGGACGATTTCAAAGATTTGCAAAATAAAGCCTATGAAACAAAACGCGCTCTGCAAGAAATAGGCAAAAGGCATGTTGATGATCGGGTGGCAAGGGGGGACTATTGGCACCTTTCCTATGTGGAGTTCAGGTCTGCACTGCGAAGACTGGGAACGGGACGCAGCCCGGGTGACGATGGCATCGCACACGAACTCATACTCGCGATGGAAGGACTACCGCTAGAGGTGTTGTACCGCATCTACTACCTGCTGCTGAAGCATTGCAGATACCCGGACGCTGCGCGGGACATAATCCTCGCCCCGGTAGCAAAGACACCACAGCAGCCTTGGGTAGAATCACTTTTCAGACCAGTATCGCTAATATCTGTATTGGGGAAAATAATGGACATTCTACTTGATAGACGATTTTGCATATACTTAGAAGGATGGAGCTGGGTTGGTAGTCAAAGGCTCGCGCGTTCCAAGTCTCCTATGTTGCCGGTCTATTCTGTTGCTTACCGTCTTGCATTTTTTAAGGAGCTATGTGCAGTCAGAATGTTGGATTTCTTGTTCTCGGACCACTTCTTTCAAGCCGTCGGGCAAGAAGCATGAAAAGACATTCATCATCCTTAATGATAATGAGGCGGGTTTCGACGTTGTCGACCACTCAACGCTCCTCAGCACGATGGTTGAGTTCGAAGTCCCTGATGATCTTGCATTATCCGCGTTGGACTGGTTGCATGACAGGAAACAAAAAATAAGAGACCCTGACGCCCTGAGACCCAAACCAGTGAAACACGACGGCAGCGTGGTTTTCTTGTGTTTAGAATGACGAAAAATAAATACTCATAGCATCGTGATTTCGATTTCTCTTGTTTTTTGGGGGATCCGCCTCTCCACGGGGATCCGCCCGCTCCCCGGGGATCCGCCTGTTACTCGGGGATCCGCCCGCTCCCCGGGGATCCGCCTTCGCCCAGGGGATCCGCCCGTTCCCCGGGGATCCGCCTTCGCCCAGGGGATCCGCCCCTTCCCCGGGGAACCGCCTTCGCTCAGGGGATCCGCCCGCTCCCCGGGGATCCGCCTTCGCGCAGGGGATCCGCCCGCTCCCGGGGATCCGCCTTCGCTCAGGGGATCCGCCCGCTCCCGGGGGTCCGCCCGCACCCCGGGGATCCGCCTTCGCCCAGGGGGTCCGCCCGTTCCCCGGGGATCCGCCTTCGCCCAGGGGATCCGCCTGCTACTCGGGGATCCGCCCGCTCCCCGGGGATCCGCCCGCTCACCGGGGATCCGCCTTCGCCCAGGGGATCCGCTTGTTCCTCGGGCATCCGCCCGTTCCCGGGGGATGCGCCCGTTCCCCGGGGGCTCCGCCCGCACCCCGGGGGATCCGCCTTCGCCCGGGGGGCCCACCGGTTCTCCGGGGGATCCGCCCGCACCCCGGGGATCCGCCTGTTCTGCGGGGGATCCGCCCGCGCCCCGGGGGGTCCGCCGGTTCTTCGGGGGATCCGCCCTCGCCCCGGAGGGCCGGCCCGCCTCCCGCGGATCCGCGCGCCCTCGGGGGGTCCAGCCTACGAACTTTCTTTGGGGGGATCCTCCTCAGCTCGGGGGATCCGCCCTCGCCCCGGTGCGTTCGCCCCAGCCTCCGGGGATCTCCCCTTGCCAGGAGGGATCCGATATTCGTGCTTGCCCCTCGGACTGCGCCGGCGTCGCGGGGTTTCACTCCCTCCCCGACGGACACCCGGCCAGCCCGGGGCGGGTGCGCCCTTGCGCCAGAGGCTCCCGCCTTAGGGGTCCTTGCCCTTGCCGCGTTGGCGGTGGGCACGGGCACCGGCACCGGCAAACCGGCGCACATTTCTTGTTTCGGCTTGGTTCTTCCAAGTTGTCAGCGTGTTGCTGGTTGTCAAAGCGGCGCGTTGACAACCAGCAGCAGGATCGAGATGCGACAACCACACAGAAACAGGAGGCGTCCGCACAACCACCCGAGGCCTTGAGAATCGAGAGAATGCGCGCCGGTTTGCCGCGATGCCCTGCACTCGAGTGCGTTCCAAAATCTTCCAAAATGTGCGCCGGTTTGCCGCGGTGCCCGAAATCGACGCTGTGCCGGCGGGGAAAGACCGCGAAGGACGGCGCGAATCCGGCCGGAGGATTCCGGAGAGGATTTTGGAATCCTCTCAGGAATCCTCTTCCGAAATCGAGGCAATACCGCCGGGGGAAGGGCGCGGAAGACGGCTCAACTTGGGCCAGAGGGTTCCCGAGAGGATTTCGGAATCCTCTGCGGAATCCTCTGTGGAATCCGCGCCCGGAATCGAGGCAGTGCCGTCGGGGAAAGGGCGCGAGGGACGGGCCAACTTGGGCCAGAGGATTCCTGAGGGTGGGGATTTTGGAATCCTCTGCAGAATCCTCTGCGGAATCCTCTCGCGAAATCGAGGTAGTGCCGCCGGGGTAAGGGCGCGGAAGACGGCTCAACTTGGGCCACGGGATTCCTGAGAGGATTTTGGAATCCTCGGCGGAATCCTCTGCGGAATCCTCTGTGGAATCCTCCCCCGAAATCGAGGCACTGCCGCCGGGGAAAGGGCGCGGAAGACGGCTCAACTTGGGCCAGAGGATTCCTGAGAGGATTTTGGAATCCTCTGTGGAATCCTCTGCGGAATCCTCTGTGGAATCCTCCCCCGAAATCAAGGCACTGCCGCCGGGGAAAGGGCGCGGAAGACGGCGCAACTTGGGCCAGAGGATTCCTGAGAGGATTTTGGAATCCTCTGAGGAATCCTCTATGGAATCCTCCCGCGAAATCGAGGCACTGCCGTCGGCGAAAGGGCGCGAGAGACGGCGCAACTTGGGCCAGAGGATTCCTGAGAGGATTTTGGAATCCTCTCAGGAATCCTCTGCGGAATCCTCCCCCGAAATCGAGGCACTGCCGTCGGGGAAAGGGCGCGGGGGACGGCTCAACTTGGGCCAGAGGATTCCTGAGAGGATTTTGGAATCCTCTGCGGAATCCTCTGCGGGATCCTCTGCGAAAATGTGCGCCGGTTTGCCGGGGCCGCCAGGTTGCTCGCAATCCGCAGCCGACTGTGGCGATCTGGGCGCACGAGACTGCAACGCAGACGCGGCGCGGTTGTGCAAACAAACAGCAGCGGAGTCCTTGCGCGCGCCGCGTTTTCGGTTGCATTGCAACACACTTTAGCACGAGCTAAGCCGAAGGTTTCCCGGGAAACCTTAAACGACCTTGCCCGAGCGGAATCCATTGATTTCTGGGTCTCACAGCGTCACTTTCTCAAAAATAAAGACCGATGATAACTCGTGGAGCTTATCTCCCGGCATGCCGCAAGGCAGTCCTTTCAGTGGTTCTGCGTTCAATATCCATAGCCAGAAACTGATAAAAAAAATGGAGAAGATAAACGGCCCCCCGCTCGGAACACAAGGGCAGTATTCCGATGATAATAATCAAGGCGGGAGCGGAGAGAAGGAGAGGGCGACCACGGTGACGGAGGAGCTGGTGAAGGAGGGAAGGGAACTATTTATTTTTTTCGAGGGTGACAAGGCCGAAGAAATTTGGTTTGAAACGAAGCAGAACAACAACAAGAAACTTCTAGAAGCCGAGGCGAAAAATAAAGAGGTACGGGACCCAAGAGAACTTGCAGGAAGTTCATTAGGATTCTTCTTCGATGGAACATGGACTATGTCGTCGCACTATCTTATCATGTCTGCTGAAGGAAAAAAAGAAATGGCCAACGTTGCACGAATCAAGAAGCTTCGCTTCTCTTGTAGAGTTGACGTATTCCGAGCTCTTGCATACTCTGCATTTTTGTCGAATTCGGTGCCAATGTATGTCTATTTTTCGGCCGCTAACAAAGCAAAAATCCAAAAAGATGTCGCAAAAGGACTGAAATTAATGGCATTCCTACCAATGCAATGCCCAAGTGCCATCCTCTTTCATGCGGCAGCTTTACCGAGTATCACGGCGGCCTTCATTGTCGAGAACGTGATGGCGTTCTGGAAACAAGCAGCAATAGGGGCGGGAGAGATGGGAGATTATGAAGAAATAAAAAAGAAATGCATCGAGGAAAACTTCACTTCGACTTCAGCAATAGAAGCGCTCCAAAAAACATACAAACAGGCATGGACATCGATTATGCAGCGCATCTCTGTCATGTGTTTCCCGGACATACATGAAGCCCTTATGGCGCAAGGACTTAAAATTGGCAGAGTGTACTGGAAAGGGGTAAGACTCCAGGTGCGAACGATGGCGACAGTGGCGCGGGATTTTGGGTGTAGTGACCTCACCAAACTTAACGAGGAGGAGAAACAGCATCTACGGATCAGCATCGCATGGAAGCAGCAGGAGATGATCACGGGTTTGCTACGGTCCTCGATGCATCGGATGGCTACCACAACAGACGGAACGGTGGACAATCAGAGGAACCACGGCGCTGCGGCAGGAGTAACGTGGTGGCATGATGCATATCGATTGGAGGACGTAAAAAGAGATGATGGATGGGTTCTGGAAGGTAGAGAAACATATCCCGAGCCAATTGTCGTAAGCTATGCATATGTCATGCCGCCATACCACATGTCTGACTTGGTTCGGGTAGACTGTTTCGATGCTGAAGGATTTGGCTTCATCCATCATCTCGAAAAGTTGAGACTCGCACTGCTATCCTCGGGAGCAAGATTTAGTATACGCGAATTCCATTTTTTCCTGGACTCGAACTCGTACTGCGAAGCGATGGAGTGTTTTGGGGACAAGTCAAACCCGCTGGCGATTAAGGGCATGCTGCTGATGGAGGAAATTCGGGAAATATGCCTGGGCACCGCGGGTCCAGATCCGGCGGAAGGAGAAGTTCTTTTTGCGATCTACTACACGCCAGCGCACTGCGGGAACTGGTACAACGACTGCGCAGATGCCACGGCAACTAGGGCGATGCAGGAGTGGTGGAAAGGGCACAAGTCCCATCAAGATGGAGACTCGGCACTAGGAAGCGTTTACTTGAAGCAAATCACCGCCCCGCTACTGCGCCAAGTCGCGACGAAACTTGTAATGCAGGATGAGTTTTCACGGTGTAAATCGGTTTCGTCATACATGCTGGACAGGAGACAACGCCTTGGGCCTTATCGTCCCCCTGCGGGTTGCCTTAGATCAAGGGAGGCCGAATTGCTATACTTCTGGCGCTACCTAGGTATTGCACAGAAAGGACATCTTTTTTGCGACGAAATTCTGTTTGAAGGAGCGGATGGGCAGGGGATTTTCAAGCAAAAATGCGCAAGGTGTGGTGGGGTGTTCGACTGTGTAGTAGACCATGCTTTATTCACATGCCCAAAAATTGAAAGTGTCCGCCGGAGACACTTAGGACAAAACGCAATACCAAAAGAATTGGGCATGAATAAGCTAGATAGTCCGAAACTAATGCTGACTTTCATATGTGACGCAGAAGCCGGACTAACAACGGAGTACTACCGGCGGGAGGTGGCCAAGACGCTGGAAAGAACAGGCACAACTATGAACAAAACAAAAAAATCAAAACCACGGGAGCCGAACAGTTTCGAACAACATCTTCAGGAGATGAAAATCTTCAACGAAATGTTTGGCATGCGGAGAACCAGAACTGCAACAGCGGCGGGAGCATCGCAACAACTGCCGGCGGCGCAACCACATCTTCATCAGTCCGCACCAACGACTGCAGGGCAACAACCAGTACGACCAGCGGTGGAGGGAACATTGAGCGGCAGCTTGCGTGCAGGTACTGGAGCGAAGACCGTGGAGGCCGGGATGACGTCTACTACTACTTCGTCGTCGATTTCTTTACCAGTGCCTTCGCTCCAGCCAAAGGTCTCAGTTTGGGAATCTGGACAGAGAAGAGAAAAAGAGCGCATGGACCGGGTGAAGAGGACCTACGGAGGAAAAAAATGGGTGTGCACAAGCAGGCTGTTAAGTGCATACGAACTGGAAGATGACAGCAGCACGGAGTTTTACATCGAAAGGACTTTTTTCTGCGAAAACATGGGACGAGAAGAGGAACGGGTTGAGGGAGTTTGGTTTTATGTTGACAGCACAGGACTGCACCAGCCGTCGGACTCGGAGAGAAGTGGGTGGGTTGGATAGTATGGTAAAAATAAAATAATTCTTTAAAAAGGCAAATGTGAAAAGTATAATGCAAGTCTCCACTGGTAGTTCGCTTTTGTTCTATGCTTTGCACTGCTGTTTTTTTTTCCATGCCCTGTTGCATCTCTCTGCAGCCCCGGTGTGACAGTCTCCACTCGATATATATGCTCAGGGTGGACCTCGGGCCCTGGTGGACCCCGATCACCAGGTGTAGGCTTCTTTCTACTTAGTGGTGCACTAGCTGCGATTACCAGTTGAGACCAAATCTGTAATGCAGAAATGATACATGCCTTCATTATTTGTTTTTAGGTATTACTCATGATGAGATCATGGATTACCACGCTAGTTGACAGTAAAAAAGTAAAAAGGGTCAAAATGAAAAAAGAAATAAAGAGAGGTAAATACGCGGGGAACAGAAGAGGAGATGAATTTTATTTACAGAACAAGAAGGATCTGGACAAGAACACGGATTTTTAATGGAATCACGGATCAAGAGCATGATGACCAAGCACACGGGGGGAATTGTCGTGCTGATCCTGAATTTGGCCGCCGACCTGTGCTCAGAATCAGGCTGGGTATAAGAAATTCGACACACACTTGTACGAAGCGATGGTGATTACCTTTGTTCCGCTGGTAGAGTGTTGGACTCGCAGACGCGGCTGAGGGGTGTTAGCGGACCGGGACGCGGAACCAAGGCTGCAGCGGGTTCAGGACTCTATCAGTCAGGGCATAGGGGGGAGTTGCTGGTGAGATGTCACAGGCGGTCGAATGATGAAGAAGAAGGTTACGTTAAAAATACAATAAAGAAATGAGTGCAAAGGGACCACTAACATGACATCAGAAAAAATCACGCAAGTCGTATATGTGCTGCTTCTCTTTGTCTTCTATGTAGCAGGGATCAGGTCCTTGCTTCTCTGTCTGGTCTGTAGATGGCTCGAGGCTGTACTGGGGGTGCACAGTCACCATTACTCATATGTTCGGTAGGATTATCTTTTTGTCTCTTGTTTTGCTCCGATCTTCTTGGATCTTTCCTTCCCCCTTTATTTTGTAGCGGCCTCTCCCCGTTCCGTAGTCTCTCTGCCGTCAGGAGCTGCTCCATAGATCTTTCCTTTCCTTTTTTTCCAGGCCGGTGTTTGTTTGTCTCTGCTGCTTGATCTAGGTTTCCTATCTGCTACGCGCATGTGTACCTTTGTGCCCGGAAGTTTTCTTTTAAACATGAAGCACGAATATGGCGATAGGCATTGACAGACAAGACCCCTACAAAATCTTCAGTCCCGACCACCCCCAGAGTGGGACTGAAGAAATATTTTATAAATTTGCAATGCGTGGGAAAGGAAAAAATGGCGCGAGAAAATAACGACGAAGCAGCACGAGACGAGATAGCCGTAGCGCAATATAGCGATGATATTGCGGTTGCTGTACCGATGGGAGCAAGACAAGGACCGATGGGACTGGAAATGCTGCAACACATCCGACGGGTGCTAGGACAAGCAGAACCCCAAGCACGCCCCCGACATGAAGCGAGTCATCACATATTGGCACTCGACATCAACAACTTCTTCAACGCGGTGCCAGCCCATGAGCAACGGGCGGAGGGGGGCGGCGATGCTGAACGTGATGGGCAAGACGATGAAGATCAGGCGGACCAAATTGATGGCGCAGGACAAGCTGCAGAACATGCCGGGGGAAACCGAAACACGAGGAGAATTATGGGGAGACACAGCGTCCGATCACGAAGAATTTAGATACCTTCATGAGATAACTTTAATGTAGAAGTGAAAAAAGAACGGCAAGGAGGCTGACATCTGGTGGGCGCTAAACGGAAACAAAATGCGAACGAAGTGACGCTGACAGTGAAAAACAAAATAGACGAATGCTGCTGGTGACATTGTACCTGCTGGAGTATAGACGATAAAGAGGTACCCCCAAAGTAAAACTTACTCTCTTGGTGTGTTCACAAATGCTGCAATGATACAAAAACATCTACAAGAAGATAATTTATGCATGTAGTTATGGTCTTCCGCTCACACTTACCTCGGGCCGGTAGATGACCAACTGATATGGGACATACGCAATGAATCTATTAGCATAAACACAGGCTTATCATTCTGAATTCTGCATGCAGCAAGTCTTTACCTCTATTTTCTGATGCTGTTCTTCTCGGCAGCATCTATCTCTCCTTCATGTCGATGTTCATTATGACTGAGTTTTGATAGGTATGAGATGAAGGGCGATAGATGGGCCTGCGCATGACAGAGATGTTCAAGAGGAGGTAATGCAAACATAAGTGAAGTATAAGCCGAAGAATGATAAGAAAAAGGAAATGCTAATATTTCTTTTTAGGTCTGCATAAATTCGAAAGAAAGCAAGGGCTGTGGACGGGAAAGGTATATTCTGCGTAGGTCCGCTCTGCGGTCTACGCACAACTCGACGAAGATCCGGAACTTTATATGCTGTTTTATATGATGTCGGTTGTGTTTTTATATGCTGTGGATCGCATCGGATCCGGCTGGGGCAATATGATTTTGCATGTGTATCATGAGGTAGCCCACGGCGGAGAGGACCACTGTCCTCGAGTCGTTAACTAAAACGAGTGCTTTGGACGTTAACTAAAACGAGTGCGTTGCGCGGGTTTAGGGTTCCCCCGGTTTGTATCTCCCGGTGGCATGCTTTGAAGGGTTTAGGGTTTCGAAAGAATTTATACCGCATGACGCGTGACGGGAGCACGCTAAGCGCAGCGGGCGGGTTCCGTTCTCGCCGTAACACAATTCCAGAAAGAAAGAAAAAGTCTGCCCACGTAAAGGAAAACGAATCCGCGCGCTCGGCGTGGTAGCTACCCCCATGCCGTTCGGGTTTTACTTTTAGCAGCCACTGGCATCACAAATTGCGGTCTTCCGATCCTCGCCGATGATTTTCGTCTTATCTTCTTTTGTGGCCGGTGCCTTCGATTCGAGCTTGATCGCGATCTCTTGTCGACCACCGATGTCGACCTTTTGCAGCATGCACGCACAAACGGGATTTTCGAAAACGGAGGGGGGGGGGAAGGGACCCCCATTTGTTTGCCGCGGCGCGAAGCCGCAAATCTGTGGGCCACGTCTACCACCAGAAGTATTCCGCCCGGGGGCCGCTCCATGAATTGAATTGAATTGAACTGCCCCCCAGCCCTGGCAAAAAAAAAAAAAATCATGCAATGCAAATCCTTTTTCTACGGTAAATCCGCATTACAAAATCTATTTGTTTCTCATTCCGAATGAATGAATGCTGAGGAAATTTGTAATGCATTTATACGAGTGCGATACTTTTGCAGTTCATAGCTTCGCAACCTGACCGGGGTGGTGTTCTTCGCCCACGCAACTGCTCTCCGCTGCCCTGGTGGGGGAAAACCAGACACGCTAGAGTACGAGGGCGTGTCGGATGCGGACGGGGTCACTCCCACGACGTTCTCCCTGGACCTGACGGGCTTTTCCCTGGCGACCACCGGAACCTGGATTCCGCTCGGGCGCGCGGTGCGGAAGCTCAAGATCCTGAAGACCAACAACCACCTGTGTTTTTGTGGCCTATCACTCTACCGGCTTCCGCCACCCCCGGAGGGGGAGGACTCTGGGGGATCCAGCAGTTCGGATTCCGGCAGTACTACCTCGACCGAGACAACCACGCTATCAAATGTAAAAAAAAGACTCGGTCTGGAAGAATGCAACTTGTGATGCTAACTTTGGATTCTAAAAAAATCTGTATTGCATGACCAGCAAGAGCCGCCCAGTTTGTGCTACGCGGGGAGGGCATTTGCCATGCGGGATAGGCATCAGGAACGCCTCTAGTTCATGATGCTAGGTCATGCATTACAGACATCCTGAGTCATGCAAAATATGCATGACAAACCTGGTAACCTTCCAGACCCAGACATTTTTACATTTGATACACGCCGGGCGAGGACGACTTCACGCGGATCACCAACACGTTTCCGCGGCTCGCCCCCGGTGCCGTTCCGGTGGAGAAACCGCTGAAGAGCCCCTCCTGCTACGGCGGGGTGCGGCTGGAGTATGCCGGAGTATGGGACACGGTGGACAGCAGCTCGGAGGGCACGGACGAAAGTGGCGTGGCGCTTTTGAAAACGTACCCGGTCTCGAGGCAGGCACCGGCCACCACCGGCACGGGAACGGCCTTCTTCCTGACGCCCAACCCCGCACGTGCGGGGAGCTGTTGGGAGAGTGCGGCAGGCGATAGTAGCATCTACTGGAAGGTGGAATGGAAGGTGGGAGCGGGGAATACACATATCAACGCCCCGGCGATGATCCGTCTGTACAACTACGCGGCCGCCTACACCAGTTTGCCCGGCAACAGCGGAAAGGAAAATCGCTTGAAGAAGGCCCGGGTCAGAGTTAGTCGCACATTTAATATGTATGGATGGAGCTTTGGAGGGACTAATCCTGTCCTCGGTTCGTTGGACCCTGATGCGGACCCACCGGCCGCTTGTTTTCCACCGAGCCCTACGAGTCATTTATATCCAGACTGGGCAGCCGACAATTGCCGAGTGGTGGAGGATTTGTCTCCCCTGTACGACCCCGCCACGCGCTACATAGACATCCCGTTTATGCAGCACTGGCGAGTCGGGCTTCCCAATGGCGCGCCGGGTGTGCAGGATAACGGGGAGGGACCCGATACGAAGGGCATCGAGATTTCCTGGAATGCCGCGCGCCATGGAGCCCCCGGGGGGAGCGATATCATCAACGTGTGTGGATTAGTGGTCCTGGAAGATTACAGCACGCGTGTCTTGGACGGCCCGTCCGAAAAGTACTTGGCGTCCGCTCTTCCAATCGACTTGTACAACGCCTCCGAATATTCGCATGTGCTTTTCGACTGGAAAACGGAGTATGGTCCAACGCAGGAACTTTACCTGGACGGGCCCCCCTTCTACGACGACTGGCGTCCGCTGGTGGTGAACGGGACCGCAGCGGAGTTGGCCGTACCACACGTTTCCGACGGGGAGATCCTTCCTGGGTGGTGGTTTTCGTGGTACGCGGCCCACAATGGTCCCGTGGTTCTAGCCGCCCTGCTGATCGAGATCGATTGGAAGGACCAGGGCTGGGGCAACCGCAAGGGGGGTCTGCAGCTGGAGCGGGGTGGTGTGGTCTACAATGTCGAGTTCGCGCCCAAGTCGCGCCAGAAAGAGCTCCATGTGGTCACTGGCTGTGACAGCGATTTTTCGTTTCTGACCGCGGAAGAGCTTTCCGAAGGGGCGGCACGCACAAAAATCAAGATCAATCAGCGGCTCGGGCACGGCAGCGGCCACGTGCTGCACCTGCTCGACTTGAAGATCCACGGCCTCCTGCTTCCGCAAAGAAAACGCCCCGCCGCTCGTCGAGCGCTCCAAGAAGACAGAGCACCACGTACTGGTGGACACGCGAACAAGCCAGAACAAGGCAGTAGTAATACTAGGAGAGCAACAAGCATGTCGAGCAACGACCGTGAGGACGAGGACAACACTGAGAGGTCAGCGCGGAGCAGCAGACATGAGTTACGCGAGCAAGACGAACAGCGTGACCCGGATCATGCAGAAGTCTCTTCTTCGAAACCTAAGCTGCGGGGCGGGGGAGCCCCCAAAAATATGATGAGCGTGCAAAGAGAAGAACGACAAGACGGCGCGCAACTACCCCCTCCTGCACAAAATCAAAAAATGAATCAGCAGACGAGCAGAGGACAAGGACTTCCGGAAAAAGAAAAGAACAGCGAGCCTACTACGGCTGCGGCGGACCACGATGATCCCGGCGACAAGGACCGAGGCAGTGCTCGTCCTGTTGACACGGCCCGCTTGCAGGAGTATGTGATAGAGCTTGACTAGAAAGAAACCCGGCTCGTTCCCCGCCGGCAAGATCGGCCAGAAGAAGGGGGAGGCCACGAAGAGGACGAGCATGTGTGGGTACCACAGCGTGCGTTGTAGTAGTACTTCACACTGAGACTGACTATGTATCAAGAGATGTTACTGGTGTTCTTCATCGTCTTATCAGCGATCCGTTTTCGTTGTTGTTGTTGACCAGAAAACATCAAAACAAAATGCCGACGATGAAACAACGACTTTGGTGCCCTCGCAGGAGAAGTACGGGCACTCGCGTGGCTACGTCATCGGGAATGCAGCTTCCCTGCATGAGCTGGTAGCTCCTTCCACGTTGCTGCGCGAGCGTGGCTGAAGCGAGACCTTGCAGGACACGAAGACAAAGACGCGGAAAAATCCTGTTCTAAGAGGAAAAGATCCGGATTGGACACCAAGAATCAATTATGTTGGCGAGTGTTCAGATTGAAAAATCTTCTGTCAAGAAGCATGCAAAAATGGCGAGGAGCTGCTGTTTCTTGCATTGGAGCGCTGGCACCTCGTCGAAGCGGCAATCTCTTTTGGGTCCCGCGGCCATCGCACTCGACAGAAGATAGATTTCGAAGATGCAAAGATTAAGATTAACTTACAGGTACATTGGATTAATAGCCTCATGCGCCGGATCGATATAATGATCAGACCGTAAACAAAAATTATGTCGGTGGTCTCGGGACGACGGGTTTTTCTTCAGTTGCCCTTGCCCACGAAGAACCCGGTCGGCACTGGTGGTCCTGCATTTTTCCGCCTCGCTTCTGCCGTGGTGCGCCGCCCGGTGGAATCGCAGGGAGTAAATTTCGTCCCGCTGTGTTGCCGCGGCGGCCTTCATCACGGCGGATAGATCCCGTCATCCTCAGAAATTTTTCGCGCGGCCCGGCGGGCAGCGCCAAAAGAGCGGTCCCGCGTAGAAATGTGTTTCCAGCAGTTACGGTTGGGGTGCAAGAAAATTGTTCTCTTCGCGCTTGTTTTTTCTCCTTCTTGCTGAAAGTATTTCTAGACATTTTCAACACAGCAGAGAGCGCCAGCAGCTTGTTCCTGCGCAGCGTCGTCGAGAAGGTAAGGTCGAGGACTTCTCGAGGACTGCGACACCTTGACGCGCCTCCTGCTCGCTTGGGTAGAAGAAGAAGACCACGTAGAAGAAGTGCAGCTGCCACTGCACACGACGAGTCTTCAACAACAATATCACCGGTAGCTTCCGACGCAAGTTACTCCAGTAACGGGCCCCCAAAACAGGAGAAGAAGAAACTTGAAAAAAACCTTAAAAAAACTGGAGCATTTTTGATTTATGGCATTGCAAAAAGCAGAAATCAAGAGGGGCGACCGGAGGACAAAAAAAAGGCACGGAACGGACGCGATTTCCGGTTTCTAAAAATAACAATCGCGGCGGCGATTTTGAAAAACTAAGTTAGGTGAAGGGCGGGCGCAAATTAAAAATCCAAGGACTCGATCGGGAGGCTTTTTTTTCATTTTATAGCGCGCCAAAATCCAAATTTGTGCCGCAGGAATAGTCGTGCATAATTTTCACGCGAAGGCGCGCCATTTTCAAAACTTTATGCGTTCGACTAGGGGCAGATATTTTCCGCAGAAATGGGGCAGCATTTCGCACGAACTAGACGGTCGTGGGGCGCGGCTCTTCTTCATTTAGGTGGGGGCCGCCTCGATGCATTGGTTGCGCCGCTCGCGGGGATGTTCAAAATCCCTGCTTCGCACGGGTTCCGGCTGCCTGGGTGCCCGCGCTTGGCGGGCTGGTGGGGTTCTGGCTCTCGCGAGGCCTTTTTGTAGTGCCGAAGCGGCCCCACTCGGAGGGCTTGCCGGCACAGGCGGCGCAGCGGGCCGTCCTTCCCGGGTCCCCCCGGATGCCCTTTTATAATACGCAAAGCCCCGCGGCCCGCGCGACTCTGCGCAAGCAGCATCTGGGCCCCTAGGCTTGTATGCATAGGGGTGCCCACGCGTGTGGGCAGGCGGCCCGTGCTTGCGCGCCGTGTTTGCACGGGTTCCTTCGATCCGGTCTCGAAAATGAAGAAAATCAAAAGTGTCACACCATCGGCCGGAGGGTGTGATACTTTTTGCCGCGGTGCTGTCATGGATGCAAAAAAACACGCAAAACCGGCGTCGACCATACCATTGGCTCTAGGGTGTGATACTTTTTGCCAGGATGAGTCCACGGAGGCCGAAAATGGCGAAAGCGGCGCCGACCATGCCGTGGGCTCTAGGTTGTGATACTTTTTGCCAGGCTGCTACGGCGTTCAAACTTGCAACCCGGGGAAAGTGTTGGCGAAAATGCGCCACCTCCGCCGAAGCATCTCGGCAGCAGGCGAAAAAAACTTGGATCTGGCGACGTTTTTGGGCCAAAATCTGAAGGGCCCCGTCCACCATACCACCGGGGCTAGCTTGCGACGGCTTCCAAGCACGCGACCCGGCTTGCAAGTTTATTCCAAGTTTATTTCAAGTTTTTGTTGCGATTCCGGCCGCCCGCGGGCGTGCCCAGTTTTGGGCCATTTCCTGAGGCCTGTCCACGAGCTGACGGAGCCGATTCGCGAGTCGCAAAAGCGGCGGCGCCTTCCGAAGGCGCCGGCCGAACTTGGGAAGGGGGGTAAATTCCTGAATTTTGGTGGTTTTCTTCGCCCATGGTGCCGCCGTGGTAAAAAGTATCACACCCTGGCGCCGATGGTACTGCTAACGCAGGTTGCCGCGATGGCGAAAGCGAAAAGCCTCGCCCGCGTGCCCGCCCTGCCAAAAAGTATCACGCCCCAGCGCCCATGGTATGGCCGGCCGCGCTTCCCGCCTGGCCGCCCGGCTGCTTGCTAAGCACGCCGCGCCCGCTGGCGCCGCCGGCCTGGGCGCGGCCGGCCCCCTCGCCCGCCCCGGCGGCCCACGGCGTTGGTTCGTGATTTCTACCGGCGCGCCGCGGCCGCACGCTCCAGGCCCATCGGTTGCGCCGGCCACCCGCCAGGGGGGGCTCCGACGAGCTGTGCGCGCGGGCGCCTTGGGCTATTCCGGACAAAGGAAAGGGCGAACCAGCGCGCCACCCCTAGCGCCCAACGCCGCCCGCCCGGGCTGGCCGGCGCGCCCCCTCCGACCGTACGGCCTGCCGGTCTTTTTGGGGTATCAGGCTCGGCGGCCTTTTCGGCATTGGCCGCCGCTGCGCGAAGCGGTCGGGCGGGCTGATTAGCGGCGGGCGCGTTTTTTTTTCTGGGTATCTATAACGAAAAAGCAGCGAAGGCGGCACCCAAAACAACCTACGCCCGGTCTGAATCTCGACAATAGGCAGCTTTGGTTGGAGCGGCCAATTGTCCGGATTCGGGTCGTGTTTTGATTTCAAAGCAAACGGGCATTGGTTCCTGGCACTAAACGTGAGAAACAGTATGAAAATGCACAAAAAGCGTCGCACCGTTCCGCAGCTTGTCCTCCTGTTGTTGGTTTCAAAGTTGGGCGCGTCACACTCACAGGCGCGCTCACAGAGCAGCTTACGTTGAAGCTGTCGCGACCCTCGCGAATATGGGTCGCGCAAGTCTTTGGCAACTTAGTTGCAAGTTTCGATCTCCATAAAATTGGGGGTCCGTTCCACCAGTAAGCAAGAGGAACTGCGCCACCCATGTTCTCGTCGCTCAGTAGAGCGAAGAAGAGTGGTCTTCTTGTCCACGACGGAACGGTGTCGACAAGAAGTGTCGTCTTGCCACCAGCACGGCGGGGGCTTAGTTCAGTAGTTGTGGATTCTTTATTCCGCCAAATCCAACCGCAAGGAGCATGCTTTGCGATTTTTCGCAAGATGAACATGAGCAAGAACCAGTTGAACAAGATCAACATGAAGATTGGGGATGAAGCACAACATCAGGGTTCAGGACCGTACAATTCCTTTCAACATCTTCACAAGAACATTCTTTCCTGCTCTCTCGTCGTGCTGCAGAGCCGCGGGTTCGCGGGGCGGGCGGGCGGGCGAAAGAGGAAGCGGAAGTCGGACGTGGTGAAAACACCGCAGCTATCAACTGCAAAAATGTCTGGGTCTGGAAGATTGCAACTTGTCATGCTGTTTTTAGAGTCTAAAAACATTTGTAATGCATGACCAGCAAGAGAGGCGCAATCTGTGCTACACAGACAGGGCATTTCTCATGCGGAAGGTGCATCGGGAAGCCCTCTAAAAGTCTGCAATGCTAGGTCATGCATTACAGGCATCATGGGTCTGGGTCATGAGAAACATGCATGACAAATCTTGCATTCTTCCAGACCCAGACATTTTTGCATTTGATACCAGCAGAAGACGGAGCTCGGCAAGCGCATGGAGTTCTACTGGCCCAAGGAGGCGCGACGGCTCCGGGTGGCACTTACAGAAAACAGTCGACTATGCATTTTTGCAATAAGTTCGTACTTATGAAGTATGAATTTTTGCATGACAAATTTTTTCAAGAACAACAGAAATGCGATTTGTGTTGCTGGATCAGACAGAGAGTTAAATTTGTCATGCATGAAGACTGCAATTTTTACCAAGTACGAGTGCGATAATTTTGCAATGAATATCGACAGCACTTGGTCTACGACCACCGCTTCAAAACCTGGATGACGATGTGGTACAAGGACGGCATGCAGGTGTATGACACTGCACAACTCCCCCTCCCCCTCATTGGTATAATTGCATGAACAGCAACACAAACGCCAGCGACCCTGGAGCCTGTGCATGACAGATATATCTGTGCCTACTGTAATACTGTTCGGGCTTTCGAAATTTGTCATGCAAACAGTGCCACAGCCACAGGGCAGCGACCGGATTTGGGATTTTGCATGACAAATGAGGGGAAGGCGGAGTTGTGCACTGTCATAAAGTATTCAAGCGGCACGGGGGGAACCGCGCGCGCAGCGAGGGTTTTGAGCGGGCGCGGATGCGGGCGCTGCTGCTGTACAAGCAGCTGAAAGTGGCCAACAAGCTGGGAAAGCCAAAGCCCGACGTGACTTTCTCCGGCTATGGCGTTCTCAACTGTTACATCCTCAGCTGTTACATGCATTTGTGATGCAAGAATGGCAAAAGTAACAGTAAGTAATAGAGAGGATCTTGCGCGTCTTGGATGACAGATTTGGCGCCGATTGTCAGCCTGCTTGGCCCTCTGAGAATTTGTCATGCGAAGCAGCTTGATGGTGTCGCTTCTGAAGGCAATTTTGCATGACAAATCACGCAACAGCTGAGAACGTAACGGTTGAGAACGCCATACCGGCGTGCGGGGCGTGATCTGGGACCGCGTCGAGCGCGCCTGGGTTTGCCGGTGGGGCGAGTCTATGGCCGGCAAATATGTCTGGGTCCTCTGAAAGATTGCGAATCTTGTAATGCCTGTCTGGCACGACTGTGAAGTTTGTGATGCATGTTGCGAAAGAGCATACCTCTTTTGTATTGCAAAATACGATTTCTCATGCGAGTACGCAAGACAGGGCTCGCCAAAAACTTGTCATGCTACGGGTCCTTTACAAAACCCAGCTTAGCATGACAACTTTCCAGACCCAGACATACTTGCAGTCGATAGAGGCCGGGCTGCAGCGATGGCACGCCTTCCCCGTCAACGCGGAGACGCCCTTCCAAGAGGCCTACACGCAAGCGGTGCGAATGCGCCTCCAAGTGCTACAGCGCAACCACCAATTCGTCATGCAGCGGACGCGCTGGAAAAACTTGCGGGACTGGCTCGGAACCAACAAAACCTAGGCCCTACTAGAAACCTCCCCTAAGGGGAGATTTCTGGGAGTACTCAAATAATTTCTGGCGCGAAGATGAACTGGGGCACTACACGCGAGTCCGAAATTTTCTCTCTCTAGTGCGGTCCTCCTGTTAATATGCGACTTTTCTCGCAGTTCAGGATACTACCATTGACACTCGGAGCGAAGCCGCAACAGATACCAAAGCATGCTTGATCATCTTTTTCCGTACATAAAGTGTTCGTTACTACCAAATAAGTACTAGCACTGGCTCCATGTTGGGGGTTATGCCGATCATCATACGTGAACGTCGTGAAAACGCAATTATGCAGCTCTAGATCTACCAAGCTGTAATTGCATTGGAAAGTTCTCCTGTGGTGCGATCTGTACGGACACGATGATAATTTTCAGACCTGCACGTGAGATGATGATGACCCCTGTCGAACTCTTTGTGAAACTAATTGCCCACCGTCTGCAGCTCAAAGTTTCGATCTGTTACTGCTTGATGATCCTGTTCTTGCAACTATCACATAGATGCAGATCTTGAGGCATCATGTCTGTGAGTATGTTTATCCGGGTTGACATCGGAGGAGAAGCGGCTCAAAGGGGTCAGGTGCAGATGCGACAGCTGCAAGAAGAGTAGTAAGGTTTGGAGCTTCAAGGACTTCTCTTGTCTTCGCTTGGCCTTCGTACACATGCGTGAGATCAAGGAGCAGGCTGTGGTACAAGAATTCAAGCAGCAGGTCACCGCAAAGCTGAAGCAGCGACGCCCCCCGGAAGCTCCCCGCCCTCTTGTCCGCCGCCAGCGCGTGGACCCGCTAGTGCGTGCGAACGAAAAACGGAAATTGATCGACGGCGTCAGAGATCTTGTGCTCCCGCGCTACATTACGTTCACGAAAGATGAAAAACTCCTGGTCAAAGTGCCTCTGAAGGACGACCAAGGTGAGATGTGGCACCCGACAAAGACGCTGAAGCCTGAGGCGTATGGGAGCCCGGGCGCGGCTCTGGCGCAGGCGATCGAGTACCGGGACGAGTTTATCAGCACCCGCGACCAACAGATTTCGAGACTCAAGCGCCAGCGTGCTGCACGGGAAGCGGCGCGCGCGGACCCGCAGTAGTAGTAGTTGCAGACGCACACGCAACACGGCCCTCACACACGACGACGGAGCAACTTTGGTAACACTAAGCCCCCCAGGATGAACACGCGGTAAGTGATTTGTGCGTAGCAAATCACGATGCTATATGCGAGTTCAGCCTGTTCTTTTCCATCGATATGCAGATATACGAACGAGCGGACGTGAGGGCCGTGTTGCTACAGGAAAGAGGAAACTGAGGCTGGTCTAGTGTTCTACAGAAAGAGCGTCGCTTGCTAAAGTTAAATTTTCCCGCGAATAAGCCAGTAAAAACGTCTCGCCTGGTCCGCATGCTATGGTCCTAAAAGTACGCGAAAAAGTTAGTTCTCATCACTACAGAAGCTCGCCTGGTCCCCATCTAAAAATGTAGTTTTCGCCAACGAGTATAATTATTGTAACAAAAATGCTAGTTCTCAGTCAAGGGCGTAGTATGTCTTGTTTTTTCCTTTACCTTTTATCAACGTTGTTTATCCATCTTAAGTCAAGGCACAGGTAGTGGCTCACTGTAGCTCTCGTTCCTCTTTTTCTCTCCACTAGTCCGTCCAGCTTTTTCTTTATCTATCTATCTAGCTTTCACTGGGGGTCTCTTGAGTTTCTCTCCAAAAAACTGTTGCACCGCCGCACCAACGAGTGCGAGCATACCAAACGGTAACGAGTATCCCCACCTGTGCACGAGTATATCTCCACTTGGGGAAAGAAGCGCCTGTGTGGGCCGGGCGGTTTTGGTGCACTAGGGAAGTTTGATAGAGGGGTTCAGGGTTACTAAATCGGAAAATGAAAATGAAAAATTGATCCAGGCCGAGGTGATGTTGCATGCCGTAGTTAGGAATTTGCATACTAGGACCAAATAGTTGTAAGTGACTGATAACTTAAACAGGGTTTTAGGGTTAAAGACGTGGTGCTCCCGTCAGGCGCGTGAAGTTATTTCGTTGGCCAAGTAAAAGACTTTCAGCGTTCTTGTCGGGTTTATGGCCTAAGTTTCCCTGTCCCACCCAGTAAGCATGAGCGATTTCAGGCCGGGGTTTTGTATTATCGCGGGGGGAGGACAAGTTCGCTGTTAGCCGCCTCTACTAGAATTTAGTATGCGTGGTCAAGTTATAGCTCATGAATAGCTCCAGCTGCACTCTTAAAGTTCTGGAACGCCGCCCGACAGCCGAGCCGAGCCGTAATATTCTGATCTGATCTGACGTAGTATATGAAGAACAAGGAGAAACTTTAACTTTTTCAAAAACAAGAAGCAGAGCGAGCTCCTTAAGCGAGCCAAACAGCAGACATAATTCCCTCTGGCAGTAGTACGATGCTATCACGATGCATTTTGGTCTTCCAACAAGATCTATTAGTGGACCGCATCGTCGACTAAAGTAAGAAGAAGAGGTACAGATTGATAATTAATGATGAATTAATCTTAATTATTACGCTTACCGTACTGTGAAGTTTAAGTTAGTAGATCTGATCACCGCAAGCGCAACGCGACCACTATCAATCTATACACCAGGTTCATTCTATCTCCATAATTCCGCTCTCTGCTGTCGCACGTGTCGTCGTGAGACGGGTATATTATAATAAGTACGTTACTTTTTCCAGAAACAATAATATCATCATCAACCCGCATAAAAAATACGTAAGCTTCTGAAACTAGCGTATCCTGCGAATAAAGTGATGATGAGCGAAAAGATGATCTGCACGTCCTCGCACACGTCCGGCCCGCGCAAAAGCAGTTTTTTGCCGCGCGGTACCAGTACAACCGTCGTGTGGTCACTATGGCGTTCTCAAACGTTACATTCTCAACTGTTACATGAATTTGTCATGCGGAAATACCATGATCATCCACAAGATCAAGCTGCTTCGCATGACAAATTTGCGAAGGGCTAAACAGCAGCAAAATCTGCACAAAATTTGTAATGCAAAAGGCGCAATCTTCCTCCGTTGATTTTTTCCATTCTTGCATCACAAATCCATGTAACACTTGAGAATGTAACAGTTGAGAGCGCCATAGTCACGAGCGCGTCGTGCCGTTGCGCTCCTGTCCGTGGCCGGTACGACACTCCTCTCGTCCCCCTGGTCGCCTTTGTTGGAACATGAATTCGAGACCTCCAAAAATTTTGTCGGGGCCGTGCAACTGGCAGGAAAATTTTCCCCGAGATCTCGGGTCGGCGGTCAGGAAAATCAACATCAATCTCAGGAACCACTGAATGCTTCGCAGCTGAGCGTTCAGGGGCCGTTTCAGCTGCAGAACCCCATTCCCGCGGACCAGCACCCGGATGAGTACACGGGGAAAGGCGACTTCAAGCTGGTGCCGCACACGCTCCGGCTGATGCAGGAACAAAAACTGCCGGGTCCTTTCTACATCGCCGCTATCCACGGGGTGCAGCGCGCGGGAAAGAGCACTTTGTTGTCCTTTCTGGCCCGCCGCATCCTGCAACTGGAGGTCGGGGAGAAGAAGTGGGAGCAGGTACCAGTATACAACTGATGTAGTACAACTTCTGTAGACCATATTATCGGTATTCTACAGCTAAGCCTAAGAGTCGTTCTTGATGTATCTACAGCTAAGAGTGGTAAATGATGTAGTAAGCTAGTCCACACCACCTCGGCAATGGGAGATGAAGGTGTTCTTGAGATCGATGTGGTTGATCAACACCCGCTCATGTGGTTCCGCGACGAAAGTGAAACAACGGCCCCTGGTTGAGTCACAGCTTTAGTCTTGTATGTTAAAACTCAATATAATCTGTAGTATGGCGTAGGGCCGCCAGGAGCGCGAGGAGGACCTCCGCAGGAACATACTGGTACAACAGCGGGACGAGCAGACCACTAGGTGGTGCAAATACCAGCAGATCTTCGTGAGAGCAAAGTGCGGTAGTACCAGGAGCTTCTAGCTGTACAACTTGCACAGCTTCTCTTGCACAGTACACACTTGCACAACTTGCACAAGAAGGAAGTTCTTGTGCTGAAAAATGTGCACAACTTACTATGCCAACGACGAGTACATCAACATCTTCATCAATTTGAACTTAAGTACATGATCTCTCAGGTGCCGCAGCAGGTGCAGAAGTATCGGTTCGCGACCTCCAACCAGCTGACGTCCCACACCAAGGGCCACTGGATCTGTTGGTTTCCCTTCCGCGGCGGCACCATGATTCTGATGGACAGCGTATCCTGAGTAAAAACGTCCCCACACCAGAGTTGTCATGCAGATTTGCATTGACAAGGTCAAGGACATTTGTGATGCGCATACCCATGGTAGCCATTTCCAATCGTGTTTTGGAATTTGTGATGCTGTGAACAGGATAAGCAGATGGATCTGTGACGCGGCTGCACTTGCTAACCTGCACTACGCTATGGAGTGCAACTTGTCATGCGTGACTCACAAAACTCCTAGGTTTGTATTGCAAAATCCCCATCCTGACTCTGGTGTGGGTACGTTTTTACCCAGGATACAGCGAAGGGGCCAGCAACCCGGGCCGCGACGAGAAGTTCGACCCCAAGCTGTTTTCTTTCACCTACGGCCTGGCCAGCGTGGTCATGTTCCGCCCCGAGAGCTATTACAATGAAAAACGCCCCCTCCGCATATCAAAATGGAAATCTGTGATGCAGATTTGGGGTCACAAATCAGCTCTGTATTGCAGAGAGGCATTGCGGCCAGATCCCCCGGCTAGGTAGGCGCGTATGGGTCTAGTTGTTCAGCATGGCAAACGGCTCCCCTTTAGTCCCAAGAGCATGACAAATCGCTTGCATAATGGGGCGGACGCTTCTGCCCTCGTCTCCTTGCAAGACAGATGTGATTTGTGGCCTCAAATCCGCAACGCAAATTTTTGCAAACATACATTTTCGATATGGGGAGGGGGGATTTTTCCTCTCAATAAGAGCCGCATCAACGACCGCACCGCGCTCCGCATGCTCACCGTGGGGCTGGAGGTGGCGCGTCGCGCCCTCACGGCCACCCAGGCCGCGGCCTGCGGGAAGCCGTCGGTGCCCAAGACCACGGGGGGTGGAGCAGCTAGTGCTACAGTCGACCCAGATGTAGACGAGGTGGCGAACAAGTTCCGAAAGATTTCGATGCAGACGGGTGGAGGAAGTTCTGCTGGCTCAAACGGAGCAGGAGCAGCGGACTGCGACAAGACGTTGATGATCTTGCTCCGGGATTGCGCGTGTGAAGGGGGCGACATTCCGGAAAACTGGGTGCACCACCGCGAGGCCTGCTGCGACGCCGAGAACGGGTCCTTGTTCACCGATCCACCGGGGGAGAAGTCCTCGGCGCCGAGCGGGTGGACCAAGGTCGACGGAGTAACATCTTCGGCTCCTTCGGCCGCGACGAACAAGGCGTCCCGATACCCGCTGCATATGGAGCACATCTTTTTGTTCCCGAACCCCTTCGAGGACATCGAGACGAAGCAGTTGCGGGTCGCCGCCAAGAAGGACCTGGTGGCGGCCTACGACACGGTATCAAAGTGAAAAAAGGCCCCACCCCATATCAAAACGAAACTTCTGATGCTGGATTTGCGTACACAAATCAGATTTGTCTTGCAGTAGAGGCCTGCAGGCCCATATCATGCCAATATAGAGAAGTTTTGGCCTAGGCACTTAGCATGGGGAACGCCTATGCTCTAGGACCAACAGCATGACAAACCGCCTGCATAATGGGTCGGAGCCCATGCCGTTGCTTTCTTGCAAGACAGACGATTTGTGGTCACAAATCAGCATTGCAAATTTTCTGAGACGTTCCTTTTCGATATGGGGACGAGGGGGGATGTTTCCTTACGATACACGGACCCGTCGGCCATGAGCGAGGAGTACGACGAGGTGCTCAACCGGCTGGTCAAAGAGGTGGTGAAGCACGTGCGCCCGCTCGCCCTCGGGGGCACCACGGTCCGCGAATCCTGGCAGCTGGTGGATTTTATGCGCAATTCCCTGATCAAAGACTGCGCCAACGACGACGCGTTTCCGAACATCCCCCAGGGCGCCAAGGCCATCCAGGAGGCCTCGCAACAGAAGCTGCGACAGGAGCTGGAGGCGCTGGTGCACACCTGGTACCAGGCGGAGATCGCGCCGCACGGGGTATTTCTGGACGACGCGGAACTCGAGAAGAAGATCGAGACCGCGATCGGGCAGGCGCGCGCGCAGTGGGACGCCAAGGTCTTTGTGTACGACCAAAGCGCGGCGGAGCAAGCCTGGGCGGACCTGGTGATGAACCTGCAGGACCGGCAGTTCGCCGGGATGCGCAAGCAGAACGCGGACGCGAAAAAAATGCTGTTCCAGAACGACCTGATCGCATTCAAGCAGTCTGGCTCCGCGCTGTCGCAGGACGGAAAATATGGATTGCAAAAATGTCTGGGTCTAGAAACTTGTAATGCTGCGTTGGGATTAATGATTGCTCTGTAATGCAAAGCCAAGCATGAGAAATATCTGCGCTTCTTCGTGTTGCGTTTTTCGCATGAGAAACTGCGTTTTTGCATGACAGGAAAAAGGGTCTCTTCTTGGACACGCATCACAAACTTTTTTCTCATGCCAGACAAGCATGACAAATCTCGCAATCTTCCAGACCCAGACAATTTTGCATTTGATAGAAAGTTCGACGTTGGCAACGGGGACTCCTGGCCGCAAGACAAAAACATGCGGGTGCAGTTGGGCCAAGGCGGGAAGGAGTCCGGTCCGGGCGAGTACACGGGTCAGAACGTGCAGATCGAAGAGCTGGGCAGCGCCCGGTTTCGGGCGGAGTGTCAGGAGGAAATGCAACAGCAGCTGGTGGCGAAATGGGAGAAGCAGGGACCATATGCATTGCAAATGTATCGCACTAGTAGTAATCGCATTTACAAATTGGCTCAGCATGACAAATGGAATTTGTGATGCTGTTTTGCCTTGGGATGGAGATTTGTAATGGTGCATGGCTGCGGTTACTACGAGTGCGATGCTTTTGCACAGGATAGGCCAGAATTTTTCGCGCCCAAGGACCGGAAATCTGTTACCAAATGCAAATATGTCTGGGTCTGGAAGATAATGCAGGTTTTGCATGACCAAGAGTGTCTGACATGCAGGACCAGCGTCACAGGTTCTTCGAGGGCGTCACGATGCCTACTCTGCATGAGAAAATTGTCATGCAGGTTTTCCATGACCCATGAGGTCTGGCATGAAGGACATAGCAGGAGAGATTCTGTGAGAGTTCTACCATGCCTATCCTGCATGAGAAACTGCCTCTCGATTAGGTCAATTGCGTCTCCGCATGACACATTGCGTCTCCGCATGCAGCAGTTTTGTATTGTGTTCCGACCATGTGTCCTAGATCCTCTCCTCATGCGTCCTTCTAGATCTGCGCGCGCTCCACACACACACACACACACACACACACACACACTTCAATGATCACAGTAGTTAGACCTTGGTAGGGGCGAGAGATCCTTATAAATGTTTACTAGCGTGAGGAGAAAACCTCCATAAAAAATCTTCATGTTTTTTTTTACTAGCGCTAGCTTTACTACCCTTGTAGACTTTAGATGCCGCCCCGTACATACTTTCATACTGCGTCGCCTATGTTTTGCGCGACAGCCCCTTTTTTGGCTGGTTTTCCTTGTGTTTTGCGCGGCAGCCCTTTTTTTTTTTTCTTCTGGCTGGCTGGAGATCCTTTTGCGTAGGGCCCCTAAAGTGGGCAAAAGAACGAAGAGACATACACAAAAATGGAGCGACCGAAAAGTGGAAAAGAAGACGGGGGGGGAAAGTAATAGAAGAAAAAAGGAGAAGACTTGGCTGGGCGGGGCAAAAAAGAAAAAAGGAAAGATGGGCGGGGGCATGGGTTGAAGGACAAAAAACACAAGAACTGCAAGTGTCTGGGATTTTGCATGCCAGGAGATTTATTAGTAGAGTGGCAGGGTTGTTATTTTAAAGACTGCGCTAAGGCAGCGCCCCCCTTCTCCAAGGGGTCCCCCCGGGGCGGGCGCGGTGGCGGCTCTGCCAACGCGGAGCTTCAAAGTCCGACTCTACCTATGCGCATACAAAGGGCGCGCGGAAATAGGTCGGCAAAGTGCTTGAAAGGGGCATGCTTTGGGGTTGCCCGTCATCGTGATAGGGTCAATGTGTGTGACCAATAGGCCCCCCCTATATCTAGCGCGCAACCGACCACAGAAGCAGTAGCGTCCAAAGTTTGTAAGAATAACCCAACAGGGCAACACTGGGGCTCCACCTTGCTCGCGGGCTTGGATGGTAAATCAGGTCAGCCACATCTAGCGCCCACTGGCTGTGCGCACGCGTAAGAAATCGGAAACGGTTCGGCGGATGCGGTCGGGTGGTACCTGTAGGACGTGGAACGGGTGTCCACCTAGGGGCATTGGCAGAGGCTAAATCTGTTCTAACGCCACGGTATTGGCAGAGGCTAAATCTGTTCTAGCGCCACCCTGACAGGAGTCAAATGTCAAAGCGATGCGATGCGATACCATTGCCAAAAATAGTACACAACTTTTGCTGTTTGTGCAAGACAGATTTTTGTGTGATCTGGAATGCGCATCACAAGTTGCAACCTTCCAGACCCAGACATATTTGCAATGCATATCCGTTGAACAGATGCTGGCAGACGAGACGCGGAAGCTGCAGCTGCGGAACCAGATGTTAGGTTGAGAGTGCACAGCTCGTGGTCCCCCTCATGATCTCCCTCATTTGTAGTGCATATGCAACAAAAGTTGTACCTCCTTCACCACTTGCGTTGAAGCACTGTTCGCAGGACAAAGTTCGTAACCTGAACCAGTACACCTACAGTCCCCGGGTATAATCGAAAGTTTGTCATGCGGAAGACCATCCATTTCTGCCGTTGCTTGTGGTGCCGTTGAAGCATAATTACAAATGAGGGGGAGCAATAAGGGGTGGGGTTCTTGTGCATGGTCATAGATCTCCTGCGAGGTGCTGAAGGCTGCGGCGCGCACGCGGGACCAGGTGGAGAAAGGCCAAATTGCGGCCGAGGAGAGCCAACGGCGCCAGGAGGAAATGATGCAACGCCAGGAGCAGATCCAGCAGCAGGCCGCGCAGGAGCGCGCGGAGGCGACGCGGCGCATGATGGACGCGCAGGAAGCCCACCAGTCGGCCATGTCCAGCATGCAGCAGCAGCACGCGCAGGCCAACGCCGCCATGCAGCAGCAGCTCGTCGAGCTAGCCAACCGCCCGCCGCCGGAGGTCCGCGCCATCGAGCGTGGCGGCGGGGGCTGCGAAATCATGTAAATCATGATAATTTACTATTAGCGCCTGTTGTATACCTCCTCTACCGATCAGTTTTCAGTACAGCAGCTACTGTGCGACCACGTACAGCTAGGTCTCCGGATGTCGGGCACAAACCAAAGGTAGCTGTGGTCGTATTTGATATGGTTCAGCGGTAGAACGGTATTGATATAAACGTTTTTGTTCAGATTTTTTGCGAATATCAGACGAACAAAATGTAAATGATATAGAAGTGTCACCTCCAACGAAGAATTTTTCTGGAGGGACGTCGCTGATCTAGTTGCACATAGAAAATTTTTGTTGTAACATCAATATGTTTCAAATTACGCCGTAGAATAAGAACTTTGTAGAAACAACTAGAAATATTACCCTTGTACATTTAGATTGATAGCGTAGGAATAAGCTACAAACTCACCAGTCTTCTTTCTTTGTTGTCTCTGTACGATTCACTGATGGAACAAGAAAGGACTAGAACTAGTACGCGCTCTATAGTGTCGTGTCGAGGAAAAGTCGTTTCACGAACCCTGCTGCCGGGAAGCATGGGCGGATGGATCGAAGGGGAGCTGCACTCAGGTTTTTGAGTCCACCTTCCCCCGATCATATGTCTCTCATCTTCGCTGTGTTGAGGTGGAAATAACGAGATAGATCGGTTGTACTTTTCAGAATTGCACAACTACAACATCCATGCCAAATGAAGATGACGCAGACAGATGAAGAAAAGTTTGTGCTGACAAACATACTGGTCGTGCTTCGCACTCAAGCAAACTTCTTTTATTTCGTTTTCTGTGTTCGTGGAAAGACATGACAAGGAAGAGAGAGATATCGTAGTTGTTGTTTTTGTTGAACTAGTGTTTTTTTTGTTCGCTCACATGAGGATCAGAAACTGAAGGTCTTTGGTCTCCCCACTGAATTATGTACGTCAATCGTTCATCAAAAGATTTTTTGTGTGCATGTTTTCTGGAGATCCAGATTTCCTCCACTCGTTCGGTTACTGCTTTCATCGAAGCGTATGATTTACAGCTTGGACGCCCATTAGATATAGGGGCGGCGAATTTCCAGTGATTTTAGAGGTGGCGCACAATTGGGGGGCTGCTCTTTCGGGTATTAGTGGTTCGTGGGGCAAGGGCTAGCAAAAATAGAGGCGATGGCAACACTGTGCTCGTCATTATCGCTCCATTACATTGATGGCCATCCCCCTCCGCGCAACGCCCAAGCCACCACATCTGATTTCTTGTTTTTTCGCAAAGGGATTCATTTGATGGCTTCAGGATTTTCTCCTTTCCTTCTTAACCCTTCAACTTCCGTGTCCCAATTTTGGGCAACAAAAATCGCACAAAAACAGCACTTCCATCGGGAAAGGCTTCCATTCAAACATCAATCACCATGGTGTGACGAAGATGACTTTTTTGCTAAAAATCATCGATGCGGAGTGCCGTGCTGTTTCTTTGGCGCCAAAAAGCAGGTTAAAAGCACCCCCTTTCCCGATGGTGTGCTGCGATCGGTGAATTTAGCGGTGAGTTTAGAAATGGGCGGCCGGTGAATTTAGGAAATGGTGGCCGGTGAATTTAGCTTCCCGCCCCCCACCTGATTCTGGATTCCCGGCCGCCACAAAACAAGCATCCATCTTGCCCTTCATTTCTAAATTCACCGGACCCAAAAAATCTGATCCAGAACAATGGCCGTCGCATTTGCTCAAGAAAGTGCCAAACCTTTGGAGCATGCGCGCACAAATACGAAACGACCGAAATTCTATTGCGTCTTAAGGTCGCGCGAAAAATCAAATTAATGCCAAACAGCTGTTAAACAAACCCTCGATATCTTGGCTGCCAAACAGCTGTTAACCGCCCAGGAGATACAACAACATCGAGAGAAGACGAGCAGAACGAAGCAGCATCTCCCGGAGTTATCGCATATCCCCATCTTCTTGCATTATTGTCCAACGGTATTGATCAAGCGGGAGCGCGACCGTGAAGGGCAGGCACTAGAAGACAGGACGCGGGGCCTGGTATTACAACATCGCTGCCGAGGACTCCAGGAATTCGCGCCATTCTTCGGGGGGTTCGCGAACTTCATCTATGAATTCCACGACATCGACCCGCTCGCTGAGTTGATCATTGCCAGACCTACGCACAGGAAGGATCCTTGTCGGTAGTGATCGAAACAATAACGCTCTCCCAGTGCGGGAGAAGAGCGGAGACCTCATTTCTTCCGGGCCCGCCACAACGCGCTGTGGTTGAAGCACGCACACCGGCAGCAGCTCCTGACGTACAGGGTATCGCCTGACTACTACCATCTGGAACAGCGGACAGCTATACAGGACCCCGAGGTAGGAAGAACCGAGTCCGCGCAGCGGACCTAGAGCAACAGTGTGAAGCGGCAAGGAAAGTAGGCCGCAGCTTCCCACCCGAACGCAGGTGACGGAAACACCAGACACAGCCCCCAGAGGCGCGTTTGCCTCCAGACACGACCGGGCGACTCTTTGATGCCGAGGGCGCAACCCGGAGACGCAGTGAAATTGGAGCACGCCGCTGGGTCTGAAGACGAGCGGCGGAGGCTATACGCCGGCGCACATTCCGGCTTGCCGGGTTACATCTTTAGCCCCCAGATCCTGTTTCCATGTGTACATGTTTTCTGGAGATCCAGACTTCCTCCACTCGTTCGGTTACTGCTTTCATCGAACAAAGAGAGAAAAAGCGCGCAACACGAATAGAAGCGCGGAGGCCTGTTTGTTTTGGGGCGGGCAAATCGGCGCAGATGATAGCGAGAATTTGCGGCAAAATCCGGGGCCCATCATGTTGCGCTGGCTGGCACGCGGCTGCTTTGAGGGCGGAGGGCACACCACTCGAAAAGACCCCCAAGCGGCCGCGTGGCGCCGTCAGCTCGCCTACCCCTGCAGCCGAGGGGGGCTTTGCATTTGGGCGCGCGCCCCGGTCGCACAGCCGAGAAAACATCGAGGCCACTGGCAACACCTAAAAACGCCTGCGCCAAAACCCGGGCCCGACCCGAGGACTTCCGCCCAATCTAATCCCAGAAGCACAGCGACAGCGCTGCTCGCGATGTTTGGCGCGCCGGGCCCAGGCTGTGTTTCCATGTGGGTGGCTGGCGCCTGACTTGCCAGCCATAAGGGCGCAACGCCTCTGCGCAAACACATCCTCCGGGCCTGGGGACCTGATTTTCGAGTGGCCACAGGCAAGTGCCAAGCGAGGCAGCCGGAAGGCAAAAGGCCCAGTCAGTCGGAGAGGCCCGGGGCGGTGAAGTCGACTAAATGTTTTCTATATTTTGCGGGATTTTTGAAAAATGAAAAGAACGGGGATCGCGGCGCTGCCTGCGGCGCCACGGTTGGCAGGGACGCCATGCGTCCGGGCACCGCGGGGGTTCAGGCGCATTGCCTCCCGTCCGTGTGCCCGGCGGCAGTGTTTTCCCCCTGGTGTTCTCGCGTTGCCTTGCGAAAAAATTAAAATTTAAAAATTGGCAGCGTTTTGAGTGGTATTGCGTGTGCTAGGAGTTTCCCAATCCCGCAGCCTCTTGGGTTCCTCTGTGTTCATTTCCGATCGCACACACCGGGGAAGGTGTGCGTGGTGGGTTGTCCGTATTCTGCCTCCCGGGCGTGAGGTTGTTTCCAACATCGCGCTGACTTTCGTGAGTCAGTGCGATTTTGGGAAGGGGTTGGGATATGTTTGAGTTGTCCGTCGGAAGGAAAGGTCGTGGGGCTTCGCGACCGACCTTCGGCAAGATCCGCGGTCGGGGTCGCGCAACGACCTTTCCTGCGGGAAACCACCTTCCGGACCATTTCCGTTTTGATTTAGAGTCACCGGGGGGTGCATTTTCGGGAACGATTCCTGTGTTTTCGGGAATTTCGCCCGGTTTCGGGGTGGTCTGCTAAACCGTTTCCCCGCACGGTTTAGCAGGTTCATTTAGCATGCTGATTTAGCCTGCGACTTAGCATGCTGATTTAGCATGCCAGATAGCGTGGCACTTAGAGCCCCCATGTAGCACCCCCATTTAGCGCCCCCATTTAAAGGGGTGCGATTTAGAGCCCCCATTTAGCACCCCCATTTAGAAGGGGTCGATTTAGAGCCCCCATTTAGCACCCCCATTTAGAAGGGCTCGATTTAGAGCCCCCATTTAGCACCCCCATTTAGAGTGCCATTTAGAGCGCTTTTGGGCAGGTGCCCACCTCGTCTGCGAAATCGGCCCCATGATTTGCTTCTCCCCACCCCGCAACGCTTCTCCGGGTTTTTCCCCACCCGCAGTGCGCAGGGGGCCGCGCCGGAGTTTCTCCTATGTCTTCTTTTCCTCGGTCCCACACCATTTGCCTCTGTGTTCCCCATTTCGTCTTTGCCTTTTTCCTTCTCGCCCCTTTTCAAGTGAGGCGCCGTTCGCATATTCCCCGGGAAGGCCGTTTTTGAAAAATCCCGCAAAATTTAGAAGCGATTTAGCAGCCACCACCGCCCCGGCCCCTCCGCCTGAGCCCAGAACCTTCCGAAGGCCGAAGAGCGGGGCACTTGGTTGGGGCCGCGCCAATGGCACGGTAACAAACATTGCCCGGGGCGCAACAGATTTGGGCGACTGGGCCGCCCTGTGTGCATGCGCCCCTTTCCGGGCCAGAGCTTTCCGGGCTTGCCTTTGTCCGGTTATTAGACACAGGGCAGTGGTTGCACGGCCTCCAGTGCCAGGTGACGTGCGGCGCGCGCAACTAGAACCCAAGGGGCCGGATCTGTCTCGGCCCGCTCCACAGGCTTTGAAAGGCCGAGGGCGCTTCTTCTAGAAGAGGCCTACGGAGGCCCCTCCGACAGGCCCCCCAAAATGGTGCCTCTTCGAAGGCCTTCCACGATGGTATGAGGCCTGCCGGGATGCCCCCCAAACAGGCCCCCCCGGAAGGCCGAATGGCCGGGGCCTTTGCCTTCTGGTGCACCTTTTAGGGCAGCCGCCCCCGATGCCCCAGTCTCATCGCGGGAGCCGGCCCGCCGGGCCCGCGCTCGCAACTGCCCGCACCGGATGATCCACGGACCGCCCGAAGCCATAGGGTGGCTGAATTAGGCTACGCGGGATCGGGGGCGAGGAAGCCTTTTTGCGTGGTCCTACTGACTGCGCACCCGGAAGCCCCCGCGCGCTGCCGGCGTGCAGCAAGGTCTGCATGGTCGGGGCTGTCCTGGGGCTTCGGCGCTAATGCTGCTAAAGCAGGCGCGATGGGGCAGCCCGAAAAAATAGCGCGAGCTCCTTCCGGCTCGCAGGGCCGGCAAGGCAGGTCGGATGATGGGCAAACCCCCGCGGCCGGAGGAACTGGCCCAGCGCATGCCATTCCCTCTGGCAATAAGCCCGCCGGGCAGTTCCGCCCTTCCGGAAAAATATGGCCCGGGACTGTCCGCTGTGGTGAGGCCAACACCGGGAACAACAGCGGTGGCGCTCCAGCAGCCGAGGGGTTGCGGGCCTTTACCACTATCGCCGCCCAGGTCTAGTTGTTTGTGAGGGCCGGAATCTGTTGCAAAATCTGAGCAGAAGGAGGCCCCCCGAGATCAATTATGCCAACAACGAGACACATATCGGGCCCGGGATGGGGCGGAGCGCTCCGCGCGGTCCCGGGGGGAAGCGGCTAGTCGCATCCGGGGCCCTCTTTGTTTTTGCGCTTTTACGAGCTAGACATTGTGCGGGGGCTCGGAGTTGCAAGCTTTTTGCCTCGGCGAAATCAGAACCCTAGAAGACCCCGGGGACTAGAAAAGTCATGGCGGCTGGCGCCAGCGCATCTTTACCAGTAGCTTTACTCGCGCTGCGCTTTTGGTTTGAGATCGCGCAGAGGCCCCACAGAACTTGGGCGGCCCTTTGGTTGCTATGCCGAAAAATAAGGAGCCAGTTGAATTGCCCGGCTGTGGCCACGACCTCGGTTTTGCGCCGGGCCTTGATTTCAGACCGGGGCGGTGTGGTTCATTCGGAGCATGTTTACGCCACATTAACCAAAAGAGGCACGATATGTGCGCAAAATAGTTCTTGCTTTTCTATGCTGATGAAAATTTTTAATTCAGCGCACAATTATTCATCTTTTCGCGCCATAATCCAGATTTCCTCCACTCGTTCGGTTACTGCTTTCATCGAAGCGTATGATGTAGATGCTTCGGAATTTATTTCCGCGAATAACAGCTGATGCTGATGCTGATCTCCAGCAAGAACTACAGAGGTATAATCTACAAGTTGTTCCTTCCTCTACATCTAGTACGCATAGAAGTCATTTGGCAAGCCAAAGTGTCGAGCAGTGGGCAACTTTCGTCAAGATTATTGTCGTCCCCATCGTGATCGTTTTGTGTGTGTACTTCTCTGTGAAACTACGTAAACCTCTAATGGAGGTAAAGTAAAAGTTTTTGAAGTACTAGGTGTCCTCTTGTGCCACTTGTTTGATCTTGTCCCAACAACTCCAAGCCTAAGAAAAGTAAAACACTCCTGCTACAGTCGCTGGAGAAGTAGATCCACTTCGCATGACTTCTTCCTCGTTTAGTTGTCTGCCACTGAAGCCCGGCGACCACCTGATCAAAGAGGACCACGGGGGCCGCGTTACGCATGCTCTATTTTGTATGGAAGCGTCAGGTTTGAAATCGTCAAAGTTGAAACAATTTGTAATGCATGAAATGCATGGCCTTGGCCTTGGCCCGAGGTACGTGTGTTGCAGAGCAGGCAAGTGAGGCCGATTGTAAGCCTGTTTGGGGTTACAGCTCGAGCTGCTAAAGTAGCATGAGAAAATCACTCTTCTTTACCTAAACAGCATGACAAACTGGATTTAGGGACCACCGAAATTTGTCATGCGCCACTTGGAAACTGGGTTCCAACTGGCATCCATTTGATGCATGCCAAATTATTTCAACTTTGTCGATTTCAACTCTGACACATCCATATTTTGCGGGCAGGCCAGCTTGCGAGCGGGGGACGGCAGCAGTTACAACTTGCAGCACAACAAGTTCAGAACCACGACTGGTGGTTCTACAGTCGCAACGAAAGAGGTGGACACAAAGGTTGTAGGTAGTCAGGAAGAACTGGTATGGCATTCGCAAACGTTCCATTCTTGTTCCCATGTGTCAGATTGTTTCTTGTATGGTCGCTGGGACCACGGAGCTACCGCAATTCGTCCTTTGTTTGCCACTGTTGACTTCCATGCTTTTTCTTCTGGCGTTTGAAACTTGATTGTTGTCGTCACAAATGATGATGGCAAAGGCAAGAACTAGAACAGTTGCGACGGCCATAACAGGAGGAAGACACTTTTTTGCAGGACTGCTGTCCGGAGCTGGAGCATTTTGTCGTTTTTTTGAAGCAAGTGGACTCCTCTACTGTGGCCGTGTGGAAGCAGACGCTGAGGGAATGGTGCCAAGACTTTCAATTTGCGGCTGCGTCGCCGATTTTCATGGGGGGTCAACATGTCAGAACAACCGGCGAGGACCACCCCGAGGTCGTGATGCGGGGGTCGTTATCGGGAGATGAAAGACATTCTATTTCTCCAACAGGAGAAATAGCAGTTGCTGATGAAGCAGCAGCAGGCAGCTCTTCTATAATACCGCAAGAAGTTCAAGATGAGCTTGACAAAGAACACCGCAACAGCGACGGCTTCGTTCCGACGGACCTCTCTGTGAAAGAAGAGATAAGACATGATATGCAAAACCAAGACCAGCTCTCGGGGGTGAATGATTCTACCGAGTCAAGACGTGGTAACGAAAACGAGCAGCCTGCGGAAGTGAATACTAGGGAGCCCCCTTCATCTGGTAGCCTGCAAAACAAAAATCCTCGACCATCACCAGGGAAGATTTTTATACCGGAGGAACCAGGAGAAGTAGACCAGGACCGCACAGCACCTCCCGTGGTCACGACCTTTCCCTCTGTTGGCCTAGACGAGAAAGCTGAATCATTCGACCCTGAAGTATCAAATGTAAAAATGTCTGCGTCTGGAAGAATGCAACTTGTAATGCTGTCTGCGGATTCTAAAAATATCTGCGTTGCATGAGCAGCATGAGGAGTGAGTTCTTGGCACGCGGAGAGGGCATTTCTCATGCGTAATTAGCATCAAGAAGCTCTCACGGGTCATGCAAAATGTGCATGACAAGCACAAGTCCAAACTCTTCCAGACCCAGACATTTTTGCATTTGATATGAAGAGACGACGAACAACAAGCCGAACGACCTCTCGACCACCCGGCTCGTGAGCGTGCGGTTCTACCTGAATCGTCCGTTTTCGCGGCGGCGCGCGGTGTACGTGGCCTTGCGCGCGCTGACGGAAACGCCGCGCATCAAGCTGCACGCCAGCCTGGTGCGCGAGGTGTTGGAGTCCGACGTGTTTCCCTGGCACTGCCTCTTCCAGGACGAGGCCCCCGCCTTTGACCCGGGCGTGGCCCTGTCGCACATGAAGGCGAAGCGGTACCGGCGACAGCCCTACCAGGAGGGCTTTGTCAGCGAGAACCTGCTGGAGAGTCTGCAGCAGGGCACGGTCCTCATGTCCCACGGGGCCGTGGTGGTGCGCGGGGCGCGGATCGCGCGCTTGTTGCGGTTCTCGACCGCGGCGGTGGGGAGCTGGGGCCGGCTCGGGGCGCTCATGGGCGCGAAGTTATCCGAACGTATCTTCACGCAGGACTCGCCGCGGAGCGCCGGGGCCGCCGCCGCGGGAAGCTGGATTGGGTATAAGTACTTACTCTCACAGCTCGTATGGGTGGCAATTTAAATTCTGCAACACATTGCGGTTCGTCGTCTATCGAACCTTCTATGTACAATTTCAGGATCAGGTCACCTGTACTCGAGGCCGTGTTCTTGTTTTGTTGATAAGTAGTTTTTGGAAGCCACGTTGTCGTTGAAACACGATTTGACGAAAACGAAAATCGAAACCAATTCTCCAGTTCTGTGGCTGGCGCGAGCCTTGGCGCGAGCGTTGCCTCCACGACCGGCACAGCGGCCGCCGCGAGCTACAGCGCCACCGCGTCCGCGCACTTTGGGGCCGCGGCGTACACTATCGAATGCAAATATGTCTGGGTCTGGAAACTTGTGATGCTGAATGGTCGTGATTGACTGCGCCTCAAAGTGCAGTATAGCATGACAAATGTTTCATACGCTTTGTCATGCGCAGAACGCATTACAAACTGCGCTTTCATTGCATGACGAAATTCTGGCGCTTTATTTGCTGCTTATGCATTACAGATTTTCATTACGAATGCGAAACATCCAATACAGGTTCAACCTTTCCAGACCCAGACACACTTGCATTTGATATACACGCTCGGGGCGGTGGAGGGCGGGTCGATCGCCACCAGCATCTATCAAATGCAAATATCCCTGGATCATGTCTGGAAGGATGCAACTTGTCATGCTGTCCTTGGATTCGAAAAAAATCTGTATTGCGTAAGCACCAAAGAGGCATCTACTTCATGAGGCCCTGCCTCAGAAAATCTGTGATGCTACCGCATACATCACAGACGTCATGGGTCATACAAAAGCTGCATGACAAGTCTTCCCATCTTCCAGACCTCCAGACACATTTGCATTTGATAGCATCCTTGCCGCCACGTCGCTGGGGGCGGCCGGGGCCGTGGTTGGCGCGGGTATCCTCTGCAAAAGTAGCGTATTCGTATTGCAATCATGCATTACAAATCTTTTTGTTAAGTCAAATCCGCATTACAAATTTTCTTTCTCATGCGGAGGGAATTTGTAATGCATTTATACGAGTACGATACTTTTGCAGTGTATAGCGGGCGCGGCGCTGCTGATCAAGAACCACCTGCTCGCGCACGAGGCCGGTAAAGCAGACCGGACGAGCCAGTACTTGGAATCCGCTCTACACCTGTTCGAGGACTCCCAGGATCCGTTTGGGCACCTGGACGTCATCCTGGGCTTCGACGATGTGGAAGAAAATCGTCAAGCCGCGCCGAACACCAGTACAACTAGCGAAACTTCCGCTCCTCCGCAAGTGGCGCTGGGCTGGTACGCGATACCCATTTCGCCCGCGGAAGCTGAACGGAGCCACAACACAGGGGCAGCTGCACAACCTGGTGGTTGAGCTGCAAGTTATTGGACGTCGTTCTCTCTGTCGATAGAAATAATAGAATGGAGTTGTATAAAAATGCAAATGGCTCGCATGATCATCGATGTACATCTGTGTCGAAAGAAGAGGCACGACTAGGTTTTCTTGTGACCACCTCGAGTCGACTTTTTCTTGATTAAGCAGTGCACAGTGAGCACGACAGACATTCCTGCCAGTCAATCGCTTATCGTCCATCCAATGTTGCGTCGTCAACGTATCGTACATGGTATTTTTTGTTGCAGAAACCATAAAGAACATGCACATGGCTTCAAGTATGCAATTCGTTCGTAGGAGTAGGGCAAATATTTGCAGCGTCGCGATGAATCGTATATATTCGTTTCCGTTCGTGATAGTGATTGACGTTGACAGTGAGCTGCCTGCGTGCCCAAGGAAGATACTCATACGGATGTGTTCCACAACTATTGCAATCCTAAGAAAGTATTTTGTATTCCACATTTATCCATACCACAGGATCTTTTGAATTTCTTACACTTGGGCTTTGTACAAGTAGTTCAGGATTTGTACTCTTCTAGGTTTCACCTCCACCACCTCGCTCAAGCATTGTTTCTTGGTTTCAGTCTTTCCAGGGTCGATTGTTTTAAGTCCTCGGATTCGGAAAATCCTCGTGATATACCAGCCCGTCGAACCTGCCGTCATCGTCATTGAAGGAGGGCACTCACATAGAAAACATGTCGGGGCAGCTGTCGCGCAAGAATTTCTCCGTCGGCTTTGGCATCGACGAGCCAGGTTATGGTTTGCTGATTTACATGCAACCGGGATTGCGGAAAGGCTACCGACAGTTCGTTCGGCAAGTTTTTGACCCCAGCAACAGTGATTTCGAGGCATGGAACGGGAATGCGCTTCTGGGTAGTTTCGAGTTTGTCGAGATACAAAATCAGCGTCGGCCCGGCGACGAGGGATCTCGGGTTGTTTATGAGCCGAGCATCGGAAGGGCGATATTGAATGACATGACTTCGTGGCTCGGGAATAATGGGCTGTCCGAGAAAAGAAAGAGGGATGCAGTGCGGACAAAAGCTACGGCAACAGCAAGGGCTGCCGCGCAGCGACGTGAAGATACCAACCAAACTCCTGCTAACGCAGGTCGGGCGTTCGATCCCTTGCAAGTACCGACGAATCAAGCCCAGAAATCTTCACCTGAACAGCCGGCTGCCTCGTCAGAAGCAATTTGTCCGGCTTCTCCCCTGCCGCCATGCAGTCATGATGCAGAGCCGGTGTCGGAATACTCCTACGATCGCACCGAGCGGTTCTACGCCCGGGTGCCTGTGAGTGTTAGAATTACGGGCGACATCCCGATAAAGCCTCGCGAAGTGTCGCTCATACCGCGAGGCGGGTGGATTGTGGACAAGAAAAGCAACTACGCTGTTGCTCAGATCGCGGATCCTCTCATCGCGGGGTCCGTGGAGCAGCTCTGCTGGATGCCGAACGTGCGGATTGACCCCGAGCACTCCAAAACGACGGCCCTCCTCGACGTTTGTGGCACACCCTGCATTTTGTCTGACTGGGAGGAGCAGTTGCTCCGCGAACAAAAATTTAATGACGAGGAGTCAGAAGAAGCCTGGATTCGCAAAAACTGCGAACCGAGCCTGCTGAACTTGCAGGAGCTGGATCAGTGCTTGAAGCAGTTGCAGACGCAGCTTGGAACCAATTTTCCGTACGCCACGACGGGGCTTCCCAACAAGTACCTGGAAAACCAAAAAGACAAATTTAAATTTTCACCCCGCGACCGGCCGGAAACGAAAGAAAAAAAGACGCCCAAGGCGAAGGCGAAAAGTTCAGCGCGATCCAGGTCTTCCGATTCTTTGGAGGCAGAGTTTGACACGATATTGCGGCAAGTGATACCCTTGCAGCAACCCAGCTATAACGACATGCCTTCGCTGAGCGTGCGTTTGGGCAAACCTTTTGATGTGCTGGCGGAGTACCAACAAAAAGCTTTGTGGTGGATGGTCGAGCATGAGTTGCGCTGGCCGCATTTGAGTGGTGGAATCTTGGCCGATGATATGGGGCTCGGGAAGACTGTCACCTGTGCTGCCCTGCTCCACCACACAGAATACTTACTCGAGCAGGCAGGAGATGCAAACGCCCAGAAAGTGCAGCACGCCCTAGCGGAGAAGATCAAAATGTGCATCGATCCCGCCCAGGAAATCAGTCGCAGGACGCTCGTCGTGGCACCAAAAAGCGTACTTGAGGTGTGGAAGTCAACACTGGAAAGAGCACTGCGCATTTCCCCGCAACAAATTAACGTCTACCACGAAAAAACAAAGCGGCGACCAGCCGATACCCCGACTTTCTCAATTACAATCACCACGTATACAACGTTCAGGATGAACTGCGCGGACCTGGACGGCTCAGATCTCAACGGCGGGTGGCAGCGCGTCATTCTTGACGAAGGGCATGAGATTCGGAACGAAACAACGCTAGCTGCCATGTGTCTTACGAAATCACTAAAGGCGAGAACGCGTTGGGTCGTTTCTGGGACGCCGGTTGTCAACAATGTCAAAGACCTCCGATCAATCTTCAAGTTCCTTCACTATGAACCCTTCAACTCGGATGAATTTTTCCGAGACTTCGTGCCGATCAACGCAAAAGGTGAGGCCACCCGCGACGGGCTGCTGCGAATGCACCGTCTTGTCCAAGCTATCATGCTCCGCCGGTCGAAAACCCAGCTGAAAAAATGGGGGCTCTTTCCGGTTCCCGAAAAGATTGAGCGCAAGGAACTGGTGACGCTTAACGACAAAGAGCAGCAGTGTTATGAGTTGTTGACCTGTGAGGACGGCAATGCAGCCAAAAACGTGCTCGCTTTGATGACCTACGCTCGTCAGTCGGTGCTACACCCCGGGCTGCCGTCGTTAAAAGACCACCTCCACGGCGAAGAGGACTTGCTGCAAGCCGTGCAGCCCGGAGGGCCACAGGGCCTGGTTTCCTCCAAGATGAAGAAGGTCGCGGAGATTGTGTTCGACCGCCATGATCCAAAAGCCACCCAGGGCGAGCCCGTCGTCGTTTTCTCCTTCTTCAAGTCCTTTTTCCCCTTGTTGCGGTCGTTCCTCGAGAAATGTGCGGAGGAGCGTGGACTTGCGTCCTTTCGAGTCGCCGTGATTGACGGGGACACGCCCGTGGCGAAGAGGGAGACTACGGTGCGGGACTTCCAGAGCGGGGACGTCGCTGTTCTGCTCTGCACGCTGAAGACGGGTGGTGTTGGCTTGACGCTGACCCGCGGCCGGACCGCGATTCTGTGCGACCCCTGGTGGAATCGCCCCATGGAGACCCAGGCAATCGACCGCATCCATCGTCGCGGATCCATCTATCCGAGCATCAACGTGTACCGCTTGATCGCGAAGGGCACAATCGAGGAACGAATTTTGGAACTGCAAGAAATGAAGAATTTTCAGAAGGAAGGGCTCATTGACGCCAAGGACCAGCGGTACTTGGAAAGCATTCCCGAGCGCCAGCGGAACAAACTCTTCACGCCAATGAACGACGAAGAACGTCGAGCTCTGCAGGTCGAGGATGACGCCACGACAAGACAAGCGACAGAATCCGACGATGCGAATCCGCAGTGGGCAGCGTATGACGACAATGTTGTGATGATGAGCGACGTTGACAACAGCGACGGCGACTCGGAGTCAGGGAGTTACCGCACCCAGCGACCAATGGTCATACAGGACCCAAGATCCTACATAGCTGCGAATCTTGTTGACTTCTTGCGCACTCACTTTTTCCCGCAGGGGTAGCAGGAACACGTTTTTTCTGATCGAGAATTACAGTTAGTGTTAGATAGAACTATGAGGAAAAACAGGAGTCCTGTTTTCGTTTCACTGGAGAGTTGCAAAAGTAACATATACCTTCCCTTGAGACGGACCCGCGCCGTAGTCTAGTTGACCAAGCTGGTCCTGCCGCCCAAACCTCATCAATACAACTCCGGGAGGTTTTTCATAAATTCGAATGTGCGCTTCCACAATCCACATTATGACGCAGAATAAAAATCATGATGATGAACTAAAGCTACTCTCCTAGTTGCGCTCTGATGTGCTCGATCAGACAAACCGATGTGGATCTATTAGCCAGGCAAGAATCTGAATCTTTTGCTAAGCCAATGCCATTTCAGCTATAATAAAAATACTTACGTAACTCCGTGTCGAAGAGGAGAATCCAACGCGGATGTGGCAAAGCATTTAAAAAATGTGTTCGTGATAGCCGCCTTTCTGCCAGGCCTAGATCACTTTTCGTTTTTTGCGGCCCACAGTTTTCGGTATCAGAGGATCCACCCGAGGATCCAGCTGTGTTCTGCAGCAAAGATATATTCATCCTGTACTACCTGTTCCTTTGTTGCGACAACCAACCGGGGCTGCTTGTAGTTGTACCTAATGCAACATCTTGCAACTGTAGCGTCATGTTGGACTATCATTGGGTTTGGGAGGCCTATGTCGTCTGTTGTGTTATTGTGTCTGTGATCGTTTTCGTCTTCGTGGCGCAAACACCTTTGTCAACATCGCAAATCGTATCGTGGGTCCTCGGGACGACTCATAGCCGACAAGGTTTGCAGATAGCAGCGGACTGCTCGTCCAATTTGCGTGACGTCAATACGTGGCCCAGTCTGGATGGAGCACGCGCACGCGCACAGAGGGAGAAAGGAGAGCAAGATGAACGGAGTGTGAATCTGGCATCTCGCCCCTCGCATCCCGGAACCGGAAGTGATTTTGACGAGGAGACAAAATTACAAGACGGTATTTTACTCGGTGGTACACGTGCTGAGTCACGCTTTCCACCAAGTCGCAGCGACACAACGGAAAGAGATGACGGCTCCCCGGGGCTGCGGCAGAATTCAACATCGCTCTACGAATCCTTCGACACGTCCCGTCTTGAAGACGACCTCGGCGAGAACGAGTGGAGCAGAGGTGACGCGGGCAGTCTCAGTCAAGCAGGTGACGATCTAAATGGTCGACCACACAGAGATGCGGAGTCCTCAAAAAAACCGTGTAAGTCAAACACCTCGCCCGACATGGTCTCCTTCAGCGCAGGTGAATATGACCACGCCGCGCTTCCAAGGGGAGCCGCCTCAGACAAACTGAAAGCGAGCCTGAGGCAGTTTTGGGAAAGCGCGGAGGGCCTCGCGTTGCGATCTCGGCTGCAGATGGAGGCTCTGGAGGAAAAAACAACCGAGCCATACCTGATACGCGACCTGGACCACGCTCTGTGCTTGCGCTACGCCTGGCAGCTGGACGCCACGGACCGAAAGGCCGCGCTTGGACCGTTTTTTCCGGCCAAGTACTTTCTTCAGGAGGAGGAGGATGCCAAAGGGGATGAACTCCAAGCACATGCGGCGAAGAAAATAAATGAGATGACCACAACGCGCAAGCTGAACAAAACCTCAGGTCTCCACCCTGCCTGCATCTACGCGCTGCGCTTGACGCACCGGGCTGGCCGGTGCGGGCGGGCGGTGTGCAAGCTAGACAACACTGACTGCGTCAAGCTCGGGATGACCAAGCATTTGGGGTTTTCCTGTCAGCATTGCGGGGTGAAAAACCTCGGAAAGAGAGCGAGAGTGGCCTTTTACATGGAAATGGACCCGGAAAACGTACATGGTGAAAGCGCATTTTTCTTTCGAAAGGAGTTGGACTGCGAGCTGACGGCAAACATTTACGAACGCTGGCTGAAAAAGCGCGCCTGGGAGGTGTACGGGTTCCCAGTGCAGCACTTGGAATACTTTCCCATTTGTTCAAGTTCGTCTTCCAGCTCCGGCGCGGCAAGTACTTCAAGTGCAGCCAGATTGTATTATCCGTCATCTTCATCGTCATCCTCGTCTTCTGCAAGCAGGCGTGAAGACCTATCGCTCATAGGAAAAAACAGCGTTGGTCTCAAGAACTCCAGTCGCAGCAGCAGACGCGGCCCCGCCTCGGTAAGCGAGTTCCAGGCCTATCTTTTACGAGAAATTGAGGCTCTGGAAACAAACGCGCGCGCCATCCCCGAGGGAGATCTCGACCTGCGGTTCCGGGCTTTTTACGACCATGGGATGTTTCTGCTGCAGCACGGCCGCTATCCTGTGCAAAAGTATCGCGTGAGTAGTGCCCGCGCTGCAAATTAGAAAACAAAGCGGGCAGGGGACTCGCATAGCGGACCCGTCAGGAACGATGCCGCCCGGCTTCGTCCAGATAGTTGACAGCGGCCGCGTCGTTGGTGGCGATTCCGTCTGCGTATACTCGATGCCGGCGCACCTCGTCACCGACCTGCAGAAACAAAAACCGCGCGAAGGAGGCCTCGGGCTGGGCGGCAACGGAATCGGCTCGACTGTGGTGTTTCCACGCAGGCCGGAGACTGGGGGGCGCCGCGTTGCGCCTGCTCCCGGAGAACAGAGGGAGGACCCTCGCAGACCGCTGCGGCGGCAGTGACTGCGACGGGGCTGCTAGCCGATTTCGCCACCGCCGACGGATTCCAGCCGTCCGGCTCCGCCCGCCCGCGGGTTCTTCCTTCGAAGAGTTTGAGGGGCCGCACTTGGCAAAGCAGCAAGCGGCGTGCGCCGACGGCGCCAGCTTCGACCGCGGCCCCTTTGGCATTTGTCGCCAAGCGGGTGGCCTTCATCGGCGCCCCGTGGCATGCTGCGCCGCCATCGACCCAACTCGCGCCGGCCAAGCAAAGCGCGGAGGTAGAGCGCTGCCGGCCTGAAGCAATGCACTGCGTGCCCGACGCGTGGAAGATCCTCCGCGCGGTGCTGGACAGTAGTGCCCTGCCGCTCCTCGCCCTACCTGGAGGGCCTGAGAACTTTCCAGGGTGTTTTGGTCTGCGATGGGGATTTGTTTGCAGTGCAATTGCGCGCATAACTGCGTCTGCAATTGCGACGGGCGCGATACTTTTGCAACTCATAGCCGCCCGATCTTCCAAGACCACGCGGACCTCGACCTGTCGACGTGCTCATCTAGAGGTTGCACACAACGCCTTGACAGATCGGGCGTTTTGGTTCCGGCCCTGCGGTTCGGGCGGAAGTACCGTCGCAGGGGACTGCTGGAGGACGACGATAGCTCTTCTGGCACGGAGGCAGTTCGGGATGGGGAACCTCTTTGCGACGACGCTAACGCCGGGAATGATCATGATCCAACCGAACTACAACGCGAGAAGGGCGACGAACTAGTCCAAGACCACGATCGTGCACCAGGGCAAACTACCCGGAGGAAGATGGGCAAAGCTGCTGTTCGACGCCGGACAGGGTGGGCCGGGAACTAGGCAGGCTGGTGCTCCTGTTCAAAGTACTTAAGTGCTATATAATGCAGTGATATTCTTCGCTGTGAGAAGCAACCGGCTGTTCATCTACTTGTGCTGCGTGCTGAGGACGAGGAGCTGTGCGGCTCCGAAGGCTTATGAACCATAAAGCGCTTCCGTAGACGAGTGAGGCGGAGATCATGTAGAGGACGTTGAGGTAATCATACTAGGAGACTAAGCTGCGACAGCACCAACCGCAGAACTAGCTGCGCTCGTCCATGATGATACTGAGTTTTACGCTGTTGTAGTTTTTGCACGGCACCGCCAGCACATTCTTGTTCACGCCGCATCAAGGTCGTCTAGCATTGATTTGTTCTGAAGGGTCGCGACGAGGATCGAAAAGAGACGATGACAGCGCCCGCCTTCTCGCGCAGAATTTTCGACTGGCGCCGGCTCCGCGCAAAGGCGGAGCGGTTTCAGGCGGAGATGAAGTCTGGCGGACTTTTTACCCAGGAAACGGGCACGACCGGTAGTGCAAGAACCAGTAGCCCCCGCGTAGTACTACAAAGAACGCCGCCACGGCAGAAGTTCCAGTTGCCGAAGATGAGGGTTTACACGCACTCCTCCTACACGATGCCCCTGCCCGCGAACCACCGATTCCCGATGCACCGTTACAAGGCGGTGCACGCGCACCTGGCCGAAATTTTGTCGACCAAGGGCGCTGCGTGGACGGTTCCACAGGAACTACTCGAAAATGGCACGGGAGGCCATGCAGCTGCTTTCAGTGGTCGTGAAGTCGTTGAAGATGAAGAGGAAGACCGCAACGCTGCGACCCTGCGGCGCGCGCTCATGTCCCCGTTGACTTCGTCCGTAGTGGAGGGCCGCGACTTGAAAAACGCAGGAACTACTACGCTTTCACCGGTAGAAGAAACATGCCCGCTCGACGTAGTTCAGGGGCGTGAAAGAGATCCTGCTGCACAACTGCGAGAAGCGCTACCCTCCCCAGACGCGCTTCTCCGCATCGACACCGATGCGCGGCTTGCGACGCGCGAGGAGGCCGAGCTGATCCACGAGAAAAGTTACATCGACGCGTTTGAAGCGGGCGAGATCCCCACGCGGGCGCTCGGATTTCCCTGGTCGCCGGCGCTGGTGGAGCGCACCTACCGCATTCTGGGTGGGACGCTGGACGCCGTCGAGGACGTGCTGCTGCAAACAGGGCTGAAGAGGTTCAGCTTGTTGGGAGATCCTGTTGATACTACAGGAACTACAAGTCTTCACGAAACGAGGCGAGATGAACAAGCCTCCTCCTCCTTCTTCTTTGCCGGCGGCAACCTGGCCGGGGGAACCCACCACGCGTTTCCTGGCTCGGCGGAAGGTTTTTGTGTATACAACGATCTGGCGGTGGCTGCGCGCTACGCACAGGAATTGTTATTGGCTGTTCAATATGCATTGCAAAAGTATCGTACTAGTATAAATCGCAATACAAATTTTTCCAGAAGAAAGAATCGAATTTGTAATGCTGATTCGGCTAAGAAACAAGATTTGTCATGCATGATTGCGATTAGTTTTAGTACGAGTACGATACTTTTGCACAGGATATTCAACATTGGGACGAAGGCGAAGGTCGTGGTGGAGGAAATGAAACAAGAAGTGGAGACGATGAGGATGAAGCGCAAGCGTTTTGTCGAAGGGTACTTCTGGGAGGAAAAGGAGGACGACCAAGAGCAGCTGCCGCACCAACAGAGGGTGCACAATCAGAACGAAAAAGCATGAAGATGTTGACGAAGAGGAACAAGAAGCCACAAAAGTTACAGGTGGTTATCATCGACGTGGACGTTCATCTATGCACTGCAAATGCATCGTACTCGTAGTAAGTATTGCAATACAAATTAGCTCAGCATGAGAAATGGAATTTGTCATGCTGATTTAGGTTGAAAAAGAAATTTGTCTTGCATGACTTTGACTGCGATTAGTACGACTACGATGCTTTTGCGCAGGATATCATCAGGGCAACGGCACCGCTGCCTGCGTCGCGGAAGACCCGTCGATTTTGACCTTTTCCCTGCACTACGAAGAGCAAATACAACTTCATGTCTGGGTCTGGAAAGTTGGAACTTGTCTAGTAGGCTAGCTTTACATACATAAACGTAATTCCTGAGTGGAAATCAATATTTATATTGCATCTGAAAACCAACAAAAGTCGCAGGAGCCTCTTCTGTGACGCAGTTTCTGTATCTGTTTCCTTTCTTTGTGGACTGCCTGTGCTTTGTGGACCGCCTAAAAAGTTTTAGCGCTCTGCATAAAATGAGAAAGCGTTCTGAACAGAAGTTGTCATGCTGGGCTGCTGCTGCATTCGGAAGTGTTTCCGTCATCCACATTTTTTGAGCATCACAGAATTCCAGACTCCAAGACGTATTTGCATGTGATATGCACGCCGAGCGCAACTACCCTTTCGGCGACCGGCGGCGGACCAGCGACGTGGAGCGCAACGTGGACAACACCGTGCGGGAGCGCGAGTATTTGCTCGCGCTGCAGGACGGACTGCGGGAAGTGGACGACAAACTCGCCGCGGTGGGTAAAGCGGGAGGCACGCTACTAGCAGATGATGGAAAAAGTGCGACCCCTGGTGCAGGAGATCAAGTACAACAAGAACAACCGCAGCTGCTCGTTCTCTTCCAGGCAGGTGTGGACCCGCTCGCGGAGGACCGGTTAGGGAAGCTAAAACTTTCCCGTGGCACTATGAAATGCAAAAGCATCGTACTAGTAGAAATCGCATCACAAATTTCCTCAGCATTACAAATTTGTAATGCTGATTTGCCTTGAGGAAGAAATTTGTAATGCATAAGGGCAATTACTACGAGCGCGATACTTTTGCACAGGATAGGGACCCTGTGGAAACGAAATCAGCTGGTGCTCGATTGGGTTCTACGCAAAAGTTCAAACGAATCTCGCTATTGCACACGTATCAATGAAGTTGTCCGGTCAAAAATTGAAATACGAAAAGTATTTATGATCTTTCAAGTTGAAAGAACATGTACATGATGATGATCACGGAGCTGTAAAAAATTCTATATTTGATGCGTTCTACTTCGTGCCCCTCTGCACACCACCCCGTGAAGGTTCAATGAAAGGTTCAATTATGATGATGATGATGATGATGATTCTTGATCTCACCACGCAGAAGTCTTGGAATTTTTACGAATGCTGCGATAGTAGTTTTGCATAAGTATACCTCCGACGGAAGAACGCGCCAGTGGTGATCACGATGGGCGGAGGGTACTCTCGACCAATCGACTTCTCGGTGAAAGCCCATTGCGATGTGTACCTGCAAGCTGCGGCGGCAGCCTGGGGGTCGTCGTTTTCGTTATAAGTGATTGTCTTGCTCTTGCTCTTGTCGGGTTTTAAGTAGTTTCTGTAGGAGTTGATGTGAACTACCACACGACGGCATGCTCCGACATTAGGACCACGCGAAAGATGAAAAAGTGAAATTTGTGCTGAAGATGAAGCTCGTAAAAAGGAAAGAGCAACAGCATAGACATTAAAGCTGCAAGAGCGCAGTGTATAATTACCATCCTGCCACCAGACTAAAAAGCACAATCCGCCGCGGTGGTGTTTTGATCCGAGCTTCGCAATTAGTCATCGACAGCTTCGCACATGTTCCTCTTCTAGTCAAAGATCTACCTCCTTGTTTTAGAAGAAAAATAGCACCGCTGAACTTTCGCACCACCGTGCAATGCTGTAGGAGACGACTCGAGGCGGAGATCTTGTACCGAAAATGTCATTTTTGACATAGCACGACCAAAATTTTATGAAGCAAACCACGAGTAGGAATACGAATATTATATAAATATTTATAACTACCACGACAGATGAAGATGAACAAGGAAAAGGATGACGAGTTAGGATCAATCCACTTTCCGAAGTTCTCTAGTTTTTACATGTTCGTGATTGGTAAAAAAAAAGCAAACTTCATCAACATTGTCGTGACAAAACCACTGCACAACTTTCTCCCTCTGATGTGGCAGCCCGTAATTTGCGCGATTTTCGAAGATTTTTGAACAAACAAGTTCTCCTGTTCCTCTCGGTACTATTGAAACTTCTCGCCTTCTTGCAAGAACAACAGACACCTACCATGGACGCGGCTTCGACCGAGCTGTGGATCGGCGTGGGTGTTGCCACAGCGGTGGTGATACGCACTGCAAAAAAATATCAGTCTGGGTCTGGAAAAGTTGTCCAGCACCATCTTATTGAGGTTTTTTGGGGACCACTACTATCTTCCCCACGTGTGACGCTGTAGACCACAGTCGCAATTTGGCTATGGCAAAATTACCCGGGATGATGATGATATTGGACGATCTTCTATGCAGCTACACAGATAATTTTCGTCTTAGCTCGAAGGACGCATGATGCGCATCTTCTTCACATCCAGACCCAGAGCACATGATTTTTTGCAGTTCATATTTCGCGGTAGTAGTTGGGTATCTTTTGTTCTTTCACGACAAGGCTGGCACTGCTCCCCTCCCTGGGAAACTTCTGCAGAGCGGAACGTTCCAGCTTCCGTTGGTAAATTTTGACGACGAAATATCCAAGAAAAAAACTGTGTAGGTGTAACTTTGTTGGAAGAGCGGCGTCACAAATTCGCTTCGCATTACGGGGAAGACCTGTCATGGGCAGCTAATACGTGAAAACACGTATGAAAGTAGCCTAATATGTATGACGCAGACTGACCGGGCTGGCTGCATGACAAGTGTTATCAGATTTGCATTTTCTGCATCACAGGCTTACACTCGTCACACAGTTTTTTTCTTGCATACGAGAGTTTGGTCGAGGAACGGCAGCGGGATTTCATGCGCACCTGCGCGGCGCAAAAGGACTTGCACTTTCTGGTGCTGAAAAGAACAATAGAATACGGGAAAAATGAAGGGAAAGTATTAAAAACCGAGCTGAAACTGCTCGAGCTCAAGGACACGAGTTCCTTTGCCGCCTGTATGACTTCCTTGCGGGAAGCGGACTTCTTCCAGACCGAGGGCGCCAAGCTATTCCAGGAGAGCGGCGTCTACAGCTTAGTGTCTGCCACCACGCCGTTCGACTTCAGCATGAAATTTTATCAACTGTAAATATGTCTGGGTCTGGAAGGATGCAACTTGTCATGCTAAAAAGTCTGGACTGGTGTGAAAAAATCTGTGTTGCATGGTTATCAAAAGTTGTCCACTTTTGACCAATTTGCGAGGAAGCCTCTCAAACGGGCTCGGCACGACAGAGACCTCACAGAGTCTGTCATGCTTTGTCTCGCATTCCAGGCCTCATACGTCATGCAAAACCTGCTCCTGCATGACAAGTTTACACTCTTCCAGACCCAGACATATTTGCAGTAGTTAGTTCCACCGGTGGACATAATAGCATGTTTTTAATCTCTCTCTACATAGTGCATCCACGTAGTTCTCTTTTCTTTTCTTTCTTCAAAAAGTTCAAGTCGTTCTCTTCCCTGTGCTGTACCATGGTCTTGTTTCCAGACAAAACACCAGACATATTTGCAGTTGATAAATTTGGCGTCATACCCATGTTCCACGACCCAAAGTACGTGATCCTCTATCACGAAGACACTAAGCAGTTTCAGGTATATTTTGTAATGAAGAAAATTTTCTTTTTTTCATTTGAGATTTCACGTGGGATTCGGATTGTGAAAAAACTCATGATATGAATGTAGTGAACCTTCATGATGTAGTGAACAATTTGATTCGACTTTCGAATGCGCTACGGTTGCTTCCTTGTGACCATCAAAAAAGAAAATATTGTGTTGCAAAACTATGTAACAATTATGAAACCCAGATACTTTGGGGTGCGTGGATCAATGACAAAGCCGAGCCGGTTCCCGCCAACAAAAGATGGCCGTTTTTCGTGTGGTACGTGTCGCAGCCGCTCGGAATGAAGCCGCCAGCGGAAATCTCCTTTTCGTATGGAGCAATAAGAAATACCAAGGACAGTGTGATGAAAAACATTGAGGTGGTGTGTGCCGAGATGTTCTGATCGAAGATACAAAAACAAAATGTTGAAAACAAGCAGTACGAAACGGAAAAAGAAAAACCTCGCAGTTGCCATTTTTTGAAAATGTCCCCACCAGCAAGAACTACATTGCTCGTTGTTCGAGATCTCCAAGGACGAAGTGAAGGGTTTTAAACCGAACGAAGAAAGAGTTATGCGTATGAATGAAAATTGTGGTTTTTTTTCTATATCGGGAAATAATAACTGGAAGATCTTCTCGTTCCTTGTGGACGATCTATCACTTTTTACATAAGAGAAAATGAAAAAGCAGGAGACCGTGCGTCTCTATGCCGGAGCGGTCGGCCGACGAGGACGACACCAAGGCGGGCTCATAGAACTAGTCTTCATTGAAAATAATTTGCGAGCTTCAGCTTTGTTTGTTTCAGCGAACCCTCCCCGCTCAATCAGAAGAACTAGCACCTGAAACGGAAAATAAGTCAGGACGAAGATCATTGTTTTAAAAAGCCTTTTTGTTGGGCGGGTCGTGGTCGCCTGCACGCCGGTCGTCTTCTTGTGCACGTGGTTGCTGTCTGCCGAGCAAAGCTTTTTTCACGAGGAGCTATCGGAGGTGCTGGAGCCATGAAACTAAGCTCTACTCGGGTCGACGACGACTTTTTCTTCCAGAAGTTGAGCCGCCTGCAAACGCCGGACGAGCACCAAGCGCTTGTCGTTCGGGCCTGTTACTTGGTTTCTGAGGCGGGCGCGGGTTGACACTGCTTCCCAAATTCGCGAGTCTGCTGTGTTGTAGATTGCCCACTTCCGCGCATAAGAAACTGGAATCGGAGAACACAGAACGGTGAGGGTAGAAAGACATTGCATTTCATATTCTGCGTCGGCAGGTCGTCGAGGTCGGCGTGTTGAATTTATTTTGTCGGCTCTGCTATTTTTTGGTTGCCAACGTGTGTGGTTCAGAAATTGGTCGAAGACTTATAATATACAGTGATTTCGTATATCAAAATCAAATCAGGTTCTCACGTCGGAACATTTTTAACCAAGTATCGCCATCGAAGGATGCTGGGGAAGCGCTGCTCGCGCCAGCGGTTCCCGTGCTCACACTCAAGGTCGTGTTATGCTGACCAGGACTCTGCTCAACAAAAAATGTCGCGCGCAGCTGCGGTAGAACGGATGTTTACTAAGTTAGGAGTCGTGGTGTATATTACCGGGATACAACTTCTAGGGATCTTCATTTTAGCTCCTGAAGTACAGGCCGCACACATTTTGCTTCCCGAGGAGGAGCAGCCCGTGCAGAAGGGGAAGGTATGGGTTTGGCCCCCAATTGAGGAGATCGAACTCGGAGGGCACAATGCGACGTCGCAGCACTGCATCTGCACCAGCCCAAGGGTTCTGGAGGAAAAGGAGCGGCAGGTCCAGGCCATGTTGCAACGACGAAGCGCCCGGCGAGGCAGAGCGCTCGTCCGAACAACCGAAGAACGGCTAGTTCCCGCCGCGAGGACAAGGACCGCTAGTACACCCTCTGCAAGAAAAATACCAAGTGGCGCAGCAGCTGCTAGTGCTGGACATGATATGGTGCCAAGTGGGCGACCAAGTGGGGACGAGACCATTAACAAAGAGCATTGCTGTCCGTCTCCTGGTCGCACCGGTGTTACTGGGGATGTTGAACAGCAAGAAGTAGAAAGAGGCTTTGGCGGAATTTCTTCAGGTGGTCAACATGATCGCGCTGGCACTGAACAGAATTTCACACGACCGGCCCGCCACGACAACTCCTTGCTGCGTCAGATAATTCCTATTCCTCCGAGAACTACAGCGGAGAACGAGAACCACACTGAGGATCCTCTATTTCGAGCGAATAAACCCAGCGAACATTTACACATCATTTCTCCGCGCCGGGGCGGCCGGGGACATCAACAAACTGCCGGGGTTGTAGCAGGAGCACCAGCAGGTCTCCTGCATGGGGCGCAGAACTACGACCACACTCCGCGGCCGGAGTCCGTATCAGAGGGAAGACCGAACCTGAAAAAAAGTAGCATTCTGTCGCTCGAGCACCGCGGCTTTGGATCCTTTGGTCCTGCTACTTCATCCTCTCAGCACCTTTTTGAACAAACAAAGGACCACGGTTTCTTCGGTGACACTACTGCTGCTCCCAGCACGGCGCTACCCAGTTGCGTCCTGTCCAGTGCTTGTGATCATGCCTTAAGTGAGTGCAAGCGGCGACGTACTTCGGATGCGGACGCGGGGGCGGGCGCCGCAGCTGGTGGCACTACAGCCGCGACATCGCAGGCAGCGTTTGGATCCTCCACTACTTCGGCCGCCGCTGGGGTCGCTCCGCCGATTCACTTCTGTCTTGGTGAGCACGTCGGGGACCACAACACGGGTCATGTTCTGTTGCACCAGCACATGCACAGAGGTGCTGCTGGTCCACCCCGTGGAACAACTCAATCATGCTCCACATCCACAATGTCGGCTCTGGGACACGAAATGCACCATATGCACCTATTTCGGGGCTGCTCTAGTGCCTCTCATAATTCCCTTCGAAACGAATCCAATGCGATGTCACGCGACCTGTTCGGACTTAGTAGCACCGATCCAGCACCCGGCGTTCACCTAGCTCTACAGCCGGCGGATGAGATTCAGAATAGTGCGCTGCAGCTTCGTACTCCATCACAACAGCATCAGCACCAGCAACGTCCGGTCGCAACTTCCACTACTGTACCAATACCACCAGCTGCGGAGCGGGGGCACCAGTCTGCTGAGGATCATTTGCAACTACAAGATCTGTCCGAGGAACAGGAGCGTCGCCTGCTCGCGCGGAGCCGGTCACCGCTTGGGCAGCCAAATGATAATCATGCTTCACAGAGCACTAGAGAGCAAAAGTCTTTTCTCAATACCGGGGCTATTATTCATCATGATCTTCTTCCACAGAGTTCCTCAGAAAAGGTAGGGCCGCCACACCACCACGCGCCGGATGATCATCATCGCGCTGGCCACGAAGCAAGAGCTGCAGCGGCACCAGAGAAGAACTACAACTACCCGCCGAAAGGTGAACATGCAGCTTATGCTGACGCAGCTTCCGAAGTTGTAGATGAGCAATCGCAGGCAGACGTAGAGATGTTACCGGCGGCCGCGTCTTCACCTGAACAGATTCCTGGGGTGGAGGTTCAGGACGAGCCACAAGGACGGGAGGCGCTTGCTGCGAGTACGAACAAGGATCATGGGTGCCACTTGATTTCATCTCTGCGCCGCGCCGATTATTGCGCCCTCAACATCGCTAGCGCTTCTTCTGGACACCCACCGATGTTGGCTCACCCCGGCTTCCTGATTTCATGCAAAAAAAATCGTGGTAAAAATGTTAATGATCGTGGTGACAAGGTCGATGATCTGTCGTGCCAGCAGGGACAACATAATTTTCGTGCGCAGTCATTCCCTGTCGAGGTCGAGCAGGACGCGGATGTTGATCTTGAAGCTCTCCGAGCTGTGTGTGCGGCAGCTGCACTTACTAGAAGTAAATTGACGGACCGCGGCAAGATGAATGCCACGACGGAGGAAGGTCCTCCTGCTCGACCACGTTATTCGCGACCTATCAAATGTAAAAATGTCTGGGTCTGGAAGATTGCAACTTGTTATGCTAAATCTGAAGCATGCAAAAATCTGTTTTGCATGCTTGGGTTACCCGGTCGGCAGAGCCGATCCACAACGAACGAATGCTTACCAAAAGCTGTCCACTTTTGACCTACTCGAGAGGCAGTTTCTCATGCAGGGTAGGCATGATGGAACTCGCACAGAATCTGTCATGCTATGTCCTACATGCCAGACCTTATATATGGGTCATGGAACACCTGCATGACAAGTCTGGCACTCTTCCAGACCCAGACATTTTTACATTTGATACGACCAGAGGAAGTACAAGTAGAATGGGCCGCGAACAAGCAACTCTGGCTGAATTCGTGGCAGTTTTTGGATCAGCAGATGGATGCGAGAGCGGCCCGCCACTTTCCCACGAAGGACGACCACAGCCATAACATCAGGCCGCTGTATAAGCTGCTCCGCTTCGGCCCCCAGCTGGTGCTTGGGGCCACCGCGTTGCCCGACAACGTACTGGCCCGGGAGGCCAAGGCGGAGATGCGGCGGGGGCTACATCGAGCCTTCCCCGCGCCGGGGCGGGAGCCGCTACATCTGCAAAACCACGTCGCGAAAATCGCCGCGAACCCCCCGGCAGCCGGGCTGGTCGCCTGCGCCGAAGGGTACGCGCACCGGTTCCGCGACGCAGACAACCTGTTTCAGCGCAAGGAAGGCGACCAGGACATCAGCCATCATTCGATCTTATATTCAGCAATCGGGCCGCAGCGGCACGGTTGGGTGATGCTGTGGAAAGATGGATTGCAGCGGATGCATGTGGTCGAGCCTAAAGACCCCGTTCGCGACGTGGGCCCGCTCGCCTGTCCACGAACTTTGTGGAGGTGTCCACCGCCCCGCAGCCGTTTATTCGCGACGAAAATTGAGAGTCGTGATGATGAGCTTGTGAGGATGATGAACCGAGGACAGAATGGCACCACGACTGGTGCGCCGCCCCCCACGTCGTCGACCCCGATGGGGAGGTCTTCATCAAATGAATGCCGCGAGGACCAGCACGAGGACATCGCGTCCGCATGTCGCGGAGATCATGATGCAACATCCCCGGAGACCACCACCATGTTCGAAACTTTTTCTCTGCTGGAGATCCTGAAGACGGTGAGCATGCTCGTGGTCCAAACGGCCTCCGCGCGCGTTGCGTCGCTGCACCGCGAATACGCCTTTTTCGACCGGCTGGCTTTCACAGATCTCGATGCGGACGAGCATGAGGGAGATCATCTTCATGCAGGAGGTAGCTGTTCTTGTGCGGACGACGAGGAGGAAGATCAGGAGCATCATTCGGCGCGACCGCCTCATTATACCGCATGCGCAAGTAGGAGCAGAGAGACCGAAACGCGAGGCACAGGAGACGTCGCGCGACAGAAGCCCCCGAGTAGATGCACGAAGAGGACCACTGCACAGGGGGAAGAGCAAAAATTTTCGGGACAAGAAGCAGCGGCAGCCGTTGTAAATGAAGGCGAGGATGATCATGAAGATGATCATGACGTGCCAACAACACCCATGTCACCCGCGGAGCTGAATTTTTTCGGATCACGCAGTAGTAGCTTCAACCAGGCTGCGCAGGGCTCGTCTGCCGCCGCGTCGCCTGTTCAACAACATAACGCGTGCTGTAGTGAACAACAAGGACCACCAGCACCGGCGCACACAGAAGGCACAAGAGCAACTGCAGGACCAGACTTTTTATCCTATGGACCCGTCCGCGGAACTACAACTACTGGCGCAACAGCGGAGGAAATGAACTACAAGCAAGGGAACAACATCAAGAAGGTGTTCGACTTTAGCAAGAATTATGATCATAGCATGTCACAACTAGAAAGCAAGATACCACTCGAACTCGGAGCTTCCTCGAAAACGACCACTGTTCCGGGGATCCAGCCAGGCTTTGGAGCGGGCGGAATGAAAAATAATAATAATGACAAACGCGATCGCGAGGACCACGACATTTCGGCCCAGCACCAGGACATCACTGTGGTCCTCTCCTGTGCGGGACACGATCAGGAAGATGTGGCAATGGTCGTGAGAAACAAAAATGAGAACAACAGCATAGCTGACAGTGGTCCAGGCGGAGCGGGACAAATAAAAGGAATGCAATTGCCGCTTGATCTTCATCAAGGCGAAGGTGCAGCAGCTGCAACGACTATGTACAGCGACACGGCCTTTCTTTCCGCCTCGAGCTACTACTCGCCGCTCAATTTCAACGCCTCAACCTCGCCGCATTTCGCGACTTTATTAAACTTGAATCAGCAAAACGCAAATTCTACACGCAGAGAAGCAGTGGAACATGTTGACGGCGCGCCGCTTTTGATGAGACGACCGGAGCATGCGGCCGAATTGGTCCTGCCGCGGCCGCCTTCGACGTCGGTGCCTGTTGGTCGAAGCACACGAGAAATAGACAGGGACGAAAGAAAAATTCCGATTGAGACGGGGGACGAGGTCATGAAGATCTTGTCAGTGGAGAAGAAAGGTTGCACTTCGACTTCTACTTGTTCTGGTGGCCCAGCAGGAGCTGTTCTTTCAGGCACATCTTCAAAAGCGTCTTCTTGTCCCGCCACTGGTACTACAGCTGAATTACAATCGAGTGAAAGAACTTCCGCCGCGAGAACGGGGACCTCTTCTAGTCATCAACATGAACAAAAGCAACCCACGACTTCCAAGCAGAAGAAAAAATGCAACCAGAAGAAGTTCCTGACGCTGGAGAAACTGTTATCGGACGTGCTCGCGCCGCACTGCGCGGATAGAAATAGTATTAACTATCGCGCGGCGCCCTGGGAGGAGGTAGCGACCCCGTTTGAAAAGTTGGGTTCCGAGGACTTCCTTCTGAAGAAACAGCCGCTCCCGGAAGACGGCCCGCTGTCGCCCGAGCAAATCAAAGCATTGCACGAAGCCGGGCAGACGAACGCGAAAGTACCGCCTCACCTGAGGAAAATTGTAATACCAGTGATACCTCCGAAGGAGCCGGGGCTGGAGCTGCAGCAGGAAGGCGCTCAGCAGGACGAGGAGAACTACGACATGGATGTCGAGCCGCATGACCTTTTTTCTGCTAGTGAAAGAGGTGGTTCACAAGCAGCAGATGAAGAACCGCGTGTCGTGCGGGGCGACGAGCCCGTAAGTGATCGTAAAGAACCCCAGCAAGGCGAAGTAAGTAGAGAACAAAATCAAGTAACACCCCCTTCTCCTCCACAGGACGATAGCTACGGTCTCCTGTCTCTCCTCGCGACCCTGCTTGTGTGCCCTGCTGCTGACCACGTGCAAGAAGACCATGATGAGTCTTTATTTACAAGCTCCCCCTCGAGCGGGAGGACGACAGAAGCCGATCGTGCTGCTCCTTTGAAGAATAAAAAGAAGAACAAGAAGAACATCAGCCCCAGGTTCCAGTTAGTGCAGATTGAACAGGAACGGACGCGCACGGTACGAAACTGAAAAGTTGTAGTGTCCCACCTACTTCCCCAGAAATGCTTGGAACGTGGTAGACGCGCACTTCCAGAATGCCCGCTGTTGCAGTCGTGCCTTGTTTATTTTGCATAAGATCTACTTACCCAAATCTTTGCTATTTTGCTGCACTGTGAATTTGATGTGTCCCTGGTGCTGGCATACGCATACGCAAGATGGGACGTCGTGTACTAGCTTCCTTTCGGGCAACATCAAAGCTTTGCGCTACACATGCAGCTTCCAAGTTTGTTTCGGGTAAGTAGTTTTCCTCTCGAAAAGCGGAGTTGCAGAATCGCATCGAGGATGACGGATTTCCTGAAGACTACCCAAGGTCGCCCGGGCAGGTGCACCTGCAGGCCGAGAATTACCGGCGGGAGGTCATTCTTCCGTCGGAGGTCAACTGTCAGAAAATTGTGGCCAAGCCGTGTCGGTGCCCCTGGGAAGAGAAGCAGTTCAATGCGCTGTGCCGAGAGTTAGAGGAGGAACTACTAATAAAAAAGCTTCAAGAATTATGTCGGGAGCAGAGCAACAAGGGGTATGCGAAAAATGTCAATGAACATTCTTTTTGTTCTCAGCATCATCAAGAAAATCACTATCATCGTAGTACAACAACCATCAACCTAAGAATCCCCACCGTCGACCACACGACGAGAAGAACACAGCAAGCTACAGTGCCTCCAAGTGGACGATCACGTCGACAAGAGAATCCAGCCTTAATTCCAACGTACTCCTTTGACGCCCCACCGTCGCAGCAGGTGCAGTACTGCAGGGACAAGGGCCGGTGTGTGCGTACGCGCTTGGACCGAGCCCGGGGGGATTTCGTGCAGGAGATGTTCGCGGTGCACCCGAAATTCCTGGTATGAGAGTACAAAACCCCCCTGCTCCCCCTCGTCATTTGTCATGCAAAACCCCAAAAAATAAAAATCTAACTCTAAGACTAAGTGCATCCCTGTGGCACTGTTTATTGCATGACAGATTCCGGAAGTAGCCAAAACAGTACGACACTCGGCGCATGAATTTGTCATGCATCCTCGGCTCCACGTGTACTGTACAGGTGTTTGTATTGCTGTTCATGCAAAATGTAGTAAATAACAAATGAGGGAAAAGGGGAGTTGTGCACTCTCATACCTGGGGAAGGGCATCTCGCTGGAGTACACCACTTACATCTTCGAGGATATGGAGGTGTCAGAATCGAAATTGACAAAATCAAAAAATTTGTGATGCACAAAATCGACACCAGTTGGAGCCTCAGTTTGTAAGTGGCGCATGACAAATTTCGGGAGCACCCAAATCCCGTCTGTCATGCTGTTTGGGCAAAGAACGCTGCTCCTGTCATGCTACTCGCGCAGCCCATTGCATACCCCTAAACAGGCTTCCAATCGGTCTCATTTGCCTGCTCCCCAACACAGGCCTTACGTGCCCTACATTTTATGCATCACAAATCATTTTGATTTTGTCGATTTCGATCCTGACACATCCATAGAGGAAAATAAAGACTCGTTTGAAAGTATTTTCCCCGGCGCAACCCCCCTGGAGCGGGAGAGCCGGAGCAGAACGTTTCAAGCCACGACACGAAAGCCGAACCGGCCGCGGTTGCAGATCGAGGTTACCTTACGGACCGAGCACGGGTCGCAGGCCCAATCCGTCCCGATCGTACGCAAGGATAACCCGAAAAAAACCGTGCTCAACCGACACAGCAGCGGGGTGCGAGTCCGGATAAAGGCAATTGGGGCGGAGATCGCGTTTGTGGACCTGCATTTGTGATGAAAATGTAGTTGTAGCTGTAAGTGGTTGTAGAAACGAGCTCTCGTCGTAGTTGCGGATGCGGACCGTGTGCTGCGTGGAACAGGCTGGTGCTGCCCTGTATCGTTCTCACCGGGGAGTTGAACAAACGTATGAATCCGAAAAAAAATCTTAATCGTTTTTTACAAAAAACTGAATCTACTTTGTCTTTGTCTTGTATCACATCTTCACCTTCAACTGTTAAACTATCTGAAATGGAATGTATACACATCTTCAGAGCTGCAAAAAGAAAAAGAATTCCTAGAGACTACAAATTTTTGTATACTACGGCCGCTCGTTGCCATCGGATTGCATCGAGAGTCTAATGAGTAATCAGCGGCTAATTTTAATGGCAATGTTTCTGTACACTAGCAGCAATGTAGTTGCATTGTATTAATTTGTAGCACGCAAAAACGAAAGATGACACGACGCTATGAATTGATGTTGGCTGCGTGTTGCAGTGAAAATTCGAATGTAGGGGATATCTCGGTAGAGTAAAGTTGGAGCTGGGGGCGGAAAGGAAAACTGCCGCTCAATGGAAAAAACGCGATAAGAAAAGCACGAGCTGCGACGTGTAGACCGCAACTCTTGTTGCTCTTCTATCCTCATAACCGAAAGCATAAGCTGCATTCTCTCCATGTCTTCATCTTCTATCGGTGTTAGATTCTCTATTTCGGTTATTAGAACGCTGTGCCATTTTTTCGATGTGGACCGAGGGTAGTTACGCAATCGAGAGGACAAAGGTGAAACGGAATCGCATGTGTGAAAAGCTTACGATATTAAAATCATGATTTGTGGTTGAATGGTCACATGTTGATTGGTCAAGTATTCATGAAGCTTGTTATAGCCCTGTTTGTACGCTGTTATTGTGTTATTGTTTCGCTGTCGTCACCTTCCTAGGATTAAACTGAATTCTCCAGCTAGCTGCGGCCCCTCATTATTTTCGCGCACCCCTCTCTCTGTACTCGAATAATTTGAAACTGCTACTGTAGCAGCGCAGCTTATTTGCATCGCGGTTTCTCTTCTACTGAGCTGCTTGGTGTTACCACTGTACTATTATACTTTTTCCACCTGCGATTTGCATTTGACTATGCCGCGCCACACTCACTCCGCTCGTTGCTTTGATAATTCTCTGTTGCAAGAACAGCTGCACGTGCTCACCCGCAACATCGCTCCGCAAGTTCGGGTCAACATGTCGTTTTCCCTATCTGGTTCCCGGAGCTCTTCGCCGAACTGCGAAAGCATTTACATCGAGCACGGGACGAACGAGGAGCCATTGAGATTACCAAGGAATCTAGCAGCTTCTTCGAGCTTCTTTCCAGGACGTCAAAGAGCAGCCCCTGCGGGGAGTTCGTGATCGATGGCCAAGCTTCGGGGTACCACATTCTCCTCATTGACACCAGCAGCCGGTAATGGAAAGCATATTATCGGGGACGACGAGATATTTAGTTACCCACCAGTACTTCTAGGGGGTACAGCTATCCGCAATGTAGCAACATCAGATTCTTCGACTGCGGCATCCACGGGTACTAGTACGAGAAGCAAGATGCCGGCTGGTGGAGTATTAGGCGCAGGTAGTACCAGTACGTCGAGCTCCGTGTTGAAAAATGGAGCGAGCGGGGCAACCGGGAACACGAATAAACGTCAGCACCTGGATCCGCTGGACCCGCAAGTGGCTGCGGAAATCCCGTCCTTCGGCGAATGGTTTGACTGGCAAGAGGACGCGGATATTCTTGCCGACAATGTTGGGGACGAAACTTCAAAGAAGTCCGACTTGCCGGACAGTGTAATGAAGGAGATCATGCTCTCCTGGAGACTCAGAAAACCGTATGTTTTGTTGAATTCTGTTTCTTAATGAAATTTTTCGTTTCGAGGAGGTGTCGTTGTGCTGACCTAAAGAAGTTTTTTGTGGTCCACAACAAACCAAAAATGAGGCTGGAATTATAAAAATGGTGCACTTGTTCGTTCATAAATTAATCACCACCTCCAGGTACCTGATCTACTGTTGCATTCTTGGCGTGGCGTCCTTCGCTCTGCTCCTATTGACCGCGTATTCCAACATGTCCAGAAGCACGCAACAGGGAGGAGGTGCTGGTGCTGGCACCGGTACAACTGTTAGCGCGGTGGAACAACAGCAGCACCAGTCCTCCACCTCCAGCAATATTAAACTGCAGCCACACTACCACTGGGCACTGGAGCTGGCGGAGATTATCATCGGCCTTTGCCTGGTCGTGGAAACGCTCGTCACCTGGTACACCCTGGGCAACCGCGCCTTCTTCGCGTCCCGGTGGTGCAGGTTCGATTTCGCGGTCAGCTTGGGGACCACGTGGATCGTATGAATTGTAAAAATGTCTGGGTGTGGTTCTGGAAGATTGCCAGATTTGTCATGCAGGTTTTCCATGACCCATGAGGTCTCGTATGTAGGACCCAGCGTGACAGATTCTGCGAGACCTTTCTAATGCCTGCTAACCTGCATGGGAAACTGCCTCTCGATTAGGTCAAAAGTGCACAGCTTTTGGCAATCACGCAACACAGTTTTTTGCCTGATTCAGATTTAGCATGACAAGTCGCAACCATCCAGATCCAGACATGTTTGTAGTTGATAGATCGTGTTGCTGGAGTCCTGGGACCGGTTTGATTTCATCGAGGAGTACTTTGAAATGCCGATTTTGATCCTGCGGTTCGGCCTGCAACCGCTGCGGTTGATCCAGACCGCGCACATTATCCGCAAAGCGAGGCAGATGCAAATCACGCAAAACAGCACACGGATTTTCTGGGAAAAGCTGCCCACGGAAGAGCCGCACTTTTCTTCGTCAACATCATCCTCTTCGGCGATGCATTCAGCCTCGTCGGGGATGAACAACAACAAAACGCTTTTCCGCGGCATGATCGGCGCGAAGTTTTTCTCTTCTGCTGGAGACGCGTCCTATGAGTACGAGCAGGTCGTTCCTGGGAACTCCAGTGGCAGACACGCGCCCAGCGACGTAGAGCCGGATGGCACGGGGCGGAGTCTGTTTTCCGCGACATCTGCATCAAGTGCTGGTCAGCACAAAAATAACTACCACCGAGGTCAACAACATCTGTTCAGCGACCACCACGATATTACGAGGAGTGCGTCCTCCAGTAAGGACTCGCTTTCGACGCACCAGAGTCATGTGGGAAAAATTGTGGAGCTGCAAGAGGTAGTTGTGTCGTCAGCTTCCACTCCCCCAACGGTGGGCCCTGCTTCTTCTTCAAAAGGTGGCTTTTTTCTTGGCAGTTCAAGTTCTTCTGCTGGTGCAACTTCTACTGCAAGAAACAACAACGCTAAAGTAGAACACTACTCGTTTTCAGGTCCGGGGCCGTTCTTGAGCGGCGGCATCGAACACCAGGATCTCCTCGGGGCGGGGTCAGCTTCGAGTCCGGTGCAAGCTGAGCAGGACGACGGGCAGCACTGCAGCTTCCGGGCGTTTTTACCCGCGCTCATCGAGTTTCTGCCCCTGACGCTGCGGTTCGCAGAGTGGAGGTTACTTTTCAAGCCCCAAGTCCACGGGTTTTCGCACTTTCGCTTTCTCAAACTGCTGGAGGAGCACGACGGGGCGGTGGTGCTGCTGGTGCGCGACTCGCAAGGCTGCGTGTTCGGTGCATTCACCGAGCGGCTGAAACCACACTCGGAGCACAGGGAGCTCTCCTTTGTGTTTACATTTGGGAAACAAGATACTAGTTTAGCTTCACCTCCGGGATCTACATCGTCCACCAACAGTCGCGTAAGTAGCGGCCGGCGCCAGCAGCACGCACACTTGAGTATCGAGATCGAGGATGATAGCGGAGATACTACAGGAGCTACGTCTAGTAGTAGGCCTCCCGCAGCAACAGTCGCTTCTGATTCATTTCATACGACCGCGCCGGCGCTGCCTGGAAGTCCGCAGTTTGTCGCCGCCAGCCTGTTGAAGACCAACAAGAATTTTTCCCCGGGTACTAGTACTTCCTTCCTTCCGGGAGACCACCAAAATGCTGCATTCGCGCCGAGAATCCGCGTCGGATTCTACAACAGCGTGCCCGACCTCACGTCGAGTGCTTCGCAAAATCGCGTGGTCGGCCGAAGCACTTCCAAGGGAAACGAGCTACCGGCGGTCCTCTTCGAAGAGTCTCTGTTGTGCTTCGGGGAGGCCCTGATCCTGCAGATCGACCATTTGCTGCGCGGTGCGTCCAAGCCCTGCGCAGCGTACGGACTGAGCGAGGCCCTGACGGCGACGCAAGACTTCGTCATCCAAGACCTTGAGCTGTGGCGGTTCGAGAACTAGGGTGGAAACTAGAGTTTTCGACGATATCGATATGGACGTGGTGGAATCTATCATGCCGCTTCTAGAAGTCAGTACGCATGTTTATGTCGCGTTGACGGCACCAGGAGCAACGAGTAGCACTTTTGAAGTCACGATTTTGAACAATAACAAACCCTTCGCCGAAGTTCTTGTGTTTGATGCAATAAAAAGCAAGCACTACTAGGATGACCTTCGCGCGGTTCGTTCTACCAATGCAAAACAGGTGCAGGTGGCGTTTCCACCACTGCAAAACAGGTGATTCTTTCCACCAATGCAAAACTTATAGCAACTACCTAGGCTTTTCGTCTTCTTGCTGTTTCTTTTCACTTCGCTTGTCATTCTATCCCTCCGGTTTCCTGTCAGTGTACTATAAAAGATGCAAGATTTGGACTTACTTGAAGTTGAAGCTAAGTAACAAGACTGAGCTGTTTCTCCTACTTGAGCGAGAGTAGTCTTCACTCTGTTTATCCAGTAGCAAAGATTGTATCTCTGGTCTTCATCTTGCTGAGAGAGCGAGCGCAATGTTGACGAGTGAGCATTTTTATATTCACGATGCTGTAGTTTCGGAGCTCTTTTTACGGCTTTCAAAATAAACCTGAATTTTCGACAATTCTAAAAAAAGCGTGTGAGTTCTTCAATTAACATAGTTGTTGGCTGTGAGTGCAATGACCGCTCGGCCGGCGTTCTGTTTAAGCATTTCTTCCGATGTGAATGTGATGAAACGTTAAATTGGGGCATTTGCTTGCCTTACACGAAACTCAAATCTATTCTTAAATCACGAGCTCTGTGAGGCACAACACCAAGAAAAGAGCAGCCCTTCGCAATGTTGTCTCGTTTTCTCTCTTCAGCCTCCCGACCAGGAGGGCCGTCGCTGCGCTCGTTGCAGCTGCCCTTCGGGACGAATGGTGCTAATTTTACCGCCCGGTCCGCCGCGTCCAGGGAGGCAGTGTTGCGGTACTTGAAGCAGACGAGCGACGGTGCGGCGAAGCGCTTTTTTGCCTCCGCCGAGGCCCGGGCGCACAGCGGACAGGTGCTGGGGAATCCGCGGGGGCTGAGCACGTTCGGCGTCGGGTCTCGGGGCGGAAGAAACAGTCCGGATTGGAGTTTGCACCTGGTGGGCGGTTGCTTCACTGCCTGGTTCGCGATGGGCGGGGTGTCGGGGGTCGCGTTGGGAAACGCAGCGGTCGATGTCACCCTGCACGATACCTATTACGTCGTCGGACACTTCCACATTATCATGGTATAGATACGAGTAAGTGAACTTCTTCTACGAATGCGAATCAATCTACAAACACGTTTTGTCTACTGGTACAGCTACAGTAGTTCGCTGCAGGAGACGGAGATTACAGCGACAAGAAATTATTCGCGGACGTTCCATCATGTTAGTTATAGTTTGTCGAATGACGTGGTTTGTGGTTAACTCACTGTGCACGACATGGCCTTGCTGATTCAAATAACCCCCAGGTGAGTACCATCGCCCTGGCTATCGGGCTTGCCAACGCCGCAATTTTCGGGCCGGCAATCACGGTTTCAGCGGCGCGCGCTCTACCAACCACCACCAAGCGTGTGACGAGCCATCTTTTGGCCAAAGGTGCGAAAGGCGTAAACGGAATTCCCAAGATTTAGCTGGATCCTACTTCAACTTCTAGGTCGTGTATGACACTTCTGACCCGACAAGCTGCCTATCGTAAAGCTCAAATAAAGCAGAAGGCGGAAGTCTGAGTTATCGTGCTCTGTAGTTGTACCACCACACCTGCTTCCGAGATCATATTAGATGTGGATTCAACGGACGCGAAGTCGAAAAAAAAAACAACTGAAACTGATTACCCTAGATGAAGTGCCTTCCCCATTTTTGGGGTAGAAATGAAGTACATGTAGTACCCTGGTGCACAAGATTTTAGCAGATGAGGCATTGTGATGTTTATGTCTTCACGCGGCCGCGGCGCTCCCAGTTGTTCATGTTCATTTTCAGCCAAGGTCAAAAGACAAGCAACCGCCAGAGTACTTTTCTATTAGTCTTAATAGTTCTTTCATCTAGTTGTGTGTACATCATGTTGCGGCCCGATGAAGAACTACCCACATTTATCGGGGCTCTCATCTCTCCACTAGAATTCTTTCCTCGCCCACTTCTGTGGCTTAACGATCTTCACTTTTTTAGGAGCCCCACCCTGATTGTACATAAATTACCACATGATTCTTCTTGGACATCATCACATGCAGGGTCGTGGTGGGATGTGATTTGCAGCTAGTACATCATCTTCTTCGTGGTCATTCCTTGCAGAGGGGTATTACTTATAACACGTCTGAGGTTCATCTTGCAGCTGTGCCTTAAGTAGCACTCACATGCGGTCACTTTGCTGCCCGTTGCAGCCGTGTCGTGGTCTTCTTTCTTGGCAAAAATATTCCTGAACTTATCTCATCAAAATAAAACACAATGCCGCTCGCCGACGCCCCCAGGGAGTTTAAATCTGGCACACTTGTGCTGCGCAACAAGCGAGACGAAAAGAATGGCAAGGTGGACAACTGGCCGGCGACACACGGTGTGCGCGGGTACGACTTCCTCCAGGTGTACGATAAAACGCCTTGTGTGGTGAGAATGGTGGTGAACAAACAGATATGCATTGCAAAAGTAATGTCGTACTCGTATAATATGTAAATTGCACCTATGGCTATGCAGCATGACAAATCGAAATCTATTTCCTTTCCTGAATATATAGCATTTGAATTTTCTCCTGCTAGTGCGATACTTTTGCAACGCATACCAGACGAAGCTTCCACTCGAAGTCGGGCCATGGCACGAGGGGAAAGGACTAAAAGGACGATCTACGTCATTGAAGGACAATATATTTAAAGAATGGGGAAGATACATAAAGAATGGTGTAGGGTTGACAAATGGGAAATGGTCATTGGATCAACCTTCCACACTATTCCGAATGCGCAAAGAGACGCAACGGTACGTCCGAGAGAAGTTTCCACACCCGTTCCGGTTATCCTGTGCAAAAGTATCGCATTCGTATAAATGCAAGTCTTGCATTACAAATTTTTTTCTCAAGGTAAATCTGCATTACAAATTTCAATTCTCATGCTGAGGGAATTTGTCATGCATTTATACGTCGATCGCAAGAGAACTACGTGAATCGTATGGAAAGTTAAAGAGCGTAAAAGTTAAAAAGTTATGTTGTAGTTCTTGTCGTAGCGTCTTTTCGTATCTCTCAGTTCTCACTTCGGTCTACGTTGCAGAATCTATCATAAAAATTGGCTCGGTAAAAGATGTACGTGAAACCAAAATGGAAAAGAAAGCAAATTTCAATTGAGCAAACATGTTGAAATCGGTTCGTATCGTGTGCTCGTAGTCCGGAAAGGTAGTTCGTCTCGTCTCTTAGGAATTTTTTACTTATTCACACCTCTGCCAGGTGTCAGCCCTGTGCCTACCAAATGGTAGGGGGAGGGCTGTTCTGTTTTTTGCGCTTTTTTGGGCATCATCTGTTGAAGTCTGCGATGGGAGTTTCCGCGGGTTTAGGTGAGCTAGCACCCACGGAGCTTTACCCGCTGGACCAGGATTCTCCCATGCGAGCACCTTCTTCGTTCCTCCAGGCTTTTCTCGGCGTCCTTGGTCGGACGCCCCTGTTCTTGGTTGAAGTTGGACCCCGTGTGGCGGTAGCAGCTTCTTCTTTGCCCTGCCTTAGTAGCTCGAGCCTCGTTGCACTTCGTAAACTCTGCTCTTCGTAAAAGTGAAGTCGTCTGGTGCTTTGTTGTCTTACCTTAGTACGGTAACCCCTTTCCCCGCCTGTGTAAGAAGCATTAGCTTCCCATGTCCCCTTGCGTTTCTCGGCTAAACAGTTATTCGGTTATTCTTCTTCTAATGTTTACTTCAGTTGCTTTTCATTTATCAGCTTTAGTAGGGCATGATGCCAAAAGGGACGGACTGCCCTTAGAGCTCCCATGTCATGAAGAGTGCGCTATTGCTGTGGTGGCAGTAATTAAGCGGCTCTACATTCTTCCTTTCAAAAAATCACAGGGATTAAGTGAAAGCATTTCGTTCGTCGTACCCAAAGTCTCTCGACCTGTCGTACCGTTACACGTTTAAAGTTGCGTCATTTTTAGTACCGTGAAAATCGTAGACCGTGACAAAGGGCAACTAAAGAATTATATCTAAAAAGGACCACTGCGAACAAAGCGTTAAAGGGTAAATTGCATTTGCCGGGTCGTACAAGCACCGACGGGTCGTATACACACCGGGTCAAAACGGGTGGTATGTAAGCCGAATGAGACGTGGATTTGGAACAACATCTACCGCCTACGACCATACCAAGAGCAGTTTTTTCCACGACAAGTATCATCACGCCACAAATGACATCTACGGAACCACATGTGACTGCTGCGGCACAGCATCATTTCGACGCACCGAACCAAGCACAGGACGATATTTCTAACCCCTTACCGATCCTACCTTCACCACCACCTGCACCTTATCTACATCGGGAAAGCCCGCGCTGTCTCCCTCTCACAACACAGGAGCAACCTCGGTCGACTAGGCAGTGCTCCGGAGTCCGGGCCTCAGTTTCAAATAACGGATTGAGATCTTCCTGGGCACCGCTTGATTCTCTTCGCACGGATTGGAAAAAAGGTTCTTGCCAAGATGGCGATGGACAGGTAACAACACCTCGTCCACAACCTGCGACACGCCTACCGATTCGCTTCTTGTCATCGGATTCACAAGTGGATCGTTGCAGCTGGAGTACAGGAAAGGAGTATTGGGCGTTCGGTTGGGGTACTCTCCGCTGGCATTACGACTTCTACCGCGGGACGTGGCGGTACGAAGACTCGATTGATCGGGCTAACCACGAGCTACACTACTGGGAGGATGCGGGCTTTGTGGTCGAAAACGGAGAAATTCGGCCACGCTCGTAGTTCTACGTTTTACAAACTCTAGCTGGTTTACAGCTCAAAATTAGATAGAAGTGCGCTAACACTGGGCTTTAAAATGGTTTCATCCGACATGCGACCCCAGCCTGACACTCAGCGCCAAAACCAGATTACGTCTAGCCCGAATGCTGCAGACTTCCCAGAGGTTATTAGCATTACACCTTCGTCCTCCGCATTACAGCTTCTGAAAAAACCATCCAGACCGCTGCTGCCAAACCCTCCTCGCGAAAACTTCCTCCACGCCGTGAGCAACTCGATAGTAGCTGTAGCGGAATACTGTGATGTGCAACAATTGTACACGAGCGACATCTTCGCCATTAAAACTGAGTACAAGAGCGAAGAGCTGCCGGTGGCCTGGATGGCGGATTTCACGATACCGCTTCAGATGAAGTATGCGTCATTCAAAAAACACGTCCTCGACCCGAATGCTTGGTGCTCTGATCGCCTTAGGCCCGACGTTTTTACTCTCGACAGAGAGCACATGCTCCAGTGCTGTCGAGCGGCCAAGGGAAACCCGTGCAGCCTTTGCTCGTCGGCCTCCCCTGATCGTTTTCTACAAGTAAACGGCAAGCTACTAGAAGTCCGGGCAAGAGAACAAAGGTCGTGTGACGAGGCCGGTAACACTAGCCTCATCTACCTGCGCCGGTGCAGTTGCGGGTTGACGTACGTAGGTAAGGCCCATACGGGTGCGGGGGCCGGAACGCGCTTCCACGCACACGCCAATAACGGTGAACGGGTAACGCTGGAATCCGAGGGTCGCCCGATGTACGATCATCAGAGGTTGTACTTGAGCCATGCGGTTACCACGGACATCAGTCGGAGAGGCCCGGGGCGGTGAAGTCGACTAAATATTTTCTATATTTTGCGGGATTTTTGAAAAATGAAAAGAACGGGGAGTGCGGCGCTGCCTGCGGCGCCACGGTTGGCAGGGACGCCATGTGTCCGGGCACCGCGGGGGTTTGGGCGCATTGCCTCCCGTCCGTGTGCCCGGCGGCAGTGTTTCCCCCCTGGTGTTCTCGCGTTGCCTTGCGAAAAAATTAAAATTTAAAAATTGGCAGCGTTTTGAGTGGTATTGCGTGTGCTAGGAGTTTCCCAATCCCGCAGCCTCGTGGGTTCCTCTGTGTTCATTTCCGATCGCACACACCGGGGAAGGTGTGCGTGGTGGGTTGTCCGTATTCTGCCTCCCGGGCGTGAGGTTGTTTCCAACATCGCGCTGACTTTCGTGAGTCAGTGCGATTTTGGGAAGGGATTGGGATATGTTTGAGTTGTCCGTCGGAAGGAAAGGTCGTGGGGCTTCGCGACCGACCTTCGGCAAGATCCGCGGTCGGGGTCGCGCAACGACCTTTCCTGCGGGAAAACCACCTTCCGGACCAACTCCGTTTTGATTTAGAGTCACCGGGGGGTGCATTTTCGGGAACGATTCCCGTGTTTTCGGGAATTTCGCCCGGTTTCGGGGTGGTCTGCTAAACCGTTTTCCCGCACGGTTTAGCAGGCTCATTTAGCATGCTGATTTAGCATGCGATTTAGCATGCTGATTTAGCATGCCAGATAGAGGGGTATTTAGAGCCCCCATTTAGCACCCCCATTTAGCACCCCCATTTAGAGGGGTGCATTTAGAGCCCCCATTTAGCACCCCCATTTAGAAGGGCTCGATTTAGAGCCCCCATTTAGCACCCCCATTTAGAAGGGGTCGATTTAGAGCCCCCATTTAGCACCCCCATTTAGAGTGCCATTTAGAGCGCTTTTGGGCAGGTGCCCACCTCGTCTGCGAAATCGGCCCCATGATTTGCTTCTCCCCACCCCGCGACGCTTCTCCGGGTTTTTCCCCACCCGCAGTGCGTAGGGGGCCGCGCCGGAGTTTCTCCTATGTCTTCTCTTCCTCGGTCCCACACCATTTGCCTCTGTGTTCCCCATTTCGTCTTTGCCTTTTTCCTTCTCGCCCCTTTTCAATTGAGGCGCCGTCCGCATATTCCCCGGGAAGGCCGTTTTTGAAAAATCCCGCAAAATTTAGAAGCGATTTAGCAGCCACCACCGCCCCGGCCCCTCCGCCTGACGGACATCTTGTTCAGCATGGACAAAGTGGAAGCAAACCGCACGGCTACGCTTCCAGACGGCTCCACGATGTCACAAATAGATGCGTGGGAGTCGTTTTGGATAATCGTACTCCGGACGTATCTACCATGGGGTTTCAACTTAGAATTCAAGGACGTCACACATCCTTCGGCCCCTCGACGCCGCCCGAACCCCGAAGACTGCTCCAGCATGTGCCGACTTCTCTCCGAACAAGGGGACGTACTAAAAGTGCAGCGGCTACAACGTAACCTCAAGCGCTACGTGGCAGCGAAGCACGCGGGCAACCCAAACTTCTTCCCGACTGCTTTTCCTCCTTCCCGACACGGTGCAGTTGGTTCCGACCAGCATGACACCCACCAGAAGCGGTCACAGAGCGGACTCCTCGCGGACGCATCGGGAATCCAGTGCACACAAGATGTAGAATGCACACTCCCCGGCGTGCAGTGCACGCAAGATGAGGGATTCCTACGCCCGAGCATACCGTGCCCGCAAGAGGAAGGGATTCTTTGTACGCAAGAGCGCGACGATCTGCTACCGGTTAGCTCCCATCCGTTGAAAACTGATGGCCAGTTGGTGGAGTTCTTTGTCGGCAAACGCAAAGCACAGCGTGTAGTTTTGGAGGCCCCGGATCTGAAGCGTCGCAGTATAGTTCCTGCGGCCCATCCTCCTCGTTTAAGACCTTGCAGATTGTCTGACCGGCCTCGATTAGTAGAACTTCCAGCTACAGCGAAGACTCCGTTGCTACCAGTAGACCCGGCAGTAACTCCATCCCGCAAGAGCAGCATGGTTCAAGAACTTTTTCGCAAAAAGTTCAGTATGGTACGGGGAAGCGAAGATCGGAAAGCGGCGCAAAGCATGATTTTCACCCCGATGGCAAAAGAGTCTCCCCGCCCAGACCAGTCTAGCGCTCTAGCGGTCGCTTCTTCCACTAACCTCCTTCGCAAGCACCCAGACGAGGCATACACCACGAAACTTCCCAGCAACAGCTCCGAAGTTAAGAAGATACTTCTTGCAATAGTCTGGCTATTTTTTGCACTGGACCCCCCGCAGGACTTCGCGTCATCAGGACGGTGGCTGCCGGTGAAGTCGTGGCATATCGGGGCTGCCAAGTTCAATACAATCTCTTGGCTCCTGAAGATTATTGCGGGCTGCAGCAAACAACTTCTCCGAGCGCTACGCCTCCACCTAACGACGGCTTACGTGCTTCCGCAGCAGCAGTTGTTTTTGCTTCAGGAATTAGTAGAAAGCCGATTACGACTTACGAAAGTCGGTGGGGAAAAACAGTCGCGGGACGGTAAAAAAGCTGTTATATTCTTCTACCACAACAAAGTCGTCGACGTGCTCAACTTGCGGTCCACCTTCCGCCAGGTGTTGAATGATAGATTCCTCGCATTTACATACGGACCGCCCGTATGTTTAACTACATTCAACCTCCGACTCAAGGCCATCCCTCATGCATGCAGCGAGCTGAAGTGCGCGTGTGCGGATTATCGCCGCTACTTCACAGACGGCTGTACATGGGGAGGGCATCTTGCCATGCCAGCGACGGCAGACAACATACAGCTGCTGTGTGGACCGACCCTGGACTCTGTAGCGTCATCCAAGGTCGCGCTATTAATGAGACCAAAATTCCGGGTGGAGCAAAAGTTTTCGGCCACTAAACTGCTTGAACGCGTCAACATCGAAGAGCAAGAGTTGATTCAAGATGTAAGACACTTCTTCTGGTACAACACGGTGCCAGATGGTGCAGACAAGCAGGAAGAAGTGGACTGGAACACCGCTGACGGTTCTGCCGCTCCCGTTCCCGTCCCGGATGCTAATGGTAACGTGTACGACCGTGCTGCTAGCAACACTTTTGAGTGGGGCAAGTTCTCTACGGCATTCGAGATCGTTCGCAGTTTGCAACAGCTTTTTGTGTTCGGGTACTACGATAAGGCGACATCAACTACCTGGATGATGTGTAAAAGCCTTTACACGGCATTACTGATGGAGGATTTGGGGTTAGCCGGCCGCGGGTCTTTCCCAACAGGCACCAGCACGGACTACCACCGGGCGGATTTCGTGCCGGCACCTACGGCACCCTACCAGGATCCGGCCTTGACCCAAGCTAATCCGATCCTACCTGCGCCCGCTCCTCCATCGGCGTTATCCCCGGGTAACACACCACCCCGAGATGCACTGCCAAGCGCTCACTTGATACCAGCTTCCCAGCCTAGTCATGACCGGGGGCAGAACATCCTCCTGGACCCGCCCCGCGGCCTATTCCATGGCACTAGCACCGCGGCACCCTCCCGCTCGCGAGTTTCTGGCACGCAGTTACAGAAGCCGACCATCAAGCCACCGAGAAGTGGAGCGTCAGTAGTGGTGAGTAATTTTCGTAGTGCCGATTGTCCGTCTTCGCGGCAGCCTCGCGCGGGTAGTTCTGAAGTAGTGTCGCCTCCGATACTCGATGTCGTTCCGCCCACCTTCTTATCCCCGCAAGCGGCGCCCGGTAACAGCAGTTCCTCGTCCTCTTACGAACCCCAAGCTAATAGGGGCCTGTATCTAAAACGGAACAAGTACGGGTTGCCGGCATCATCTTCAGATAAAATCGAAGCACTAGACAGGGATCTAATAGACGAAACGAAAAAGGAACTACATGGCGTGCGGAACCTGATGCAGTTCGTGCTCCGGAAAAGCGAGAAGCTCTTGCAACTGGGTAAAGTAAAGTCAACGGACCAGCCCCACGTTTTGTTGCAGGCGAAAATCAAGCTACATGCGGAGATAGATGCGGCCATCGAGATGGCACAAGACGAAATGGAAAAAAGCAGGAAGCACACCAAATTACAACAGCAACTAGAACGTGCTGAAGCGGACCGGAAAGCAGTGCAGGCAGAGTTAAAGCAGTGTCTTCCGAAGTCCTCCGTACCGGTGGCGGCCTCGGTTAACACCCACCATGTCCGCCCGTTTCCCTCGGCACTGTCGGGCCGGCGGCAGTCGTTGCTGTGGAAACTCAGCACGCACGCCGGATGGAGAGTCATCTCCAGAAGCCTTTTAAAAGGAGTAAAAGGAGTGGGCTGTGCTCTAGATATGCAGCGCGCGGCTAATAGCGGTCTCGAAAAATTAGCTGTGTTCGACTTGCGGGCGGGGATTACACCTGGCATCACCTTGAAGGCGCTGGACTCGGTCCCGCAAGCCGGCAGCATCGTGGCCTTCCAGCATCAGAAACTGTATACGTCCACGGCGATTTTGTCCAAGGCCCCAATCCTACAGATGCAGGCTGGTCCAGAGAAATCACAGTGGTTGTCCCCGATCTTCGTTTTGTCCAATGCCGCCGTGCAGATACTTTTCCGGGACGAAACGAAGAGGAACTTCTTACAATGGACCGCCGAATCAATTAACTTGGGTCCGTTCTCTGCCAAGTTAAAAGAGAACCCGCTGCCGGTCACAGTCCTCGATGCCTGGGTCAGCCGACATGAAGTCGCGGAGTTACTGCAAATGGGGATGAACCCGCACAACGACCTAAATCCGCCCGCAAACAAAATGTCTAGTTTGCTGCTGGATGTGGACCCCCTTACTGCCTTCGAGATGTGGCTGGACGACGACACGGAGCAGGGCGAAAACCCACCGCCGGGGGACCTACTCGGGGCAGTTCCCGATCCGAACAGCAACTCCAGTCCAGATGTTCTCCAGCCGGGTCCACTGTTCGAGACGGCGGTCAACCTGCTGGACGTAGCGGCAGGGGTTGCAGAGGAGCCAGAAGATATGGATTTTCAACCGGAGCAGCAACTTTTGAATAGTATGGAAGTCGCATCACAGCATGACTCTTCCTCACGAAATTTACCTAGCACTATTTTGGCAGCCGACGGCAAGATCAACATGGGGCGCTGGGTCGAAGGCCAACATGCTGCACTAAACATACCGTCGGGCTCTGCCGTGTCAGCCCGATCTGCCCGACCACCAGGTCCCCGCACTCCGTCACCTCGCTCAAGTACGTCTTCATCAAGTTCCGACACTAGCTCCAGCTCGTCTTCAACGCCGTTGTTGTCGGACTCGGAGTCGGACTGGTCACAGCAACCGCCACCGGTGGTTTCTGATCTGGCCAACTTAGCTACGCAGATTCCAAACTTAAACTCGAAAGGAAATTGGATTCAACAGGGGGTAGACCATCGGGGTTGTAAAGTTCGACCGTTGCTACCAATTTGGCAGGCACGGCGCAATTTTTCGTTTTTAAAGTCCGAGTTTCCACCTGCTGATCAGTCGCTGCACGAAGTGTACAGGCCGACAACAGCGGGGCAGATTGATGAAATTGTCGAGCAGCTTAGCAGCTTCGCCCCGGCTCTGCATGCCCGGGTCAAGCAGAAACAAGCTTCAGCTCACCCGGCGTACTATGCAGTCATCAAGGGCCACAAGGCTCCGGCCTACAAGATGCGACTCATCGCAGCAGCTACGGACAAAACGGTCTTGCACGCTCCTGGTAAAGTCTTACACTTGATTCTATCGGCCGTGATGCAAGAATTCAAATCCCGGGTGTGGCCGGGAGCTTGGAGCGTCGAGAGTTCAGAAGAGGCGCTGTCCCGGGTTACCAAGGGCGGTTTCGCAGCTTTTGACGGTTATGATTTTGAAAGGTTGTACACGGGCCTCGAACACTCCTTCCTGTGCCACAACCTCCATCAGCTCAATTGCTGCGTCTTCCAGGCCGGGGGCTTCCAATCTGTTGTCTTGGGGTACGACCGGAACCGCAAAGGCCCGAATAAAGAATTTGCTTTTCTTTCACGAGACGCTCCTACGTCCTCTTCTTGGTCTCTGTCCGATATCGATTCCTTGGTCCGTTGGTGCTGTGCCAGTTGTTACATCGGCATCGCTGACTTGCTATTTTTGCAAGTCCGGGGGATGCCAATGGGCATTACCCCGGCCCCGCGGATGGCGGATGGCGGGTTGTCTTGGAGTGAATACGTCTTTATCACTTCTCCGGCGGGACAACAGTACCGGTTTTTGCAAATCCTTCGTTACCTCGACGATTTGCTGTCTCCTATCAGGCTGCCACTCCACCTGATTTATCCCAGAGCGTTAGCGTGCAAGCCTGAAACCCTCGGCACCGTCACGACAACCTTCTTGGACTTTTTCCTCGACGCTTCCATTCCAAAACGGTTGTTGTACTGTATGTACGACAAAACGAGAACTTTTCCTTTTTATTTGTCTAAGTTTTCCGCTGCTGCCAGTGCGGTGCACCCCGAAACGCACCAATCGGCTTTTAGTAGTGCGGTCATCAGGGCTTATAAAAGGAACTATCTAGTGGTTCACTTCCTGCGGGATGTTGTCGAACTTCTAGTTAGGTTCACGTTGAACGGCACTTACCAAAGGTCGTTCCCGGTCAAGGCGTGCCGGCTGCTGGTGTCCCGCCACGAAATTCCAAAGTGGTTCACCACCGAAAAACTGGTGTCCACCATGGGGGATTGGATGAAGCAGATGCAGACTGAAACTCAGGCGATTCTGCACCCGTCTTGGCAACAGTTTCGGCAGAACAGTTCCGGTCCGGTTGCTCCGGCGACAGTCAGGTAAACAGTAATAAACAAGTAATCAGGACAAGGTCGAGCTTTTCCCTCTTTCGAAGATTGAAGCACGCTTTCGAAGATTAACGCACGGTTGCAGATAGTGAACAAAACTCGCGATCTTATCCTTCGGGGAAGACAGGGTCTGAAGAAGCTCGATAAGGGTGAAAGTTGGTTTAAAGTAAAGCTTAAAGTTCAAACTACAAAGCACAAACTTGAGCTTCTACCTCCTGTAGAGTAGGCACCAGTCTAGACTAAGTAAAGTTAGCACAGAACTCGAGTAGTTCACAGTGCCAAAGGTAAAGTGTGTCTTTTGTTGACTTCCTGTTTTGTTGATGACTATCCTCGTTTTTACTTCCCAATATTAAAGTAGATAAAGTAAAATCTTAGTAAGCAGGACAGCGTCAAACTTCTTCACAATTTTTACTGGTAGAGCCGGGAAAGGATTTGGAGGTAGGCGCCCTGCTACCAACAGGCAGCAGGTCAAAAACAAAAAAATATTCCGATAGCGAAAGACGCCACGGGAAACCTCAGGTAATCCATCCGTCGTAGATGCAATGCAGTGCTCCCGATCGTCCCCATCCTTGTTGTATTTTGTGTACGAGTCTTGGTAAACACGAATGTCACGTCCAAATAGTTCAAATTAAACTTGTTTTCACCGTATAATTATACCTTATTACAGAAGCCAAAGAGTAAGCCATACACTTTCGTTATTATTTTTTCCTTTACACAAGCAGCTAAACACACTTTTTCAGGTTCGTTTAACTGTCCGTCCGCGAGGCCAAAGCCGCATTTTCAAGCAATTAACATTTACGAAATCACTAGTTTTATCTCCGTCTAGTTACTTCTTTTCCAGCTTTTGACGCCTACACATTCATAATTAACTTTTTTGCGTTACGCTGAAGACATAAAGTTCACTGTGCCTCTCGTGAAGTTGGCGACAAACAACTAATAGCTTAACACTGTACATATTTGACTATAGAACCAGGAGGAGCGTCGTTGAAGAAAACAATACAAAGCACGCTGGTCACCATTAAAGTTCTTGCCAAGGAACTAGTGTTGTCGAGGTCAATGCCGTAGAGTATCGAAATTCGCAGAGGATGGGCCGTGGCACGAAAGGGAAATAATCGCTAGTAGTCAGGATGTCGGTGGGTCGTGTAAACTGATCTATCTTCGTCTATGATTATTATTATTGACAACCTAGCCTTCAAATAAAGAACAACGGGTACTAAATTACATCCACCGCTACGCTGTAGTAGATAAAAGCTATGGCTAGGCACCTTTTTACACAAGGTCGATACCGCGCGAAAGTATTAAGGTTTTCGGACTAAGAGATCTAGACTGGGCAGTAGCAGAAGAGCGTTATTTTTTAAGGACTAATTGCCAAAAGTTGTTTTTACACGGTCCCGTCGCCGTCTCGAGTATCGGGCATTTCGGAAGATTACGTGGCGTGGCAATCACCGCCTCCCCACAGACACCGCAGACCGGCCCCGCTGTTAGCCGAGCTTGGACCGGATCCGACGCTACTTCGAGCCCTACGTTTCCCAGAACAGTTACCCGGCAGAATCTCGCTCGACACAGCCTACACTCACGACATCCCACTTCCCTTCCACTCGCACGAATCCGGCCACGGGTGGTTCTCCGAAAGTAATTTTTACGGTAAACACCTGTTTTCAACCCCTCCGGAGGTACGTATCCGTAGGGAAGTTTTACGACAAGAACAGGCGAGGGTGGGGGCGTTTAACAAAGGACTAGCATCTCCGGACTGGTCAATCAGCTCCCCGTACCGAGATTACCAAAGCGGGGTGAAACCAGTACAAGCGCGTGCAGTTCGATTGACTACGGGTACTTCTAACCCGTTTTTACCGTCGTCACCAGAGAGGTTGCTAGTCCGCAGGGGTTGGTCAACCATCCAGATAGAAAAGGAGTGCTTCGGGTCCCCGTGCGCATTACGGGCAACGTCCTCGAAACAAAGAAGATAACCGCGCATCATCACTTTCTCAACACGATGGCACTTGCCCATAATAACGGGTCCATCTTCGCATTCAACCTGCAAGAGTGCCGGAGGATGCTAGCAGTGACGAACAACGCAGCTCCTGACACGCCTAGGCCACCGGTGCAGCTGCAGCCAGATTCAGCTTGCTCCTACCAATCCGCAAGAGAGTCACGGATCAGCAGCGAACGGTCGTTCGGAGAAAATGTCTGCGTGGTGTTGGATTTTGATAGGGACTTTCCTGTGCCGAACTACAACAATCCCGTGCGGTTCATCCCCAACAACCCGTTTGCTTGGGAGGGCCTTGCGGGTGCCCGCATGGACGAGGGAGTGGCGGAGCAGGATATAGTTTTACAAACGGCCCGCTCCCCGTTCTCCGATATCGAGCTGCTGGATTTTCCACCAAGTCCGCCATTTGGTCACAGCCCTTGCAGATACTTCGCCTACCTGCAACAGTTCCAAGAGGACATGGACAACTTGCGGGCAGAACCAGAACCAGAACCGTGCAACCCCTTCCTGATGTCGCCCAGATCGCCGCTGCTTACAAATCCGTCGATCTTCCAAATCGAGCAGATCGAGCTCGATACTACTGGATCGTTGCCGTATACCCGCTACCCGAACCCCAGCCCCGAGAGCCTGAGCACATACGGCCTGTATGATCTCGACCTCCCTGTCCATCACCAGTTGGGCTCACCGCACCAGGCAACGCTGCAAATCAACTTTTCACAGGATTGCCAGCAGTTCCTGCAGTTCCATGACAACTTGGACACCAACAACATTTTACGCCAAAACCGTATGCACTTGACGTTCTTGCAGGGTGACAATGCAGGCACGAACCCGAATCGCATTAGGGGGGACAACCAGGGGGAAAACCAGAGACGCACTTTCTCCCCATCCCCAACCCCATCGGAACTCTCACTGATGGCGGCCGGGCGCCTGTAAGGAAGAATAAATTACACGGATGCCCTTATACCGGCTTTCCTCCACAAGCACCGGCGCGACACGACATCTTAACCGAAAGCGGCTCCATCTGCTACATCAACGCCTACACTTGAACTACTTCATCATCTACTTGTTACCATCAGTTTACAGCAAACGAACTACCACGGTATCAACCAGCAGTACAACGACACGCATATTCCGATACGACATCCAGAACGACTTCAAGTAGCATTTCTAAAACGACTTCGACCGACGAACCAAACACGACCATCATGATCAACAGCGGCATCTAATAGCATCTTCACTTTCTTCTGGTTTTCTTTTTTCATTTTTCATTCTGAATCTGTATTGGCAATGGTAACTGCATATCTGACATCAGAACTGACAACGATAAATGCACAGTATAATGCGTACTTTCTATGTATACTAAGGTCTTGGATATTACTGCCCAGAATGAAAAAAGAACAAAGAAAGTGATATTAGTTTCTTGGTTTTGTTCGCAGTCCTATCTATGTGGTCCTTCATTGCATGAGAGTTAACATGCTTTGAAATAACAATAAAAAGCCCTCCAGGTTGAAGAGAACTACGTGAATCGTATGGAAAGTTAAAGAGCGTAAAAGTTAAAAAGTTATGTTGTAGTTCTTGTCGTAGCGTCTTTTCGTATCTCTCAGTTCTCACTTCGGTCTACGTTGCAGAATCTATCATAAAAATTGGCTCGGTAAAAGATGTACGTGAAACCAAAATGGAAAAGAAAGCAAATTTCAATTGAGCAAACATGTTGAAATCGGTTCGTGTCGTGTGCTCGTAGTCCGGAAAGGTAGTTCGTCTCGTCTCTTAGGAATTTTTTACTTATTCACACCTCTGCCAGGTGTCAGCCCTGTGCCTACCAAATGGTAGGGGGAGGGCTGTTCTGTTTTTTGCGCTTTTTTGGGCATCATCTGTTGAAGTCTGCGATGGGAGTTTCCGCGGGTTTAGGTGAGCTAGCACCCACGGAGCTTTACCCGCTGGACCAGGATTCTCCCATGCGAGCACCTTCTTCGTTCCTCCAGGCTTTTCTCGGCGTCCTTGGTCGGACGCCCCTGTTCTTGGTTGAAGTTGGACCCCGTGTGGCGGTAGCAGCTTCTTCTTTGCCCTGCCTTAGTAGCTCGAGCCTCGTTGCACTTCGTAAACTCTGCTCTTCGTAAAAGTGAAGTCGTCTGGTGCTTTGTTGTCTTACCTTAGTACGGTAACCCCTTTCCCCGCCTGTGTAAGAAGCATTAGCTTCCCATGTCCCCTTGCGTTTCTCGGCTAAACAGTTATTCGGTTATTCTTCTTCTAATGTTTACTTCAGTTGCTTTTCATTTATCAGTTTTAGTAGGGCATGATGCCAAAAGGGACGGACTGCCCTTAGAACTCCCATGTCATGCATTTATACGAGTGCGGTACTTTTGCAGTTCATACCGGTACCCGTTCCACGACATCACCCAGGATGAAAACTATCTGAAGGAGCAGCTCCGCGGCCAGGACCAGGACTGTTTCTACAGGCTGGGATACCACCTCCAGTACCAGTACGTGGTTTCGGCTGCGGAGGACCCGGAGCAAAACCTTGTGCAACGGTGGAGCGACTACCACGAAGTAGATGGGGGGTTTGGCCCGGGCGAGATGGTCCAGGTTCGAGATTTCGACATGTTCAGGTGGGCATTCGGGACGCGGTCCGGATGGGTATAACAAATGAAAATAAATATAGGACGCTCCATCACAGCCTCTGTTCAAGTAGAACATCAAAGCAAGGGCAAGAACTTCTGACTCTTGTTAATTGAGATTGAAAGTAAAATTATCCAAAAACACTTGCCTTCTTGTCCATCTTCATCCTTGCTTCTTCGGGTTCTAGGCTACTACATTTTTCTGATCTTCATGATGATGATTTGTACCAAAATTTACAACCAAAAAAGCTGTCGGACAGCGAGTACCAAATCGTGGAATTGTATGAAAACGCCGAACGCTATCACAATCGTGTGTCATAGCGATCGCATTCCGAATAGACTGAGATGAGAAAGCGTCCCCTTGAATGTGGTCAGTTTTATTTCATGCCTGCATGAAGAACATGAAGATCAACACATTACTTGTGTGCCTCGGTGTGACGCGTTGAGCAAAAACTTGTACCGCAGAAGATTGCTGCACTTCTACTTATAGCCGTGTCTTTATGTTTGTGAATGTGATGCAAAGTTGCGCCGCAATGTGAATAAACTAACAGTGGTAGCGTCTATTGTCGTTGCGATAAAGTGGCTATTCAAGTGTGGTGCTCCGAGAAGCGCGATTGGATTCCCTGCGGCCGCGACTACATCCGTCATGACTCCGACTTGTGCGCCGACGGTAGTATTCTCGACTGGGTCACAAAAAATCCGAAGATGAACGAAAAAACAAAAAGCCAAAACAGCAGTACGTCAGCATCTTCATCCTCATCTTTTTCTACAACTGCTTCAAGAAGTGCTGGTGCTTCAGTTCTTCACAACAAGAACTCTTCTGGTCCACCTCCTGCTCGTCCTCACGGTTCACAGGAGGCCGCAGTTGTAGAACCTGCTTCCAGTTCAAGTTCTTCTACTTCTTCCTTTTCGACATCTTCTCCGTCGCAGAAGGAGCTGATGAGGAAGCTGATGAGGTCGCTGTACGAAAGCCCGCGACTGGTCACGAAACTCGAGGAAAAGTTTGAGAAGCTGAAGGCTGCTGAGGCGGCCGGAGGGGGGCAGGAGCAACATTTGTACAAGGGCTGGTCTGTCCGCCTGATGGACCACGTGATCAAGCAGTACAAAAAAGAGAAGCCGCGGGACTACCAAATGGCGACAGCAGCGGAAAACCTATACAAGCACTGGAGACACCACCCAGGCGCCCGGGCAGAGGTCGAGGCCGCGGTCGCGAAGAAGGAAAGTTTGCGCATCGCCGGGACGACGTTCTCTTTCGAACAGTGCCAATTTGTACTGCGCGAAATCGACAAGAAGGAGGGAAAAATGTTGGAGAACTAGTGTGATGTATGCCTAATTCCATCCCTATGGTTTTATCCCTTTGCCAAAAAAAAAAACTACATTTATTAATCAGTGCCTTTGTTCTTCTACGCTAGTTTTGTCGCTTTTTTTTGTACATCTTTTTGTCCTCGCCGGAATACGAATAGGAATTCATTTTCTCCGACTTGCAGACGGCGCTGCATATTGTTTGCAATGTACGTGTCATGTAGATCTAGATTGTTCTTCGTCGAATACCGATATCACCGTCCCGATGATATACTTATTCCAGAATAGCGGAACAGTAACGACAAAAAGACCCATCAAGTTTGAAGGCGATTTTTGGGATCTAGTTCGCAGTCTCAGCACACGTCAGCCAGAACTCCAGTGACGACCACCAGCAACTGCTAGATGGCCTGCAACAGTTCAAAAAATAGTTGTTCCCAGGACCCGTTGAAGGTGGTTATCGTTCAACAGAAACAAAGGAAAAAAGATCCAGTTTTATTTCGCTTTTAGAATAAAACGTTTCTTCGTCTTCTTGCAGCACTGAAAGTCGTGGGTGTTTTTAGAAGTGTTCTCAGACGTCGTGTGTAGCTTCCTCACATCTGATCAGATCCGCACCGGAGGCTCCATCCGATAGTGTTTTCGCATCGCTACTCGTTCATTACGACTGCGAAGCTAGGTCTTGGTCTATCGGAGTTGTAGTAGCTGCAGCTACAACCAGTTTTCTTGTTCGCGACTCCACTCTCAATTATCTTTATCATTGAACAAGATGTCTTCGCTTCGCCGTTGGTTTCAGTTTCTTTCCCTTTGCACGAGTTCTTATGCCTTGATGTTCTTTTCAGCGTGTAGTGTTGCTTTCTTGTTCGGCGTAGCCACGCCCTCGACCAGCGCGGCTGCAACAACTCCGCCGTCGGAGAAAGGAGCAAGCACGGCGAAAAGTAAGAACACCAAGGAGATCAAAACTCCAGTAGTGGAGGACCACACGACCATCCTGCCCGACCTGGTCGCGCACCTGCGCAACGGCAGATGGGACAAGGCGCAGCAGGCCGCGCAGCGGGTGCACGCGCTGAAGAAGAACAAGCAGAAGATTGTGCAGGTGGTGCAGGACAGTGTGGCGGACACGAAGAAAAAGGCCGATGAGCTCCTGCTCTACCTAAACCGGCAGTTTGCCATCCCGGACGAGCTGCCCTGCGCGTCCCGGTGGGCGCAGAATGGCACGCACGTGCTGCTGCAAGTGCGGTTCGGAAAGTCGTGGCAGGGGCACTCCGCCCACTGGGGCCAGCGGTACAGCACGAAGGGCGGCGAGGGCTTGATCGAGCAGAACGCGCAGGGAATCCAGGAATTGTTGAAAATGGACCTGACTCCGATCAGCGGCAAGACCAACCACGCCTTCAGTCTATCCATCGTGGGGCAGATCGGCACCAAACGCTACAAGTTCGTGGTGCCCGAAACGGAGCTCTTCGCGGAGGTGCACAGCCGGTTCCGGCACGAGATAAGCTTTCGCAACGCGAAGGGGTCCATGCAGATGAGCCGGGGGGCGCAGCTGCCCGAGCTCAAGCTGTTTTTCCAGAAGAAATATGCGTTCGCAAAAGCATCGTACAACTCGTAGAAATTGCAGTCATGCATGACAAATCTCTTTCCAAATACTTAACCTGAAACAGCATCATAAATTCCATTTTTTTTCTTTCTGAAATTTGTGATGCGATTCATACGTAGTACGAGCATGCCTTTGCTGTGCATAAGACGGTCCGGAACTTCTTCTGGTCCCGCTTCTCCAAGGAGGAGCATCTCGTCCAAGAATACCTCGCCTCCACGAGCACCACGACCACCACGACGACGACAAAAAAGAAGAAGCGAAAAGGGAAGCAAACCACCGCCACGACCACCACGACCAAGTCACCGATGCCGCTACCGGAGTTTTCCATCGGTCTCCTCGACGTTGTGGAGGACAATGTGGAGGAGAGCTTGGACCTCAGCGGCATCACGCCGGACGTGCACCTCGCGCGAAACAGCGGGCCCGTGTGCGCACCTCTAATCTACTGTCCGATGACAGACATGTGTGTGGAGAAGTGCGAGCTGTGTACTAGTACTAGTAGCACAACAAGAACTTCTAGCACGTCGAACAAAGTGTTCCAGGGCGTGTGCGTGCCGAAGGAAAAGCCGAAAGTGGACTGCAGCAAGGCGAGGTTTGTGGATTGGAACCTGCAGGAAAAGAAGATCGCTGGCGTTCTCATGCTCGACGATGTTTTGGGCCGGGACGACATTTGGACCTCGAAGAGCGCGGTGGTGCGGGAGGGACAAACAACAAGGAGTTCTAAAGAATCACAAAAGGTAGAAAAGGCGGTAAAACCAAGCCTCCTCCGTCTGGACACGCACACGCAGCACTTGTCTCGCGAATGGCTGCTGCAGACGGCGCAGTTCTCGCAAGAACAACTACCTCCGAAGAGCAGTGCGAACAGTGCCACTACAGAAAACGAGCAGAACCGTCTCCACACTGCATCTTCAGATGACAGGACCAAAGCCGGTCATGAAGTTGTTGTACTAGGCCAAGAGCAAGACACTAAGAAACTTCTCGTCCCTCCGTACGTTAGCCGAATCGGGCTGGAGGTGGAAAATGTTCCCTTCGTCAGTGTGGATCTGGAATTTTTGGAAGACGACCACCGCGTCTCTTGCGAGAGCATCCCTGTCCACGACCGGCTGGTGATGCAGCTCGGCATCGTGGAGCTCAACGCCTTCCACGACGAAAACCCGTTGGCGGACGCGCTGACGGGCAACCTCACCCTGCACGTCTCTGCTATGGAAGCGTCAGGTTTGAAATCGTCAAAGTTGAAAGAATTTGTAATGCATAAAATGCATGACCCGAGGCGCGTGTGTTGCAGAGCAGGCAAGTGAGGCCGACTGTAAGCCTGTTTGGGGTGACAGCTCGAGCTGCTAAAGTAGCACGAGAAAATCGCTCTTCTTTGCCTAAACAGCATGACAAACTGGATTTAGGGACCGCCGAAATTTGTCATGCGCCACTTGAAAACTGGGCTCCAACTAGCATCCATTTTATGCATGACAAATTATTTCAACTTTGTCGATTTCAACTCTGACACATCCATATCTGACCGAAAAAACACGCACGGTGTTCACGTCTACTTCTCGCGCGGGGGGGCGGACGCCACGAAGATTGAGCTGCCGGAGCCGGAGAGCTTGTTCATCTTTGGGGATAAAGATGATGATGGGGAGAAAAAAAGTGAGCAGGAACATCAAGCGCTTGAGGCGAAACAGCGGCAAGTCCAAAACATGCTCCTGCACCCCGAAGCGGCGGCGGCCGTCCGCGAAGACCAGGAGCAGCAAAATTCTGCGAGGAACTCGGCGGGCGACCAGTCTTCACCTCCCACGTGGCAGTACGCTCCCGGGGGCATGGATACCAGCGGGAGTAATTATGCGGGGACGAAAAAGGGAGGAAAAATGAACAACAGTAGCCCAAAAATTATGCCCGCGTTGCGATTCGAGCTCGTCGATAATGAAGCTGATGAGCAAGCAGATCGTAAAAATGCTTCTCCTCGCCGTCAGGACGTCCCGCAAGCTTTCAGCTTCTCCGGGGGAAAGGTGTCCTTTGTGTCAGAGGAAACCGACACACGCGGTCTCGGCTCGGCGACGCTCACGTTCCGTCTGGAAAACGTAACCTTCGCGCGGGGTGCGACGCACTGGACGGCTTTGCCGTACCACCGAGACGTCGAGGGCGTGAACGAGCGCTCGGTCGCCTTAACCGACGCGCAGAAACCGAAACGCCTTGCTGCGCTCGTGGTATAGTGTGGAGTTGAATTATGATGTTGAAGAGGTTTGGCGATAATTTAGATTTTGTGCACGACCAGTTGTAGTTTTCTTTCTTTCATCTTTATCCACTCGTGGACGTACTTGTAATTGTATGAGTTTCCTTCGAAGTAGTCGTGAAATCAGATAGAGTTCAGGAGATGAAGTTACCTCTCGTCCTCGTCCAGGTAACGGAAGATGAATACCTCATCCCGACCGTGGTCTCCGTCGGCCTGACCCCCGCGTTTCGCGACAACTCCGCCACCGGTGTTGTCGTTTACGAAGCCGTGAACTGTGAGAAGCTTGAGAAGGGGGAGAGCCGGGTGCTGCAGGTAGACAAAGCGGCTATGGAAAAACGTTGCTTGGACACGAAGGAGGCCGTTAAAGTCCATTTCGAAGCAGGGAAGGACAATGACGCGCTGACCGCGGCGCAGAAAATGTACAGCACGTCGCAAGTCGTCCGCGGCCGGAAACTGACGCAGTCCAGCCACCGGAGCCCGCTGCGGTACGCCGGGCGGGAGGTGGACGGGTTTTTGGTGCACGCACTCAACGACATTGGAGAGTCGGAGGATCCGTTCTTCCGCGCCGGAGTGGTGGATAAAAAGATGAGTCAGCTGGACCACGGCCGGAAAGACCACCGGGAAGACGAGTTGAAGCGGTACCTGAAGCACGCCGAGTCGTTGTACGTGGAGAAATCGAAACATTACGCCAACGCGGAAAGTTTGATCAACATGCGCCAGTTGGCGTTGACGGCGGAGCCGGAGCTGGGGCTCTTGCTGGCGGGATTCACCGAGGAAGAAAACAAGGCCGCTGGTAGGGGCGGGGCAGACGCGTCACAGTCTCACGCAGGTGACCTTTGACAAGAATAAAGTTCGTGCACGACGAGAAGCAGAAGCACCGCTGTGCGTCATGCTGCTAGCTTGAAAAATGCAGTCGAGCAAGGAAGTAATTCCAAGAAATGAAACTGTACGGCTACGGCCATAATGATTATGATGTGGCTCACCAAACCTAATAAAAACCTTTCTTTTGCCGATTCGTCGCATTCGGATGAAACGATGCCGACATGCTCTGGACCGTCGTTGGGCAGCAGCCTGATAAGAATGACAAATTTTGGTACTTAAGAAGATTAAAACCCTTCCCGGACGAAGCAGCAATGCGGCTTCTTATTCAGCGGCGCAGCGCGCCGAAACAGCTGCTGGAAATTTCGTAATGTACCACTCTTCCTTTTGTGCTTATGTCTGGTGTTTTTGGGAGCGATAGAGTGTCAACAATAAACTGATCGAGGCTCCTTCTTGCGTACATAACGAAAGAAAGATATCTGTTGCAGGCAAAGAACTACCCTGGCTTCGAAGTGAGAGAACACAACAAGGAGTGGCAAAATGGCAAAGGACCATACGTAATCCCACTTCGCGGAAGAAGAAACAAAATGAGCGGCGGTGGTCGTGTGGCCTTGTCCACGTCTTGGTGTACCAGCACAACGACTCGCAGCGTCAACGCGGCCGCTCGCCGAATCGAGGACGCAGGAGCAAGAACAACTCCGAGTCGTTCTTGTCTTTGGTGCGCTACTTGTTCTACTTGAGCCAGTCCGCAACAACGTCAGTCAAGAGCGGACGACACGATGTCCTCTACGTCGACTTTCGACCAAGGCGTGGTCCCGGGCAGCGGGGCGACCCAGACGACGTCCTCAGGCCCTCCTCCATCGGGAGGCGGTGGTGGAGCGACTCCGCCCGGAAACTCCAATTCCTTCCAAGGCGAGCAGCCGACACTGTTGACAACCCCTGGAACCTATGCATTGCAAATATGTCGGGGTCTGGAAACTTGTGATGCAAGGAAGGGAATGGTGCGCACATTGTAATGCGCTGCCCAGCATGACAGGTTTTTCCGTGGTTCTGAGTTGCGTAATCCGCATTAGAAACTGCGTTTTTGCGTGGCAGACCAGAGGAGCTCTTCGCGGCCATGCAGTACAAAGTTCAGAGTCATGCCAGACTAGCATGATAAATCTCGCAGTCTCCCAGACCAAGACACATTTGCAATGCATACAACATCGGCGCCGTCGAGAAGGTCCATGTTGGGGGACCCGACCCGGTCGGGCCACCCAGGGCACTTACTGCGGGACAGCAGTAATGCGATGGACAATGACAAAGATTTTCTGCGCAGATCACGCTCCTCCGCCAGAAACCTGGCAGTCGTCCATGTCATGTCGAATGCCAGCGAGGGTGTCGGCAGTCTGCCCAGCTTTCAGCCCGGGTTGTTAAACAGCACCACGGTGGGGGACCATCATCATCTTCACGCAGGAGACCACTTGCATAGTCCTCCAGTGAAATTGACGCCGCGGGAGCGCATGCTGGCCGTGATGGACGGGAAGGTGGTGCAGACGGTGATGACGTTGCTCACGGTTTTTGCCCTGTATGGTGACGATTTGAGGATGAAGTTTTTCTTTCTCCGGCACGACATTGGGTTCTACGTGCTGTACACAATCACCTTTTTTCTTTTTTCCGCGGAACTGACCATTTTCTCCGTCTGCAAAGAGGATTACAAGTACAGAGAAAATGTTTTTGTTTCATTCTGATTTTGCTGTTGAAGATGTTGGACCATTATGATTTTCGCGAAGCTCAAGAATTTTTTCATCAGAAGATTGATCATTCCGATGCCGATCTCTCATACATTGTCACGATGAAAAATTTCTTCACAAAAACGTAAATCAAAAGGTACTCTTTCTTCTTCTGGCTCGACATGGTCGCGTCCATGAGTATCCTCCCCGACATTAAATGGGTAATGGATTTCGTTTCCGGCCTTTTTGACGACAGCCAGGGCGGGGCCGGCAGCGGGCAAACGGGCGTCGCGCGCGCGGGGCGCGCAAGTCGGGCCGGGACCAGGGCGGGAAGGATTGTTCGTATCCCACGAAAAAAGTGTTACAGTTACACATTTGCTGTAGCTTCAGCATCACAAGTTTTCTCTGCATGACAAAGAAAACTTGCAATGCAAAGATCATAAGGGAAAACGGGAAGAAAACGAGGCTCCAAAGCATTTCCTGCATGAGAAAGGTTGTCTGTGTTGCGGATCTTGCAACACAATGTGTAACTGTAACACTTTTTTCTTCCCATAGTTCGGTTGATTCGTCTAGTGCGGTTACTCCGCGTAGTGAACATTGCGAAATTCTTTTCGAAGGAGGAGCAATCCGCTTTGGATAAGATGAAGTCCAGCAAGGGCGGCATCACCCGCGAGGGGATGCAGCACAGCATGAGCAAAAATGCTCAGACTAGTAGTCCCGGGTCGAATAGCAATGAGAAGCGCGTGGAGGCGAGCCGGTTGGGGAAGATTCTGTCCGAGCAGACCACGCGTACCGTGATTCTGGGCGTGCTTTGCATGATGCTGGTCCTACCCATGATCGAGTTGGAAGAGCCGAACCGTACCCCGACCTTCGGGCTGGAGCAAATTTTCTGGATCGGCCGCAGTTCCTGCAGTCCGTACGCGGATTTCGTTTCCGCGGGCCTGCAAAGTGACGCCGCTTTGCAGTGCAGCACGACCATACCCACCGCGACGGCCAACGCCACCGTGTCCGCCTCCACCTGGATGGCGGTGGAGGGGTTCAGCTATCTGCTCTACGCGTACACAGAGCAATCTAGGTTCTATTTGGGCGAGCTCACGGCCGCGCTGGCCCGACCCATTTTGTACATGGCGGTGCCGAACACGCTCGGCGCGCCGATCCGCTCGCTCGACTACGTGGTGACGAAAAGGTGCGACAACAACGGAAATCTAGAGTACCCCTTTCTCGGCTGGCAAGAGGACTTTGACGCGCAGGGGGGATGGGTAAGGAGAGACACTGCAGCATAAGAATAGACACTGGGGCTTCTGGCATAGAATTTCAGTTAGAAACGACATTGAGGACTACATCATTGATGACGCTGAAGTTATGAATATGTTGCTTTCAAAATGAGCAAAAAATAAACTTCACACTTGAACTCAAAGACCGCCGATTGCCAAGCGGCGCGCGCCCAGGGTAAGTGCTGCTTATCAAATGTAAAAGTGTCTGGGTCTGGAAGAATTCACGTTTGTCATGCTTGTCTGGCATGACTCTTAAATCTGTCATGCACGTTACCCAAGAGCTCCGTTTTTCTGTGCTGCAGAAGCGCAGTTTGTCATGTAGACTAGGCAGCACCTAGGAGCTCAGAAACTTCCTTGTCATGCTGAGCCAGCATTTGTAGCCTCATCATGAGACGCCACCCAGCATCACAAGTTTCCAGACCCAGACATTTTTACATTTGATACTGCTGGCAGAGGCACAAATACTGTGGTATCGGGGAGGACCAGGAGAACTGTCCCTGGCGGGATACAGAAATGGAGGACGTTATGGATGAGTCAGGATCGAAATCGACAAAATCGAAAAATTTGTGATGCATGAAATGTAGGCCACTGAAGGCCTGTATTGGGGAGCAGGCAATAAACGAGACCGATTGTAAGCCTGTTTAGGGGTAATATACAATGTGCTGCCAGACGAGTAGCACGACAGGAGCAGTCTCATTTGCCCAAACAGCATGACAGACTGGCTTTGGGTGCTCCCGATAAAACTTGTCATGCGCCCCTTGGAAACTGAGACTCCAACTGCCATCGATTTTGTGCATCGCAAATTTTCCGACTTTGACAATTTTGATTCTGACACTTCCATAGCCGTGGCTTTTTCGCCGGCGGAAACCTGCCCAGACGGAAGCTCCGAAAAACCGACGGAGCTGAGCTCCTCCTGCACCCACGTGACGGTCTATGCGAAGGTTATATGCATTGCAAAAGCATCGCACTCGTCGTCGTCGCTTGATTTGTAGTAGTGGTGCAGGAGCATGACAAATCTGGCTTTCAACTTGAATCTGCATGACAAGCTCGAGTTCAGCTTTTGCGGTGAATAATTGCTGAACCGGAGCAAGACGGAAACGACCGCGGAGTACTCCATGATCCAAACGACGTTCATTGTCTTTCTCCTTTATGCAATGCAAAAGCATTGTACTAGTACAAATCGCATTTACAAATTTTCTCAAGAAGAAAAATGGAATTTGTAATGCTGTTTTACCTTTGGAGGAAGATTTGTCATGCATATTTGCTGCAATTAGTACGAGTACGATACTGTTGCACAGCATATCCTCGGCATTGGGGCGATGATGTTCTCGAAAGACACCCAGCAACTGGTCATTTCCCCGATCGAGAAGATGGTGAACATAGTGAAACAACTCGCCGATGTATTCAAGAAAAAAACGTTGTTAGTGTAAATTTGTGATGCTCAACATGCAAGATGATTGCTTCTGTCATGCTTGGCATGCGTCGCAGGGTCCATTAAAGGCCTTTTTCACGTACTATCTGCGCATGACAGGTTTTTGCTGTCATGTCAGACAAACTTGCAATGCTGTTCCTCCAAAAAAGTTACACCTACAATGTTTTTTTCTTTGATACGATGACCCCTTGTCCAAGCCGAGCACGCAATCTGGCGGCTACATGGATGACGGGGAAGACCACACCTCCGGAGCTGCACATGCCGCTGCGGCGCAGAAGAAGCAGCAGTCGTCCGGGAATTCCCAGCTTGAAACTAACATGCTGGAGACGACGATCCTGAAGATCGGAGGGCTCCTCCAGGTCGGGTTCGGGGAGGCGGGCGCGCAGATCATAGGGAAAAACATGAGCAGCCAGGATGGGGAACTCAACATCCTGATTCCGGGACGGATATGCAGATTGCAAGAGCATCGCTTAATCGTACTGTACGTAGAGTTTGCATCATCTTCACAGACGTTTGTGAATAGGAAAGCTACGGAATTTGTGATGCGGAATCGCGTATAAAGAGCACATTTGTCTTGCCAGAGCGCACAATCCAATTTATATATAAAACTACCAATGCGCTACTTTTGCAATGCATAGCGGAAGATCTACGGCATTTTTGGTTTTTGCTTCATCCGCGAATTCACCGACACGACCGAGTGCTTGCTGGAGGAGGTGATGGTGTTCGTCTATCCTCTGTGCAAAAGTAGTGTATAGGTGCTAATTGGAATTTTTGAAGGACAGCATGACAGATCTGGTTTCCTTCGTTTTTTCAGAATTACAAATCGAATTTTTCCTACTTTTGAAAAATTGTGATGTTGCAGCTCGCAGTAGTACCCGAGACAACTTTTACTTTTGCAATGCATATCGTGAACAAGATCGCCCGCATCGTCCACATCTGCGTTCACGAGTGGGCGGGCGCGGCGAACAAAAACATCGGGGACTCCTTTTTGTTAACCTGGATCGTGAACGATCTCGAGGAGCAGAAACAGATGGCGCGGTACGGCTACGACAAGAACGAAAAGATGCAGGACTTGAGCGACAAAGCCTTGATTTCCTTCGTCAAAGTCATGGCGGAACTCCGACGAGCCTCCGACCTACGCGCCTACACCAGCCACCCCAAGATTCAGCAGAAGTTTATGGCGCTCTCAAACGTTACATTCTCAACTGTTACATGATTTTTGGGGAGAAATATGCCCTAAGGAATATCGAAATCACAAATTTCATTTTTTTATAGTTTCAATTGGTGCTTTCTCTCAAGTCTGTCATGCTCGCGCTCATTGTTGAAACGAAGAAGGAAAGCGAGGAGAGGAGTAGGTAGGCAAAATAGGACTCAGAGGGCGCTGGCGCGCAGGGCGTTTGCGTTTCTACGAACGTTGCCCATGGTTCGTCTTGACACTGCAGCTCTGCATCCTTTGAAAAAGAATGGGGCGCCCCAAAACTCAGAAAAAAAAAGCCCTTCTCTGCACCATGCGAGAAACCCTGCGCGCCATTTGAGGAATATGTGCTAGCGCGCACAGGCCGGCAGGACAGATCGAAGAGGAGAGACGAGGAGAGAGCAGGCCGAAGTAAAGAAACAATCGCTACGGACATGGGCTAGTCAAGGCGGATGGGAGGCGAGGCCCCCCGCGAAAGCGGGTTGGTTAGCAGAAAAAGGCCCAGCAGCGCCACACCCGCGTGCAGGGGTGCGGCACTAAGAGATGTACACACCCAGACCCACCCCGAAGGGGCCGATGCCCCGCACTGTCAGTGGTGGCGCAGCGAGTTTACGAGCAGCCCCGGCGCCCCGGCAGCGGCGGGGAGAAGCGCGAACCAAAACAGGCGTGGCCGCCCGGGGGGCCGAGGCTTCAAAAAAGCTGTCAGTCAGAGGCCCCCGGGGCGGTGTCTGGCGTTATTGGCTGGCTATCGGATTCGGGATTTTCGAAAATTCCAGAGCTGTAGCGGCTTGGCTTTGGGCCAGGCATGTGCCCCCTGCCCGGATTCCCCCTTCCCGGGCTCGTGTGTCCCTTTATAGGCGCCCCGCCGGTGTTTCTCTTAGCGCCGCCGTTTGTTTGGTCCCCGGGCTTTGTGCAACGTCGGCCCCCCGGAAGGCGTCCGGCGGAGCCCAGGGCGACAGGTTCCCGGGATGGGTTTCGCGCTGCGATTTTTCGAAGCGTGGCGCGCCGGTCTTCTCTGGTATTTCGCAGCCCCCCGGGCCGGGTCCCGCAAGGGCTCGGCGCGCGCCCTCTTTCGTGGTGGTTCTGTTTGGTTTGGGTTTCGTTGCGCCCCCGATTTGCGACGTCATCCGGGCACTTGCAGGCGGCTCGAGTTGCTCCGGCCGTTTTCTCGTTTCGGGAACCCGGCCACCGATTCGGACGGATGAACCCATCCCACGGAAGCACCCGGATGGGCCCAAAATTTTCGGGATTTCGCCGGGCCCGGCAGGGGGGAGCGTCTTCTATTCGGCGGGGGGGGTTCTGTTTTCCCGTGGAAAACATGGGAAAAGGGCCCCCGGCGGGCCAATAGAAGGGCCTCGATAGAAGTCGGGAGAGCGACAAAAAAGTCGCAATCCCGATCTGAATAGAACCCCAATAGAAGGGGTTCAATAGACCCCTGAATAGAAGGCCCAATAGAAGCCTGAATAGAAGCCCCAATAGCAGCCCCAATAGAAGGACTTCCCGGAATTTGCTTCGTTTTTCCCTGTGCCGTGTTTTGCTGGCGGCTTTTGGGTTTCTGTTTTTGGGGGTCGGTTTTTTGAAATTTGGCCGGCAAATTTCGTCGGGCGTCCCGGCTTCTCGCCCTTAGCTTCGGCGAGCAATCACCCGCAGAAGAAAGCACATGGGCGAAAGGCGTCGGGACATTGAGCCGCGCCGCCCGCGGTCTTCCCAATTCTTCGCCGCCCCGGCCCTTCTTCAGTCTGTCAGGCAGCCGGCCCGAGGCATTTTCCGCTAGTAAAATTTTTTAAAATGTCACTAATTCCGGGAATCGCGGGCCGGCTGGCTGGGTGCGGCACCCTTTGGGCACGCGCCGCATTCGGGGAGGGGGGCGCGGCATAGTGTGGCGCCCCCGCTTTTTGTTTTCCCGGGTGCCGTAAGCTTCCGGGCCGTCTCCCCTGGTTGTGTGTTCTCCCCCGTCCTCTTGGGGATGGGGGCCGCTTATCGTTGGGCCTTTTCGCGCGCGCGGCGCCTTGGCTTTTGGTGGTGGCCTGCCCTCGGGCGCTCTTTTCCCTTACCTCAGGGAATGACTCGGGTCGGGCCCTTGCCCGGGCCTTCGGTTTTTCTTTGTCCGGTATCTTTGCAAGGGAGGGGGGTCCTGTGGTGTGGTTTGGCACACAGGGGCTGCTCCTCGTGGCCATGGCTCAAATCCACCGGGGCCCGGCGCCTTTGCATTTATGGGGGGCAGCGCGCAGTGGGCCCGGCTCTGGAAATCAGGCAGGCGCGAGGCCGGGGCTTTTTGGTCTTTCAAGCACCACCCCGATCCCGGGCGGCTAATGAAGAGGGTAATCCCGGCGGTAATTTCCGGGGTTAATCTGAACACAACGAAATCGGGAAGGTTTCGTTGGTTTTGAAATTAGAGCAAAAATTAGACTACGGATTAGACTATAAATTAGACCACAAATTACCCCAAAAACCCAAGGAATTAACCTGCCCCCGGGGGGCAGTCACTCCGCCAGAGCATTGGGCTTTCAGTTGGCGCCATTTGCCGCCACTTGTCCTGCTTTTTCTCGGCAGGCCGCCCGCCCGCAGTTCCCGCCCGCCCGTGGCCTTTGCGTCTTTGAATGGATTCCCCCCGCCCGGTGCCTTTCCCAATTTGCCCCGAAGATTGAAGGGGTGGCGCTCTGGAAACCCACAAACAACAGGCCCGCCGGGGTCGCGTTCCGGCCTCCGTTGTGATTTGGTGGAGGCCCGCCGCGCGCAGGCTTCGCAGGCTCCTAGGCCTTTCTTCGGTGCCGGGGCACCCTTTGGCGCCTTTCCCGGCGCGCGCCCGCCTCCCCTTCAGGGGGGCGCGGGGGGGGGGCGCCCGGAGGGCGGCGCCCGCGATGGCTATGCGCCCCCGGAAGTATGGCGGCACCCCCGGCGCGCTTTCTAGTCGGGCCCCTCTTGCGCCTGCCCTCCTTTGCTTTGGGGATTAGCCGAACTTCAGCCAGGAATTAGCGAAATAGCTTGCCACGGGCCGGCTGCCTGACTTCAGGTTTTGGCAAGAGATCCGGAATGTGCAAAACGCCCGCCCGCCAGTCTCCCCGTTGGTTCTTCGCTTGCCCGGGGGGTCAGCCGTGTGTTAAGCGGGGCCGGCCTCTTTTCCTTGGGTTCCGTGTTTTTGCCAAATCCCGAAACCGATAGCCAATCGATAACCCACCGCCACCGCCCCGGGGCCTCTGACTGAAAGCTGTGCCCGGCCCCGAAAAATGTCCCGACTGAAATCTTCGCTCAAAACCGGAAGAATAGAAGTTGTCTCTCAGCACACAGACGCGAGCACTTGCTGTCACATGCACATCATTAACAGCGCCACACATGCGCAAACGGGTCGGGAAGAATGCAGCGAAGAAATGCAAGCCCTTGAACAGGTCGAGGCCCGAAGCTCATGCGCTGTTCTTTCAGCTTGTGCGTCAAGGTTTTTTTTTTTTCAAAGCAAAGAAGATTCACAGTCATGCATCTTGGAGTCGTTCCACGACATGCATCTTGGTGGTTCAGTAGTTTTCTCAAAGGTTTAGGCTTGGTCTCAAGCTTTGTAAAATTCCGTGTTTGGTGATAGTGGTAGAAGTCGTTGCCCGACCCCGAGCATCAGTAATCCCTGGCCCAGTTTTAAAAATCCCGCGTTACAATCCAGCTTTCAGCCATCGTTTACTTACAAATCGTCATCCAAGTTGACGCCGCCCATGTTGGCCCCCAATTCCTTCACGTTCTCCAGCCGCGTGTGCAGCGCGAGGAGGTGCTCGGATTGCAAAAGCCCCCACGGCTGGATCAAATTGAAGTTGTCCTCCGCGATCTTGGCGTTACCTGTTATTTGGATCATATACGAAATCTGTCATGCGCATTTCTTCCAAAATCCTTGCTGTGTGCATGTTGTTTGTGGGGTTTGGTGTTGCGAGCATGTTTTTCAAAAAATTTGTCATGCGCAAAACCCGGCCGCCCCCTTTGGCAAATCTAACATGCAAAAACCGGCAGGCGTGGCTTGTTTGCGAAGATCGAAAAAGGGTTAAGAAATGCACTGCACCATCGCGGCAGGCAGTAAAAAACCGATTCTCCGCGTCCTTGGCCAAGTGCTCGAGCAGATGCTTGCAGATTTTCATCGACCACTCTTCGAGACCGTCCAGGGCAGTAATCTTTTCCAGGACATTCACCCGCAACTCCTGCCGGTACTCGTCCCCGTAGCGCAACACTTTCAGGACCACGTCGGAGAATTTTAACGCAGCTTCCTCCTCTTGTAGCAGTTTCGTGCCCAGCGGCTTCGCATTGTCAAAAATCGGCATTAACTGAGCCACCTCGGCAGCGGTTTCGGTGTAGATCGCGGCCCCCTGGTTGAAGTTACGTGTGTTGGCCATGACCCGGGCACGGAGCGTCTGGAAGGATTTGCTCTTTTTCTTCAACTCCATCTCGACGTAGTGGCTCGCGACCTTGAGCGTTTTCGTTCCGCGCGGCAGGACCGGGCGGCCTCCGGCCGACAGCACGCGCACGTCGGCAAAAGCGGCAAGGTCTTTAGCCATGGGGATGATGATCTCGAGCGCGCGGGCCGCCCCGAGGCAGTGCGTGTCAATACTTTTCTTCACTTGCTCAGCACGGGTCTCCACCTTACAAGGGAAAACGGGTAATTGAAACGGGATAGCGACTTTTCCAAAACTTTTACTTTGACTTTTGGCAAAGTCGCTATTTTGATCGTCGGCAATCCATGCTTTGCGAAAATTGTTTGGACCGTGCTGCCTGTTGCTGGTAAGTCCGCACTTTGGGAGTGGCAGAGCATGAAAGGGCGGCACCTCTTCGCCGCGGCGTGTGCCCGCCAGCTGCCTGCCATTTTGATCGACGCCTCCAAGCAGGCTGCGGGAAATGCCACCCGCCGCGCATCGGACGGGCAGCGCCTCCGTGGTCGGTTGTTCGCGATTATTCGCGAGCGCTGTGGGGCCCTGTGCGCATTTTGTGCACCTTTTGAAGTGGTGCGCGGGCGCTGGCCTTTGGCCTTTCAGTATCCGCCCGGATGTTGATCGCCGCCTCGCGCTTCGGAAATGCCGGGGCGCGTCGGCCCTCTTCGCCCTGAGCGCCTTTTAAATAAGCAATGGCACTGGCTGCCACTGCCAGGGCCCGAATGGGCGCGCCGCCCCGCCGCGGTGTCTTGGATGGCACGCCGGCCGCGCGCTGTCCGACGTACCTTCGGCCCCCTACATTCTGGCCCGCCGCTTGCCCATTCTTACAAAATAGAGGCCGTCGCGCCCCGGCCGTCTGTTTCCTGCCCGCCTTTCCGCGGTTACGCGACGCGGCCGAAGCGTGCGCCAAAGGCGCCCCCCTTTTGCAACCAACGGGCAGAGGCGGCTCCTCCGCTCGTCTCGCTAGCGGTGGCAGAAGTGTCAAGGGCCTGCGGTCGGGGGGCCACCCCGATGGCCGGCGCGTGATGTGGGTCTGTGGCGCGCTGTGGTGGCGCCACCTGTCTATTTCGGTTGCCCGTCTATTCTGCTTCGCCTGCTTGAACGAGAGAAGCAAAGAGGCAGCATACCATGCGGTCCGACGTCGGACCGCATGGTATGGCGCGCGATGGTGGGCCGGCCTCTCGCGCCAGGCCGTCCGTGCGTGCGGCATGCATCGCGATGTGGGGCCGACCCCCCCCGGTTGGGTGGGCTTCCCCGGCGGGGTGTTCTTTGGTTCAGGAAATGGATAACGCAACTCCCCCGGGTGGCCCGCCCCACAAGCGAGCCGGCGGGCGGGGCCCCGTGGCCCCTCTGGTATGTTGCCCTCCAGCACGAGCCTGTGTGCCTGGGTGGTTTGCCTTCTCTTGTAAGATGTACCGCAGCGACCCCGTGAGCCGGCTCTATCTCTGCAGCTTTCCTGACAAGAACCGCCAAAAACGGCCGGGGGCTTGGGGCGTTGGCTCGCATTTTTTCGCATGTTGAAGATGAAAAAAACCCAAGCGCGCCCGCCTGTTTGGTTTTGTCTTCAATGAATGCAGTCGCCGGTGGGCTCAGTCGGCCGCCGGTGGAAAGACTGTCTGAAAAAATGACGTAGGGGGGTCGGCAAACGTGGCACCCTTCTCAGGCGCCGGCCGCGTGGGATTCTGGCGCGCGACTTGGGGCGCCCAAAAGGGCGCCCCAAAAAACCCGCCCGAAGCCAGAACAGCGAAGCCGTAAGTATGGCAGGGCCGCGAAACCGGTCGCGAATCGAAAGCGGCCGCCCTTTTGCCGGGTTCTCAGCGGGGGGGCGCTAGCTTTGCAAAAGGCGCGGGCGCGAAAAATAACACACAACGCAAAAAAGAAGAAACGCGCCAAGCGCGCGAAGCCAGCCCGCATTCTATGGGCCCGCTTTTCCCTCGGTTTTTGGGCGCCCCCCGCGGTGCCCGGGCCGGCCCGATAGCATCGGGGTTGGCTTTCGGGAAGGCGTTTTGGCAAGTTGCCCAACGTCTGCCATTTTCCCCAACCGGCCGCCATACCGTGCGGCATAACCTTACCCACCCCGGCACGGCGGGCCCAGAAAAAGCAAAAAAGTGGTGTGGGCCAAGGTCGGCGGGCAAAGAAGCGGCGCCGGCCTCATTATCTCCGCCCCGGCGGCCATATTTGGCGCATTGAAGTAGGCGCGCAGCACGCCGCGCGGGCGGCCCGGCCTCGCACGTTCGGGCCGCATGGCGTGGCGCGCTACGCTTCGGTGGAGCTGCCCGCGCCTCACGTTTTGGCTCGGCGCCTTTCTTTGGGCGCTAGCTAGAGGCCGTCCGGCCTGCCCCTTTCTCTTTCATATTCGCCGCCCCCCCGCACTTACATACAAAGCGCCGAGACCATGCCGCCGCTCCCGAGTGCTCCGCCTCGGTCGCGGCGGCCTTGCGCGGCCGGCTTTTCGCGAGTAGAAAGGGCGCCGGCGCAGCAGGGGCGCGCGCGGGGCGCCACTCACATGCTGCCCCGCCGGCGCGCGCAATAAGTTCGCCCAGGAGGCTCTGTCCCCATTTTCGGGGAGACCGCCTCAGCCATGTAGAAAAGGGGGGGGGCAGCAGGATTCTTCGCAAGCCTGGCGGATGCGCAAGCCTTCAGGCTTTTCGGCTTTTGAGGGCGCGGCGAAGTCTTCTGCTTGAGTGCCGAAAACTTGCCGAAAACTTTCCCCCGAACTTTCCCGAAACTTTCCCGCTTCGGGATCATTTTCGGACTCGAAAACTTTTGGCTGACTTTTCAACTCCCGGTCTGTAACTTTTGGTCGACTTTTCAACGGGAGAATTTTTCGGGAAGGTTTCGCGGAAGGTTTTCGCCGACTTTTCGGGAAAGTTCGGGGGAAAGTTTTCGGCAAGTTCTCGGCAAAGTTTCCGGCAGAGTTTTCGGTAGAGGGGCGGAAAAGTTTCGCCGCCCGGCGCCTGCACTTTGTTCCTGCCCGCCAGCCGGGCCGCCCTCGGGCGGCTGCCTTGCGCCCGAAAAGAGGCAGGCACAGCCCCCCGGCAGGCACGCCTGCGGTTATTGCGCACGTAGCCAGGCAAGCGGCCGGCCCCGCCCCGGCGGGCGGCCGGCGCTACGTTGTCGCATGCGCCACCGGGCAGCGGATTCACGCCCCGGGGGCGCCGGTGCGCGTGTAGCTTGCTGCGAACCAAGAGAGGGCGCCCGGGCTTCGGCGGTTGCTACCGACCCCCTGAACTTGGTTGGCGCGTTGCGCCGTTCGGGGCGCGTGCGGGGCATGCGCTCCGCGTACTCCACACTTGCGGCGGCCGGCGGGCTCTTGGGGGCCCGGGCGCCGCTGGGGTTGGCGTCGGTTTGCCCAAACCCATAGACGGAAGGAACACCCGGCCCGGCCGCGCCAGTCCTTCGCCCCCCCCGCCCGCGACCGACCTAGACCGGGGCCACAGTGTGCCGGCCGGCAACAGCCGCGCGGGCGTGGCGCCTCCCTGCGCACTGCTGAGCCCGGGCGGGGGAGGCGTGTTATTGGGGCGCCGAAGCGATTCCGCCGCATCCGCCAGGCGCCAGCCGGCCGGGGCCGGCCTGTCTGGGGGCCTCCCGCCCTCTGATATGGGGGCGCGCCTGCATGTTGGGCCCCGCCGGCCTGCCTGCGCGCCTGGAATACCGGGCGGCGCCGCCGCGGGTCTACTTCCTACGTGCCGGCGGCCCGATTGCCACCCGTCGTTCGTCTCGCCCTTCGCTCGCCCTGCGCCCCACCCTGTGGGCCGGGATTGGGCGATCTGTTTCGTCTCTATCTGGTCAGCCGGGGCCTGTGCGTTTGCTGTTTTGCTTTTCCGACAAGCATACCGTGCGGTCCGACGTCGGACCGCATGGCACGCTCGACACCGTTTCGGGCGGGGCGAGCCATGTTGGGGCGCCGGGCGATGTGGTTGGTGCACGGGCGGAACTGCGCCCCTGCGTGCGACGTAGGGGAGGGGACGTCGTGGGGGCTTAGTTACCCTCGGGGCCTGTTTGCTTGCTACGTGTGGGGCTGTCGGACGGTAAGCCGCTGCTGCGTGTGCCCAGCGTGCCAAATATAGCCTCCGTGGCGGAGGTGGTGAGGTCGGTGCCGCTGGCTGCCTTGCCCGCCCGCCGGCCGTTGCCCTGGCCAGCCACTGTGTCTTTTTTCTGGGCCCCCCGTGCCGCTTTTGGTATGGCCATGCCGCGTGGCTTGGCCGTCTTTTGGAAAGCATGGTAGTTCTTTGCCAAATTTTCAGAACCCCTGTCCGAAAGCTAGCCCTGGCGGTATGGGGCCGATCCGGGCGCCGCGGTGGAGCGCCCTGAAACCGAAGGCAAACCGGTCCCATGGCATGGGGATTGGCCTCGCGCGCTTGGCGCGCTTTTGCTTTTCTGTGTTTTTTCTTTGCGCGCCGGCACCCTTTGCAAAGCTTCCGCCGCATAGAAACCGGCGAAAAGGCGGCGGCCGCTTTCGCGGCCGGCCAAATGCTCCGAACGGAGCCCCGGCCCTGTCGTGCGGCTTCGCTTTTCTGATTTGCCGCGAGTTTTTTGGGGCGCTCTTTTGCGCGCCCCAAATCGCCAGAACCCCACGCGGCCGGCGCCTCAGCGGGGTGCCCCTTTTCTTTGTCGGCCCTCCTGTGTCGTTAGTATTATCAGCCGGCGACCGATAGAACCCGGCGCCGGCGGTTCGTTGAAGTCAAACAAAGCCCAACAGGCTGGCGCGCTTTGATCTTCCTCATGTGGAAAAGCGCGAAACAGCAGCACACACCGCCGGCAGCTTTTGGCCGGTGGTTGCTTTGCATTAAGAAAGCTGCCAGGGTCGGGCCGTTTCGCGGTGGCGGCCCGCCGGCGGCGGGAGGCGCGGGCGGGCGCCGCGGTTCGCGGTGTTTGTGAGGCTTGGGCGCGCGCGTTTTTTGGCGAGGGCGCGTGCTGCCCGGTGCCCGGTTGCGTCGGGTTTAGGGTCTGGCGGACCGGCCCCCTTCCCTGCGTCGGTAGCCCTCCTCCTAGTCCGTTCCCGGGTAGGCCTTCCGGGCCTGGGGGGGGGCGGGTGGGTGCGATGGGCGGTCATGGCCTTTTTCTTTAGGGCGCCCGCGCCGGCAGCCGTTGGCTGGGTGCGGTCGGCGGGTGCCCGGCGCGCGCACGCTTCGGCGGGTTGAAAGGCGGTCGCTCGGGCTTCGCCGATCACCCGCGGGACAAGAGGAGGCGTCGGCGCCCAAGACCTCGCAGGCGCCCCTGTTCTGTCGCTTGGAGTATCTTCGCTGCGTTTTTTCGTTCTGAGTCGCATTACCAAATCGTTTTCAATGCCGTGAAATCCTGAAAAGTCAAATGAAAAGTTTTGGAAAAGTTCGAATCGCCCGCCAATTAGTCGTTTTCCCTTGTAAACGGGTCTCCACCAGCTTCCACTGGGATTGCTGTCGGGAATTTAAAGTGTGAATTTGTAACATACAGAAGAGTGGTCGCGCGCACATCTTGTTCTGCGCGGCGCTAATCAACATCCGAGAAAGCCGTGAACTTTCCTACGCGTGACAGATTTTTTTAAACAAGAAAAGACAGTAACGATTTACCATGGTCAGCTCCGGCGGGGTCGGGGTGGTGTTACCCCACAACGCGGCCGTCATATACATAGTCTACTTCGCTAACTCCACCGGGCGGGGTGATGTCGTCTTCATACTTTTGCACCCCTTCGGGCCAGTCGTACTGCTCGTCGCCGATCTTGAAATAATCGAACATGTTCTGCGCGCGCGACTGTTCCTGCGCCAAGTCGTTCCGCTTGGAAGCGACTTTCTTCACCAGCTCCTCCAGCAGCTTCTTCCCCTCCGGCACGTCCGGGGTGATCTCGTTGATGCCCTGGGCGACGCGGGCAGCGAACACCAGATACTCGGAGGCGTCCCCCGGACAAAAGATGTTGAAGTGGGAGGCATACCTGAAAAAAAAACATCACTCGTAGTACATCGTGTGTGCCTAGGGTGCCACATAAAAGAACGCTGCACCGACCGCCCCCCACCGTGGAGAGGGTCACTTCCCGCAAAATCTACAAAAGAAATTTAGCCAAGAAACTTTCCAAAAACTACCGAAACACTACAAGAGCTCGACCAAAATTATACAAAACAAAACACATCGCTTTAATCTCCGCGATCGGAAAGCCGTACGCTGTCAGCGCCAGTGTGTGCTGGCGCCAACGGATTAACTTCCGGAAATTGGGCGGAACCGAAACCCCGTCGAATTTTCCCAAAGCAGTCAAAGTCGCGATGAGGCTGGGTCGAGTTTTGACTTTCGAAACCACCACCGTAGCGCGCGAGTTGATGGCAGTGAAAATGTGCCCGGGGATCCCGTCCAGGTCACTGAAGTTGCGGGATTTGCAGTAGTTGTTCAGAGCAGTAGTGGTCGTCTCCGCGTAAGCCACGTTGTCGAACTCCTTGGGTAAGGCAGCGTCCTGCGGCAAAGCAGCGGCCGCCGCGGACTTCTTCGCCGCCCGCACAACGGAGCTGTCGACGATGCTAGCGTGCTGGCCACGTTTCTTCGCCGCCGCCTGGATGTCATAAGCCGCCAACTGGATCACCTTGCCCACCGCCGTTTTGGCCATCACATATACGGGGGGAATAAACATCGCCCCGCCGCGAGTTTGTCACGCATAATCGAAAACCACACAAATATCATGCAAAAAATCTGCATGACAAACCACGGGGGACGATAATAGCACTGCCATAGTTCGGGCTGGTCCTCGAAAACTGCTTTTTTTTTGATTTTCAAAAACTCCGCCCGCTCCTCGTTGGTCGGGGGACGGGAGAGGGCCTTCTTGTTGCGCTTCACCATTTTCAAGCGGGGGGCGGGGAAATAGAGGGTCTAATTCCGGCAAGTAATAAGCGAAAAATACGATGTGCGTCCTAGTGAGTAGCGCGAGAAGCTTAAACGTGACTCGTTCGAGAAAACTGATTAGCGAAAACCTGACGCCAATGAGCAATACAAAAAACCTAAACCGTGACGCTTTTGAAAATGGCCGCGACTTCCTGCCAGTGTGATTGTCTACGCAAGACAAATCTAGCCCCTGGGAAGCATTGTCCAGAAATGTAATTGGTGCCAGATGCGCACTAAGTAAGCATCGCAAAATCAAACAAATACGGGAGTGGCGCATTACAAATTCAGGCTTCCAAACTACTCAGAAAATCTTGCGGGCGCGCCAAGCATGAGAACCAGAGATCGGGAGGAGCTGAGCTGTTGATCAAGATCTTTTTCTTGCTGTGACATCAGACATACTTGCGCAGGAGCGGAGTCTTGTGATCCTAGCGGCAGTCAACCTGCGCGGAAAACAATAACTCCTATTGAACTGGCCATCTATCTGCGGAGTTAGAGCTTCGAAAAAAACAGGAATCTTCGATCCTATGAGCGACATCATACGACCTCAATGCGCTGCGGTGGAGCGTGTGTTTTCGGTGCTACTGCAGTAGGAGCCTCAAGTTTATTACTGCGGACCCCGCAAGGGCCGGAGGTCAGGGTTATAAATTATTCGTAGTGGAGGCTATATAAAGTGACTTCATAATGAAGCGCCGGAATTATTTTACGGTCCAGAGACCCCAACGAAACTACCCCCCCCACTCCGCTTCTTCTGTGCGCGTGCAAAACCTGGGCCGTCACGCCTGGTTTGAGTTTTTGAGTTCACTGCGAAGTTGAATCGTTTTCCCAAATTTTTTTTGTGCAAAAACAAACTTTTGCCAAATTCCTATTTTGCATTCCCAAACTTTTTTTGTGCAAAAAAAATTCCGTCGCGGACCCCCGGAGAGGGCCGAGAGTGCAAAATCCCACACGTTTTTACAAAAATACCTTCCGAAGGGGCTCCCCGGGTGATTTGTTTGTGGGCCCCGTGCGTCCCGTCTGCGTCCCGTGTGTGGTCCGTCGAAAATTTGGGAAAACGAAAACACGAAAAAGCCGGAAGCTTCGGTCCGCGAATCCTTGAAAAACTACCGCAGTCCGACCCTCCTGAGCGATCTTCTTTTGGCTTCCCAAAAACTACTGGTCGCAATCTTCCTCCGGCTGGAAGTCGCGCAGGCCCTCAGCGCCGTCGGATAGCGGCCGCAGACGCCACATCGCCCTGTCGGGAATTTTTCGAAATTCCTTCTCCTTTCTCTTCATTTTCTCATCATTCAGAACCATGTGGCCCCGCGACTCGTCAAAAGACGCCAAAACCAGCTCCCACTGCTCCGCAACCACTTTTCCCACCTCTCGGTCCTCCGTGCGTTTCGCGACAGCAGCCTTCGTTTCGTCGCCGAGGGATTTCAGAACGAATGCGTGGCGCGCGGCCCATATGTTCAGGACGTGCCGCACCTCATGCGGTGGCGAGTTACCCGTGATAGAGACCTCGAGCGACTTTTTTCCAAGAATATCGAAAAGCCAGTCCACCTCGATGAATCTTCTTGCAGTGTTCTTGTCGCGTGGCAGAATCTTCAACGTCCTACTCTCGAGCGGCTTCAGGCCTTTCTCGATTCTTTCGAAAGTGTCCTCGCTATCTCCGCTCTTGATGAAGTAGTCGGAAAGGTCAGCGTCGCGCCGCTGCTTCGCGAATTCCTGCCGCATGGCGTTTCTTTCGGCCTCCGACAGCTGCATCACGGTGAGCCGATCGCGCACCTTGACCAGGTGCTGCTGCGCAGCTTCCTGCTTAGTGGCTGTGCTGGCGATCTGCTCCCGCAAGATTTCCAACGCCCCGCCCGGGGTGTCTTTGCTCGCGCCCAGGTCTGTCTTTTGCCGCTTCGCAGGCGGGACTGCAAGTTCCCCACTGTGTTTCAGGCTTGCCAAGAATTGCCGCAGCTCCACCGGGTCATCGATCTCCTGAGTTTTCCTCTTAATGTCCTGCGGGAGAGTGTGCTGCACCTGGGGCCCCGCTGGATCGGAGCCGATGTTCTTAGTCGCATTCGCCTGTCCAGCTGCGGGACCCGGGGAAAGCTGATCGAGATGTAACCGCCCACCGACCCGCACAGCGCGCTGTTGGTCAACAACACCTGCTACATGCACCCAAACACTTTGCTGCCCGAAATCCAGCCCCGAGCCCGTGCGCGACGCCAGGTCTTCCGGTGGGATCACCCAGTGTCCGTCTGGCGATCGATCGAGATGAATTCCCCAGAAGCCCATGGGGGTAAACTGGACCGACAATACTAGAAAGCCTCGGCGCTGGTCCTTGGCGGGGAAAGGGAAACCATCGCCCGGAATCGGGCCCATAAACTCGAGCAACAGGAGCCGGGCTATCGAGCGGACATCTTCCTCCGGGCCGTCGTCTGCCTCCTCCTGCAGAACATCGGGGTCGTCCGAAGCATCAGCGCCAGCGGCTGCTGCACCGCTTCCCGCCCCGGCAGCAGCCGGCTTCGGCGCCAGGCCCTTCGCCATTTTCACCACCGTCCAAACCGTTCCACTACTGGATGCTCCTTGAACCTGTGCCGCCGGCGGGCTAAGCCTTTTGCCCTTTCTCTCACAAAACTCCGCCCGCGCTTTTTGCGCGCCGTCCACACCAACTGCTGCCCAGCTTCCAGCGACGAACTTCTTCATCGAGGCGTAGAACCACGAGCGGTAGGTTGACTTGGACTGAGCCGAGCGCCGCGATTTCTCCTCCTGCTGCGCTTCCGCCATTTCCTGCAAATGCTTCGCCGTTGCCTCTTGAAACTCTTTCTCCGCCCGCTGTTTGTGCCAGTCCTTCGTGGCCTGGCTCTCATTTTTCCAATCGGAGCGAACCGCCAGCCCCATCTCGTTTGTCCCGCCAGTCAACATCTCCCCCACATACAGGTCGACAGCCCGGGCTTGCTTCGGCGGATCTAGGTCCCAGCAGGTCTTCGCGTCCAGAACCTTGCTGTCGAGATTCTGCGCACTAAATAACATTTTGCGGACCAGAAACGCGGACGCCGACGCAACGCTGCGGGAGCTGATGGACCGGAGGTGCTGCTGGTAGTGGGCGTGCAGCTGCTCCACCGATATTGGCGAAGTGTTTTCCCGCAACCAGGATAAGATGAAGCGCTTTATCACGTCCTGTGCCTGCGCAACTGGGAGACCTCCGATAACCGCACCCAAACGCTCCACCGCCCTCTCACTCGGATCACGATAACTGACCACCTTATGCTGAAATTTTTCCGCCGCGGATTTCACCAGATGCACCCACGACCCGCTCTTGACCTTCATCAGCTTCGCCATTAGTTCGTCGTAGGCGTGCCGCTTCTGGTTCTTCTGTACAACGGTTGCGGAAAGTGAAAGAAGCCCTAGAACGGTGCCGGTTTTCAGTTTTTTCATCTGATCCGCCGACGCCCCCCACAGCTTCCAAAGATCGTCGGTCTTTGCGAGTCGAAGGCACTTCTGGAGATCCCTCTCGAACTTGTTCATCCAGGCTGGCCACCGGTCGGCGGTCTTCTTCAACATCATCCGCTTCTGCAACTGCGCGGCCGGGAATGCAACTAGGGAAACCGCCAGACACAAAAGGCGAGACTCCTGCTCGTCGGCTTCGAACTTGAAACGATCACCCCCGCCAATGTGTGGCTCGGCCCAGCTGCGGCGCCACTCGGCCCAGTTCAGCTCTCCTTTCAGGACCGCATGGCGCAGCCAACGCACTGCAGTTTCCGCGGCTGCTTGGGCGGTGGCCGCAAAACGTGTGAAGCCCGGCCGCGTTGGTCGAACAAATGCCCCGTGAGTACTTTTTTCCCCCATTTTCATCAGCCTCTCGTCGTCAGCGCCGGTCAGGAGTGTGTCTCCCTCGTTTGGCTGAACACTCAGCCTGCCTTCCGCTTCCGGGTAAACAACCCTTTCCCCGACCCGCTTGCTGTCCAGTCCCATCATTTGGCAATATTCGCGGAAAACAGATCGCTGCGGATCCCCTTCTGTTGTAGCGTCTTCTACCGCCACCAGCCCCCGGTCGATCATCTTTTGTATGTTGTCCTGGATAGTTGCTGTCTGTGCGGAGTAGAGACGGGCTACTAAAAAAATTCTCTTTTCCAAAGCCTTCACGTTTTTCCCGAGAAGGTCGCAGACGAGGCTGCAGGCGTCTTGCATCGAGTGGCTGACGGCGTGTAGACTACAAAACCGAGCGACACAGACTGCCCTCGGACTCAAATCGTGCACCCACTGGCAGAAGAGGTGCAGGGCGCCCACGTTCGACTTCGCCGCGTCCACCACGATACTCACCTCCAGCACACCGGTCGCGCCGGTGGCCGCCTCCTTGAGCCCCGGGACGGAGGCTAGCAAATCAAAAACCATATCTGTCTCCGTTTGGTCGTCGTAGTGTTGCTTTTGAATCAGCCGCACCTCCGACGGCGTATTGAAGGTGATCCAACTTGCGCTGTCGGCTTTTTCTGGTTCAACATCCGAAAGAAGCCAGCTGACGTCACAGATGGTTAAAAACGCCTTGGCACTGCGGTCGATCGTCTGCCCGTAGCTCTGTTGTGCCCGATGTCCGACCGGTGTTGCGTCCGCTTCGATACGAGTTAGCTTGTGGGTGGGCGTAAATGACTTGCACAGCTTAACCATGGCCGCCTTGTAGAACTGCATGACGAGGAAGACGATCTTCGAATAAACCCGAGCGTGCCACTTCGAGATGAAGATGGAAATGCGTAGGCGCGGCGGCATTTGTGTTGCAGGATGTGATTGAGAACATACATCAATCACGCTGTCCTCGCAACACAAATGCTGGCGCGCCTACAATTTCCATCGACATATTATCCGGCGCGGGCTGGTGCTTGAAGAAGCCGTCGACGGAGTTGTTCCGGTTCTCCTCCTCTCCACTCTTCTGGCCCACACCTGCAACTTTCGCGTCGAGGTCCGGGACATCAAACTGCCTGGCCGGCAGGGTGCGGCCTTCCTTTGGAGCTGAATCCGAATGCCCCCCGCGTGGTGGCGTCGCCCAATCTGCTGCACTCAGTTTCTCCCCGGCCTTCAGCCGGGCCATCAAGCTCTTCGGTGCCATCGCTAATCGTTTCAGCTTTCTAAGTCCTGCAAGTTCTCGTAGCGATAGGGAAACACTGCGAAGTAACCAAATTCCGATGCTGTGGGAAATCTAGATGAAGTCTTCTAACGTTTCCAATATCGGTCGCTGTGAAAAAACATGTCCACTGTCGGTTTCGGCGTATGCTATGCAAAATTGAGACCAAACCTATTCTATCTGAGAAAACCATGTGAGCCACTTGGAACGCTGCTGCTTGTATGGAACAATGGAGGATCCCGACCATCTTTTTTGAATTCGTTTTTTTTGAAAATGAGTGCAATTTGTTTTCGATTTGTTCGTTAGGGGTACTTTCGCGCTAATGATTTTACATTCTCACAAATTTGCGAAGGGCTAAGCAGCGCCTAAATCTGTGCCAAACATGTAATGCAAAAGGCGCAATCTTCCCCCTTGCTCTTGCACTTTTGCCATTCTTGCATTACAAATCCATGTAACAGTTGAAGAGAATGTAACGGTTGAGAGCGCCATAAAGTTTTTGAATTCCTACGAAATCCGGATGGGGTTCGGGCTGCACTTATCAAATGCCAAAATGTCTGGGTCTGGAAGATTCCGACATCTGTCATGCTAGTCTGGCATGACTCTGAGCTCTGTATTGCGTGGCCGCAAAGAGCTCCTACTCCCTGTCATGCAAAAACGCAGTTTCTCATGCGGGATACGGATACGCAACTCAGAACCATGAGAAAAGCTTGTCATGCTTGGCAGCGCATTACAGTGAGTGAGCTCACTATTCCCTTCCTTGCATCACAAGTTTCCAGACCCAGACATATTTGCATTTGATAGCACTGCGGGTGGGCGATCGAGGGCGCGATTGGGTCCGAGCACAAAATCGACGCGAGCTACCTGTCGCCGCACGTGAACCTGTGTGCGAGACTGGAGACCGCGACGGATCAGTACGGGGTGGATATTTTGTTTTCCGAGCAATTCCACGATTTGCTCTCTTCCAAGGCGAAAGACCGTTGTCGGAAATTAGATGTCATCATGGTCAAGGGGTCCAGCAAGGCCATCGGGATCTTCACGCTGGACTTGCACCACACGGCCTCGCAATCCGACACTGGGGGCGGCGGCGTGTCCGGGAGCGCGGCGAGTACTGTGCTCGAGTTGCAGGCGCCGGAAGGGCACCAATGCGGAGAAGTGATCACGACGGGCGAGATTTCGAAGGAAAGCTTAGTCGGAAAGCTGGGAATTTTGTTCGATATGGACCAAGACTTGCTGCGGATGCAGGAGGGCATCACGCCGGAATTCCACACTTTGTGGAAACAAGCGTTCCACTTGTACATCAATGGCGCTTGGACGCCGGCGAAGGAGGCCCTGATGTATCAAATGCAAAAATGTCTGGGTCTGGAAGAATGCAAGTTTGTCATGCTTGTTTCGCATGACTCTTAAATCTGTCATGCACATCACCCAAGAGACCCATTTTTCTGTCATGCAGAAACGCAGTTCGTCATGCAGAATAGGCAACACCTAGAAGCTCAGAAACTTGCCATGCTGAGCCAGCACTTGCGGCCTCCTCATGATACGCCACCCAGCATCACAAGTTTCCAGACCCAGACACTTTTGCAGTTGATATGATGCGGGTCAACGCCATGCGGATGCAGCTCCAGCACCGAGCCGACGGGTATGGCGGTCTCAACTGTTACATTCTCAACTGTTACATGAATTTGTGATGCAAGAATGGCAACAGTCAATGGCGCAAGGTTGCTGCTTTCGCATCACAGCTTCGGCACAGATTTAGATGCTGTTTAGCCTCTCTGAGATTTGTCATGCGAAGCAGCTTGATCATCTCGCGGCTTAAGGTAGTCTTGCATGACAAATTTATTTGAGTATACGGTTGAGAATGTAACGTTTGAGAACTCCATAACGGGCCCAGTGAGTGCCTGCTGGCGTACATGCAACAGCTGGATTTTTGTCCGCCCGAGGATTGGCAGGGGTACCGGAAGCTGGAGTCGAAATAGTGAGAAGAGGAGCGGGAGGTGGCTTTCATGAAAAAGTCGATGACCTTCTATTCCTGAGCGGGCTTAACGTTTCCTCGCGAGGACAGAAATTCATTCTCAAGAGTTTTATTTTGCAATTTAAAGAACTGGATCGGGTTTTCGCTTTCGGGATTTTTGAGTGAACACAATTTAAGTAAACAAGCTAAGGCTGCAAAAGCCGCGGAGGACACATCTACTGGACAGAATAGTTGTATGAAGTTTTAACCGAAAGAGATGAAGAAAAGTTTACGAAAAAGTTCAAGTTGGTTCTCGGCACCTCCATTACTACGCGGGGCGGAATACGGGCGAATAGGAAGCGACACAGGGGCTACATGAATTGAAGTAACGCTGCTGGTGTTGTCCACGTAAGCCTGAGCGAGAGCCGCTGTGATATTAGCAGTGAGTGAACAGGTGCACAGTCATTTTTTTCACAGTGGAATAAAGTCACGAAAGACAAAGAACTACGGCCCATGTAATCTCTCGTTGCTGTGCACGTGCACGACGAGCGTGCTGAGAAGTCGCCTTCACTTGGTGAGGCTGAGCAGAGGCATGTTGTTCGATCCCACCGGTCTCCATGAGGAATCAGATCCACTGCTCTTAGCTTTTTTTTTTCGATGGATTTTTTGGGAAGTAGCGCATTGCCGGTGCGTATTTTTTTTGTTTGAAGATCAAGAAAGTGATCGACCTGTTGGGATTTTTTTTTGTAGTCTGCGCATGTCCCTTTCCTTTGACTGCTCGTCTTCTTTGTATTCTGTGGTTCCTCAGTCATTGCTTCGATCGATAGTTTTGTCGTGCTGTAGTTCATCGTATGGCGTGGTAGCTTTATTGCAGCTTATTATTTCCAGCATCCAAGTAGACTGCTCAAAAATCGTCTTGCACCTTCATATACGTCAAAACTGCAACGAAAATAGAGCATCATGGCAAAATCCAGATCTTCGAGAGCTTCACCGCGATCCGGTGGAAGCAAGCGGGGGGGAACTGCACCCGCTGCTACTGTGCGTGCAGCTTCTCAGCGTCCGCCTGGAAGCGCGCGCAAGATGAGAAAGCAAGCAGAAAAGGCTGCAATGGCGGAGCAGGAAGATGAAGATCATGAGCGTCGTTCTGCGTCTCCAGGCGCGATGAAACAACCTGTGACGACCGCCACGCCACACAAACGGCAAGTGCGAGGAGCAGGGGCGGCGAAGGCAAAAAATCTTCAAGCTCAACAAAATCAACAAGCAAAAGGAAGAGGATCTTCTACTGCATCCGCTTCGCACAACAATAAAGCAGCGGCCAGCCCGACCGCGGTGCAGCAGCAGAATACGCTAAACGAGAAAGTTGATGGTTTGCTCGAAATATGCATTGCAAAAGTAACGTACTCGTATAAATGCATTACAAATTTCCTCAGCATGTGAAATAAAATTTGTAATGCAGATTTGCCTTGGAAACAAGATTTGTAATGCAAGACTTGCATTTGTACGAGTGCGATACTTTTGCACAGGATACGAAAAAACCGAGCTGCTGCTCGACCAACTCTCCACGCCTGGCCAAGAAAAGCGGCAGCTAGCCGGAGTAGAGTCTGTAATGCTGAATCCAGGGGGCGCTGGGGACCACGGGGATCACCAGGCTGCGGCAGAAGTTCTTGCGCCGACCGAGAGCTGCAACGAGTGGGCGCCGCTGCCATCGTTTCCTAGCTACGAAGGTACTGAAAGTGAGTTGTGATTTGGATCATGTGGACAATGAAGATGGTTCAGTGTGCTGCGAGCGACGTAAGTAAGTACTTAGTTACTTGTACTCGGCTTGTTTTGCTGCAGTCTGTCACTTCAGGTTCGTTCAGATCTGACAGCATTATAATAAATCGTTCCAGTAAATTTTCACTACATGATCAGTTTCAAGCTCAACGGCGGACGCTGTGTACCAGCGGTTGCAGGCGCTGGAAGCCAAAGTCGAGGACCTGCAGTCAGAGCTGACGGTGAAGAGGCAATCCGTTTCTGTGTCCGTTGGCGCGGATCAACAGTCGTGCGCTGCTGATCTAGTACAACAATTACCGGGACCTCGTGGTGCACAGTCCTTCTCCTCTGATACAGCAGCGCTCGAAGTGCACCATGCTGCACCGCTTTCAGGAGTAGGAGGAGGTGCACGACCAGGTACAACTTCGTTGACCAGTGGGGATGAACAACTGCAAGGCCGTGAAGGTACCCCTCAAATATTCGAAAGCAAAGTGGACGACATGCTGCGTCGGATTACCTCGAATAGCACAGCAGATCATGTTGGAAGGAACTCTCGCTCTTCCTCGACTTGTAGAACCAGGTTCGGCGCCTTAAACCTGCAGAAAAATGCGACTTCGGAAACACCAAATCGTTCCACCTTGTCGAGCACCAGATATAATAATGCTGCTCGGGGTTCCAGTTCCTCGACCGTTGGCTTTCTGGCAGGTGATAACTTTTTGTCTACAACTTCTTCCCAGCAGAGGACTACAGCAGCCAACGGAGCGGTAAACATCGTGCCAGACCTGGTTTTGATGGGTCCAACTACGACGACCCATTGCAGTTCCGTGCTCCAGTCCTCCGGGCCAGCACCTGCAAGGACTACACCAGGAGCTCCTCCACGACAAGACGCGACATCGACTTCTACTTCTGCGTCGGCGAAGAAGAATAGGCAAGGCGAAGGCGTAGCATCAACTACATCTGTAGTTCTTGGGGCGGGAAAAAAAGCTGGATTTCCGCGGTTTCAGCCTGTGACCACAGGCGGAGCCGAGTCTAGTGGTGGGAGAAAAGCTGCAGGACAACCCTTGCTGGGCGATGAGGACAATTTCGAGATTTTTGAAGATCCGACCGCAGGTGCCGTTGGGACTTGTGCGGAGAAAACTGGGATAAACAAAGCGTCTGTGGACCAGCACCAACCTCCGTCGATCTCGGAAAAGGGTCTAGAGCAGCTTCCTAGTGCAACTCCAGGCGGGACGACCGCGGCCGCGGGTACCAGTAGCTCCTTTCGTTGGATGAAACCTGGCTCTATGGTCGATGAGAAGCAAGTGCTCAAGACCCGCGACACCAAGAATGTATCCTCTCAGGCGAATCATGCGGGAACACTGAACCACTTGCTCCCGCCGCAACCGCCATCTCAACATCAGCAACTCACGAGTGCTAATTTAGCAGCCACGTTTCCCACCTTGCTACAGACGCCGAACACAGGAAATGTGTTGGGTAGTTCCGGTGGCGGCGTGGTTGGTTATCGCAACCCAATGCTGTTTCCCGGTAGTACGACAGGAGGTGTACCTGGGGCTTTTCCGATTCTGTCAGCCGTTTCACCATGCGTTTCGGCTGCTGGCGATTCCGATAGCCACAAGTCACCGCTTTTTGGGGTTTTCCCGCAAACTACGACGAGTGCAATGCTTGTGTCCACGAAGACCGGAGCTGAAGCAAATGCAGTTGCGAAGGGCAAAAATGCATCAGGAGTACAAGCAGCATCGAAGAGTGTAGCGAATAAAACGAAGCCGACCAGCAAGCAGCTGGTCCAATCGCAACCATCTACGGGCGGGGGCAGGACCACAACCACAGCCACAGGAACACTACGCTCTGCGGCGCAAGCTCCAGCTGCTGATGCACCGATAATCAACATCAACCAGGAGCACCAGGGACGACGAGGAGGCCAAAGTTGTCAACAGCAGCATGTGCATGGCCCCCGAAGTTCTTGTGCCACCACCACGACAAGCGTAGTTACTGGTGAGCGCTACTCTCCCCGAGGAAAGCTGCAGAAATCCATGAAAAGCACACCGAGTACGACAAGCCGAGGTCCGCCGGCGATGGCGTCGCATCAAGCGAAGGTCACGACGACCTATGGCGGCAAAAAGGAACAAATAGCCACTGCTTCGTCCCTGCTCGAGCCATTTCCGAACCAACCTTATTGTTATTCCATAGGAGGAAGTAGATTTACACTGCACCACGACAACCACCACGAACAACGGCAGCCAGCGTTTCGTTTTGAATTCAGGTCCGATTATGCTGCATCAGATCTACTTCCCGAAGAACAGCAGCAACACGCGTCGGCACCGGCAGTCGAGACACCTGGTGCACTACTCTCTGTCCCCTTTCCAGGAAATAGCACGGACACGGTCGCTGTGAAGATGCCATCAACGACCGCTGAGACTGCACAGACCACTTCCACATCTTCCTCCAGCCCGGCCAAGCAATTCATTCAAGCGGGAAACACGCCGGCGGGGTCGTTCAACGATCATTCGGCAGATGAGGAGCAGAAAATAACTAGCCAGCCACCACAGTTTGTGATGAACAGCAGCACTATTCCGGGGGAGGTGGATGTACCTCCATCACGAGCAGCAATTTCTTCTTCAAACACTGTGAAAAATATAATCACAAATCGGCACGTGGTTCCATTTTCCGAGCGAGATGTCGGTAGCCAGCTTTATGTGCGCAACCTGGGCCTCGTTCACACGGCGACGACGCGTGACGGCTCTCCACTGTTGCGCAGCCGAGAAGGGAGCCCGCACAGTTATCAGCACCACGCGCTGCTGAGACACCACGCGCCGGTCGTTAGCAGCAGGAGCAAGGTTCTCGACGTAGCAGCTGCTTCGCCTGGTGTTCGTTCGCCCTCCCCGGTAAACCATGGCGGGGCCGTTGTACGGCGAGCGATTCTTGGTGATGGTACCAAAACAGCGGAGAACCAACATGCAGAGGCGCATCTGCTAACTCCGCGCACTGGACCGCCGGCGGTTCCGTGTCCCAGTCCGAAGCCGATTCGTACACAAGCTTCCCGCTTTTCCCCGCGGTGTCGGTCGCGGTCGAGAGGTGGTGCAGCGGGGCGAGACAGTCCTGCCAGACGCGAGCTGCAAGGTGGTGGTGCCGGTCGTGCGGTCTTTGTGGAAGGGCCGGAGCAAGGAGAACCACGCCGGAAGAGCAGCAGGAAGGAAAATAGATTCACACCCGTTGTGACTGCTGGGGGCCGCGTCGATGTCGAAGGACAAGGAGCGAACGCAGAACTGACTACACCAAGGGCCAGTGGCAGGATGGCTCCTGCACAGGTTTTTGATACCCAACTACCAGTATTATTGCAAAGGCGGCCTGCGTACTTATTGGGCTCATGCATGTTGGTGTGTCTGGGTCTGGACGAGTCACTGATCATGTCGATGTTGTTTTATGAATGTCATAAATCCCTTTTTTCAGGTGGTCATCTCCCGAGCTTCTCAGCAGCAGCTTTCCGCTAGGAAGACAACAAGTTCTTCATCTTCCCATACCAAACCAGCGACAGGAAATAAAACCTCGACCACCCAAAGTCTTTCCTCCATGACGTCTCGATCTCCTTTCAAGCCGGTCGCACGAGCGGCCCATGGCAGTTGTGCGCCCGATAAAGAGCCAGCAGCTTCGATCGTCTTGGTATCAGCAAGGCACTACTCGGGGAAAAACAAACACTCTGATGAATCGCGCGACCACAGTCCTGCTTCGCCCCGCGAGTTTTACGGTACGATTACGACACGAAAAAAGCAAAAAGTACAGCGGAAGAATATACAAGACGTCGGCAACGGGAGCAGAAGTGAGACCGAGTTTCAACCGGAGAAAGAACAGGCTGCTGCAGTTGTCTATGCTGTTGAAAGCCACTACAACAACCAGGACCCGCACGACCCACAGGGAATGAATTATGAGGAGTACCATAGGACTTCCGCTTCTGCTTCAGGGACTGTTTCTGCACGCAATGAGCACGCTGGGGGATCTTTGGGACAACATGCTGCTAGTTCCTTGGAAGGGACGCAAATCCAGCAAGAGAAGAAACCAACAGTGATTCAGTACCACTACAAAACGCCGACGATAAACATTCCGGGGAAGAACGCATCAGTCCGGACCACGACACACAACAACTGGGCAGCTGCGCAACAACCTGCTCAGATTCAAGCACCATCGTCTGGTGTTCCCTTCTACCGAACGCCGCTCGTTGCCAAGCCCCTCTTCGACGTCGTACAACGGACCGGGATGACTACAAATGGACCGCTTGCTGGACACAGAGACAAACACGTAGTGACGTACAGGTAACTTTTATACAAAAAATTGATGAACAATGGAACAAATATTTCACGTAGTAGAACGACTTTTATCTTCTTTTCTTTAGAACGGCATACAGATCAACATCACATACTCATACATGAGTTTTTCAGGAAAGTACTTAAATCCGAAATCTAGTTTCTGTGTTGAGTGCGTGGTGCTTCTTGCTGCATACGTTAATTATGAGCGCATGGACTTCCTAATTGCTCATCTTGTATAATTTGGTAATCCGCAAACGCACTCTGCGAATTTGGGATTGGGACGATGTCGAACCGCCCTGTATAATCAGCATTGAGGAGAATCAAAATTTGATGAATTTATTGAGGCCGCAATTAATGGACAGATCCAGATGTTTAATGGTCGTCAGGAATGATCGCAGACGCATTTCTTTTGTATGAAAAGGTGAAACAACTCATCTTTTTTACGATTGCATACAGTGTCCGCAGCTCTTCGGTTTATGTATATGTTTCTGATTGCAGCTTTTCGGTTCTGCTTGAAAGTCCTCCAATGTCGGTTCACAAGTCGTGTCAATCTCAGTTCTAGTTGTTCTCGGTTCGTATGCTAAAAAAAAAATGAAATGATGTCGGTGTATATTTGCACTTTCCGAGCATCTTCTTTCTATCGTCATGACCAGTGTCGGTGTTGCAGCCAGCAGAATCAGAAGTCGATCGGTCTCTCACCGTCCGAACTCAATGTTTTAGTTCGTGTGTTTCACGCTTTTTGTTGTCGTTTCCTCTCAGGTGATTCAAGTTACAACTCAAACGCACTAAACACCAGTCTTATTATTTTCCATTGATTCTCGAATTTCGATAGGCGACCCCATCGCCGTGACTCACTAAGCTTACACCCATCAACATCAAGACAAAAAAAATATGAATTCCCAAATAACATCATTTCCAACTACATCTAAACCAATCCTATTTCTTCGCCAAGAAGAACACAAGAACGAACTGCAACCATGAGCTGGCTTTTCGGGTTTGCGGACTCCGCCACGGCCGCGGAGCCGGCCCCCATCTCCCGGCTCCGGCGCACAAAGCTCGACGTGGAGTTTGGGATTGAATGCGACTACCTGGTCGTTGGCGCCGGTCTGACCGGTCTTGCCTTCGCTGATGAGCTCGCGACGCTGAACCCCCGCGCGAAGATCGTCATTGCCGACCCGAACCCCGAGCCGGGTGGCGCGTGGGTGAACGCGTACGATTTCGTGCGCCTGACCTGTCCCCGCGAGGACTATGGGGTGAACAGTCTGCCCTTCAACGCCGTCACGAATTTCGACGCGAAAATCGACGCGGGAACCGGACAACCGAAAATGTCGACTACGAGCGGGAGTGCAGCAGCAGAATCTGCTGTGCAAGCAAAACCGGAGGAGCGCGCCAGCAAGCGCGAGGTGCTGCGGTACTGCCGGTCCGTGGCCAAGCGGCTGGAGCGAAAGGGAAATGTCCGGTTTTTCTTCCAGGCCGGCTACAAGGGCGCCTTCACAGCGGGAACATCAACGCCGGCGGAGATTTTTCATTTGGTGGAAATCAAAATCGAGGGCGAGCGGGTTATTTTCGACGAAGGCTTGGGTGGATCTTCAGCCGGTGAAACAAGCTTGTATCGAACGCAGCCGAAGGTTCTGCACCTCGACGAAACCACCGGGAAACCGGTGCCGGAAGTGTCCACCACGCGGTCCTTTTTGATGGCGCGCGTGAAGTTTCAGGTGGTGGACGCCACAGGGGACATGTTGGCGGCCCGGACCGGGCAGCTGCACGGGGGCATCGTGGGGGTTCGCGTGTCCCCCGACCACTACGACGTGAAGTTGTTACCGCCCAAGCAGTATGGGTTGCAAAAATGTCTTGATCTGGAAGATTGCAACTTGTATTGTAATGCTGTCTTTGGATTCCAAAAAAATCTGTATTGCGTGACCAGCAACAGGACTCCAGTGCGTGTTACGTGGAGAGGGCATTTCCCATGCGGAATAGGCATCAGGAAGCCCTCCAAAAATCTGTGATGCTGAGGCATGCATTGCAGGCATCATGGATCATACAAAATACGCATGACAAACCTGGTAATGTTCCAGACCCAGACAGCAGTTTTGCATTTGATAAGCAGTTCGCGTGGTTGACGACCAACGCGCTGCGCGGAAACGACCCGTTGACCGAGCGTGAACCGCACCGCCAGGACTACGCGGAACGGAAGAGGAAAACCGGATTTCAGCACTTGGCGCACCGGATTGTCGTGCAGTACGACCAGAACCAGAAGGGCGGCGCTGGCGGACGAGCAGGTCGCGGCTCTCATGCGATGAACAAGAAGAAGTCGCCCAATTCATCTGGAGCAGGATCTACTTCGTTGGTTGTACCGGCTGGTGCAAGAAGTAGAGCTGGTGCTCCCGGAGTAAACTCCCTGGTCTTGACATCTTCCAGTTCAGATTTGACCAGTGCAGGAGGTGGAGAGGACAACAACTCCACGACTTCCGGAAGTGACGGTGGAGGAGCTTCTCCTGGAGGTCTCACTGCCCGCGCTCAGAACGCAGCCGCGACTGCGACCCGCGGAAATGAGATGAACCACGAGGAGGACTTCGAGGACGAGACAGCCTACACGTCGCAGAAACAACAACTTTTTGAAAACACGAGGTGGAATGAGCGGGAACTTCTTGAACACAACAGCGAGATGAACCATGATATGGATTTCTACGACGAGCAAAATTACGACGGGAATGCGTACGATGCGGATCTGCAAAACCTGATCGACTACGAGGCCTCCGAAACCAGCGACCTGAGTCCCGCACTAGTACAACATCATCATAACTTCGAAGCTGTCACGCACAACTCGTTACAGGTAGAAACCACGAGTAGCGAGGTGGAGGCGGTGCAGCATCAGGATCAGCAAGAACGCACTGGTACTCTGGTGAACACCGGCACGACGACCGGGACAGCCGGCGAGTCGAATACAACGTTTGAAGATGCTGGAGCTAAGATGAGGCCCATGATCTTCAGTACAGAAGACCGGATGTTGCGCAAAGATTCGCAACCCGCGCTTGCAGCTCCACACCAAGAAACTACAAGCATTCCGCGTACGGTAAGCGCGTTGCGCAACGCCTCGTCGATATCCCCCAGAAAAAGACCGACAGGTCATATTTGTAATGCAAAAATAAATAGACAAAAAAATCTGTATTGCATGCCCTAAACAGGATGTTATGGCCTCGCCCATGACAGATTTTCCTGTGTATTTATTTTTGCATTACAAATATGACCTGTCGGTCTTTTTCTGTGGGATAGTCGACCATGTCGCCAAAGAACATTTTTGCGCTGCACGACGGCGTATCCTGTGCAAAAGTATCGTACTCGTAGTAATTGCAAACATGCATTACAAATCTTGTTCGCAAGCTAAATCCGCATTACAAATTTTATTTCTCATTCTGAGGAAATTTGTATTGCAATTATACGAATACGATACTTTTGCAATGCATACGGCGCCGCAACGCCCGGGGGCAACAAAGATTTCCGAACGTCGGGAAAGGATACCTTGGTGAAAACCACATCGGATCTCTTCCGGGGCACAAATTATACTAACCGAAGCGCAGGTGTTTCTACTTCTCCTGCAAGCGTCAATACTGCCACGGCCACCGCTAGTGCAGCTGCTCCCTCTCGCCCAGTGTTCGCGCTGCCGAACCCGCAGCCGCAAGAGCGCGACCGCCCCCCAAGGGGGCGGCAGACGGAGACACTGTTGAGTGGCGCGGAGGATTCGAATGCAACTGGGGGGTACGACCCCCTTCAGAAATTTGTTAACCCGGGCGGGAGGAGTAGTGCTGCTGCTATGTCTAACTCTAGTCCACCTGGTGCAGCAGCAGGTTTCAGGCCAACATCATCTGTGTTCAATGCCACTGCGCAAAATTACCGCCCAGAATCGTCTACTTCGTTCGGCGCTGTAGTTACTACACAACGGCACCAAGGCGCGTTCCACAAAAATCACCCAACCCCCACGGTGCAGGCAAATTCAATTCCGCCGAAGAAGCAGCCGCTGACGACGCTGAGTGACTTTCTGCAACCGGCACTGCAGGGCCAAACGGGAACGGTTGCGGAGAAAATCGGATCGCCCAAGCCGCCGCCGCGACAGTATCTCTCGGCACTGGAGTCCCTACCGGGCTTCATGACGACGCTACCCGACGTCCTTTCTTCGTCCAGCAGTGAGGACGAGGAAATACTAAACGCTACTAGTGCTGACAATAAACACAAATCCGACGCGGACCGACGCTCCACCACCGACGGGGGTAACAACACGACGACTTCTGCGGCGGAGGAAAATTCCTCGAAAGACACAGGAAAAATGTCAAACGAAAAGAACAAAAAGACGCGACGTGGTGGGACCACGATCGGTGGTACTACAACTACATCAACGGCGAACACCAAGAAATCGAAACTTGTGATGCTGCACGACCAAGTGTGGACGTCGAAATCCCTGGAAGACGCCCTGGTCGCTCCGCCGACGGACAACGCCGCTAGTTACATCGTGATTGGGGGCGGGCAAACCGGGGTGGACTGCATTTCGGATCTGATCCTCCGGAAAAACGTGGATCCGGACCAAATAACCTGGATTCTGCTCCCGAACGTCAATTACCGCATCGACTTGTTTGACAAGGTTGCCCGAGCGGCGGGCATGTTTATGCGCGGGCAATCTGCGATGGATCTTCTCGACGAGGAAAAGAACAAAAACAACGACGCCACTGGAGGTCAAAAGCAGCAGCAGCGTCGCGAGCTGGGAAAGACGACCACTTCGTCCCCAAACTTACCGACCACGACGATCACGGCTGTTCTCACGAAGCCGGAGATGCGGGCGTGCAAGCAAGTGCACCAGATCCTGTACGGAAAGCCGACCCGGTTTGTGGACAAGGCGGGCGAGGCGAATTCCGTCGTGGAGATCCACTTCGAAAGCGGCCGCGCCGTGGAGTTGTCCCACGACGGGCGCGTGCTGGTGTTGGACTGCGCCTCTTCCGTGCACGACCGGGCGACGGCCGCCAGCCTGGAGATCGAGCGCGACGGCGCATTATCCTGTGCAAAAGTATCGTACTCGTACTAATTGCAAATATGCATGACAAATTTTCTTCCTAAGGTAAAACAGCATTACAAATTCCACTTCTCTTCGTGCCAAAATTTGTAATGCAATTTATACTAGTACGATACTTTTGCAATGCATGCGCATCGGTGGAACGGGTGTGGACCACCGCACCGGTGCTGCATCACGCGATTGAGGGCGCAGGATCATCTTTTTCGGGGGGCAACATTTTGTCGGGAAGAACAAATAACGAAACATCTGCTGTGGCCTCGAAAAAACCTCCCGCAGCTACTGCTTCTTACTTTCCCTTCAGCTTGCTGACATCCGTGCCTGAAAATGAGGACGAGGAGCATCAGCCTGACGAGGAGAACCAGAACCAGTCCAACACTAGTTCCTCGTCTCTGAATTCCGGGAATCCGGAGTACCAATTCTCCAACGCGAAATACATCAATCTCCGGTCCCTCACCCACGTTGCGCCGCTGAACCAGCACTGTTTCCTGGCTACCGTGATCGCGTTTCTCGATATGACAGTGCACAACTCCCCCTCTCCCTCATTTGTCATGCAAAATCCCAAATCCAGTCGCTTCCCTGTCCCTGTGGCACTGTTTGCATGACAAATTTTGAAAGCCCAAACAGTACTGCAGTAGGCACATAAATTTGTCATGCACAGGCTCCAGGGTCGCTGGTGTTTGTATTGCTGTTCATGCAATACAAATGAGGGGGGGCTGGAGTTATGCACTGTCATACCCGAAACGGGGCTCCAGGACCACGACTTCCAAACCGCCTGGGAAATTCTGCACGACGAAATTTCCCTGTCCGCCGCCGAGGCGCACCAGGGCCTGGACGCGGAGGAACGTACACAACGCAAGTTCCGCGGCCCCTGGAGCGTGTGGGAGCGCCGGGTGCTGCACTACCTGCACAAATCGGTATTGGAGAAGGCGATTTTCCCTGGAGAACAAAACCAGCGGCCCCCGACGGTCGCGGAGGTATTTGTGTTGCAGGCGAACGTGCGGAACATGCTGGTTTTGCCGTTTCTCGTGGTATCAATTGCAAATATGTCTGGGTCTGGAAGGTGGAAACTTGTCATGGTAAATCTGAAGCATGCAAAAATCTGTGTTGCATGAGTGCCAAAAGCTGTCCACTTTTGACCAAGGTGGAAGGGAGTTTCTCACGCAGGATAGGCATGGCAGAGACCTCGCAGAGTCTGTCATGCTAAGTCCCGCATTCCAGACCCCATGGGTCATGGAAAATCTTCATGACAAGATTACACTTTTCCAGACCCAGACACTTTTGCACTACTTGATACGTGGTAGGAGATGACAACGCGTTTTACCAGCACAAAAGCTCCATGTCGGCTCCTCGCGGCGGAGGTGGTTTTCTTGGGCGGTCTGGAGCAACGTCTTCCAATGCCTCCGCAACAAGCAGCCACAACAAATTGCGATCCGGACTCTTCAACACGAAACTGCAGACCCACGGCGCCGCGTCCAACAACCTCGGGTCGAATTTGCTGGACCCGCTGTGTCACACGCCGGCCTTTCGCGTCATCGCGGCGTTGACGCACTACTTGCCGGTCGAGGTCTTCAACAATTGGGTGAAGTCGAAAAACTATCACAGTTTGACGTCGGAACATCAGCGGGGGGAGGATGCTGAAAGAAATGCGGGTGCCTCTCTTACAACGGTGCCTGGAGCAGCGAGCTCTCCCTTTGCCCCTCCGGCGCGCACTAAAACCGCGCCGAAAAAACCCGGCCAGAAGCTGCCGAAGCGGTTGTTTCCCCTCCACCGGCCGGCGCTGATGGAGCGGGTGGCAGGACATATCCTGAGTAAAAACGTCCCCACACCAGAGTCAGGATGTGGATGGGGATTTTGCAACACAAACCTAGGAGCTTTGTGAGTCACGCATGACAAGTTGCACTCCGCAGTGTAGTGCAGGTTAGCAAGTGTAGCCGCATCACAGATTCATCTGCTCATCCTGTTCACAGCATCACAAATTCCAAAACACGATTGGAAATGGCTCTCATGGGGATGCGCATTACAAGTGTTCCTGTCTTTGCAAATCTGCATTACAACTCTGGTGTGGGGACGTTTTTACTCAGGATAGGACACCGGGCGGATTTGCTCGCCGGCACCACCTATGCATTGCCAATATGCCTGGGTCTGGAACGCTGGAAATTGTCATGCTAATTCTGGATAGTGCAAAAATCTGTGTTGCGCGATTGCCAAAAGCTGCCCACTTTTGATCAAGTTGAGACGCGATTTCCCATGCAGGCGAGGCATGATAGAGGTCGCGCAGAATCTGTCATGCTAGAGCATATATGACAGACCTCATGCGTCGTAGAAAACCTGCATGACAAGTCTTGCGACCTTCCAGAGGACCCAGACATATTTGCATGTGATACCACCGCCAGCTGGATGAGCGATTTGTGGCAACGCCACGTCGGCGACACGCTGTTTGCGATGAGCAGCACGAACGAGTTGGAGCTGTTCGCCGTTTATGAACTCTTGAAACAGGCGTGGCAGTCCCGCGCAGCGCAAAAGCTGAGTCGCGAAGAGCGGGAGCAGGGGGGTGAGTTTGGTCGTGCTCTGCTGGGAAATGACTCTGAGCAAGAAAATCTTCGAAGTGCTGCAAATGAAAATAACGAAAGCGATCTTGGCGCAGATCATCTTGCATTTGACTCCGAAGAAGATGAGGAAGATACGAGTATCGAACGGAGGCTGAACCACTCCGCTTCCGAACGGGAGGACCAGGATCGCATCGAAAATCGGTTTTACAACAACATCAAAACTGAAAGAGCCGGAACTACGTTCCCAGCCTACCCCCGTTCCGGGAGTGGCGCCGCCCCGACAGCCACGGAAGACGAGGAGAGCAGCGACCTCCAGTCCAACGCCTCCTCGGCCGGACAATTGCAGCGGAATAAGCTGCTCAACGAGCGTCTGTTCGGGGAGATTTCCTCCACCGCAGTGGGAAGTAGTGTAGTGCCGAATCAACAGTACGAGATCCCGGGAGACGACAGTTTGTGCGGCGCGTCGTTTCACTACGAAGGACAGACGTCCGTGACGCTGGTGTCGTTGGGGCAGCTGAGTCTGCTAGGGGGCGGAGGACACAAAGTGGAGATCGTCACGGTGGTGTAAGGAAACCAGAAGACGGCTTTGTCGTGGTGCATCAACAAGAAGACTGGGAGATGCAGCCGCTCTCTCTCTCTCTCTCTTCCTCTTGCAACGAGTTTTTGCACGAGTTGCAAATGCTAAGACTATCATGTTAGCATTGCGTTTTTCATTTTCAGCAGTTCGTTTACGTTTTCTCCACCACGATTATTTGCTATCCCCATGTCTGTACCGATACCGAAGCAATATATTGCTTACAAGGTAATAGCTACTTTTCTTATCAAGGTTGTTTATGTTTTACTTACAATTACATGCAGTTTGTGCTTGGTGAGAGCCAGCAATCGTTTATTTCAAGCTCAGTTCTTTAGTGCGTTTTTATTTGAAGACAACACAGCGATCGAAAGTTACAAATGAGCGACAACTCGACGAAGTAGAGACTGGTGTGAGGGTAACTGTTCTCGCACACACGTACTGACTCATTGCTATTGTATACGTTTTCTTCTTTTCACTTTGGAGTAAGATCCTACAATTGATTTACTGATTCTGATTCTCTTTCTCTATAAAGTAGTTTTTCGAAATGATAGATATTGAAGCAGTGCCGGCCGTGGCAAGAGCAAATCACTGTTTCAAAAAAACCAAGGCACGAGGACTTCGATCCAACATCTCCAAGAATGTATAACAAGAGCCTTACCATGGAGCCATTGATTTGAGACACGAAAACATGTTAGAGGTCGATCTATACATAGTAACAATTCCGTATGGAGGCTGCGGTGGTCTTCACGACACGCCGACGGTCCGCAGGTAGTTGTACTAGGACTTTTGGTACGCTGCCCACTGCTACTGCACTACAGCTGTTCCAACTTAAGCCGGCAGGGCTCCTTCCGCCTCGTCCATACACAATCCAGTGCGTAGTTCTTACACTAAAGATCACAAGAACTTGAACTTCATTATCCTCACTGCTCGTACATTGCAAGATCTTCTTTTTTCGATGAAGATCTCTTTTTGGTGAGATTTTTACGATTTGGGTTGTCTGTGGTCTCCTGCTGCACGGCCTTGCGGTTCCCGTGCCTACCCGGTCTTTATTTTTTCCTGTTGCATGCAGTGCCATTCTTGTATAGTTGGAATTAGAACAAGTTCAGTTGAGTGTGGATGTACATGGAAGTAGAACAAGTTTCAGAAATTTTTACAACGAAAAGTAGAACATTGGCCTAGTTTCTTTCACTGATTCTTTTGGTACGGATATAGAATCATCAGCGAGAACAAAGTCAAAGACAAAATGCCGGGGCGACTGGTGTACCTAAAAGAATCGGAATACAAAGCCTACAAGAGTCTTGTGGCAGCTAAATTTTGCGGAATCAAGCTTGATGCTGCAGTTTACAATCCGAGTCGGGATTCACTAGGTAATACTATAGTTGATTAGGAGCACGATTTCAGGTCAACCATGTTATGGTTGATGTACTTATCGCCGTAATAAAGTCGCTTTTCTCTTGTCATCACACAAAATTTTTTTCACGCATTAACTTTTGCATTTGTGATGACTACACGCAGAATATGCAAGGTTGCGTTTGTGGTGAGTTCACGCGTAAACGCATGTTGTAGCGCATTACTAGGAGCGAAGTTATCGTAGCACGAGAAAAGAAAGTTACTCTACCAACTACAAATCATTGCAGAGCACAATCCGTGGAAGAGGTTACCGTATCTGGAAACCGAAGGAGGTGTGATCGCCAATAGCAATGCCATCGCCCGCCACATCGGCCGCATGCGGCCAGACACGAACCTGTTCGGTACAGAGTTATAACGTTATGCTGCATGGTATGATGCATGTATGGTGGCGAGACATCAACTTGAACCTCGATCATCGTGATGATTTTTATCTTTCAAAACTGTTATACTTGACACGAAACAGGCGCGCGCTTCGGGGAAGCTTGCCAAGTAGACTCCTGGATGGAGTTTTGCACCCGAGAAATCGAAGTCCCCGCCGGAGTTCTCGTGTACTATTTTTTTTTGCAGAGAAAAAATCGATTATCATCTCTTCTATGGTCATGCTGCTTCAAATTAATACATAGCCGACAGAGCAGCGGCCGAAGAACATGCTTAGTTAGAGTAATATCAACGTTCTTAGCTGCTCCTGCGCAGGAGCGACGACCATCGCAATGCTGCGACAGGCTAGGCGTAAATTATCAAAAAACAGGTGGTCGCAGCAGAAGCTGATCGCCGCACCGGAGCAGAAGGTGGTTGACTCAGCCGTCGCGGACCTGTCTCGGTCCCTGCAGCTTCTGGAGTCGCAACTCGAGAAGAGACCATTCGTCGTCGGGAAGGAGGTATCTTGAGTTCAAATCATGTGGAGTCTCTAACCCTATACCTTCAACTTGCATTGTTCAAATTCCTACTGGTGCAACTGCAAGTGCATGATTTCTGTTCGACTAGATCTAGAAGATGAAGATGGCATGTATGTTGAAGTAGATGGAACTGCTTCCGCACCTCCATGCAACGAACAATTTTAAAGGTAACCCTCGCCGATATCGCCCTGGTGTGTTCCCTTCTTGATGTGTTCAAATTTGTCCTGGACGACAAGTTTCGATCCGGCTTCCCAAAAGTTTCCGCCTGGTTTCAAACCTGCCTCGCACTCCCCCAATTTCAGTCCGTGATCGGCGCCAAAGTTGCGTTGTGCACGAAGTCCAATTTAACCTTCGCCCCCCCGGCACGAACGAGCGGCACCCGAACGAGCGCGCAACAGGCCGCGCCGGCTTCGAAGCCAACGCCGCCACCAGCAGCCGCTAGCCAGCCAAAGAAGAAGGAATCCGTGGTTTCCCAGCCACCACCGGCCAAGCAATCGGAGAAGACGTCGGTCGTCAGCAACGCAAGCACGGGATCTGCCGCACCTGCAGCTGGATCCGGGCCCACCAAGGGCACGCCGGAGGAACTGGCGGCTTTGCAGGCGGCGAAGGATAAGGTTCGGGAACTGAAGACCGCCGGCGCGGAGAAAGGATTAATTGAAGCTGCGGTAGTATCCAGAAAAAAAAGTGTGTAAGTGTAACTTTCTTGGAGGAACAGCATGACAAATTTGCTCTGCATGACAGAGAAAACCTCTCATGCGTAGCTAGTACGTGAAAACACTTACGAGAAGAACTTCTGATGCATGTCCAGCATGACGAGTGTAAGTGTCTTGCATCCTCTGCAACACAAGTTTACACTTTACACAGTTTTTTTCTTGCATAGGTCGCAGAGATGAAACGGCTGAAGGACGTCTGTGGGGAGGTCGACCCGCCGAAGAAAAAAAAGAAGTAAATAAAGATGCAGCAGAACACGGGTCAAGCTCAAGGTCATACATGCCGGTGGAACAAGCACCTGCAAATGACCAATAGGACGTGTCTGTAGCACCAGAAGAGCACCACCACCCAAACGACCCGATGCAAGCGAATATTCTCATATTGGCGCAGGCTCCTGTAGTGCTGTTCAATAATTGTGGGACAGGTGCAGGTCGTGCAAAACAGAATGTAGCCCGCAGGTGTGTTTGTCCACATGACAGCATTCCATAATATTCGCTAAAAACGATGAGGACGACGCATGTTCCAATTTCGCACATCATCGCAGAAAATATTACGATCATTCACTATCGCGGCCTGCCAGCTACTATCTACATACGCACTATCAACATACGCACTGCAGCTACTTTTCTTGCTTGTGTGCAACTGTGTTCATCAGAAATTTATTCGAGAAATAGCCCGTCAAGTACGCCTCATCGTCGGCTTCATTCGTCACGTAATGCCCTTACTTCGTCCGCTCCTTTCCAACATCGTCTTCTCTCTTCTTAGTCTCTTTGAAAGATCAGCGACACGTCTCTCTAAAACCGTGTCAAATATAGAAATAACACGTGCAACATATCCGTTTCCGTGTGCTCCTACTGCACAAATAAGTAGAAGAAGATGTAAAGTGTCGGCAGAAGTTCATGTTGTATGAAGAAATGAACAGTCGCAACTCTGTGTGTTGATCAAAGAAACAAGCTACTTTTATAAAGTCGAATTCTATCCAAGATGGCGACCAAAAAGCCCGATCCTCCCGAGGAACTCTCGGCCGCTAAATCCTACGCGGAAATGAAAGCGCAAGCGGAAGCACAATTGCTAGGGGCAGGTTTGTTCTACTTGACGAGTCATGATTTGTGCTGTGCGAGTTGTATTGCTAGCAGCTGCTGCAGGAGCTCCTGTGATAGTGATTGTGTGTCAAAATTATATTCGATGAATGAAACGTATATGAAAAATAAAACCAAGACCTCTAAACACACCAGAATCCCGCACAACTGCCAATGTTGAGATGGGCTATCCTGGGGCGGAATGTTGGCCCGATGTGGATTGGCACGCCGTGATTGCCGCACAAGCTGGTATATTATCGAAATGAAATGGAATTGGAAAGTAGTGGGTACCGCCGTACAAACTCGACATTGTAGTTAGTACAACTACGACCCACTACGAGTGTATCCTGCTTATTTAAGATGCTGCAGAGCCGCGTGATGTTAATGAATCAATTCGTGCTCCCCAAAAAATGAAAAAAACAAAAAGGTGCAGAGGCGATGGTCCACCAGAAAGACCCGAAGTCGACGCCTTCATGGCCCACCGCTGCCGAGAGCTGGCCGTCACCGGGGGACGTCGGCATGCAAGAGGAGTGGGCGCCAGAGGAACATCTACAGGCCGGAGCGGCAGACAGTGCGGCTGCTGCGTATTTAATATATTTATATTCCATGATTTTGTATTTGTAATGACCGCTGTATAAGAGTAACACCATGACGATACGAACACGGTTCTTTGTTTCTGTTTGCGCATGAAAAAAAATCACCATGAAAATCCCAGTCTTGGCGTCGGCACTGGTTCCGCGGCAAATGCGGAGTATTGGAACACGAGTGAAGTGACCAGCATGTCTTTGGAAGCGCTAGTATGGGATGGTGAAGAAGATGCAGATGGTTTTTGCAATAACACCAATTTCTGGTCGTCGACTGTAACACCTTGAAATTCCTCGCGCATTGTGAAGAATTGAGCAGACCCTAAGCTGTACTGCATCTTGATGTTTTGGTTTTGCTACCTCCAACATCTCCATAATATTGGTAACGCTATTGTAGTCTTCGACACGTCACCGGTCGTGTTGGACGTAAAAATAAAGAAATCAATCTTTTCACCACTTGCATACCGCGCAGTGACGCTGGAAGAGTTGGATCGCGAGGGCAAGCGCGACACCGAGGAATACGCACGTATTTTTGGCTGATGTTGATGGAAGATCTTCTTCATCTGTGCAGCACGACATGTTTAGAATATCAATCACATCTCCAGCTCCAGCTGGTATTGGCCGCAAACAAGTTGAAGTTGAAGCTTCTCTTTCCGCGCCCGAATTAGGCTGTTGCACCCACCTGCTGTTGTTACTCAATGAGAGTGATGAAATGGAAAAAAAGACAAAAATTTCAGATGCCTACGGTAAGTACATGCGGGATAAAGCGGCGTATCTGGAACTGTACAAGAATTACATCCCTGGCGAAGCTTATGCGAGGGTCAGGATCGAAATCGTCAAAGTTGAAATAGTTTGTGATGCATAAAATGCAACACAAAAGTTGCCTCTACTGCAGAGGACGCAAGGGATGCAGATTGTAAGCCTGTAGAGGGGTAGAAATTGAGCTGCTAAAGTAGCATGACAAAGGGCGTCTTTCTTACCCAAACAGCATTACAAACTGGATTTCAGTTCAACCCAAATTTGGCATGCGCCACTGGGAAGCTAGGCGCCAACTGGTATCCGTTTCATGCATCACAAATTATTTCAACTCTGACGATTTCGATCCTGACACTCCCATAAAGCTCCGTCCTCTATGGTGCCCGGTGGCGTTGGAGGTATTTTTAGAAAAATACTGTGACCAAGTGAACAAGTTTTGAATTTGCATGCTTACGAAGCAATCTGAAGAGCCAAGAAGTTCGAAAATTCCGCTCGCTGGATTTTCAAACTTCTACTAACCGTAACCCCCGAATAACCGCAATTTGTTATATCGTAAACACTACCAGGCGCCGCGGAATGGTGGATGAATCTCCCGGCGAACCAAGCCTGGGCCGCTTTCGCCAGCGGCGCGGTATCCTCTGCAAAAGTATCGTACTTGTATTGCAATCATTCATGCATTACAAATCTTTTTCTTGAAAAGGTAGATCAGTATTACAAATTTTATTTCTCATGCTGGGGAAATTTCTTTGTAATGCATTTTTACGAGTGCGATACTTTTGCACTGCATACGCGGTGGACAATTACAATAAGACAACGGACCTGAGCATGACGCCCTCCAAAGTTCCGGGCGCCGGGAACAAAAATTTCTCTCCCGCCTTGCAAGCACAGCAAATGGCCGCGAAAGGAGCGTATTTACTTTCATTGCGGTGGGTTTCTACTTGTAGTCAAGAACAATCTCTGGAGCAGTCCGTTGTGGTATGGATCGCATTCTTGCTAATTCGAATTCGCAGGCTCCGAATCGAATGATCCCCTTCTTGACACTGGTGATCACCGAAAAATGATTGCAACATACATAGGTATTTTGCCGCCTTGATGGAGCAGTGGGGCGCCACGCAGAACCCCTGGGGCGCCGCTCCTGCGACGACCGCGCACGGAGGAGGAGGAAAAGGCGTAGCCTTCCCTGGAGCTCATCATGCCACCAAAGGCGCCGGCGGAGCTTCGCCCACGAGCAAAGGGAACTACAAGGGACGTGGTGGAAAGGGGTCCTCGCACGGAGCTGGAGGGGCTTATTCCGGATCTGCTGGAAAAGGATCAGCCGCGACTCACGGAAATCATGCAGCCACCCGTGGTTCTTCCGGAAACAAAGGCGGAGCTGCATCATCCGCCGCCGCCGCAGCAATGCACCACTTTCCCAGTGCCGCGGCTCTCGGGGCAGCCGCCGCTGCAGCGCAATCTGCGGCCGCAGGACATAACGGTAGCTGTACCGCGGCGACGACCATCGACCAACTCGCCGCAGCGGCCTCGGCGTTGGCGGCACACACGGCGGCACAGAACAACGCGATTGGTCTGGACCAACATGCCGCGTACAATAATCCGCTGATGAACCCGGCGTATTACGATCCTTACAACTACTGGCAGTATTTGGCAAGCCTGAATCCCTACATGGCCGCAGCCGCTTCCGCGGGACTGGGCGCAGCGGGGGCTGGTGGCGCATACACAACTTCTAACCAGCATCAAGGCAGCACGCATCTTCCCGGAGGAGCCGCGGCGGCCGCAGCGTTCGCTGGCTTTAGTAACGGAGCCGGAGCAACAACCGGAGGAGCAGGTGGTGGTCAATTGCATCAGCAAAACCAATATGCATTGCAAAAGCATCGCGCTAGTATAAATTGCATTACAAATTGACTTAGCATTACAGATTGAATTTGTAATGCGGATTTGCCTTGAGAAAAAAATCTGTAATGCACAAACGTAATCAGTACGAGTACGATACTTTTGCACTGCATAACCAACATCAGCTCGACTCCGCTGCCGCCGCCCAGCAGACTATCAAAGTCAAAAATGCTCCCATCCCCGAATTTGGGAGCATTTGTATTGCAAACCTTTCCAAGTGAAACACTCACCCGCTTGCATCTATCAGCATCACAGATTTCAAATCGTGAATAGCAAAAATTTGTATTGCAAAAGACCCCAGCAAGAGTGGCGCTTGTCATGCAAGTGATGCGCTACACGCCTAGACTCTGCACCAGAAAGATTCATACTTCTACTTTCATGCATGACAAAAAGTTTTCATCTGGAAACTTCGCATCACAAATTTTTGCGACTTTGGGGTCGGGGGCATTTGTCACTGTAATACAGACCGCGGCTGCTTTATTCGGGGCCGTGGCGGGCGTGCCGAATCCGTTCAATCATGCCGCGACGGCGGCCGCGGCTGCGGCGAGTTTGTATGGCGCAGCGGGGATGAACAAGCACGAGATGTTTGTCGACCAGCAGGACGTGTATAGCAGTAAACACAACAATTACAACCCATACACGACGACCTCGACGTATAACGCTTACACCACCGGTAATATGAACAGTATGACGAGCTCGTCCCCCGCCTCTAATCATGCCACGACAGGCACTACTACTTTCACTACGCAGGCCGGCAAGAAGGGCGGCGGCCAGGGGCACCAGCAATTGCACAGTCGCTCGGGCTGGCAGGATGCGGCTTCTCGGTGGGGCGATGAGACCTGGAATAGTTGCACCAGTGCCGCAAAAAATACCGCCGCAACCACAGGAACTTCATCTGCGACGGGCGGAAAATGGTCTTCAGCGTCCGCGAATGTTAAAGGTACGACTACTGCAGCGGAAAACAAATCGTCTACTGCTGTTGGTGGGAATAAGGGGCAGCACAACAAGGAAAGCAATTCCACGACGGCGACGACGACCTCAACATCTCAACAGCAAACTACCGCGAAAGGCGGCGCCACGCCGAAGGGCGCTGGTGGTGTGAGTAGCACTACAAGTAGCGGAGGTCATGGAACTACAACTGCAGCTGGAGCTGCTTCGTCGAATTGGAATAAGGGTGCAAACTCCACCGCCACTGCTGCAACTACTCCTGCGGGGGACAAAAACGTTCCCGCGTGGGCCCAGTATCTGGCATACCACCACTACTTGAGTGGGCATACTTCGACGAACAACACAGCTGGTGGTGGAAAGCCGTATAATAGCTCGAAGGATCATTACAACAATGCCGGTTCTTCTTTGAAGGATCACCATCACAGCAGCTACGGGTCGTCCGCAAATAAAGCCAGCAAGCACGCGGACAAGGGCTTTGGGGGGAAGGACAAAGACGGCAAGGGCTTCGGGAAAAAGGGGACGAAACATATGGGGTTCTCAAATGTTACATTTTCAACTGTTACATGAATTTGGCATGCAAAAACACCATCATCATCCTCACGATCAAGCTGCTCCGCATGACAAATTTGCGAAGGGCTAAGCCGCGCCTAAATCTGCGCCAGCCTTGTAATGCAAAAGGCGCAATCTTCCTCCTTTCACTTTTGCCAGTCTTGCATTACAAATTCATGCAACAGTTGAGAATGTATCATTTGAGAACTCCATAAAACAGCAGCTGTACTTTGACGCCTTCAAGACGCTGCAGCAGTGGTTTAACATATCCTGTGCAAAAGCATCGTGCATTGCAATCATGCATTTACAAATTGTTCTCTTAAGGTAAGTCCGCATTACAAATTTTATTTCTCATGCTAAGAAAATTTGTAATGCATTTATACAAGTACGAAGGAATGCGATACTTTTGCAATTCATATAACATGCACGGGACCACGACGAATAAGGCGGGGAAGAAGGGAAACAGTTCCTCATGGAACAACGCACACTCCGGGAAAGGAGGACACAACTCGCAGTACCATGGGAAAGGTAGAATAAATAATCTATTTCATGAGTCTATCTCAATCTGTATCGGCGGTAGATCATGTGGTTCTTTGTGCACAAAAAGTCCAACTGCAACTTCGTCCAACGCACCACAGGCTCCTGGCACAAGAGCAGCTCGAAGGACCAGTACAGTAGTTCTTGGACATCCCGCAAAGATTCCTCGCACCGGAATACATGGTCATCGTCCGACGATACAACTCAGAACAATGCGACATCAGCGACTACCACTACGAATAACACCTCCTCCGCAGGAGCGACCTCTACGAACAAAACCGACACAAACACTATCGGGAGCGGACAAACCACAACCATCACTACATCTGCCGTGAACAGCGACGGCAAGACCGGCGAGCTGCAAACCTCGTCTACCACAAATGATGATGAACTTCCTTCTGGTGCAGTCGTGTCGCAGCCCACTCCGGAGCAGTTGCAGCGCCAGCAGGAGCTACAGGAGGCGTTGGATGAGGAGGTGAAAAAGTTGAAGAGCGGCAATCTAGATGACCGGGAAGAGGACATTTCTGCGGAATGCGACTTGCAAGCGGCAGAGCAGGATAAGTTGTCCTGTGTTGAGAAACACCAGGAAGTCGGAGGGACTGCCGGTTGTCCAGCGGGGGCAGAGGATTCTCAGGGAATTAGCAAAAAATCAGATGAAGATGAAGATGCTACCAACATTGTCGCCGTACTGCCTGCCGCTTGTTCCATTGTCGACTGCTCCACGCCGGAAAATAAATGTGATAGAGCTAGCGCTTCTTCTGATGCGGATCAGGACGATGCGAAGAACGACCTGTGGAACGACCCGAATTCTTTGGAATCCCCCACCAATGAACCAGCCCCGGAAGATTTTCATTCTTCGCAAGCCGCGCTTGCGTCAGAGGAAACCGCGGCTACGGCTTTGTAGGAGGGAGTTTGCGTTTTCGTTTAGATGGAGATGGGCCTCACAACTTCGGCGCGGTGGCGGTGGGTTAATGAGAAAACTAATCTAAGAACTCGGTACGAGAGAAGAAAGACTCACAGCGTAGTCGTATCGTAATTTACTTATAAAATAGAACTGCCACGACGCTAGCGCTTCGTCTTGCTGGAAATGGAATTCAAGGGTGATAATTTATTCTGCAGCAACTTCACACGTCGAGCAAAGCGCGAATTCAAAAGTTTCGTTTTCTTCTGCTGATATGTAACGGAGGAGCTGCGCAAGCTCTACCGGAAAATAAATCAAGAATAATGTTTGGAGCAATAGCGCGTTTTTAAATGTAAATTGATTCCGTCACTGCTAATTTCAGTTTTGGCGGAGTTACTTCGATAAGCACCCTCGGAAAGAAATTTATCTCGTTGTAGTTGATACATTTGTTTTAGAAATAAGCTGATTTTTTTGAATGATTTTAATCTTCTATGTCATTGCTACCTGTTTCCAGATACAATCTGAATATGTACTTTTACCTTAGAAATTAATAAAGCGTTTTGTTGTACTACACCTGTTGAATACTTACTATGGCCGTGCGTGGTCAATGTTGCATCGGTAGCTGCAGGAGATGCAGACGTGTTTATGCTAGATTTATTGTTGTTAATAATATGTTGTTGACAGAAGTACTAGGATCAGACGAGGAACGCCAATTTTTGATCGCAGACTCATTGACGAGCCACCTCAACGTACATGCGTTTGACGAGTCGACGTCTCTTAATTTCTTCTATTTCAAATTTTGTATTATTGAAAAATATTTCCAAACAATAGATTTTGACTCCGCAGCTTAATTTGAATTCTAGGTACTACTATATCTTCGCAGAGGTTTCATCCGTAGACTAGGGTTTCGATGAGGGTCACAACAAGCTCGTACTAATTAAAGGCTCCTGGCAAAGCAATCAATATCAAACCTGAGTTATCAGTTCGAAATTCGTATATCATTATCTGGGAAACGGGAAAGAATACCACCTGAACGATAGTTGACCAGAATATCAATCTCTTCATGGCGTATGTGCTTTCTGGCGGTCGGAGATTTGAGGTTGTTGTGAAGGAGCACAGAAGCTGATAGCTGGCTGCAGTCACTGCAGGACGAACTTTCATCATGCTTCTGCAACACATCTCACGTCTTCGGGCTGGAAGCAGTGCGTTGCCGCAAAGAGGATCTAGATGCACTTTTATTTTCATGTTGATGGTTTTATTTTGCCACGGTTTCTTCACTTTCGCTTAGCATTAGCTGCAATATGCTATACTAGCGCGAAGACGTAATTCTAAGTTAGTTCTGATCAGCACGGGGCTTTGAACTTGAAAAAGTGCACGATAGGAAAATATATATATACGATTTCTTCGCCGAATGGAACTTCACTGAGCAATCTTCGAGGATATCGATGAACTACGATAAAATATTTAAGTCCATTCTTTGGCACTATGCTTTTCGTTTTCTTCTTGCTTAGCGCTTCTGCGAAAGAAGCCAATACAAAACTCATGCCTGCAGGCAGAGCTGTACGAGGTTGAGCAGCCGATTTGTAACTCTGTTGAGCCATCCGATCTGTGTGCGTACGTCGTAACAACTAGAACTTCGCCAAGTTGTTGTATTCTCCTAGCCCCGCTGGGGCCACGATAGCTGCAGTTGAAAAAGTGACGGAGATTGCACGGACGGATTGCAGTTTCTCCTTGTCCAATACAAAAAGGGTGATTTTTGTGGCTCAAAGTTGATGTTGATGCGGACTACGAGGGCTTCCATCTGGAGGAAAGCAGGACCGTTGTCGTACTGAATGCACCGAGGACGCGAAGGAGAGCATTGTTGTCTCTTGGCGCTGCAATCTCTTTATATCGTGAAGCACGTTGGTGAAGCCTATCTGTTTTTTGTAGCCGATGTGTTCTTCACACTACGTGCCCTATCGCCTGACGTGCAGTTTGTTTGGCAACGTTGGCAGCTTCTCTGAAGTGATTGCCGTCCGCCTTTTGGATAGGTGCGGAAACCTTACCCGCCGCGCCTTCTGCGCCAAGGCAAGCAGCCGGCCCCAGACGGCGCCGATGTCGTGGCCGAAAACTGGAACGCCTACGCGCGCAGAATTGTCGGGGCCACGCGCGCCCCGAAGTTGGCCGGTAATGGCCTTCGGGCCGTTCCGAAGGAACGCCAATGACAGCGAGCTAAGAACGACCCTGCGCAAGACGTTCAGGAAGCTTATCGGGGTGCGCGCGCTCCGGCACCTCAGTGAAATTCGCGCCAGGCGCAAACCCCCTGCGGGAGGTGCTTCCGATCAGGCCAGAGCACGCGGGCGGTCGATCGCGCGCGCCGCTGCCGCTCCGCCGGCCGGGCGCCAGGCCGCGGGCGCACGCGGCGCGCGCCTAGCCGGCAGCGCGAAGGCGCCCGCGAGACGGCGCGATGGCGCGCGGCGGGTGGCCCTCGTTGGGAAGTCTGTCTGAAGGCAGGGCATTGGTATTGGCCGGCATTTCGCGGCTGCCCACAAGTTTTCTCCGTGGCCCAAGCAGACGCGGGCGCTCGGGCTCCTCGCCCACAAGGCCATGGACATCGTGAAGGCGGGGCATTCCGTGGAGGACATCGGCGCGAAGTCGGTGGAAGCGCTTGGCGACGAGGGCGGGAGCAAGGCAAGAACTGTGGGCGGGAGCAGTGGGACCCTCCGAGCGGACTAGTCTGGGCGCTGGGGTGTTACCTGTACCGTGCCGCAGGGAGGGGCGAGGCGTTGGCTGTTGGCGCCGTGCTATCGCGTGGAAGGGCCCAGCCGCTTTCCCTCGGCAGCACGCAGTGAGTTCCGGAAGAGGCCCCCGGCCGCCCCCGGTGGGGGACCGACGCGCGCGAAGCGATTGCGCTTCCGCCGCTGCCGCGCATCTGTCTGTCAATCAGATCGGCCCCCAGTAGCAGCAAAAGCAAAAAAATCATAACTCCCGGAAAAAATAAAGCAAAAAAAATTCTCCTGGTGTGTTTGCATTTCTCGCGACCGGCCCGGCCTTGCCTTTCCCCGCTCAGGTGTTGGCCGCCCGGATGTGGTGTCGGGGCTTGGTTTTCTCGCTGAGGCCGTGGAGTTGCAGCGCATGGGCGGCGGTTTTGTTCTTTCCAATGGCCGGCCGGGTTGGGTTCCGGACGGGGCCGGCGGCCTTGTCTTTCTTGGGCGCGAGGGGCGAATTTTTTTTGGGACAAAAAATAACTTTTCTTGGGACAAAAAATCTGAAAAAATTGAAAAAAATTCACTTTTTTTGGGTTTTGCCAGTTTCTTGCTGTTTTCCCTGTGGTTTAAAAAAGTTGGCCGGCGTGGCACACGTTTGGCACAAGCTTGGCACAAGCTTGGCACAAGCTTGGCACAAAAAAAATAATTTTTTGGCACAAAATTAATTCACTGCTCTCTCGATTTCATCAATGAAAGACCAGTCCCCCGTGCCCGTCAGGGATAATCCGTTTCATTGAGGTCCTTGAGAGTTGTTGCGCATGCTTCTCCGGAGCCTGTGTCTTTTCGCCCTGGCCTTTTCCAATGGGAATGGGCCGCAGGTCATTGATCATATTCGCGCGCGCCGCTTGGCCAACCACGAACCGGGAAACCTGTAAAAAAATTTTTTTTCGGATTTTGATCGGGATTCGTGATTTTTTTATTTTCGAGCCCACTGGGGGCCGATCTGGTTGACATCTGTCTCGAGCGTTTGCGGTTCTGAAGTCCGCAAACAAAAAAGGCTGGGCGATTGGGCGGCGCAACGTGATGCCGGCGACGTTGTTCCGGGCCGCCCGGGCTTTCATAGCGGAAGAAATTGAAAAGCTTGAGCGCGCAGCTGCGCGGGAGGCGCTGAGCCGGACGCCCCTCCAGCGGCCCTGTTTCGTGGGCAACCCCCGCCGCCGCGTAGAGTTTCCTTCGTCACTTTGTCGCGCGCGTCTCTCTTCGCCCCCGGGGCCCCAAGTTTGCGAGACGTGTGGCCGCGTCGGGCCGCTAAGGGCTGCACCCGCCCCCGGCCTGCCCCGGAGGCGTTTGTGGTCGCTTGGCCCGCCACCGGCCCCTTTTGCCGCCCGGCAATTTGGGCCGGCCTTTGTTTCTTTGGGGCGCAGCTACCTAGCAGGGGGCGCGGCGTGTCCTATTCGCACGCCCCTGCGTTATCTCGCCAGAAAGGCAGGCAGCTTTCTTGCCAAAGCTGGCGCCACATAGTCGTCCGATGGATCGCGCGGTCGGTGGCCGCTGCGGGCGCGTGTGAGCCTGCGTGTCTGTTTTGGTTTCTGCGGCTACAAGGCTGTTGCGCATGTGTGAAGCGCCCCTACACCAGTAGCCAATCCATTGGGAGCGCCGCTGTGTTGTTTCGGAAGTGGCGCAGCCACACGACAGCCCATCTTGCAGCGCCTTCCAAGAATGAATTCTGTTCATGTGTATTGGCTTGGGATTCGCGATCGTGGTCCTCTGCGTCCGGTTCCGGGCCATAAATGAAGCGAATCGCATTCATCATTATCCGTTCGTTGTTGAAGAGACATTTGTGTGCATGTCTGGCGGCTAAGTGTGCTCGCCAGTAAGCGTGTTCGTGTCTTTTGTCGGTGTCAGCCCGCGGGCGCATCCATTGCCTGAGAGTCCTGATATTCGCGCGCTCCGGTGTTCGCGTTCCTGCCCTCCGCCGTAGTTTTTTGGTTTATAATAGTATGCAGCGGCGGTAGGAGCGTTAACGCTGGGCAGCCACCTTATTTCAACCAGAATTTCTTTACTTCATCTCTTTCTGCTCGCGCTGATGTAGGGGTGCCGCTCGCTGCTCCGCGTCAGAGCAAGGTAAGAGTTATTGCCCCACATGTTGACGTTGTGTGGTGAAAAGAATCTGAGCCAACGGCCCGCATGCGCGAGCCTTCTCGCTTGGTCGCTCATTTGTGTCTGCTTTTTATCCCGAACCGCCCCGGAAGTATCAGCACAGACGTCGCCAGAGCCGAAGCACCCGCAGAACCCTTCGAACCACAAAGGTCCATCGAGCCCCGCTGCGATACCGCCACAGCGGATTCCTCCGGCAAGGCGGAAGCAGTGGGTCCAGAACTGTCCGGGGTATCGCCAGATCGGGCAGCAGCTTTGCCAGTTTGGCTTCGACCGGATCACGCGGCTGTTCGCGACGCGCTCCTGTTTCGATGCGGACTACGAACGCAGCTGGTGTTGTCCCGCGCCCGGAGCCACGCACCAGGTGGTGCTCCCCGACTGCTTCATTCCCGACGGATTCAACAGCCTCACGCCGCGGTTGTGCTGCAACAACGACTACACCACCCTGGCCGTGCCGCCCATTCACGCCAAGATCAATCTGGGGTTCGGCAGCAACTTGACCTGCTTGGTAGAAAGCGAAATAGGAAAGGCAGAAGAGGAGGAGGAAAATCAGGTACGAGATACGGCTTCAGGCGCCACCAGAGTTGCATCATCTAGAAGTACTGCTGGGAACAACGAGCTGCTGCGAATCTTTCCGACGCTGGACGACATCTTCCGAGACATGTGTCCGGAGGCCAGAGAGGCCTATCAGGCGGTCACGGTGATCTGGCAAACCATGAATCGCCGACCGCCAACCGAAGTTGCCATGATTTAAGGGAATGAATTCAACACTTTCCTGGAAAAAAGCCGTGGTCTACTTCCATTCTGCGCTTTATCTAGTGCCGCTTCCTTTCAGGCACAGCGTACGAAAGCAGACGAAAGCATCTTTTTTAGCTCGCATGTGGACACGGGTGGTCATTTTTTTCCATCTGTTGTCGTGGCTTTACTATTGTGATTATCATCATGATTTGAAACAAGAAAGCAAACTACTTAGCGCGCCATTAGAAAGAATCCACACCACCTCCTGAAAGGAAGCGCCCCGCTATATAACGAACATACCGGATTGGGTATCGGGCATCAAGGGACGGTATCCAATTTTTGGACTTCTGAACGCGCTGCTGATCAGTTCCCCCCAAGAGCTCGAGCGCGCGTTTGTCGCAGCAGCAGGAGCTCCAGATGATGATACAGCTTCCAAACCGACTTCCTCGACATCTGCCTATAAGTCCGTGACCAAATTTCACGCAGAAGACCTTCTGATCCCGAAGCGCTCGGCCGTGGCGTACCTGCACCTAGCGTTGGAGTACTTCGACCCTTATGAGAGCGAAGACTACGAAGGCAGGCGTGCAGGAGAAGGAGAAGATGAAACGAAAAACCGCTCCGCCGTTCGCCACCGGACACAGCTGCTGGCGGATCAGACGTCGAGTGCTAGAGGGTCTACTTCCACCAGAAAAAGGAAAACTAGGAGAAAAAAACGCCCTCCACCGCGCTGGGAGACGTTTGTTCGGATGGCGCAGGACGCGTTTCACAAGTACGGCTGGACGGAGGAGATTGAAACGCACGTGAACTACCTGCTGGACCAGCTGTGGAGTAAGTGGGACGCGCCGAACCGGTGGCGGCACATCCCCTTCGAAGACTGGCGCATGTACGACCGGTTGAGCCGTGGCGTGCCGGTGCTGCAAGACAAAGCGCCGAAATTCACAGTAGACAAGCCAGACCTGAATTACCACGTTGGGAAGGTCGTCGCGGTGCACGAGGTAGAAGACCAAACTGATTCCCAAATTGTGCCTGCTGTGGACGACGAGAATAAAGCCCGTGGCACTAGTGCAGCTACCCGCCCTGCGGATTCCTACCCCTCCTGGGCGAAGCCGTTTCTGTTTTTCACCGACGACGCAGCTCTGTACACGGAAAGCAGTGGTGGTGCAACAACTGGGGAAAATGAATCTTCAAGCACACCACAACGGCCCGCACAGCCCGAGCCCTGTGGCAGCTACTTTGGTATTATGGAGAAGCTGAGCAAAGAGCCGGAAAAGGACGTAACTGTTCTCGACGTCGGGGCGGGGACAGCTCCTTGTGAAGCGCATTGGCGCTCGATTGGAAAGCACGTGAAGTACTTGAAGCAGGACTTTGCGCAGTATGACGTTTTGCCAAACAGTGTGAAGAGGACACCGTCGCACTCTACCGAGGATCACCTGCTAGAGCACGGAAAACCGGAAACCCAAACCCTCAATGGAGAAGACCTTTTCGAGCAGCACCAGAAAGACCGGGACACTAAGGTGATCGAGATGAGCAAAAAGCTCGGCGTGAATCAGTTTGCGTTCGGCAGCAGCATCCACGCCGAGAAAGGGTACGCGAAAATGGACATTGTGTCCGACATCCTGCGCATCCCACTCGCGTCAAACTCCATTGACATCATCATCCTCGACCAGGTGCTGGAGCACCTCCCCCACCCCGCCGACGCGATGAAGGAGTTGCATCGCCTGCTGAAACCTAAAGGCGGTATTCTTTTTCTTTCCCACCCCTACGGCAGCTACTTGCACAATCTTCCCTTTCACTACAACGGCGGGTTCACACACAGCTGGTTCGAGTTCCACTTGGGGGCGTTGTTTCTGAAGGAAGAAGAGAAGAAGGAGTTGCAGGCGGAACAACGGACGGAAGTAGCTGCTGGAAATGATGAAGAAAGAAAAGACGATGAAAATAGCGGCAGCACAAGAAGAAGTCGAGGCCAATTGTGGTGGAACTATCGGTGGGAGAAATCCGGGGCCGCCCTGCAGCGATCCCTGAGCGAAATCGACTGTTTCCAAGCGGTCCTCGGAAACTTCGCTCCCGGGCGAATCTTTCGGGAGCTGCTGCTCACACTGCTACCCGAAATCACTGACGTCATACCCGTATCAAATGCAAATATGTCTGGTTCTGGAAGAGTCCAAGGCTTGTCATGCTCTGCTAGCATGACTCCAAAGTCTGTCATGCACATTACCCAAAAGCCCCATTTTTCTGTCATGCAGAAACGCGCTTTGTCATGCAGAATACACAGCGCCGTAGTTACTCAGAAACTTGTCGTGCTGAGCTGCCAATGGAGGCGTCCTCATGATTGTCCTACCCGCATCACAAATTTCCAGACCGAGACGCATTTGCAATGCATAACCCGGCCTCTGTCCCGGGGCGGAGCGCACCGTGCAAGGCGTGAATGTGGTCGCGGTGAAGGGGTAGAAGACCATGGTGACAGCCTGTGCTGAAGTGGTTTTTGGGCACACGCTGCTCTTCAGTTTGCCAAGAGGTGTGTAGTGTATGAGATCAAATGAACGCCTGTTGTTTCACTTACTTTTGTCTGTTTTTCCCTGCTTGGGTGGCTTGCTAGTGCCTATGCTTTTTCACGAATCAGTTTTCCCAAAATGACGTTGTGCATCTGCTTGGCAGCCGCCAAATGTAACTACTACACACGCTGCTTATTTCTCTTTCATCACGTAATACTCCGTTCCTGAGGGTCTACTTGTCCTAGACAATAAGGGAAACTCAAACTCTAACTATCGCAAGAGCCATAGACGTTTGTTCACGACCCTGACTCTGAGCAGAGTCGATGCGAGAAACTGTCTTGTTATGTGCGTACAACCACAACGAGCTCTGTCCAGCAGCGGTCCTACTCTTGTTTTTTCTTTCATCACGGGGGCCGCGAAGGCCAGTGGGAAGCATTGATACAACGCGCACCACAATCACGCCAGAGAGATAAATCATGGATACGACCAATACATTCATCATCATCTTCAAGCGCCACGACGGACTGAGAGTGCACGTAGCGATTTGTCACCTTTGCCTCAATTTGAGTAAGAACGGAGTTAATGTTAACTCAGAACTCTGCAATCTTCCGCAAAAAGCGTCTGCTTTTTGTCTTAGTCAAATCACGACCTACAAACAAAGACAATGCTAGGACCCTGATCTTGATGTGCTTTTTCCGTGCGATGCGAATGACGTTGTAGTGAAATTATGTAACGGGGGCAGGATTCTGTCTAAAGATGTTGAAGGTGTGGCGAGTGTCATTCTTTCACGTAACACCACACCCGCGTCTTTCCTTTCATTCGAGGGGACCACTTTGAGCACGCGCGAAGTTGAGCCTTTTCCCTGGTCGTAGAGGGGCACACTTCCGCAACTTCTTCTTAGTTATCCACATCCTCCTTACTCCACTCCGTGCGCGAGGACCCCTCCAGTTCGACAAGAACGATGGTCGAAGCAGCCCCACCAGCGGTGAAGCAGGGCGTCACGCTCGAAGCGAGCGAGGCCGGCGTCCAGCCGGATCGGGTTTTGCCAGGGGAGGTGGACGAAGACGGCTTCCAGCAGCAGCGTTCCCGACGACGGTCCTCGAAGAAGGCTTCTAGTATGAATTTCAAAAGTTGTTTCGTATTCGTACTTGTAGTATTTCTATTTGGAATTGGAGCCGTGCATTCCAAAGCTTTTTCTTAATAAGGTAAATCCGCATTACAAATATCATTCCTCATTCTCGCGCTGAGAAAATTTGCAATGCAATTACTACATACAAGTACGATTACGAAGATACTTTCGCACTCCATATGTATCGCCGCGGAACAACTGGCGTCTTCTTCTGCCTCCAAGGAAAGCGGCGAGCCACCCGCGGCAGCAGGTGCGAAGAGGGACAGCAAAAAGTCGAATTTGGTTTGGCGTGTGAAGGTGCAAGAAGCAGAACCATCGACCACGTCTGCGGACGGCGTTGTGAAGCAGAGCAGCGAGGTCGCACCAGCAGCAAAAACGCCAATAAAACAAGACGTGAATTCGAAACCTGCAGCTTCCGGGCCCAATTCGACGTCGAAGGGGCGACGAAGTTCCGGTACAACTACAATTTCTGCTAGCGGCCGCGTAACTACGGCAGCGTCCAAAACCACACCCTCGCAGCTGCGCGGGAGGGACTCGACGAACACGTTGACCGGTCGTGCTTCTGGTGCCGTTGGTCCCCCGGGAAGTAGTAGTGGAAAGAAGCAGATTCCGAATCCAGCGACAAGTGCTAGCAAAGCCGCGAAGGAGAAGGAAAAAGAGGATCGGCAAGCGGAGCAGGAAATTCTGGAACAAAATCTGAAGAAGCTGATCCGCCCTGCCAGTCCGGAAAAGGAAAAGGAAGAGGTACAGATGACGTACGCCGAGCGCTTGTTGAAGAGCTCCACCAGGTGGGTCCGGTCTGCGTTCGGGTTTGGAAGTAGTAGCTCCTCGAGTTCCAGTTCGGCCTCCGCCACTGCTGAGGCCACCGCTGCGAAGAATGCTGACACGGCGGAACACGTTGCGAACAACAAGAACTCTTCTGCAGCGGATCAGGTAGATGCGGCAGAAGCCGCAGCTTCAGCAAAAAGAACCTCTGGTACATTCGCTCCTGCAAGCAGAGTTTCGAAAAAAGGCGAGGAACTACCGTCGGAGCAACAGGATGCCGGCTGGCAAACTGTTTCCGGGGATCGCCGGAAGTCCGCAAACAAGAGAAAGAGCGGGACTTCTGTCGGAGAAGTACAAAAAAAACCGACGAGAGACGGCTCGGCAACAACCGACACCGATAAAGGAAAAAAGGGCACCGGTCGAGGGAAGGAAAGCCGGAAAAGCAAGTCAAGAAACTCCGAAGTCGTGAACCTGAGCCTGACTGACGCTGAATTACCTAGTACAACTGCGACGGCGAGTAGCACTGTCACAGACGCCGCAGCCGGAGTCGCAGCTAAAAACAACAAGGGCAGCAGGAGGAGCAACAGAACGTCGTCTTCGAGTGCCGCTGCGGACATCAACCTCGGCATGTACATGAAGGAACTCCCAACTTCTGGGCGGAAAAGCAGTGGGTCTGCTCCGCGGAAGAGCGTTCCACCGCGCGTAAAGACGCCACCCCTGGTGGAACCGGTGATGAACAAAGGGACCGCTCCGTTGGGAATTGCAGCTGTTGCTCCTGCTGTGGCGGCAGCTGGTGCACCGCGAAGTTCCTCTAGTACCGCGACATCTAGTACGAACGTCGGTAAAAACTACGCGGAAGCTGCTGCACGAACGTCGGGCGCAACTAGCAAAAGTGCTTCTGTACTCGGAAACAGCAAGAGCACCAGCAAAGGTCGCGCGGCCTCTGCGGCATCCACGCCAGCCCCGGCGGGCCGTGGGAGCTTGAGTATCCAATCGCCTTCGCCACCCCCTTCCGGAGCGGGAGCAACGCGAGGCCCAGCGGTGGAGCAAAGTAAGGTGATGAAGCAAAAGACGCCGAGCTACCGGGATCTTTTTCGAGGAAGCAAGGGGAAAACGTGGTATTTATGATCCTTGGAACAAAGGAGTAGATGTACTAGAAGATGGTCATGACTTCTTTTCGATCCGCCCCATAGGGAGAGAAAGAGCAGTATCTAGTGGATGAAAGAATGCAAACTTGTTTATTTGCTGGTAGCGCTCGTCCAACATGATTTGGTTTTGGATTTCCATCCAGGTTCTCTATCACGGAGGACGATGCAGACTCGCCCCTGGATACCCGTCCGAAGAAGTCGGTCCGCATCAGCACAACTTCAGTGGCGATGAACACGACCAGCGGCTCGAAATCGTCCATTGTGACCCCAAAAATCACCCCGAAGGGAGCAGCTGCAGGTGCCGCCAGCACAACTACATCGGTGCTCATCGGCACCTCGGACGCGAGTGGCAGCAACGCCGTGGTTCCGCTCCTGGCGGAGCCGTCAAGCGCAGGAGCTGTGTCTGGCGGGAGGAGGAAAAAGGCAAGCAAACATCAGCAGCCGAACTCCGAAGCAAACGCGGATAATACTCGGGATTCGTCCGCCTCTCCAGCAAACAAAGAGGAAGCAGCATCAGTCGAGAAGAAACCAAGGCGGAGCAATAACAAGCTCCCGCTTTACCGCCATGAAATTTTCGCAAAGAAGAAAGAAGCAAAGATGAAAGGCGCTGGTAGTTGTACGGATTGCGAACAAGCTGCTATCCCAGAAGCCGGAGCCGGTGCGGAGCAGAAAGCAGAAGCTATTGACGGTGCAGCAGCAGCGGCCGAAAACCAGCCTCCAAAGAAGAAGAAAAACACCCGGGCTTCTAGGAAGAGACCTAAGCCAGCACCCGCGGCTGAGGGGGAAGAAGAAACTGCGGCGGTGACCGCCGCCCGAGCACCCGCTGGTCCCGAGAATGCACAAGAGCTACCCGCTGCCAATAAGAAATCTGCAAATAAGCCGAAGAAAGAGAAGCAGCCGGTAGCTGCGACGGGCAAAACTGCTGACACTGATGCAGCTCCTGCGGTAAAAACCGATAAGGGAGATAAGAAGACGAAACGCACTAACAAGGGTGAGGGCAAGGTCTCTAAGAATCATTCCAAAGGGAAGGATAAGGAAGCTGCTAGCGCGACGTCGTCGAAAAAAGGGCGAAGCGCAGCGAAGAGAGGGCGCAGCCGCGGGACAACTGATTTGGAGAACTTGACCGACGCAGAGCAAGTTGACCTCGGGGAGGCAATAGCCGAACGGGATGTGAAGGAAGGGCGAGTGAAGCGGCACCGGAAGCCGAAGCATCAGAGAAGCGCTTCATCACACGCTAGGGCCCAGGAATCCTCCGGGGACGAGGCAGATGTGCAAAAAGCCGCGGTGAAAAAGGTGAGACGGTGCTGGTGCCGGCAAATTCTCTCTTGATCGATTTGGCTGAGCAGTTTTTGTCTTTCAACATGCTTGCAAAGTGATGAAATCAGAATTTATTCGTCGCTTGAAATTTCAGCATTGTTTCAAAAAATTTCTTTACAGCACCTCCCCACGATCCTGCGGCCTCCGCAATCCTTCCGAGAGAAATTCAGCACCGCCGCGCAGCACGCCGCTGGATTGTGCACGTAGCAATTGCTTTTTGTTCTTATTTCTGTTTCGGACCACGGTGATTTCATGTTCAAGTGAATTTCAAGCTTGCACCACTTGCTCCCCTTGGCTTGTTCGACAGGGACTGCGAAAATCGCAGGGCAAAGAGATTTATGAATACTGCATTTACAATTACAACAGGCCCTGCCAATTCTACCACACCAAAACTGGGTGCAAGAACGGCGCAGATTGCAAGTTTTGTCATCTTTGCCCGAATATGCATTGCAAATATGTCTGGGTCTGGATGGATGCCAGATTTGTCATGCTTGTCTGGCATGACTGAAAAGTTTGTGATGCGTGTCCAAGAAGAGACCCTTTGGCTTGTCATGCAAAAACGCAGTTTGTCATGCAAAAAGCGCGACACTAAGTCGCGCAAAAATTTCCCATGCTTGGCTGTGCAACATTACAGGGCATCCGCTATTGGCAGCATAGCATCACAAGTTTCCAGACCCATACATATTTGCATTTCATACCGAAAGGAGTCCAGCAGGCTTACAAAAAGACGAAGAAGCGGCTTTTGAACGCCTTGAGCTATGAACAGGCGCTGTGGTACTTACTTAATGGATCCTAATCATTCCCAGCACACGAGAAAACCAAAACGCTAAAAAGTGTGTGCCCATCTGTTCTGTGTGACGGTTTGAAGCCGCTTTACAGGAAATAAGATATGAAGCGAAATAGATCAGCTTTGTCTATACATTTGTATAAAACTGTCACGTCTTCTTCTTCACTCCAGGTGTTTCCCCGCTCAGACGATGGCTTTTTCCGGCGGCGACGGCATGATGTACGTCTACTACCCGCCCGACGAGAGTAATGGATACGCTGGCGCGGTAGCCCAGCTGCCCAACACGGAGGCGCTTCAAGACCCCACCGCCGCACCCGTGGTGCACGAAGCTTTGCGGCTATCCAAGAAAAAAAGTGTGTATAGTGTAGCCGTGTGGGAAGAGCAGCATCAGCATTACAAATTCGTTTTGCATTACAGAAGAAACCTGTCATGCGCAGCTAGTTCGTGAAAACACCTACTACGAAGCATGGCTATGACGCACTTCCAGCATGACAAGTGTAACGGTTCTTTTGCACTTTCTGCATCACAAACCCACACTCGCGCAGTTTTTGCGTTGCATAATGGCTCGCGGCACTGCAGGCCAGCGGTACGGTGGTGGATTACGTGGATCCTTTATGCAAAACAAGTTTCCCGCACAAGTACAAATAAACGCATCAAAAATTTTGCCAATTCAAACTCGTAACACTCGTCATGCTGACCAGCACTGAAGGCCTGTTTTGTTATGCAGGAGGCCGCGCATTCATTTTTTTTTGTACGTCACGCGTGCGGGAAATATACGTGTGGATATCCTTCAGGAGCCGGGGGAAGTTCTGCTGGTGGTAAAAAAGCCTCTAGCTCTTCCAGTTCTTCGGCCAGTGCTGGAGTTGAAGACGGCACGGACGACTGCGACAAGAGTTCGGAGCAAGATAGTGCTGTAGTTGTTCAACCAGGTCACGACAACGGAGGCCCTCTTGGAGCGGCAGGACTACTAGTTGGGCAACAGCAGCAACAGTATAACTACCAGCCGTACTATCCGACACCATTGGGCTACAGCACGTACAACAATTATGGGAGTGTCAGGATCGGAATCGTCAGAGTTGAGATAATTTGTGATGCATTAAACGAATACCAGTTGGCGCCTAGTTTGCAAGTGGCGCATGACAAATTTGGGTAGAACTGAAATCCGGTTTGTAATGCTGTTTGGGTAAGAAGACGCCTTTTGTCATGCTACCTAAGCAGCTCAACTGCTACCCCTCATAGGCTTAAATGCATCCGTTCTTGCGTCATCTGCAATAGAGGCATTTTTTGCGTTGCATATTATGCATCACAAACTATTTCAACTTTGACGATTTCGATCCTGACACATGCATAACAACCCCGCGATGTTTCAACCGTGGCTCTTTTTCAACAACAGCGGGTACGGACCAGCACCAGATATGGATTGCAAAAGTATCGTACTAGTACTTGCAAATTTGCATGACAAATCTTTTGGCTTTTTCTAAAGGTAGACCAGCATTACAAATTCCACTGGTCATCATGCTGAGCAACTTTGTCTTGCAATCAAAGTACTATAAGTACGATACTTTTGCCATGCATACCAGGATCATTCTCACAATACAACCCGTACACCATGCCAACGGCTGGATCGGTCCTTCCTGATGGAGAAATCGTGCCTCCGCCGCCAGCGGAAGAGGAGGAGGAGCCTGATGCTGCGGAAGATGGTAGCGAGGAAGATGCTGATCCTACGACGTCTTCTGGGGACCCGCCAGCAGGTATGAGCATTTTTGAGGTATGAGCGGGCACGCGGGAAGATCCGGAGGCAGAGGCTGCATTGTTTTTGTGAACTCATTTCTATCGTGCGCTGCCTGTTCAATGAGACTAGCATTGAGCTGCATTTATGTAAAGTCAACCTCTGATCGTGATCTCTAACTAGGTGCAGCTGCGAACAAGCCAGAAGATGTTGTTCCCTCGCCCGCCGGCGCAACAGCTGGTGCTCTGCCCTGGACCCTGCCTTCGCAGTGCAAAACGCGCACCAGCTCCGATTTCCAGTTCGTCACAAGCTCTACGGATGCCAAGCTGATGGAAAAAATTTTGTCGTCAACATCTGGTACGTGAATTTTTTGGTTTCTTCATCATACGCTGCGCACTGCGTTCATCTGGTGCGACGTGTTTTTCATGACAGACCAACAGCAAGTAGAAAAAAAAGTCGCTGGTGAATGATACTTCTGGTTCACTGTGCTGTCACTTAAAACACACTGACCTATTGTTTTGTACTTCACGTTCAAAAAGTTTTCCCGCAGGCGCGTCTCCGACAGCGAATAAGTCCAAGCGGCCTGCGCTGCTGACGCAGACAGCGAGCGCCGGAGGGACCACAACGACGATTGCTGCCGATCCCAACCCGCAGAAACTCACCTCCCCGACGAACACGCGCCGGATGGGCACGCGCCCGGGGGCTCAGAAGAAATTGATGAGCGGCGGAACCCCAGCGGGCGGCAACGGAACCGGTACGGCGAACACGAGTCCCGACCAGTTCACCTTCTCTGCCGACGCGCCGGTATTTGTCCCCAGTGCCTCAAAGTAGGCCTTTTCAATAGAACAGACAGTGATACGGTACCGGGAAGGGGGAACGAAACGAAAGAAAACGGGTGGAATTAGAAAAAAAGTACTTTGCACTAGAACAAAAAACAGAGAAAAGTACTATCTATCGCTAATAGACGCATGTAAGACCACGACCCCTTGGTCTGGCCGCAGACTGGGGGCTGTCGTATAGAAATTGTTGAAGCTACTAACCCTTGACTGCTCTTCTGTTTACGGCTGTGGGATCTATTTCCCTAAACTTTTTCTTCTCAATATAGCAAATCATTGATTATGATTTTTGAAATAAAATCGTCGCAGTATTCAGACACTTCAATACAGTTTTAGTTTTTTAGAAAGTACGTAAAGCTAAAGTTTAGACAAGTGCAAGAACTCCGTAGTAAAACGGAGACGGACACTATGTTGTTGCTCTTTTTTTACATTATCACAAAAGTCCTCATCTTTTTCGTAGTTACTACAGCCTATTTGAAAATAAATTAATTGTAGCCCGGCGCTACCTTATCCTTGTTACGCAAGCTGTTTTTTGAGTGGTTGCAACTGCAACGTGGTGCAAAGCTTGAGGTGAAAATAAAGCTTCTTCTTCGTGCCATGAGATGCTATCATGATCCACAAAAATCTTGTTTGTCGCGCAGGTCTTCCTCTGTCTTTGAGATTTGAAAGTATAATTTCATCAGGAACCAGTTTGATATAGTCGTTTTCGTAGTGATGGGTGAAAATCAAAATAGTAGTCAGTAATCTTGTCGGACGATCCACCTTTCCGCTTAGCGGAAAAATGAGTCTGTACTCAACAAATGAATATGGAAAAATGTAATGCAGTGTAATGTTCTATGCAGAATTTCTTGAATTTTTATGTGAGTAAGAAAAGATTATCAATTCGCAATCGCGTGGAGCTGCAGGGAAATTCAAAATATGAAACCACGAGGCCAAGATACAGCACAAAAAAAGATACAACTTGGGATTGCATCACTCGCTAGGTCCTTCTTTCCAACCACGCATGACGATCCTAAGTAAATCGCCGAAAAAAGTAGACCATCGGGACTACACGACTGCTGCACCTAGGGGAGGTTGTGTTCTTTTTCGTTTTTCTGTTGCTTCTCTATCAATGTGTCGTGGGCCTGTGTCAGCAAGTGTAGTAACTCTACTTTTCTTGCTATGTATTCAGTTTCAGAATTTTGAGAGGCGAGCGTGCAATAGACTTATTTCTCCTGAGGGATGTTGCCTGGCGCAGGCTACTAACTCCTATTCCAGCTCTTCACAAATTATTATCTAAGAAAGTCAAAGAGCATTCTCATTCGCATTCCTACAAATTCCGGCGACGGAGTGCCTCTGCACTTACCTCCACAAGGAACAAATTCAAATTGCGTATTAGGGTAAAGCACTCCTGATTAAGATTATGTGCTGCCTCCCTTGCTGCGGTCCGTTGGGGGCTGCTCCGCCGAAACTGCGGTGTTTAGCCTACCTCTTCGTCGTTGCCGCGGTGCTGCTGGATTTCATTCTGCAGTTTCCGGTGACCTACAAGAATTTTGCGTACTTTCACCACAACGTGGTCCACGACAATGTGGACACACTGTACCGGAAGCCGAATGTTGTACAAACCGCAGGTGAAGATGGCACAGGAGCTTCATCAGCCTCGTCCCAGCAGACCTTTTGGTCCAGCATGAAAAAGTTCTTTACTGACAAGGCCAACCTGGTTTCCGAAAAGCTGAAATACCTGACCGGCAACCGGGTTTCGCTGTTAAAGGCGAAGAAAAACGATAGCGCGAAGATCACGGTGCTGATCAATCAGTTCCAGCGGCCCTCCTGCTTGCGGAAGCAGTTGCGGGTGCTGCGTCGGTGCTCGATCGTGCACTCGATCTACGTAAACTGGTTCGATTTGAAGAACCCTGTTCCGTCCAGCGTGCAGGACTTCATCAGAGGCAGTGAGGACAGCGACGAATTTACCAGTTCATCTGGAGGTACCTCCGGAACAACTTCGACAAAAGGCGAGGGTGAGTTTGTCGAGGAGCTGGAAACCGAGCCGGAATACCGCATCTTTCCGCCAAGCCGACTCTTATCCGAGGAGGAGCAGAATAATAGCAAGATCGACAGGAGGATGAACTACTACGAAGAACAAGATGGGACCACGGCAGCTGATATGGCCGACAAAGAAGTAAAGGCAAAAACCCCTAAAGTAGTAGTAGAAGATTTCTATGCGGAGAAGCGGATGACCAGCTCCAGCCGGGCGAAAAAAAACAAAAAGCGAGGCCAGAAAGCCGCTTCTTCGGACATCAACCAAAAAAAAAATCCTGAGAAAGGAGCATCAAAGAAGGCCCCGTACCGATTGACAGAGAAGTTTCGACCGCATCTGTTTCCTACAGACGCGGTTTTTGTCACCGATGTCGACATGTTTTACTCCTGCCACGCACTTCAGTTTGCCTACAACGTCTGGTCGCAGTACAATGAAAACGAAGTGGAAGATATAGGAAACGTCCGCGCGGCACGAACAAGGATGCTAGAAGCGGCGGCACCTAGCACAGCTGCCACGGCGAGTCCGCCAACAGCAGCGCCAACTGGTGTACCGCCTCCAGCAGCAGCCTCTGTAGCTGCAGCTCCATCCGAAATAAAACCCGTCGCTGCGGCGCCAGTGCCCGACGTTGCAAAGGCGATCGCTGCGCAGACTGCGGCGGTAAATGCAGTCGCGCAGGCAACGAAGGCGGTCGTAAAACAGAATTTGGACGCTCTTGCAGCGGCGAAGAACACAGCTAATATGGACCAGGTGAAAATCCAGGCGGTGCATCGGGATCCGCACCCCACGATCTCGCAGTTCGTCAAAGCGGTGGGGTTTCATCCAAGGTACTTGTCCCGCATATGCATTGCAAAAGTATCGTACTAGTGCGAGTAGCATGACAAATAACAAATATAATGGCAATGCAGTTTGTACCGCTGTTACTGTCATGCATGACAGCAATGAGTACGAGTTTACGATGCTTTTGCATTCGATGCCGCACCGCTAGTTACGATTGGTCGCTGAGTTACCGACACTCCCAGAAGTTCCTGCACAATACCATTTTTGTCACCAAAGGGGCGCTGATTCACAAAGATTTGTTTTCCGATTTTTTCAAGCCAGAATACGAGAGTTTGAGGCAGCTCGTGGACCGGGAATTCGCGGGGGCAGATTTGCTGATGAGCTACGTGCTGGCGATGGAGTATTTTTTGTTTTTGAAGCGTCTTTTTCAAGAAGTGCACTTAGATGAAAAACGCTAAAATCCGCCCTGCACCACTGCAACCTGGAACAAAATACAATCACAACTACTTCAGATACGGCCCCCACGCCTTCCGTGCGCTCTGTCCGAAAGAGAACTACCACCTCGCCACCGCGGAGTCCTGTTCCGCCAATCGGCGGCCGAGCAACGTGTTCGCGCCGGTGCCGACGGGTGTTGAGGATACGATCGATTACGCGTACGACGCAGAAGCGGACATGCTGCTGGAGTACAATTCCGTCGGGCTGCGGAAGGCGAAACTGTCGTGGCGGCTCGCGTTCGAAAAAAGGCGGATGATCAAGCGGATCTTTGGAACGCAAAAACGAAACTATCTGAACAAGAACGTCAGGCAGCTGGAAGTCGGTGCTCCTAACGCCGAGATTATTGGGGCGTTGCATTCATCTCCGCCAAGTTCTTTCAAAGCTGAAGCCGGAAGGTCGACGGCTGCAAGTAGAAGTAGTCCCGAGGGACGAGAAATAAAAAAGGAGAATACAAGAGGCAGAGTGGCGGAACTACTAGGATTACACGACTTTTCTGTTCAAAAAGAACTACCTCAAGCGTCGAAAATAAAGGCACAAAGCACCACTACACCAGATGAAACACAAGAAAGCCGAGAAGATGAAAACTATCCTCGTTCCCTTTCCCCGGCGGGTTTTGCGTCGACTGCCGGGTCGGCAGTGGCGCACGCCGCAAGCCGCGTCCCGTCGCACGACTCGGTGGACAGTGTGCTGGCGCGTGCGTTTCAGGGGCCCCCGGGGGCCTATACCCGCAGTAAGGACGAGGAGGGATTTGTATTACAATGAAAAATGCCCCCAACCCAGAATTTGCAAAAGTTTCTCATGCAAAGTTCCCAAATAAAAGCTTTTTGTCTTGCATGAAAGGACTACGAGCCTTTCTGATGCAGAATGTAGTTGCGCAAGGTAACTTTTGCGCACGACAGATCAGGCTGCTGTTGGGCCGCTTTGCAACACAAATTTGAGCTATTCAGCATGGAAAATTTGTGTATGGATATGCAAAACGGGGAGTGTTATTCCATTGGAAAGGTTTGCAATACAAATGCTGCGAAGTTTATCTGGGGTGGGGGCATTTTTCACTTTCGTAATTTGCGCTCAAGTCGAAGGTCTCCGAGTTCCAGACGTACTACGCAAACAGCGTCATTTGGGAAAGGCAAACCAGGTATCGATGAATGTTGTTGAAGAGTGTTTGTGTTGTAATGATTCTACTGATGTTGGACGATAATCTTCATCCCTCCCGACATCCTCCCCTTCAGTACTTTGCTTGTGCTTTAAGTGGAAAAAAACGAACAAAGTATCATGGCAAGGAAATAACTTCACACCAGGTTCTACATGGACTTTTGGCGGTGGATTGACCGACAACTATTCGGAATGTGGAACCAACTAGACTGTCCGTCGGCACCCTGGCGGTCAATATCCGCCGAACAATTCTGGTTTATGCAGAAGGTTCACTAGTAATGCTCATGGAGACGCACACGCGGATGTTGCGCTTGCGCGTCACACACTGCACTGTGCTGGATACTGCTTTGAAGTTGTGCCTTAGATGATCAAGACGTGAAACAAACTACACCATATTGCGCATTACATACAACCATACGTCATCATCAATCATATTGCGCTATGAGAACAAGAACTACAGGGTAGCTACGCGATTAAAGTCCTGTCAAAGTCAATCTTGCACACTGTATGAAGTGGCACTACGTGTTTCGCAAACGGCACTACGTGGTTCACAGCTCCCTGCATTTTTGTTTTCGAACTGCTATTCGTATTCGCTTCGCTTCGGCTTCAATCAGGAATGGTATCGGTTTCGCTTTTGCCTTCGGACAAAAAACTAAAATTCGGTTTTGCGTACTAGCGAGAAGTGCTTGCCCTCAGTTACCAGATTTCCTTCTTCGGTTTTTAGTGGCCCCTGCCCTACGTGCTGCGTTGTGTAGTATTCATTCTTGAAGATACAACTTCTTGCTTGACTTCCGTAGTTTCATCGGTGCATTTCGTTTTTGGTATTGTCGTTATAGCGCAAGAAAAACAGAAACAAAATCGGCGACCGGAGCGCTTCTTTTTTTTCGTGATCGCACCGAACGATATACGTTCGTGGTCTTTTTTGGATTTCCATTTTAATCGCTATTGCTATTGTCCAATAACACACCAGTGTCAGTTTCCCTCACCCTGCGCTTTTTTTTTTTGGGTCCAGCTACACTCGTAGCTGTATCGATCAAGTGTAGTGAGGGGCTTGCTTGAGCTCAAAGTGGCTTTGAAAGAAATTTTTGTACACAACTCGAAGTGCGAACTTTTTTTTGAAATTTTTAGAGTAGACGTTTGTTTGCAGTAACACACACTGTAAATTAAAATCAGTTGAAGTTTTCAATTTTTGCAAGAATTCGTTTTGCTGCCTGTGGCCGCAGAAGGCTCCAGTAAAGAGTCCGCTAAGTAGTGCAGCAAGTTCGTAACAAGTTGTAGCTGAATTCATCTGAATTCAGTGTAGTTACACTCATAATTAGCATATTGTATACTAGTTTTTTGCCGAGTAGCCCTCGTCCAACAAAACCAGAAGGAGCTGTAACATAACCTTAAATGTAGTACACAGGAAGCCAAGAGGGCGCTTCCGTCGGCGGCGTCAGCAGTTACAACCGGGAAGAAGATGTTTTTCGACCAACTACCGCCAGCGAAGAGACGTCGCAAGGGCAGCTTTGCCAATGTGCCGGCCTCGACGCCGAAGCGATTTTTTTTCGCCTTGATGCCCTCACGGTGGTCCAACATTATACAACCATCGCGGCTAGTACAACGAGTTCTAGTACAACTTCTGCCGCTCGTCCCCTTACTTCTTCTGCAGAACATTCATGTCGCTGCCTACACAACGAAGGAACATCGTTCTTGGGACTACACGAACTGGACCATTAGCGACCGCGTCGAGGTCTTTTCGACGGACCAGTTTCCGCAGTACAGCTGCTACAAAATCCCCTACCTCTTCCAAACGCTGAACGGGACCATACTGGCCTTCGCGGAGGCCCGCGGGCTATGGATTGCAAAAATGTCTGGGTCTGGAAGATTTCTAGATTTGTCATGCATATTTTCCATGACCAGCGTAACGATACGATGTCTGTGATGCATGCTGTAGCATCACAGAGTTTTAGAGCGCTCTGTGATACCTCTACCGCATGAGAAACGAGCCCTCCGCGTAGCACAAACTGGAGTCCTCTTGCTGGTCATGCAATACAAATTTTTTCAGAATCCAGAGACAGCATTACAAGTTTAGAATGTTCCAGACTCGGACACTTTTGCATTTGATACGGGCCGACGGACGACAAATCTTCGATCGGAAACTGCATGGACTGGGACATCACGGACGTGGTCCTGCGCAAGTCGTACGACGGGGGCCATACCTGGTCCCCAATGACCACGCTGCTGCTATCACGAGAAAAAAGTGTTACAGTTACACATTTGTTGGAGTTTCTGCATCACAAATTTTCTTCGTACGGCAGAGAAAACTTGTAATGTGAAGATCATAAGGGAAAACAGGAAGGAAACGAGGCTCCCAAGCATTTCCTGCGCAAGAAAGGTCGTCTGTGTTGCCGGTCTTGCAGCGCAATGTGTCATTGTAACACTTTTTTCTTGCGATAGCTCCGCGGCCGGTACGACTGGCACTTCGTGGTCGGGAACCTCGTATCAAATGCAAATATGTCTGGGTCTGGAAGATGATTGCCAGGTTTGTCATGCATATTTTGCATGACCACCCATGATCATGATGCCTGTAATGCATAGTCTAGCATTACAGATTTTTAGAGGTTCCTGATGCGTATCCCGCATGAGAAATGCCCTCTCCGCGTAACACAAACTGGACTTCTCTTCCTGGTCATGCAATACAGATTTATTGTAGAATCCAGATCCAGCATCACAAGTTGCATTCATTCTTCCAGACCCAGACATATTTGCAATGCATACGTCGCTCCGGTGCAGGACGAGTTCTCGGGCCGGATCCTCCTCCCCTTCACCCGGGGCAACTCCCGCATATGAAAGCCTCAGAATGGAAATCCTCAAAGTGGAACTAATTTGTGATGCATGAAATGCAAGGCAAAAAAGACTGTATTGCAAAGGACACAAGGGGGACCGACTATTGTCCTGCTAGGGGTGAAGAATTGGAGTGCTGCTTAGCACGAGAGAAGGGCACCCCTTTGTCTTAACCTGCATGACAGACATGCTTTAAGGGCCCGGGAAATTTGTCATGCGCCGACTACAAATGGCGTCTGAACTGGAATCGTTTTTTTGCACGACATATTATTTCCATTTTGAGGATTTCCAACCTGAGGCTTTCATACCGCATGTGGCTCACCTTCAGCGACAGCCAAGGCGAGAGCTGGGCGGACCCGTATAGGTTGAATTACGAGGGGTTTTGGTGGACCTGGGTGGGGTTCGGGCCCCCCGCGGGGCTGCAGATGAGCTACAGCAAGCTGTACCGGGGCCGGCTGATCATTCCGGGCTACTTTTCCGACTCGCCTGTGTTTGACCTCACCGCCATTTTTGCCAGCTCGGCGTTTTTGTTGATTTCCGACGACGGCGGGGCGAACTGGGAGCGGGTAATTGTTTCAAACGGCAACCAGGTATAAAAGTGCACAACTCCCCCTCCCCCTCATTTGTCATGCAAAATCCACAATCCACGCCTTACCTCTTCTTGGCACTGTTTGCATGACAAATTCATCTGGCGGCCCAAATAGCACTTCAATCCTGTGCAAATTTGTCATGCAAAACCTGCAGTCTAGCTGACGCTTGTATTGCTGTTCATGCCCAACGAATGAGGGGGAGGGGGAGTTGTGCACTCTCATACCAGGAGCTGATCCCCGGTATCGCGGGCAACGAGGACCAGGTCACCGAGATGTGTATCAAATGCAAAAATGTCTGGGTCTGGAAGAATGCAACTTGTGATGCTGCATTTGGATGTCTAAAAAATTTGTGTTGCATGAGCAGCAAAAGGAGGCTAATTTCTGCTACGCGGAGAGGGCATTTGTCATGCGGAATAGGCATCAAGAATCCCTCAAAAAACCTGTGATGCTAGTGCATGCATCACAGACATCATGGCTCATGCAAACCGTGCATGACAGGTCTCAAAATCTTCCAGACCCAGACCTTTTTGCATTTGATAATGTGCGACGGATCCTTACTGCTGAACATGCGGACCTGGATCGGTGACCGCGTGCAGTCCTGGAGCTACGACGGGGGAAAAAGCTGGAGCGTCGTCGAGCGCACGGCGCTGCCGAACCCGTTTCAGGGGTGCCAGGGGTCGGTGGTGAGTTTAAATAAACACGTCCAGCTGTATTCGGGCTTGGGGCTATGCATTGCAAATAAAAATGTATCGTACTAGCGTACTAATTGCAGACATGCATGTTGACAAATCGCCTTCCTTAGCTAAAACAGCATACAGATTTTATTTATCATGCTAGTGAATGCAATTTACACTAGTGCGATGTAGTGGCTTTTGCCTTTCATAGTTGCCGCCGGAAAGCGACTGGGACGCCGTTCGGAAGGATCTGAAGCTGTGGACCAGTGAAGACGGCGGGAGAAATTGGGTGGAGAGAATGGTATAGATACTTAAAGTACGCTTGATGAATGTTATTGCACGCTTCTTGATAACGGTTCGATATCGATACTAGATGTGGATGATAAAGTGTTCGAAGATGATGATCCTACAAGAGATGAAATAAATTCGAAAACTACAAACTCCTACCACAGATCATCCACGAGGGCGGTGCATCGTATTCCGCTCTCTGGCGTCTGCTGGACGGGCGGATTGCGGTGATCTATGAGATTGGGAACCTGTCGCCAATTTTCATCCCTTTGAACATCTACGTGAAGATCCTGCCCCCGTTGGATGAATTTCTCTTCCCCGCCGGAGGTGCAACTGTCCTTCCCGACTACTCATATGCATTGCAAATATGTCTGGGTCTGGAAACTTGTGATGCCAAGTGGTGACGACTGAGCACACTCCTGAGTGCAGTCAAGCATGACACATTTTCAGGACGCCTTCTCATGTGTAATGCGCATGAGAAACTGCGCTTTTGCATGACAAAGAATTCGCGCTTTTGTGGGGCCGCACGCAATACAGATTTTACAGGAGTGGTAGTGGAAGACACGCATTACAGATTCCAATTTTTCCAGACCCAGACATTTTTGCACTCGATAACCCCCCCGCCGACACAACCTCCTTCGCCTCCATGGGCTGCGCCGCTTCGTTATGAAATGCAAAAGCATCGTACTAGTATAAATTGCATTACAAATTAGCTCAGCACTACAAATAAAATTTGTAAATGCTGTTTTACCTTAGGAAAGAGATTTGTCATGCCGAACAGCAATTACTACGAGTACGATACTTTTGCAGAGCATATTCGTCTCCTCGGACTGCGTACCGCACCGAGCCGCGCAGGTTCTGGCACATCGACGGCACGGACGCGTTTGTCCCGGTGTCCAGCACCGGGGTGCAGTACCAACAGCAGGCTGTTCTAGTACCTTCCGGAACGGGAACGACTAGTAGTACAAACGCGACGTTGTCTGCAATGATAAACAGTGACTACCCGACCACCTGGCGGCCGTTTCAGGTGCACAGTATGGATTGGCAGCAGCGACAGAAGTCCCGGTTTGATTCCAGCAGCTTCATGTTTTCCTTCACGTGGTGGGTGGTCATGTTGCTGCTGAGCATCACCTTTGTGCTCAGCTTGCCTCTCCTCTTCCTCAGTTCGATGTGCTGCTGCTTGCCGACGTGTCGGCAAAGAAGAAGCAGTGAATTTTTGATCGTAGCCGGCGGCTGTGAGGGGAACTGTGCGGCGATTGGGGGGAACTTGCGGGAGAAGCTGGCTTCTCTAAAGCGTACTGCGGCCACTGCGAGGGACACAAATTCGATGAAACAAGTCGTGGAACAAGAAGATGAACCACTCCAGTGCGCCGAAGATTCATCGACAGCTGCGGGAACCACCAGAGCCAAACCGGAAAGAAATACCGGAGATACAACTAGCGCCACTGTCAATATGGTTGACCCCCGTCGCGAAGAACAAGTCGAACTGGCGAATCGGAAAATAAATCTTCCGGCGGGAAGATCATGCTCGTCCTCGTGCACGACGACGACTGATGTCGAAAATATTAAAGGACTACAACAGCAGCTGCAAGATGAACGGAGTTCCTGCAAAAATAAAAGACAAATGAAAGAACATGAACATGATCGTCAACAACGACAACGTCAACACGATATTATGATGAAGGAGGACGCAAAGTGGTCTACTTCACCTACTACACAGCCGGTGAACATGGGTGAGAACCAAAACCATGAAGGTAGTTTCAAAACACTGCTTGAAGTAGAACAAGAAGCATCAAGCTGCTTGAAGACCGAAAATGCCAAAGACTTTGGCGCCCTCTACCTCGCCGACAAGGAGCTGCAGGCTGGTGAGCAGGAGAAGCAAATGCGGATGCCATGCAAAGAGTCCGATCTCGTCCTCGGCGAATCAGAATCAGTTTCGATCACCTCGGTGAATTTCACGGACGCCAACAGCACTGCGACGCCAGTTGACCAGGAGACGGATCAGACCTCCAAAACGGATTTGAATACAATTTTCGTACCACCCGCTGGCGTGACGAAGGATGTTGACGATGAGAATGGTCTACAGCTTCAGAAGTACTACTCCGCTACTTCAACTTCCCCAGGGGACGAAAAGAACCCCGACGAGAGGTTGAGTGCAGCTACTTCTGTAGTTGCTGTTCTGAAAAACTTGAGCCGGTGGTTCCGCGACAACCAAAACCAGCAGCAGTACCTGCTTCCCCTTTTGCAGCTTCTCAACAGTCTGTGGTTCGGGTTTTGGGCCTGTGGCGCGCTCTATGACAGTGCACAACTCCCCCTCGTTCTCATTTCTCATGCAAAATACCAAATCCACGCTTTCCCTCCTGTCACTATTATGCATGACAAGTTCTGGCAGCCCAAACAGAACTACACTCCAGCGCAAATTTGTCATGCAAAACCGGTACTTTTGCTGGACTGGTGCTTGTATTGCCGTTCACGCTATACAAATGAGGGGGAGGGGGAGTTGTGCATTCTCATACGCTCCTCGCCGTCTTCTTCTCGCACGACGACCCGATCCGCTGGCTTTTCCAGACCAACTGGAGCCTTTTCGGCATGGCGTTTTCGGTCGTCTTGTGCTTGTTGAAAATGCAGTTCTTCGCCGAGTTAGGAAATTTAAAACAGCAGATACTGCAGCGGCCGAGCTTGGAGTTGGGGCTGTTAGGGATTTTCTTGCTCGTGCTTACCGGGGTATTGTCGAAGACGCTTTGATAGTGCAACATTTATTAAAATCTAATCACTTTCTCGTCCTGGTAGTTCTTGTTCTGCCCGGCGAATAAACCCAGGGTTAGTACTAGTGCTGCAGAATGTGTCTGGTGGTATTGTCAACTGAAATTTTAAAGCAAAAAAGACAAGTACCCGATGCGGGAACTTGTATTTATTCGAAATTTTGTTTGCAAACGAAAAAAGGAATTTTTCAAATAATTTTTTGTACAATTTGGGTTTGATTGAAGATTATGAGTTTACCTTTGTAGTTTCAGAAGACGCTGCTTCCTGCGCAGGGCACAGGGTGCACCAGGTATGGCGTTGTCTCGATGCGCTTCATTTGTAGCACTTACATGTACAAAATGCGTTGTGGTCACTACAAATGCTCTACTTGCTGTACTACACAACACGGCATTGAAGATGTGTCGAATTATGCAAATAGACGTAGAACAAGGACAAGCACAAAAGGATACACCATGAAAAATCCAGCTAACAAGATAACGCTCTGTAGCAACCCGCGCACAGGAGCCACAGTGTTCTCCCCTTTGAGGGGTCTAGTAATGTGAACTATGGATCACTCCAAGTAACATATGTTGCACAGCCGTGCAATCAACGATCAGATCCGTCCCCCTGGTCCATGACGTGGCAGCAAGAGCCACGGGACTGAGCAGATGATCGAATTATATTTTTTGGTCTTAAACGATAACGACCCACTGTCACGATTTTTACTTGCATCTAAATTTTGTAAGCTGCACGACACCATTTCGCCTTTTGCTTCTCAGGCCAAATGTCGCACGGTTCTTTAACGAGTTTATACATCCACAGTTAGTTTAAACAGTAGAGTAAAATAGCAACATTGATAACGTTGGACAAGCCTCAGAGTATAACAAGGTACCATGTTAGAGCACGTTCTCTTGGTCGCATATTTTGGGTACATTTTTCTTCTTTACTTAGACGCCACCAACGTTCTACCTAAGTTCAAGACCACTTCCAGAGCCGGTGTTGGCACCCCAGCCGCAGCTGGTACCGGCTCGAACTGTAAACATTTTTACAATTAACTTACTACACGACGGGTCGTGTCTTGTATCTACCACCAACATCTGGTGGAAATCGAGGTCAAGAAAGAAATTCGTTTTATTTCAGCTTTTCCCCACCAGGACGAGCGCTTGCCAGCTTTCCAAAGCAACAACATGACGGGGCCTCGACGTTGACTAACTTCAGGACCAATTTTCCTGCACTGCTTTGCCGGACAGGCAGGTGCCTGGAGTTCTTCTTGCTTTGCAAGTTGGCGCAAACCAACGGCGGTAGTTCAATAGCTGCTCCGTCGTGCCGGCAGTAGATCAAGATGGGTCGGGAGTCGGATGACAATTGCACCGTCTACATCTGCTTGGAGGCCAAGCAGAGCCCCAGCCAGCAGGAGCTCGGGCAAAAGCTGGCCTCGAAACGGGATGACGACAAAATCGAGGCGCTGGAGCAGATCATTCTGCACATGGTCAATGGCGAAAGCTTTTCCCAACTGCTCATGCAGGTACTTGAACTTTTTATACCATCGTTATGATATTATGCAGTCATGGTGCACTACATGAGGAAACACACAGAAATTCTTTGCCACGATAACAACTCTTTTCCACAGAAATTCTTTGCCACTTATCGTGGTCAACTCTTGTGGAAGAGTGACCACGATAACACAGAAATTCTTTTCCACAGAAACTAAGAACATAAGTCTCTGCTGCGCTGTGCAGCTCCACCAGACGTGCACCACCAGAAGTGCAGAACTGGCGGCGTTGCTTGTTTTAGCACCATCAGAAGTGCGTAACTCGCATGCCGGGCGTGCCATGTCAGGATGTCAGGATAAAGCAGTCAGTCAGTCAGTCAGTCAGCAGTCATGGTGCATGATTTTTACATATACTTCACCAGGTGGTCTCTAATCTCTTTCTTTCGGGGAATCCGCATGTAACTATTACTAATGCTGAGGGATTTCTATAAGTACGACTACGATACTTTTTTTTTCAAAATCACAAAGAAATAGAATGCAAAACGTTCTGTACACCTCCTCTACTGTCATCAGGTTATCCAATACACGGTTACCTCGAACAACCACCGGATAAAGAAGCTTCTGATGCTGTACTGGGAAATCGTGGACAAGTATAAGGAAAACGGAGAGTGGAAGGAGGAGATGATCCTCGTCTGCAATGCCATCCGAAACGACCTCCTCCACAGTAACGAGTACGTGCGCGGGAGCACCTTGAGGCTCATGTGCAAAATGAGGTAAAGAACTTTGATAGAGAAGTGGTCCTCGCCGCGGAGGTGGAGAACGCTGCTGATTTCTGTCAACATATTAAAACGACGAGGAAGTATTAAGTGGATGTTGTGCATAGGAGCCTGATGCCCACGAAGGGGGAAAAAGCCCACCGTGCATGTGGATCGGAGAAAGACGTCGGGGTACTACCAATAAGGAGGCGTAGAAAGCCGTATTATGAAAGAATAAGAACGAGGCAAGAAGATAAACTCTACGAAGATGATCCTTCATATACTTCCCACAGGTACTACAAAATCTTGGAGCCACTGATCGAAGCGATCCTGAAGAATTTGACGCACAAGCACGCCTACGTACGGCGCAACGCAGTCATGTGCGTTTTTGCCATCATAAAAACTTTTGGCATCGAGGTTATTCCCACGGCGCTGGAAGACGTCGAGCAACTCCTGATGGTCGAGGTACAAGCGATTATATTGTAAATTTTTGTGCTGAGGGTGAGGTAAACGTGAAGAACTACATGTGATTTTTGCTCCCATAGCAATACTGAGATTCGCAATCAATTTTCTTTGCAAGCATGTGCATGAAGCTCCAAGCATGGGCTTCTCTCCATCATTACAGGGCGATCTGTCCACCAAGCGCAATGCTTTCCTCATGCTCGTCAACTGCGACATGGATCGCGCGGTGCAGTTCCTCGTGTCAACCCAAGATTCCGTGCCCACGTCTGGCGATCTGTTTCAGCTCGCAGTGCTGGAGTTGATTCGGAAAGCGTGTCGGGGGTCCGCGCAGTCCGGCAACACCGCCAACATGCAGCAGAACAAGACAAAACTGCTACGAATTCTGTACAACCTTGCCGACCCCGCGCTCAGCAGCTCATTAAGCAGCACGGCAGTTGCATACGACGTCGCTTCGAGTCTGGTACAACAACTTCTGATAGCTTCCTGCTGCCTCAATACAAGACATGGATTTTCATCATCCGACTTGAACGGATGCTCGAAAGCATGCATGTTGAGGATCTAGTTCTTAGCTCAACACGTCGACCAACCTCACACAATTAGCATGCCGAGATATTAGGATCTCCAACAGGCAGCTGCCCCCCACACAGTACTAGAATAGATGCTCTCGTAACAACTGGCCGTTTGAAGATCCTACTTGTTTTCCCAGCTACTTATCAGGTTTCTCTAACGGGGAACGCGCAAGCGGTGACTACCGCAGTGCAGAACTACGTAAATCTTCTCACCGAGCAAAGCGACAATAACGTGAAACTGGTGGTGTTGGGGAAGCTCAAGGAAGTGCGAAAATTTCACGGGGAGGTGGTGCAAAATTTCGTTATGGACACGTTCCGCGCCTTGTCTTCTCCGTCCCTGGATGTGAGGAAAAAAGTCATGGACCTCTGCTTGCCTCTGGTAATATTTATTGCGAAAAACAAGTACTACTACAACCCTGGTTACTTCTTCATTCTCCGAGACTTAGTTTCTCTTTCTGAATAAAACAGCGGTAGACTGCGACTTGCTTTATTTGACCTGGGATTTATGCATCAGAATGTTTTTGCTTTTGCAAATGCAACGAAAAATTAAAATGATAGAAGGGAAACTCAAACTGCACGATTACAGGTTTCTTCCAAGAATGTGAAAGAAGTGGTGGCCCTTTTCAAGAAGGAATTGATCAAGACGTGCGGGACCGACCAGAGTGACAAGGAGTATCGGCACGAATACAGAAAAATGCTTTTGAAAGCGCTGCACGTCTGCACGATGCACAGCGCAGAGGAAGCACAGACGTTGGTACTATTAGGGGATGGTGCAGTAAGAGTAACTGCAATTTTGTTGTTGTTTTTCATGAATGAAGAAAAGTGATGCACCACAGGACAGTGTACAGTCACAGCTTGCTGTCGTGCTTCGCTGCGTTCATACGTCCATGCTAATCGGAACTGTCAATGATCTCTGAATGCAACGCGGCGTTTATCATGATATAACATCAGGTCTATCTCTTAATCGACTTCCTGTCGGAAGCAGACTACAACGCCACGGCCAACGAGACCATAATGTATCTTCGGGAGCTGGTGGCCACCTTCCCAGAAATTCGTAGCAGCATCCTGGCAAGGTTATACCAGACGTTGCCCGACATGCAGCACAGCCGGGTCTTGAGAGGGTACAAGAACTTCTAATGCTGAAAATTTATTTATCAACATTTTATTTTTGTCATTCATTCTCTGAGGAAGATTAAAGTGATTCGGAAGTAGAGCCGCTTCTAGGTAGTTCCTCGTTGATGACGTTGTTATGGGAGAATCTTCTTCTATAATTGATCTGTATCTGCTCCATATATCAGCACCCTGTGGCTGTTTTCTGAGTACAGCGAGAAGGAGGGCCTCGAAACCGCTCTGGAGTCCACGCTCGAGGTGCTTCGGCCGCTGCCAATCATTGCGCAGAAGGAGAAGGAGGAGAAGAAAGAGGACGTGACGAAAAAGGAGGTCGAGGAAAAGAAGGAATCGAAGCAGGTGCAAACGCGCACCGTGGTGCTTGCGGACGGGACCTACGGGACCGAGGCGGTACAGGAACCGAGCTCGGAGCCCGTCGTGGAGGAGAAAAAAACGATGCTGAAGACCCTGCTTCAGCTGGGCGACTACCTACTCGCGAGCTGTCTGGGCGTCGCCCTCACCCGGATGGTCGTGCGACTCGGGGGCAAGTGCGGTGCGGAAACGAAAAACGAAGTGTTGTTCGTGGTCGCGAATTTGATTCGCCTCCTGAAGGCCACGCACAGCGCCGCGGAGAACAACGACAGCGTGTTGCGCTTGCATTTGTGCATCCGGCTCTTGTATGGATTGCAAATATGTCTGGGTCTGGAAGATTGCAACTTGTCATGCTAAATCTGAATCATGCATAAATCTGTGTTGCATGAGCGCCAAAAGCTGCCCACTTTCGGCCAAGTTGGGAGGGAATTTCTCATGCAGTATAGGCATGGCGAAGACCTCACAGAGTTTGTCATGCTAGGTCCCGCATTCCAGACCTCATGGGTCATAGAAATCCTGCATGACAAAGCTGGCATCCTTCCAGACCCAGACATTTTTACATTTGATATCTTGACCACGCCCGAAGGCTCGACGCCTGCACTGGACCGTGTCCGGCAGAACTGGAAAGGCAGCACGGGATATCAAATGCAAATGTGTCTGGGTCTGGAAACTTGTGATGCTAAAATGTGCATGATGAAAACACTTCCGAATTTTGCCCAGCATGACAACTTTCCAAAATGCTTTCTCATAGGCAATCCGCATGACAAACTGCGTTTTTGCATGACAAGAGAGGCTGCGACTTTTGTTGGTTATGCAATACAGATTTCCCAGGAATGTAGAGCTAGCATTACAAGGTCCAACCTTCCAGACCCAGACATTTTTGCAGTGCATACGGGCAAAGAGGACCTGATGCGCGTGATCGAACTGGAAGCGCAGAACTCCGAGTGGAGTAGGGAAAAGCTAGTGGATGAAGCACAGGAGTCAGCGCAACTGGTATTTTCTAATTGACACGACAAGCACAACACGCAGAGCTTTATTCTCATCCCGCCTGGCCTATGCATGTGCATGTCTTCTACCACGACTACGAGTTAAGTTTCTTTGGTGCATAAAATTGAATTCAAGCCTACTGGGCGTCGAGGGTAATGAGACCGCTGCAAGACGGTTCCTATAAGAATACAACCCTGGACATGGAAGATGGAATAAAAACCACGACAAATAACAGATTCCTCCCGGCGAGGCGATTTGCTTCCGGCAGCTTCGCAGGGACGGCAGGGACCGGGTAGCGAACACGCTGGACTTATCCTGTGTAAAAACGTCCCCACCGAACTTCCCAGAGTCAAGATGGAAACCTTGCAACACAGTTGTCCCAGAAGCCTTGGGGGTGGTCTCACGCATGACAACTTTTTATCTGTATTGTAAGTGGTGCAGGTTCATCGCAAAAAGGAAGGGCAGCCACGTAACAAAGTCATCTGCTTATCCCGTCTACAGCTTTAGAATGAAATGCCAAAAATGTAGGAAGAAGAAAGCCCCTCATCGTTGGGATGCGCATCGGCATCACAGACGTCTTTCTAGATATAACTCTGCATGACAAAAAGAAAAACTCTAGGGTGTGGGCCCCGTTTTTTCTCACGATAAGACTTCGATGACGAGGGAGATTTCAACATGGCCCGGGGAGCCCTGGACCAACTCGAAAAGGACGGGTCGCTCTTCGGGGAGCGGTTGGTATGACAGTGCACAAGTCCTGCCCCTCCCCCTCGTTTGTGATGCAAAATCCCATATCCAAGTGCTGCCTTGTGGCACCGTTTGCATGACAGATTCTGGAAGCCTAAGAAATCAGTACTACGCGCATGGTTTTATGATGCGCAGGCTTCATATGTGCAGGTGTTTCTTTTGCTGCTCATGCAACCCTTATGAGGGTCAGGGGGAAGGGGAGTTGTGCACCCTCATAGTTGGCCAACGTGCAGCAGATGACAGGCCTCGCGGATCCGGTGTACGTCGAGGCTTTCCTGCAGGTTCACAGTTTCGACCTGCTCTTGGAGATTCTACTCGTGAACCGCACCAACGACATCTTGCAAAACTGCACCGTCGAGCTCTCGACCCAGGGCGACCTGAAAATCGTCGACCGGCCCAGCCCCGTCATGCTTAGCCCAGGCCAGCAGCAGATCGTCCACGCAAGCATCAAGGTATTAAAGAGCAGTGTCAATAATTTTGGTCGGAGTATAGTAACGACGCATCTTCCACTTCTGTGCAGTTGCCATTGAATTTTTCTAGTACGCCATTGAAACGTATGAATAACAAACAAAAAGAAAAAGTTTAATTTAAAGTTCTCGGATTGTTCCTCAGGTGTCTTCCACGGAGACCGGCGTAATTTTTGGGTACGTGAGTTTCGAAAAGAAATCGGCGGTTGACAAAGAATCCATTGTTCTCAACGAACTCCACGTCGACATTCTGGACTACATCGAAAAGGGCTCCATCCTACGACGTGCAAGTACGATCATCTTCACCATCATTTCGACTAAGACAATTAGTAATTTTTATGTGTGCAGCAAGATTTATCCACGGCCACATTCACATGAAAATTCAGATGTATACAGAGCCCTTCGTGTGGATGAAGATTGAATTTTTGCATACTCCTAAGCGACAGCATCAGCACACATAAAATGCGCATCAAAACGATATATGTGCGCAGGCGGTGGTGAAGATAGATGCTTTTGCACAGCATAGGCTTCCGAGCTGAAGTTTCGCACGATGTGGTCTGAATTTGAGTGGGAGAATAAGATCAACATCAACACGCAGTTCAAAGAGGCCGGCGCGTACCTGATCCACATCATGAAGAACACCAACATGATATCCTGAGGAAAATAAACGTCCCCACCTCATAGTCAGGCTGGGAAATCAGCTAGTTTTGCTTCTGGCTGGTGTTGCGCAGCATGACAGGTTCTTTGGGCTCGAAATCTAAAAATCGCAGCTTTTAGCTAGTGCAGCTGCATCACAGATCTTTCATCTCATGCTGATTGTAGCATCGCAAATGTCATCAAACAGCTGTAGAAAATGCGTCTCAACAACATGTTGGGGCTCCGTATGAGAGACATCTTATATTACACCATGGCGATTCCGATTTCTTGCATGACGACTCTGGGGAGGTGGGGACGTTTTCCCACAGGATGCATGAGCATTGTCGGCCGGGCCGCCGCGTCGCCCACAACTACGTCTACTGGACCAGCGGCGACAACGACCGCCGGCGCCGTGGCAAACGGCACCACTTCCTTTATCCTGAGTATAAACGTCCCCACATCAGAGCCAATGTGGGAAATCTGCTAGACAAATCAACCAGCTCTGGTTGTTTCGCATGACAAGCTCTTTGCCCTCGTAGTGTAATACTACCAAAACACGAATAGAAAATGCTAATGCTTCCGCATGAGAAACTTTTTCTTTCTGTGCATGCAGATTTGATTGGCATGACAGTGAGCTGGGATGGGGACGCTTTTACGCAGAATATCCTCCCTGGCGAACGGGACGAAGCCCGCTCCGGTCGCGGAGAAGCGGTCGCTGCAGGCCATTTTGAACGCGGCCAACGCCGGAGGCGGGTCGAAAACTACGATAGCGGACACGGAGGACAACCCGGTGTTGCTGATGGGCATATGCATTGCAAAGTCGTGTCGTACTAGCACACATTGCATCACAAATTTCATCGGCAAGAACAAAAGTGGAGTTTGTCGTGCTGATTTAGGTTATTTCAGAATAAAAAATATTTGTAATGCATGACTGCGAGTGCGACGAAGACGATATCACTTTTGCAATTCATAAGGCAGGAACGATAGTAAGTTGTCCAAGGAGCAGTCGTTGCAGCTGCAGAAGGAGTCGAACAAGCAGAGCAAGAAGCACCTCAACATGGGGGAAATTTTCACGCAGTTCGAGGAGGCTTTGGGCATCAAAAAACTGCTTTCTATCATTTGTACAAACGTGGTCCACCTCCGGCCCAGAGTTTGAGTTGTCATGCGGATTTGCAATGACAGGAAAATCTGTATGAATGCGCACGTCGTCCTCCATGAGAGGCATTGATGGATTTTTGATGCGTTTGTCCTTGCTGACCTGTACACACTACACCGTCAGGACTGCAAGATGAACTTGTGATGCGTGAGTCCCAAAACTTCTAGGTTTGTGTTGCAAAGTCGATCACTCTGGGGAGGTGTGGGCCCCGTTATTTTTTCTCACGATACCTTCCCAGTCTAACTTTGTGGGTCTCAATCTCTACTCTCGGAGCATTTTCGGGGAAGACATCCTTGCGAACATCAGCATCGAGCAGATCCGCGACGACAAGGGCGTGCCGACCCGACTCTCCGGCTCCGTCAGGATACGGAGCCGTGCGCAGGGCATCGCGCTGTCCCTGGGAGAGCGGGTGTCGGCCGTGCAGCGGTGAGATAGAGAATTCATATTCATCTCCCCTGGCCGCGTTGCAGCGACAGCAGCACTTCTTGGTCCGTCTTGTCAATGAAGTTTTGTCCTGAAGCAAAGTGGTTGAACCCTACAGGCAGAACATAAGTACAAGATCAAGTGCTCGCGTTATGATGAGCCTGGGCGAGGTTTTCTTTCCAAGAATTACACAAGAATAAGAAAACAAAAAGCAGGTGTGGTAACTAAATACAACAATTTTTATCGGATCAATTTTTATACGTGAGTAGGACTACTTCTACTTGTTCGCTCCGCTCCGAAGGGATGAAAGGGTTGATATTTTTTTGCGGCATCAATTGAAGCGGAAAAAAAAAAACGCTTGCTTTTTTCCGAGAAAAGCTTGCTTTTTTCCGAGAAACTTTGCGTGCCTCAGCCTCAAGGTAGCGACACTACCCCCCCCTCTGATTTCTTCTACTTCGCGACATTATACTCTAAAGTTACCTTGAAATTGTCGTGCATGTTTCATCAACACCATGCACCTGCCTCCGGCAACTTGTTTGAAGAAATTACCCTCTTTGAATTTGTTCGCGTTGTCAGATCTGGCAACCAAAGTGTGTTTTCGTCGTTCCTGGTTTATTTCGTCTCGTAGTGCTTCGGGGGCAACCTCGAATGTCAGATCGTGAGCATGATCCAAATGGAAATGTCGTTGAGCAGGTTCCATTGATGATCAGGTTCCGCCGTACGAGAAGAGAACAAAATAAACCGAAAAAGAGTAAAATCAAGTATGCACCACAACTACTTCTTAACTTAGGTTAGTGATGACATTCTCGGCAATATCACTGATTCTTGTTCCGTTTCCTTGTCCTTCAAAAAGTAGGGCACTATGAAAGTAATCGACCGCCAACGAAGGAAGTTCGGTCCGTTCATATAAAGATCCAGAGAGTAGTACGAACAGGAACAACACAGTCAATGATCGGTGCTGGTGGTGCAGTTGGAAAGAGATATGAATGTTTTCTCGGATGATCGATCCTCTTCATCCCTTTTGCCTGCAGAGGTGGAGCATGTACATGTTCCGAGGAACAAATGTTCTTGATCCTGGTGAATCTCAATACCGATCTCCCAAAAGTACTAAGCAAGATCAAGAAATCGCGCCAGTCTGAACTACCTCAAACAAATTTATACATTGTCTGCTAAGTTAAAGTTGTAGTTGCTGTGCTTTCACTTTCTCACGCCCTCCTCGGTAAAAACAAAGGGACCGCAACAACTCGTGACGATAATGTATGACGAGACTGCGCAGTGGGAAAATAATTTTTCTTCCACAAGCAGTGATGGTGACAGCCGCAGCACTTCCACTTTTACAACTCTATAAAAATTTCTTATCCCGAATCCACCACCGCAGACCGCTAGTACCTTCGTACCGGTCAAGTCCATTTGAGACCGTCTCAAAGGCAAGCCTAATTATTAAGAGTAAACTTCTCTCCAACTTCACTGCCGCATTGTACCGCATAGTCCTAAACAAGAACTCCTCAAGCCGTGAATACAACTTGAAATTTCTCGACTCCACCCACACGTCGACTGTCGAGCCATCAAGTTTATCGCTTTTTGCGCGCCAGCTAACGCAAAGTTTATTCGTTTAATCAAGCAAAAAATGGCACGGTGGGGCTCTATTTACCGTATGACCCCCGTGGTCGGTGGTGCGTTGCTGTCTTTTTTCTGGCAACTACACGGTGCGGGACTCGGAATGATCCCTGAAGTCGAGGCCACGCCTTCGTTGCGCAGTTCTGGACACCAGCCGCGCGGCTCTACTACACGCGACCGCCTTGTTTCGTTGCGCACTTCTGGACACGAGCCGCACTCTACTCCACCCGGCCGCCTCCCCCGTGACGAATGCGGAGGCGCCCTCTTGAGTTGTTTGTTTCGGCCGGAAAGAACGGGGGCGAACACATCGGACGACATCGAAGAGCGAGGGGCGGCTCAAGTGGACCCTCTGGCTTTGCGTCCTGCGCGTCGAAGTCGATCCGAGCAGGGGAGGGCAAACCTTCCCCGGCGTCCGTGGAGAAATCTTCCCCTGGATGGTCCGGGTTGTTCTACGGCTGACAACATCACAAACGCAAACGCAAACTTGCACAGCATTTTGCACCTTGATCACGTGCGAAAGAGCATTGGGCAATACGCATATCCATATGTCGCTGCTGCACTCAGACCAAACAGCCCAGTACAACTATATTGGGGCGCCTTTGTGCGGTCCCGCCATTCGTCCAATTACCTCGACGACGATGGTCTCAGTCGAGGGGTCTTCCTCGTAATCTCCGGCTCGCGCGATCCCCAGGCTGCACTCCGGAAGGAGGGGTTGGTGCTGAAGGTTGGTCCTGAAGGTTTCACTGCGGAAGCAGGGGCTTGGACCAGAATCTTCCCCCCGCACCCCCCGCCCCGAAACGGTATGCCGATGCTGGAACTGGTGCTGAGCACTGAAATTGTTTTGCGTACCGATGCACCACCTGTGTTCCGCGTCCAACCAGCTGGGGAAGAGAAAACTCCGATTGGTGACGAGAATACGCCCCTTATCTTGAGCAAAAACGTCGCCACCCCAGAGTTGTATATGCAAATCTGCGTGCTATAGCTATGATAAAACGCTTCTCATGCGAGGAGGGACCCATGAGAAGCATTTTCTCGTGGTGTTTTGCGATTTGTGATGCTCGAATCAGCATGATGCACTAGATCTGCGATGCTGCTGCTCTGCCTACCTCCTAAACAGAACTACATTGCGAGCCCAAATTTGTCATGCGCAACAACCAAAGGCTATTAATGTAATGAAGATTTTGAGTTTTCTAGCAGATTTCCATTTCCCAAAAAAAAAAAAAAATTTCCCAACTTGACTATGGGGTGGGGACGTTTTTGCTCAGGACACCCCTCGAAGAGGTTACGGACTTGCAGAAGCAATTCCTCGTCGGTCTTGCCCGAAAAAATTGCGGTCGGTCTCGCGGCGCCGCACGCTGGCTCGACAATTATCATCAGCTTGTTCGGTCGGAGATGCCTTTGCCGAGGTGGGACCTCCTTCTCGAGGACATCCAGCGGGGGTGCAGGAGCCAAACCTGTCGATACTACTCTAACGCAGTGCGCTTTGCGACGGACTTCGCTGAATTTTCTCACACTGGGGAGGAGGGGTTGGGTCTGATGAACGCGAGTTACAATACTTCGATGCCAGCAGGAAATGCTACCCATCTCAGTTTTCGTCGATGCGAGAGTGACTCGCTGGAGGCAGATCGGCACGAGCACACATTTATTGTTTGATTAAGCACCCGTTATACGTAGTAACCACACACACTGTAGTTGTGTTTTGTGCTGTTATTTATCATCCTAATTATAATGTAGAAGATGAATCATGAATCACGATTATATTTGGCGGGCATGGAGTTGGTTTTCCGGCCGGATCATGTGAAAAAAGTCACAGGAGATGACGGACCACGGACCACGCGTGCTAATTGTATACGTTGCAGCAGGTAGCCTGGAACGTACCTCAACACTTGAGTACACCGGAGAAGGGGGGGAGCTAGCTACCTCAACACTTGTACAACTCTCCGGTGTACTTCAACCACTCCTGTAACCGGCATTTATTTGCACTTTTCATTTGCTGGAGGAACAAGCAGAACACTCAGAGCGAGTAGTTTCCCTCTGAAAATCTTCGCGTTTTGTTTCTTCAACATAGTCTAGAAGCAAGAGTTTACCGCTCCGAAATAATTCAGCCGTTTGGAAAAAAAAAAAGATCTTTTCTTGCGGGCTGTGTGCATTTTTTGCTTTTGGCAATTTTATTCTTTTTGTAATGGGCGCCGAGGCCGACGTATTCCATACTGCTGCGTTTTCTGATGCTGGTAGGCTGGCGGATGTGATGAACGCGAGTCTGCGAGTTTTGGTACATGGCGAATTAGGCGGCCAACGCTGATAGTTCAAAGTTTCGGAATTTCGGTGCATACTGTAGCATCATTTCCGACTTCGCAAAAACCCAACTGCGTACGTGCTGGCGTATTCATATTTATAGTAAGATGCTCTGCGGGTGCGGAGCAGGCGCCTCTCCTCTAACAATTCTGTTTTTTTTGAACCCCTTCTGTTGGTGCTTCCTCTACGGATGAATTTATCAAAAAGGCAGACGCAGACAAAAAATATTTTTGCCGCTGTCTGTTCGTAATAGTCAAATGAAGGAGAAGGAGAAGCATGTACTTTTTCTCATTCGTATACTATTGAGTACGCATGGACTTCGTAGAAAAGATTATAGACATATGATCCGGATGCATCAAGCACCCGAAGACGCCGCCCGGCGCGGAATTTTTGCCGCGAGGAAAGTCCTCGCCCGGATCCTCCCGAAAGTGCCACAATGAGGAAGAGCATTCAAGATTGTCATTGTATGCAAAGCAATAATGTATTGCTGTATACATATACAACCAATACCAATACGACCACTGCACAGCAAGCACAAGCAGAAGCATTGCGATAGTATGTTTGGCGCCGCGACACGGAAAAAGTTCAAATGTTGATCCACCAGCACACGGGAGAAACGTAAACGGAAGAGATCGATCCACAGAGCACGGTCTTGGCAAAGAATGAAACATCGGTCAAAGAATGAAACATAGATCACCAGTGTGGAGGACAAATGGATGTCTTGCCGTCATGGAGGTCATGAGGTCGAGGACCCAGCTGGACGATCGTGCTGCAAAGCTTCTTGATTGGACAGAAAATAAGCGATCGGCCGCGATCACGAAAAATAGAAATCTACCCTAGGAGAGGAGATCCACTTGGATTGTCATTGTGAAAGAGTGATTTTCTACTTCATCGATCTCCTTCGTGAAAGAAATATTAAATCGTTCAGATGAAAGCAGAAATTGGAATTGCTTCGCCTTGAGGTGGTACCTCCAGGCGAAGCAAACCACCGTGGTCAGCATAAAGTACATCATACGTTCTCCTTCTTTATTTCATGGAAAATCGATCGCAAAGTCGCAAGATGATCTTGTTCTTGTCGTGTGCCATTTTGTAATTTCTCGGTGAATATTTGGCGGATCTTTTTGAATGATTTGGTTTCACATCTGTCGGCTTTTGATACAGGGACCACGACCGCGACACGGGCTATTTTCTTAGTTTGTTGACGTATGCTATTCTATCTCACTTGATGACGAATAAAGCGAACAAAGCGTCGACATTGATAGAAGCACGAAAAGAAGTAGAAGAAGAGGTGCGTAGTTATTCCTGCATAGATTTAGAGTTAGATGTAAAGAAAAAGAACACGACTATTAAAGACTCATTGACAGTCTCCGACAGTCCTGCTATAGTACTTTCATCAAGCGAGGAGCAAAAAGCGGAAAAAAGTGGCAAGAGCCACTTCTACACGAAACTTGTGCGCACCCGATCAAACCAGCGCGAGGTGCTGGTCAGCAATTTTCTATTACCTGGTGCCCAAGCAGCTTCTACTTCCCCCTGCTTCCCGCGAGAACTCCGGAGCGCAGGAGAGCGTCAAGCAGCTTTGAATGTTAAATACCCCGACTTTGCTGGTGTTGCGGAAGAGCAGGAGATAAGTTGCAGGCCAGGAGATTATAAAACATCGGGATCATCATACTCCTCTTCGTCCGACCGTGGGTCGTTTGGCGGGCGTCCAGACTCGGCGCAGGCATGCAGACGTCGAGGCCTTTGTAGGAAAAACATCAGCGAACAAGAAGTAGATCAACAGGAAGAGCAGGTGTCTTTTAGTGGTTCAGAAACGACTTGTTCCAAAGCACAACGTGAAGAAGAATTATTATCCACCGCCACGACACCAACCACAATGGTGTACTTCATTTGCCAGGGGTGCCAGGAGACGCTGAAGAAGCCGGCGGTCAAGAAGCACCTGCAGACGCGATGCTGGGGCGCGAGTATGACTTGCGTGGACTGCTTCGTCTGTTTCACGGGCGACAGCTGGGAGAAGCACACCAGCTGCATCTCGGAAGAGAAAAAGTTTCACGGCGCGCTCTACTGCGAAAAGGCGGACAAACTACCCAAGGGACAGCAGAAACAGGAGGGGTGGACGGCGAACTTGCAGAAAGCACTGGAATTCAGCAGGGGTGGCAGGGTCGAAAAGTGGATGGAGAAAATTGTACTTCTACACGAGCTTTCTATTCATCTTGCCTACTTTCTGTTTGATGCGAAAAGTTGGTCGTAGTGTTCATGATTTTCGTATTGTAGTTTTCTGGAACTACGCGGCAGACAGACGAGCTACACTAGTAGTTTGGCGCAGCGGGGCGGGGGCCGGGGGCAGCCACCTGCTCCTGCTTTTTACGTTTCATTCATCGACCACGCTGCGCCGAGCCCTATGTGTTGCCGGACTTTATAGTTTCAGCAGTGAAATAGTAATAGAAATTGAAAAACATTGCGCCGACAATAGCTAGAAGTTTGCTAATTTACTTTGACCTCTATTGTGTTTACGCCCCAAGAAGAGGAAGAGCGTACTCTGTCGAAAAACCGAATTTATATCCATTATGCCAAAAACTTCTACTCTACTGCAGGTTACTTACGACAACGTGCCGCGAAAACGACCCGGCTTTGCCAATTTCGTGAAGAATTCTTGTAGAATACAAGACGATAAGCTGATTTCCGAGATGTGGGCGCTGATTGAAAAAGCCAACGCCAAGGAGCCGAAGTCTGCAGATGGTACTACAACTTCGAAGGACGGCGCGACAACCGGTTCTGCGGGTGGTGCCAGCATTTCGAAAAAGCGCGGTCGGTGGCTTGGCTGGGAGAAGGAGATTGACCTCACGCTTCTCGAGAACGGCGGCGCTATGGCCTGGAGCGACCTCGCCGAACAGCTGGCGCAGCGCTACGAAGAGCAGAGCGCGCAGGGCGTCGTGAAAAAAAGAAAGCGCTGCGTCCTGGCTGACCTCGTGCTCAGCAACGTACCTGAAAAGTACCTGAGCACGGAGTGCACAGAAGTCAGGAAATGCTAGTGGGACGACGGGGGTTTCTTCATCTTCTATGATAAAAATTCGCTTCATCCAAGAAGAGATGGAAATGCAGTGCGGTGTTGATAATATAAAATGCATAGAGAATAAATCATGAACGCACAGCATGAACATAAAGTAGACATACCGTAAGCCGTTCAACAAGCAGTTTCCATGAACGTCGCTCCGAGCGGTGTCAGGAAGGCTAAACGTAAACGTGACCACTCGGTATTTTCTTTCGAGTTGATATAGCCGTTTTCGTCGATTGCCCAGATCAAGAGTTCCATTGTAACACCGCAACATAGATCGCAAATGAATAATGAGTTTGAGCTGGAACAACAACCTGCTGCAAACCGATCAGTGTGCGCAGGCTCGTACCAGCACGGACGACCAAAAAAACGATCTGGATGTGGAGATCCTGATGCTAGGAAAAATACGGTGAATCGGTGGATCCAATTGGAATTGCAGTCCCCCCGCCCCGATACAAAAAAACGAGAAGAAATGTAAATGATCATAGCAAAACCAGAAGCGCCTCTGCTCCGCAAAGTTCAGTCCACTGTTGTTGAAGGTCGAAAACCGCCGGCTTACGCGCTTTTTGCCGATCTATCTTTCTTGTGTAAACAACTTCAGCATGATTTCAATCCTGATTTCAATTTGTCAAACTTCCAGCAGCGGCAGATGGGTGGAAACGCAGATGCATATTGAGTTGTACGCAGCAGGACAAGTTGTGTTTATATATACAATACATAGTTTAATACCTCTTCAAAAATTTCATACCGTCGCAAACACAACCGATAGAAACAAATCAAACTGAAACACGACCGAAGAGAAAGCAAAGCAGCGCTCGTCGTCCTTAACGACCTCACAGGAACATACCGGAAGTACTTGTTTACTAGATTTCTTTTGCGCGTCGTCGAAAAGAAAAAATGCAGCCGGCTACTTCTAACACACCCGCAAGCGACGTCGATGAGCCCAAAACCGTATATATCGACGGTAAGATGGTTGAGGTGACGCCCGTGCCGGGGTCGGATGGGCAAAAAGTGACCATCAACGGGCAGGAATTTGATATCCGGGACATACACAACGACACTGCGACGGCGGCGACCGCGTTCTTTCCGCACAACGACGAAGAGATTTCCGTGGAAGAAACCTTCGAGGAGTGCTTCATCAATGACTGCCGCTTTGGCGAGCTCGAGGACGTGAAGCAAACGCTTGTGGAAAACCCAGACAAAACCATCCACAGGCACCTGGTGAACGCGCAGAACGAGAAAAAGCAAACTGCGTTGATGATGGCGGCCAGCAACGGGCACGCGGACATTGTGGACCTTCTGCTGCAAATCGACGGGATCGACCTCACCTTGCAGAACGAGGAAGGCAGCACGGCCCTGCACTGGGCCGCATTCATGGGGCGGAAACAGATCTGCGCGAAAATTTGCGCGCGCCTGCCCAAGATAAAGGACCTCACACCTAGTACAACAGGAGCCGGGGCGGGCGACGAAAATGAGGAGGACGAAGACGAGAAAGAGGTGTTGCAAAACGTGGCGAATTTGTTTAACAACCGGAACAAAAAACCCTTCGATGTCGCATTTGAGAAAAACTACACCGGGGTGTGCGAAGTCCTGGCAGAGTACACAAACTTCAAATACTGCAGCCCCGAACCCGACGAGGAAACAGACAAAAACTACAGAATTACACCCGGCATGGGCGGTAGTGGTACTGGCGGGAATAATATTAACGCGGGTGCTGGGGGTGCGTGATTTGTTTTCCTGTGTTGAAGATTTTTCCCCCTGCCTGCGTGGTAGGTTTGCGGCGTGATCGTGAAGTAGTTGAAAAGCAAAAGATAAGAAGTGCCGCCTTTATTTGAATTTGATGGAGGTCGTACCTTCTGCAGTCTATACTTCACTCATTTGCCAAGAACAGACGGCGCCTTGAGGATGTTGTTCCGTGCATACGTTTATACATATCACTGTACACAACTGGTTTGAAGAAGCTCTTGTAGAACGATGAACGCTACTTCTCGTTTTTGGTGGCGCTTTGTATCAGTGTTCCGTGCAACATGCATGGTGCAAGATCCGAATCCCATCTGTTGATGGACGTGGATCCCTAGTTTTGATACCGGTGAGATCACTTTATGCAGCTGAGCTGCAGCCGCTGCTACGAACGCACTCGAAAAATGAGGGCGAGAAAGCAAAAGCGAGACGGTCATCTCTGGAATCTTTGTTGCTCTGTGCTGCAAGAAATGCTTATGCTACAATTACCAAGGATCAAAAGCAAATAAGATCTCGAAGATAGGAGTTCATTCAGCAGCACCCAAGATTCCCTCCGCACTTATCTTCTTATGCTTAAGCCTCGGTGTCATTCTTCTGTCTCTGTAGAAAACGATACAGGCGACCCGGCGGTTTTATGCCCGCATTTACAACCATACTTCGACGAGGTTTGTAGTAGCATTAGAACTTTAGCTATCAGTAACGCTCGTCGAGGATCATGATGAATTTTACCGATTCGGTTTCTGCCTCTGACTGTCGCATAATTCTCAGGCATTCATTGGCCACGGCGAGAGGTAGAGGTTAATTCTCATCCTGTAAAGATTTGTACTAAAAGTCATTGGCATTTCCATTTCCACTTCTCATCTATCATTATCAAAACACAAAATAATGGGCAACTGGAAGAAGCGCAACGAGGCCAAGCGGCAGCGTACCTTGGAAAATGCCCGCTTGGCGACACTGGATGTAGTTGAAAAAGAAAAAAACAAAGCGGGGCTTTCTACCGTCGAATCAAATCTTTCACCCGGCGCCAAGAATGGAGCGGGCGGTGAGGTGAATGAGAACAATGTCGGGCCACATGAAGATCAGCATGATAGACACGACCTCCACAGCAGGTGTAGTGACGACGGCGGTATCCAATTTGAGAGCCTCGCACTTGACGCTGCTCTTCTAAAAACCCTTCGCACGCTGGATCGGTTTCATTGCGCCGGGTGCAGCAGCCGGGCCAGCGTGTTTTGCCCGAAATGTCTGACCCTGGACAGCCGGCTGTACCGGAAGATGGCTACCGAAGTTGCGCTGGAAAGCGCGCAATTCCCCATCAAGTTGCACATCATCACGCACCCAGGGGAAAAGCTGCAGAAGTCCAGCGTCGCCGGGTTGAAGTTCTTGTGTCGAGAGTACTACCAAAACGGGTGGATTCAGAGCAGCGATGAACAAATGAGGGAGGTGGATGAAACACCGGTGCCCCAGGCCGAAACAAGAAAGCGCTTCTCGTGTTGGGATTACAATATGGACCTTCGCGACGTTGTGGACGGTTCCTGTTCGAAGGATGTCAGGCCGAATATTGTCCGTGCTGACGGCAAGAAGATGAGGAAGATCCAAACGGACAAGCTCCCGTGGATCACCACGAGTTTGTTTCTGACCGAAGAAGAACTACAGGAGGGCAATAAGACCAAGAACGAATCGCCCTCCATGTTTTCCTCGACAAGAGAATTCTTCGAACTTGTAGACCTAGACGATTGCGTCCTGCTGTTTCCGGAGGATGACGTGGGAGATTCAGCCGCGTGGGACGACGGTATTAGCGCAAGAACGTTTTCAAGAAATGGTAGCTTTTGTCCGGGAGGTCGTGGTGCTGTGCGTGGACCAGATGGGAAAGAACCTAAGTCGGAGATTGTTTCAGCGCAAAACGACCGAAATAACAGCTCTGAAGCTGCTGCCACGGAAGGTGGTGGAGAGTTCAGTAGTTCATCCCTTACTAGTCAAAAACCTAAAATCGCGATTTTGATCGATAGTACGTGGTTCCAGACAGAAAAAATATTGCAGTCCTTGCCCCAGGGTTTAAGAAAGTACGGGCTAAAGAGTCACACAACGCGGTTCTGGCGGCACCACGGACGCGTGCAGGATCAGGGTCTCACGGAAAAACATCTGAGCACGGTGGAAGCGGCCTATTTCTGTGTGCGGCAAATGTGGCTAGAAGATGAACAGCGGCTTGCTTGCTGTGAGCAGGGGACGACAGACGAGGTGGAACTGGACGTCGAGGGCCTGCTGGTCAGCACAGAGAACAAAATAGAAGCGGGTGAAACTTATCAAAAAAAGTTTGTTCTGACTTCTTCTGCTGCAGGCGGTGATGTTGAAAAGAACACATTAGTGCAAGGCTGTAAAAAAAGGTCTTCCGGCATCAGAACTGCAGATGAAAAATCATCTTTCGAAAGTAGCATGATAGGCAGGTTTGATAACATGCTTCTGTGGTTCGCGCACCAGCACTCAGTAATCGAGCAAAACAGAATAAAAACACGAAGAGAAAAAGCCATGAAGCAGTGACAGGGAAAGCAACTTCGTATCTAAAACACATTTACAACTGTCGTGTATACGAATTTCATTCTCAGTTGTAGCATGAAGACATACTCAAAGAAATTGCCTTGGCATGAAAATGACCACGATCATCAATCCTTGGTCGTGTCCTGAGGATAATCAAGAAATAAGCGACTACGACTCCAGTATAGCATAGCGAAAATTGTAATTTACACAGCGAATAAATTATAAACACAGATCCATATAATTAGTGTGAGTGTCGAAGAACCTCCCCAATCTCTTGCTTTCGCCGGCTTTCGCTGCCCCTTAGTAGCAGACCGAAGTTGTTCGCAGTCGGAGTGTGGACGTGGTGCTTCGTGTTTCATACTTACAACAGAGCTTACAGCTCATCCGAGAGTGGTGCGCGTCGAGAGATCCAAATGTGAAAGTGTGAAAAAAATCGAACTGTCTGCTGTTCGTTATCTGATTCATTGGGTGTGAGAGAGAGCGACACCAAAAATTCTGTTGCTGTGTGAAAGCAAAGCAAGGGTAAGGAAGAGTGTCGAGCCTCGTCATCAAAGACAAAGTCGACTTGGTGCGGGTTTAGGTAGTATGATGGAGTCTATATTTGGCACTTGCATCTGGTCGACTGCGGAAGACCCTCTACATTTTTAGAGCAGCCGGGGTGTTTGTGTTTCTGCTTTCGCTAGGCCTGTCGAAATATATCCCTTCTTGGTGTATATCGTTGTCGTGTTGTTGAATAAACCTAAAGCCTCGTACAAAATGAGAGTGCAGGCGAGCAGCAAAATCATGCGGATCTTGCGCGCACGACTTGTCGCGTCGGTCATTCTCTTTTCGATCGAAGCCGGTCCTGCTCTCCGTTTCGTCAGCAGCCTTGCCGTGCACAGCACGACAAGTTTGGATAGTACCGCCAAGCAGCCATTTGTGATATTTCCCTGGCGCGACAGCGTGCAACCGCTACCGGAGAGCTTGAAAAGCGACGGGGGAGCAGCTACAACGACTTCGGACAATGAAGCTGCGATTGATGCAGCTGCAATTGCAAAGTCTCCAACAGCCCAGACGAGAAAACGGCAGGAAGTAACTGCCTCGCAGATAGGAAACCAAGACCAGCATGATGCTTCCGCACCAGCAGAAGCACAACCAGAAGGGGTAGTTGCAGGGATCGCACATCATCAACCCTTTGCCGTTAAAAACAGCCTCACGACCGGGCAAGAAGAAGAAGTTGATGCTAGCGAGGAGGTGACAGGTCCTGAGCGAGAACGAATAGGTGTGCCGGTAAATGATGCTGATAGTGCTACAACCGCAGCGTTACGAAACGTTTTCGTACAGAAACAGGACGCAGATGAAGACGACAGCGCTCCACCACGAGTGCAACCCCAGCCTCTGCCTACTCCGACCGCTAGAACAAGTAAACACAGTGCTCCTGGGTCCTCCTCTCTTAGCTCCACGTGGTTGGGCGCCTTACTGGAGCGACTCCCGGAGCCACGACCTCTGAATCTGCTCCGGACAACGCTGTTCAGTGAAGACGGCGAGATGAAAAATCAACAAATAGACGAAACCATTTCCGCCGCGAATCTCGGGGTGAGTCGTGGTGGACCATCTGTAGTGTCAACAACGTCTTCTCCTGCTAGTAGTACAACACCTTCGCAGAAAGAAAACGACCAAAAGATAAACAAAAAGGTAAACCAGGGAGAACCGGCATCGGTTCTGAAGCAAAGTTCGACCCAAACAGGAAACCCCTCGCAGGAAGTGAACAAGGCCGTGGCGCGGAGCATTAAAGCGAACACCCGACTTTCGTCGGCCGAGCGGTTCGGGCGCATCCTGGCGTTTTTTGCGATGATTTTTCACGGCACGAGCTACCTGTACATCAAGGGGCTAAAGGCCGAGGAATACCGGCAGATGGGCCTGAACACCCACCCCTTTCTGTACTACGAGCCCTACCTGATCCAGATCTACTTCTACCTCGGCTCTCTGCTCGCGAGCACTGTCAGCTTTCTGTACTTGGAAAACGTAGCGAGTGGCGGAGGAGGAGGGGGTCATGGAAGTGGACTTTCTCCCAGCATGAACCCCGGCACGACAACAGCACCTGGAGGTGGTGGAGCGGCGACCACTCTTCCGCCGTCTTCGTGGCAGCACTTGGTGGGGAACAGAACAGCGGTTCTCGGCGAACGCAGTAGCAGTTTGTACGGTAACATCTTCAAAAACGCGGAGTCTTCAACCTCATCCTCGTCTTCCTCGCACAATAGCGCAGGCTCTCCTACTACCGGCACGTTCATGAACAGCACTCAACCGTTTGTGTATGGTGACACAGGGACGGCGGAAGGAATGGCCTCTTACCTGATGAACGGTGGTGGCGCTGGTGCGGTCCCCGGCGCCCCGAGCTCGCATCTTTTCCACCGGCTCGCCCTGGGCGAGCAGGAGACGCAGCTGGTGAGTTTTGTGCAGGAGAGAGAACGAGGACGTCGAGAGATGTTGGCGCACACCGCGGTGTACGCAAAAGGCGACATTTTTCCCGACGCGTTTCTCCATCCGAGCGGGATGCTGAGCGGTGCGATGGCCGCGCTGTGTATCAGCTGTGCCTTCATCACGGTGGAGCACATTGGGGTGCCGTTAAGTACCAGTCTGGTGTCCTTGACCGCGGTTTTGGGATCGTTTTTTCTCGGTATAGGAAGAATTATGATGGGCTGGCGATGTTGAACGACATCTGTTACTTGTTGGTTTGTCATTGTATTTGTATGGTGCTGAAAAAATAGAAGTTTGTCCTCCCTGCGACGCCAGCCGTAGTTTCATTCTCCTCCTGCCCCCGGTTCTAGTCTACTAAACCCGAAGGAAGCTGCGGAAGCGAGACAACTTCCGAGATGAATCGCATGATAACTACGACTTCGATCATCTACACCATGAGACTCAACAACACTCTGCGCCACTGTTGCCAACATACAAAACATTTACAGGCTTCAACGTGTTTGAAAACGAGGTTTGGTCCGCGAATATGGCTCTGATCGGCCTCACGCTCATTCTGCTCGGTCTTTTCGGCGTGTGCATGGCCCGCGAGCTGGGGCGGTACGTCGCTTGCTCCGAGGAAAGGTCGCCGCTGCTGCAGGTCTTTGAGCTGGACGCGTATGCAACACACAGTGCTTATTTCTGTACACAGCGTACTTCTACAAATGCATAAGAATGCATCAAGTACACCTTTCATCCATAACCATAGAAACAAGCCGATTCTACTTGTCATGTTGTCAAGTGCAATACTTACTTCGAGCAAAGGCTTGTCCGCATGCAAGAAAAATGCTACTGCAAGTCCTGTCCAAGTGTACGGGGAATTTGAATTTCCTTTTGATATCGCAATTTGGGAAGTGAACAATCGGCTGGAGAAGAAGGTCACCGGCATTGTCCTTGCGGTGCTCGTATGCATTGCAAAAGTATCTTGCTAGCATGGATTGCATGACCTCAATAAAAAAGCCAGAGCCTAATGTCGTGCCATGTGAGATTAGGTAGAGGTTGAAAAAGAAAATATAGTCTTGCCATGCACGCCTGCAATTCCTACTAATACGATAATTTTGCAGAGCATAGCTCGGCGGTCTCGCGGGTGCTTTCATGTTCGTCCCGTTTCAGAGCACGGCGTTCGCCCCTACGGTGCAGCTCGTGCAGGAAAGCACGTGGAGCATGAGCAGTTTGCAGGACGGATCTTTTGAGTCTGCGGCTGAGCAGGGGCAGCCCCTCACGGTCGGGAAGATTGCAACGCTGACACACCTTTTCACGTACGTTGGTTTCACGGTGTTTGTGATTAACATAACTGATAACTCTAAATTAGTAATAATGCTTGATCTGCTTCTGCCCGTAGACCTCCGAAGTAATAATGCTTGATCCACTTCTACTGGGTCTTTACATTGCACATGACGCTCTGGCTCTGAAGATACTAAAATTCCTATTCTAGCAGGCCGGTTTTCCCGACGTGCAGTTACGGAAGCAGAGCGACTGCAGTGTTTGTGTTTCAATGATGTTCTCATCTCAAACAAAAAAAAACCAGTTTTCTTCCCTCCTTTGCGTTTGGCGCGAGCTGCACGGGGTGTGGAATCTCGGTGCTGTACTACCTGACGCACTGGGAGGCGTTGCGCATTGCGTGGAAGAAGCACCCCGACTTTTTCGAGGTGTTCTGTGCCGTCATTGCGGGGCTAGTTTGGCTGATCTCCGTTTTCTTCACTCTGATCGCGATGAGCTACGTCGGTTTTACCATTGCCTGCACTTTTTTCCACTCCTGGATGCTGATCTATTCCGCCTGGAACATTCTGCTGTTCAATATCCGCAGTACATTCAACGTTCCGCGTACGTTCACACAAATGCGGTGTCTGCATGATAAAATTTGCTCGTCCATCCTATTCAGCATGACAACTGGTGCACTCTAAGTTGGCAAAATTGGTCACGTGTTTGTGTGTACGCGTGCGGTAAATTTGTGTTGCATACCGAACGAGATCCGCGGCAAGGGCTACTCCGTCTACTCCTTCGCGCAGCTACTCTCGCTGGTCGGATTCATGGCCCTTTGCTTGTCGATGAACAAGTAAGTACAAGTCGGATGCCTCAGTGTCGTCCTTGACCTAGTAGAACCTAGTGTCAGTGGAGGCAGCAGGACGATTAAGTTGCGGTGGCGCGGACAACCGCTTCGAACTGGCGGCACGACAGAGTAAGCACAAGGGTGGAAGCGAAAGTCAAAGTGTTTGATCTGAAAACACTTAGCGAAAATTATGCTGGTCATGTGGATGTGATGTTACACCTGCTGGGTATGGTGCGTCAACGTCAATAAATATCTCAGCAGATGATTCTGCTTGAGTCTCACCTTCGTTTTAGTTTGCTGAGCTTTTCTTCTGTGACAAGGAACTCATGCGACTATTTTTGAATCTGAGCTGCCATGGCAGTGTCGAAATCGGATTCGACAAACATTCACAGATGAATCACTCTAAAGAGAAGTTGTATTCCTATTCGGCAACAAAGCAGCAGGCAGCAGACTCATTCTGTCGAGTATTGCTATTCAGGCGTTGGATGAAAAAAACTGGGTTAGGAGCAGGTATCGTATTCATACATCCTCGAACAACCTCTCCCTCTAGGGGAAGCGGAGTTGCTCTACAGTGCCCGAACATGATCTGCGGTAAGAACGCTGAGGGCGATAATTAAAAAGTAGGCATTTCTCCTGCTTCTCCGAACTGTGCCTGCGACTGGTCTCTGTGTGCCAGAACTCGCAGGAAGCTACATAATTTTTTTTCCGGGTTTACTTACTTCAGATGGCGTTTCCTTTTCATTTTTCTCTTCCTTCTAGTCTATAAGAACTCGACGAGTGACACAAAATTACTCCTCTTCCACCGGTCTTCTGAGAACTTACAGGCTATTCCTATTCGATTAGCTTGTTTACACCTAACGATAACAACCACAGCGGTGCTCCTGCTGGGTAGTGTGATTTGTCTGCTTCTCGAGGTCGTTTAGCACACGCCATCCTTTCTCTCACCGCTACTGGCTTGATGTCCTGGCTGCTGCCACGAACTGCACGCACTCTTTTCGGAACAGCTACCTCAATAACGAATCGTCGATGCAAAAAGTACTCTACTGAAACAAATAGAACTTGATCTAACTGCTACTTTCTACTTTGCTTTTAGGTTCGAACGACGAGTCTCTTTGGTTGTTTGGATTATGATGTTTACCGACGGAGATTATGAACAAAAACGACGATGATCATACTACCTGGCAGCGGCCGATGAAACTTTTCCGAACGAAAGCCTTGAACTTCGTTTTTATCTTGTCCCTACTACAATGAGTATTAAGTCCGGTCTGGTACTACGACAGCGACCAAAAAACATGAGTCAGTGGCTGCTACCCGCTAACGGTTTTGCGGTCACCGCCACGCGTGAGCATGTGTTTTCTTCAGAAGCATGATAGGGTACTGATAGACATCGATTTTGCATGAGTTTTTCAATCATGTTGTACTGATTTGCAGTTCCAGTTTCGTTTCAGTTTGGTCGTGATACTCGTTCACTTATGTTGCGTCTTTCTCGTTTTCGTTTTCCTCGTTGACTTTGACTTTGTCACAATGGCACCACGGGACACCTGGGGCCGATGAAACGTACAGATCGTTACAGATGAACTGTTATTTCGTACACCAAGGTCTTCATGCTCTGGCCGTACTTCCGTCCATCTATGCCCTCAAATCGCGTTCGTTCTCGTGTGTGATGCCGTTCTGCAAAGTAATGTAGTAGTCAGATCCAAGTGATTCTTCTTACTGATCTCCAAACACCGGTGACCAACATTCGTTGTTCTTTATTACTCGTCCTATCTCACGGCTGTCCTGATGTGATTCCTCTACTCAGATTCGAGCTACATACTAAGCGAGTATCCCTCGGATAAAATATAAATCATTCCATTGAAAACGATTTCAAAAGAACACTTCGACAAATTTTTGGTAAGTATTCGTCGCCCGATACAAACAACCAAGCTGGCTCAAGCCAATAAAAACATGAATTACCGCATCCCCTCTTTCGAAGCGCACAAGTTCGACCCGAACCATTTGGCCGGGCTGAGCAATGAGGCGCTGGACAAGTTGCGGGAGCGCGACTTTATCCGTGCGGTCCGGGATTTTGACCACCACAGCAACAAAGTCGGGCTGAAGGATTACCACCTGAAGCCGAAAGAGCAGTTCAAGCGGACTTCGGACGATATCGGCGACTTTTACACGACGACCGGCGGAACCACGGTTTTAAAGTACACACCGAAGGTGGGCGGCGTTCGGATTCACGACGAGCAGCAGCTGACCCACCCAAATAGCTTGGGGAACCAAGAACAGTTCCGCGAGTCGGGGAGCAGTAAGATGTACGACTTTTCGCACCGAAAAGACTACGATTTCCGTCCCTCGGTCAGGGAGCGGTTCTACACGACCCGGTGCGACACGGGCCGCGCGACCTCCGCGCCAAGGTGGATCCGCAGGAAAGATATCGACGTGTTACAGCAGTACCGAAAAATGGGGCCCGCCGGGCTGTCCCGTGCGGCGTACTTACACGAGGGGGAGGAGAGCGAGCCATTGGAGGTGGGCCACGACGCGCTCTTCGGGGTCAGCGTCCACAAAAAGGACAGCTCCTTGAAAATGGAGCGCCGGAAAAACAGCCCGGGAGTTGCTGGGAGCAATAGAAATACTAACAAGGGAGGTGGACGAGGTGGACCACGAGGATCCCCGTTGTACTATCAAGGTGAGCAAAATGACACCACAAGTCTTCAGAAGAAGAACGTGATCGCTAACAAATCGCACCCGGACCACCTGAACGCCATTATGGAAGTCGAGCGGCGAACCACGCGGGGCGACCACAAGCACACCGAGGCGCACGGTGCGTTCTCCTCGCACAAACACCACGTAGCGCACGCGGGGATCAAGCCCGCGGGCTTCCACGCGCAGCACGAGCAGCGGATGCGCGGGCGCAGCACCGAGGGCCACGTGATGTACAGCAATTCGGAGAACGTGAAACGCTTGATGTCAACCCCCACGGACCTGGAAATCCAGGCACTGCAGAACAGCCGTCCGAAGCGGCTCATGCTCCCCCCGGCGCAGTTCGCGACGCCCTGCGACCGGAGCGGGGGCCGCAAGGACCGGTTCGACATCGACCAGGTCGCCCGGAAGGCCCGGTATGCATTGCAAATATGCCTGGGTCTGGAAACTTGTGATGCAAGTCCGCGAACAATAAGTGCTCTGTAATGCGCCGCCAAGCATGACAAGTTTTTGCGTGCTTCTGTGATGCGTATTTCGCATGAGAAACTGCGCTTTTGCATGACCGGCAAGACGACCTCTTGGTGGCCGCGCAATACAGATTGCAGAGTCATGCCAGACTAGCATGACAATCTTCCAGACCCAGACATTTTTGCATCTGATACCCGGTGGGCCAGCCCGATCGGCCGGACGTCGCAGGGCGGGGCGGAAATTCTCCAGTTCCACCCTAAAGGGTTCACGGAGGTTGATGAAGCGGCTTTTGAGAAACAAGAGTCGAAGCTGGAACGGTCCCGGTCCGCGCCGCCCGGGATGCTCGTGCACGGAAAGGGGAAACGCCTGATGAAGGAGCGGGCACACACGACGTACGACAGCAGCAACGTGCTGAAGGTGCTGGTTCCGCCAAACAAGGAGGACGACAACGACCCGATACCGGAGGTCTTCGGGTTCGACGAGCTGATCACGTTCCACCCCAACCGCTTGGCCGGCCAGGCGAAGCGGGTGAACAGCGACGTGATGATCGACTGTCTGCGGTCACCGGACGCGGACTTCGCCTGGAACACCTATTCGAAATCGGGGTTGCGTTGCCGCGTGGCCGACGCGCACAAGGGGTGGCACTTGAAGAAAGAGAAGGACTCGGAACACGACAACGTCGACTATTACCGAAAGCTCCACCGGGCAGGGGACAAAAACTTTGACGCGATTCGCGGGAAAAAACACTTCCCGTACGAGCAAAAGGATGAGGTCACGTTTCACATGGTGGAAGAGGAGAAGGGAAATGATGCAACTCAAGAACGGGGAGGACCAGTGGAATCGTATCAAGTAACTGCGCTCCCGAATTACCTTGAAGATGCGTCGTCTGCTCAGGTGGGTTTAGCTGGTGCAGAAGGGAAGGAGGAGATGGGCATGAAAGGAGAAGGACCTCCCGCAAGGGCGAGTCCAGTTTCGAAGAATAAGCAGAAGGGAGCCAAGAGGTCTGCTAAAGTCTCTACGTCTCAGTACACCGAAGACGACATCATAGCAGCCTCGCCCTATCGTGCCTCCTCGATCATCAGTCAGGTGCCAGAGGAAGAGATGCAGATTCAGGGAGCTGGTGGCAATAAAAGTAAACCAGGTGGCGCAGCCACCAGAGCCTCAAATAAATCGAACGGGCGGAGCAAGTCGAAAAACAAAAACGGCACGAATTCATCCCCGCAGAGGAGGAGCAAAACCGAGGTGAAGCGGCAGGCGCCGGCTTTTCGAGCGGCGTCGATTATCAATCAGGTGCCCGAAGAAGAGATTGTGATGGATAGCGTCAGGCTGTCATCTGCTTCTAGAGGTGGTTCTGGGGTAGAAGATTCTGCGAAGAGGGGTAAAAAAGACGCGCAGAGAGATGCACAACCAAAGCTGCGGCAAGGCCAAAATAGAACCTCGAATAAGCCAAGACCTTCATCCGGTATAGACAGCTACGTCGACAACCTCAAGAAGCCCGCGAGTGAGGTGATTGCACAGCAAAAGGCAGCCAAGAGCAAAAAGGATAAAGGTTCATCGAGAGGAGCAAACGCAGAAAGGGACTGGGCCACTGTCGCGGAACACCGCAGGAGTGTGCAGGAAGGGAGACTACTGCAGCAAGCTGCAGCTATCAAATGCAAATGTGCCTAGGGGGTAGGGTAGGCCCAAAGCTTTTGGGTCGATAAAAATACAGCTTTTTTTGCATTTTTGGCATACTTGCTTCAACAAAATTGCAGAGCTTTTGCCCCATTTGCACAGTCCATATGTATCCACTTATTGCGCCACGGCTTCGTCTGCGCTTTCTTTGTTTTGTGCGCGTGCTATGTGGCTCTTCAATTTTGTGCTGCGCGTTGAAGATGCTGCGCCGCTAGTCATCTCGCCATGAAGAAGTCCACGGGGGGGCCGTTGTCGGGGGCAGGCCGCCGCCTGCTGCTGCAGCGCTTTTCTCAGCGGCAACGGGCCAAAAAGTTCTGGGCCCGTTGCTGCAAGTGGGATCTGGAGCAAATTTCTCGGCGTAGCCCGAAAGGCCCGCCCGAAACCCCAATCGCGATGATTTGTCTGCAAAGGTTTACACTTAGTTGCGAACAAATTCACAGTCGTGCCATGGCCTTTTGCGAGTACGCAGCAGCGTGCGTACTCGCTCCTCACCCATGGCCTTGGGCCTTTTTCATCGCAGCGCGGCGCTTCCAGGCACCTTCGTCGAAACTGCTTGTGCGTCTTCGGCATCCGCTTCTCATTTGTGGAAGGATGTTTTCTCTTGTCCGGTGCGTCTTCGGCACCAGCTTCGGCACCAGCTTCGGCACCAACTTCGGCACCAGCTTCGCCACCAACCTCAACACCGGCTTTTTTCCACCTTCTCGCTAATTTTTTCTGTGTTTATCCTACCCCCTAGGCACATTTGCACAGGATAGCCCTAGGCACATTTGCACATTTGCACGTGCAGGAACAGAGACTACTGCAGCAAGCTGCAGCAACGGCAGAACCAATGGCAATGCAGCAGCGCGCGTCGGCGGCGGAGGCAATGGCAGCAGGAGCAGGTGCTCACGAGCCTGTAATTCCACCAGCGACCACGATTGGCCACCGCGGGGACGGAAGGTACTGAAATCAATGTTTCCTTTGGAAGGTGCAACTGATTTTTGAACTCAACTAGGTTCTTCGTCTTCTGGAACGAGATTGGGATTAATTTGAGTATTCTTGCGGAACATCAATATGACAAATCCAATCAAGATGTTAGTAGATGTTCGCTTGCTGGCACATTCGTACTGATCATTTGTCCAGCCAAACAGCCATCAATTTCCTATTTATTATCCCTTCCCACCTCAGCCACTTCGACGCTTCCCAGCGGCAGGCCCCGCACGTGTTTCCTTTCAACACCGTTCACACCCACCAGCGGGGCCCCAACCACGGGCACAACAAGCGACAGACCCGGCTGTCGCGGACCGCGCGAAACGTGCCGCAGTTTCAACACATCTGGCACAACGAGATGCTGCACAACCGAAACGACCTGCAGGCGACGCGGTTCATTCGCTCGAACTTTCAGACCGAGTCCAACCGCGTGGGCGCCGGGCGCGTGGACCCGCCGTTTGCCCCGGGTAGTGCGGACCACTACCGACAGCACAAGCGGATCCTGATCGCCATGGACCCCTCGAGGTTGCACGGCGAAGACCCCATCACCTGGAAAACGGACAACACCCGGGAGGGGCTTTTTGACGCAAAAAGCGGGGATGAGTATGATTTTTTGTAGGGAAAACACAGGCGGACGCATTCGTTCAATCATCGTGAACGTAAAGCTAAAGATTTCATCGCTAGTCGTCTGCTGCTGTTTGGTGTATGCGTCACCGAAGAAATGGAAAGTATTACGAGAGGACTACCCAAGATCAAGAAGATGAACATCAATGCTTTTTCAGAATTTTGATTTTGATTTTGCCTATCACCCAGGCGCCTGCAGGCGCTTTGTTTCTTAGTTTTTGGTCATCTACTACACCCATCTACTTCAGTATCAGTACATACCCTCAGAAGTTGTCCGAATACCCTTCGGCAGATGCGGATGTCAAATATTTGTTTCTTTTTTGCTGTCGGATGACTTGAGTACTCTACCTTGAGTTTCGGAAAATGGAGCCACGACTTTCGATCACATTGTCCGCCTGCGGTACTTTTGCTCAGCGGTTTCGTTGATCAGCAACATGCACGTCATTGTTCTACTAGTACTCGTCGCTGCATATTCTGGAAAAGGCCCAAGCACAAACTATGACCGAGTGCGTTGTGCTATGCGCTTCCATCGTAGAAGAAAGTGACGCTGGTCGTTGGCGACGGAAGTAAAAAAATCGGTGACCACTTGCATCCGCTTTTCTTTGATGATCCCAAGTTCTTCTTGCACTAGATCCTGATGTACGCTCAATGTCAGCAGCGCCCAAAGTCTCCTTGAAAATAAAGGCAACGCAACATTATAGTGTGATTCTTGTTTCCCCTCGACAAGTTCAAGTTTTTTTTCCTGTGGAATTCGGTGACGTCAGAATCAAAGTAGGTGTTTGTGGGTTGCGGCGATCATGTTTGTACCATTTAGAAAGTCCACCGACCTGCGGATGAGCCAGAGCTGAGCATTAGATAGGATATGTTTGCACGACTTACAGGAGCATTACTTTTGCTAAAAAGGAGGATATAGAATCTTTGATCTTTGCCATTGGCATTGCAATGGTTCCTGTTTTCTCCTGGTTCTAGACTCCACACTTTTTTCATCATAGTCGGAATGTTGACCGCCTCCCCCGTTCGTTCTGGCGTGCTTCCACGCGAAGTAGTCTTCTCGCTGGTGAAGGGAACGCAAGGCAGACAAAACCACTGCTATGGGATTGCCGCGCCGCGAGCGTTTAAACACCTGCAATTTTCCTATTGGGGACGGCATGCAAGGGAAAGGCAGTTCCGTATAGACGCTAGTTTTTTTTTTCATACCAAAATTTTTGCGGTAGGCCAATGTATAGATAGAGATACGATTTGTGTCGATAGGGTCTCTACATGATAAATGTTGATGTAGCAACCCAACCCCCGCAAAAAGAAAAATCTTCATTTTCCTGTACGCAACTCCGAGTCGTTGTCGTAATCAACCTCCAGGAACCTATTGGATCAGCAGAATAAATCCGGCCTGCCGGGAGTACGGACTGCCCTATTCGAGGATGATTCTCGGCATGCGGCGCGCGAATGTGCACCTGAATCGGAAAATGTTGGCGACGCTTGTGGAGTCGGAGCCGGTTTCTTTCAAGTGCCTCGTCGACGAGGCAAAACGACTCGTCTATGATCGCGACCCGAATGCAAAAGTGCGCAAACTCGCCCAGTTTTAGATAGAAGACGGGCTACTTTTTTGCAATCAGCCTGCTTGTATATTCCTGAACGAAATCAACATGGACCACAGAAAAGTTACAGGTGTCGTGAAACGAATGAGGTATAATTAGAGGTACACGACATTCACCATGTTGCAAGCGCAATGTCATTCATTTATTCGGAAGATTCACCGTTTCTCTCGAACAGCATAGGCGATCGAAAGGTAGTACCCAGAGGAAATGTCGGATCTGGGAGCTGTTCCCCTCAGTTCTTGTTCTGCTGCTGATTGCCATTGAGTAGAAGATTAGCAGAGACCATTTCAACAGAGACAGAAAGGATTAAACGAGAAGTTACTTCTCACTCTTCAGCTGCAGTTTTTCGTTTTTGAGTCGCGATCGGAAGTTGATGTGAGAAGCAATTTTTTTGAAACTTGTTCTCCGAGGACTACCCCGAGTCAAAAGTACCTGTGCAAGATGCAGATATAGTTAGATTGCTTGCTTTGTCAGGTTTCGCAGTAGAAGAATTCGCGATCATACATACCTCTAACGTTGTTGCAAAATGACCTCCGTACCGGGCTTCATAAGGATAGTGACTCCGGACGGGCAGGAGTTTATTGCTGACGAGAAGATATTAGACCAGTGCGACGTGCTCAAGCGACAGATTGCGAAAGAGGCGGTCGAAGAAGGAACGACAAAAGTACTTTTTTCCATTGTCCCGTCTGATTTGATTCGCATAATATCCAGCTGGGTTTTCTTTTTCGTTTTCCTTGCCATGTGATGCATGCATTGCAAATCCGATACAACTCTTTAATACTGTTATTGCAAAAACAAGTCCCAATAAATTTCCAAAACAAAAAAAGACCATCTACATGAAGAGCGAATGGTGTCTGGTAACGGGGAAGATCATGCAAAAGGTGCTGGAGTACCTGTATTACCGATATAGACACACGGACTCCAAGGAACCCATACCCGAATTTTTTATCGAAGACGATCTGGTGCTGGAGCTGCTGCCAGTAGCGAACCTGCTCGGGTTGAACTACTGATGAACACCGATGAAAATGTTGATCCGATATAAAGAAAACGACTACGACTGCCTGCGACACATTACGCTCCACACATGAGTACATTTACGAACAATCACGACACTTCTTGGAGGACTTGAGCTATTCCGCCCTGGCGCAAAAGGCGCAGACGCAATTTCGCGGATAGAAGTCAAGCATTCCGATAAATGAATAGCTCGAAAGCAAAGCACTAAATGGCCAAACTAACAAAAAGAGGGTTCTTCGCCACGCGTACAAAGAGGTTCTTGCAGTTAGTGCCTCAGCATTCCTGCGGAGAAGTTTTTACCGCCAGCACGAGCGCCAAGATTATATATGCCAAAATTGCTCTTGCTCTAGGGTAGGTACGCGTACGGCCAATGCTTGTGCCGAAATGTTGAGAGCTCAAATTGATCTAAAACGAGAAGGAAAACGAAGCAAGACGGAAGTCGGTTTTCATCGACAATGAAGAAAACTATGTACGGCACCTTCATACAAGTACGACCACGAGGCGAATTCGACAAATCACCTCCTATTTCAGTGATGACAATGACAAAGAAGAAAATATGGTTTACCACATGTAGAGTTTTAAAAAGCTTTTACATAAGCGTTACCGTTACCGCAAGTCCTTACGCTCCTTCTTCATAAGCGAAAAATAATGACGAAAATAAAGCGGCGACAGTCTACTTCGCTCACACATCTTCGCGATGTAGTTGCCAACTACATGAAGGCCGCTCCTTCCAAGAAGTGAGAGATTTGCGGCCGGTGGGCGAGGTGTATTTATGACCACCTTGTTCCTTCCCTGAACGATCGACCGCTTTTCCTTGATCTGCGGCTCCTCTTCCATCACATCGATCATACCAAATTGTACACGTCCTCCTGCCCCAAACCCCCGGAACGCGTAGAGCAGCTCCACGACCGCCAAGATGAACCGGCCGCTAGATTTTAATCTGCAGGTGACGAAGTTTTCCCCGACGTCCAGCGGGTCCATATCAAATGTAAAAATGTCTGGGTCTGGAAACTTGTGATGCTGGGTGGCGTCTCATGATGAGGCTACGGATGCTGGCTCAGCATGACAAGTTTCTGAGCTCCTAGGTGTTGCTTATTCTGCATGACAAACTGCGCCTCTGCATGACAGAAAAACGGAGCTCTTGGGTAACGTGCATGACAGATTCAAGAGTCATGCCAGACAAGCATGACAGACATGAATTCTTCCAGACCCAGACACTTTTACAGTTGATACTCCACGTTCCAGTACCATGTACAAATAACCTCCGGTATGCAAGAGAAAAACTGTGTAACAGATGCAAACATGCAAATACAACTACAAACAGATGCAGGTACAAATAACCTCTGTGATGCAGAACATGCAAAAGAGTTCCACTTGTCATGCCAAACACTCATGAAGTCCTCCTACTTTTCATCGTGTGTTTTCTCGTACTAGCTGCGCATGACAAACTTTCCCTGTGAACATGCGGAGGAAGCTTGTCATGCTGTCACTGCAAGGGAGACACCTACAATAACACCGTTTTTTTCTTGGATAGCCGGCCCGACCCTGAGCTGGGAGGTCATAAAGCGGTTTTCGGACTTTGACCGCTTGCTCGACCAGCTCGATTCGCAGCGGTATGGCTGCCTCCCGAAACTCCCTCCCAAAACCCTCGCGCGACCCCTGGATGTCGAGTCCGCGACCGAGCGGCAGCGACTTCTGCAAGTGCTGCTGCACGAAATTCTCAGGAGGCCGGACCTGCGGAACAGCACGCCCCTGAAGGATTTTTTGGAAGTATAATTGTGCAAGACAAAACGGTTTTGTTTCTCTTCTGCTTTTCGATTTTGCAGCCCCTGATAGACACCAAGATACTAAATCACTGACCAGCGCCGCGGCTATTGTGCTGCTGCTTCTTGTTTGCATCGCCTCGAGGAAACCTAGTTAATGGATTCGCTACATACTTTCACCTGTGGCATATGATAATGATTCATCACACATCATCAGATCGAAGCCCACATTCCCACTCTCGGCGATGTGGACCTGCAGCCACAGATTATGCGCAGTTTCGAGGACATGCGGTACTCCGCGAGCGGCATCGTACCCGTGCCCAACCGCACCATCGTCCTCGCCGTGCACCAAGACAATTCCTCCCTGTCCCGTCTCGGGCGCGTCTGGAGCATCGTGGAGCCGGATGAGTTGGGGGTCTTTCACCTGTGGCAGCACGGCGAGGAAAAGGGCTGGGAGAGGAAAGACGACGTGTCCTGCCACCAGAAGCCAGTTTGCACCCTCTACGACGACGCGACTGACAAAGTTTTCGCAGGCTTCGACAACGGTCAAGTCAAGATCTTAGGTAAGAAATGTTGTGCTGCTGATTTCACATGATGACTTCAAGTTCAACAACCTAGACCTACTAACTTTCTCTTACGATTCTCAATCACATCTGTTATTGCTCATCTTCCAAGTGTTGTGTTTCTGCACGAAATGGTGCATTCCAAACATGGCGATGTCGTGTACTCCCCGTTAATATTTCATCAGGATTATTGCACACCGACTCCGACAAAAACAAACCCAAGGTATCGACATGGAGCGTAGCATGAAGAAGATTTTTGCGAACGACGCCGTTCAGATGCACCACCTCGCTTCCGTGGTGGATATGAGCCTGGGCGGCGGCCGCCTGCTCTCCATCGGCTACGACAGCACGTTACGCCTGCTCGACACCAGCTCCCACGGCATCGTCGGTGGGGGCAAGCTCGGAAAGCGGCTACCGGAAGACACCTACCTCACCACCTGCTTCCTGGATAGCGAGCAGGACCGAGCCTTTCTCGGGTCCAGCGGCTACGACGTTTTTGTGTTTTCCGTCGCGAACAACCCCCCGGAGTTTCTCTTCCACTACAAATTCCCGTTGGTCGACCTAGGCTTGAACGTCGTGGTGTCGCACAGCCAAACGAATCTGCTGCCCATCCCGCTCGACGGGCGCTACGTCGCGGGAATCGGGAAGGGCGGGAACACCATGGCGTTTGCGCACAGCAACGTGGTGACCATCTTCCCCTACATGGCGCGCAACCAGGAGCAGCGCATGTTTGACCGGAAGATCGTGGACTTTTCCGCGTACGAAGACAGCCACATCGTCGACCTCCAGGTCGCCGCCGACCGCTCGATTCTGGTCGCGGGCTTCTCCAATGGCGGAATCGCCATGTGGAACTACGACTCCCCCTCGCCCATTTTAGTCGTGCAGGCGCACGAGGGCGGCGTGTCCCGCATATTGTGGCTGGACTCGCTCCACCCCTGGGGGCCGGCGCTGCTGTCGGGCGGCAACGAGGGCAAGATCCACACCTGGTCCTTTCAGGCGGATGTGTTCAACGACTATCACCACTGGAAGGCGGACCCACAGTTCCTCGCTATCACACAGAAAAAAGCAGGCAAGTCACATTTGTTGTAATGCAAAAATAAATACACAAACACAAAAAGCTCTGTATTGCATATACGAAACAGCATGCTATGGGTCCCCCCATGACAAGTTTCTGTGTATTTATTTTTGCATTACAGATATGCCCTGCCACTGCCAGCTTTTTTCTCTGGGATACTCGCGGCCGCCAACAAGGAGGCGCCGCGGATCGTGGGGAAAAGCACCTTTGCGACCACGCAGGTGCTGGCCACCGCCGCCACTGCCGCCACGGACTCACCCGAGAAGCGACCGCTGCGAGTGGGGGGCTTGTCGCCCGGTCAGGATACCACCGCTCCGACGTTGCGGCAACCCGACGAAGAAGACAGCGACGACGACTTGAAGGGCGTTTTTTGACACGGAAAGTGACGAAGATGTGTGTGTCGGAAATGTGGTCAACTCGGTGCTCGAAGCGACTTACTACCTTGATTTGTGAAGCGGCGGAACGCGGCGACTACGACATGAGACACGGAAGAATGCACGAGAGGATCTTCTTGGGCATGATTGAGGTCCGAAGATGAAAACCACCGCCGACTGTCATGCAATATTGAACTCCGACGCTAACAGTCAGTGTGGCCCCGGTGGTGAACATGCTCGAGCAACACCTGCTTTTTTCCGTGGGGATGGCTATGGCTCCGGCTGCAGAAGATGTAACCATGCACAGGAGCGCGAGCGCCAGATGAACTTCTAGAAGGGACTGCTACATGATCTACACGTTGCCCAAACTCGAACCAGCAAACGCACTGCTAGGAACAGGCACTGTGGTCGTGATGCAGCGAGTTGATGCCTTGTTCGTGGACGCGGGCAACAGCCGCGGGGAGATGGTTGCTGTTTATGTACGTAGAGGAGCATGAGCAGCATGTCGCAGTACAGCTACAGGAAAATAAGACTCACTGCTATAAGTCGCTCGCACGACCTAGATGACCTAGACTCACACGGCTAAAAATCGCACTTTCGCCCATGTTTTTGTCGCATGTCAAGCTTCGTCGAAGTAACGAGGTGGAGACAAGACGTAACAGCAATCGCAATTGCGTCGATACGCAGCAATGTGCTCTTTCGCTTTTTACAAGGCGAGAGCAAAGCTGGGTCGTGATAATGTTCTTGGTGCTGGAAGCGCTCTCAAGTTCAGAGAGGCATCTTCGCAGGCTTGTAGTAGCACTTTCGTTGAGTGGCTTCTGAAAAAGAAAAAAAAGCAGATGCAGAAATAAGAATGAGGGAAATTAAGAATAAGCTGAAGCAAGGGGTCTGTACCGTGCGAGTTGTTTCAACCGCTTCCATGATGGTGAATGTGGGTCGTCGTCGTTCTCTTTGCTGGGTCGTGATCGTTAATGGCATACTTATCCTAAACCTCGTGCACTCTCACTCGCAGGTCGTGGGGAAGCGCTAGCGACGAAAAGTATCGTGGTCACATATGATTTATGAATGTCAAAGATGAACCATATTAAAATTAATGGAGATGATAAAAACGAAAGTAGGGCTTCTACAAGAATAGTGGTGGTCTTGTTTTATGATACAATTTTAATTTTCACGAGAAAGCGAAAATGAGAATAAAGCGAAGAAATAAGCAAGGCGGTGACCACCACGGCGGGCCTCAGCTGTCGACGGGCGCCGTGCTCGCGGTCTCGTTTTTCTTCATCAAGTGTGTGGCGCCCTTCTTCTACGGCGCGACCTGTTTGCTGTTCGGGTACAGCGGTCTACCTACGCATGTCGTCATGGCCAAGGACCTCCGCAAAGTGCATGTCGCTGTGGGTAGTTCTGGTGGCATGGCGGACGGAACGAGCAGCTCCAAAGCAGCGGAACAAGGTGGTCCAGCGTACTACGACGAATTTTCTGACCAAACGGACGTAGATCATGAGACCGACCAAGCTGATTCGTCGCATCGGCTGCTGTCATAACGCTGCGAAGCCGGCGTCGTTCGCAACTTCGGACAGTAGTACAACAAGTTCCGGCTCTATCGTTCTCAACGCGACTGCGGTAGCGGCGTTCCCGAGTTTCAGCCCAGCTGCTTTGGAGAAACTGCAGGGGGATGAGGCGCAGATCCAGGAGTACCTGACGGGACAGAATTTTACGGAGTACCAAATCAACTTGGTGATGGAAGCGTGGATTGATGCGGGAAAGGACTGGGATGCGGTATGGTTCGAAGAAATGCTGACGCTAGCGGTTTTTTTCGTTTAGTGCGCAAATGAACAGACGACACTAGTTCATCGCTTTGAGATGGAAAAGAAATCTCACCTATGAACGTATTACATCAGGTATCCCAACTGCGTGACAGCGGGATGCTGGCCGCTTTTGAGCACCTGGACCACGACAAAAGCGGCGTTTTGGGCGAGTCGGAATGGTCCACAGAATGTGTCCGCGCAGCCGATGTCGACAAGAGCGGCAACGTTGGGGTTTCGGAGATGGGCGAGTTCTGCACTCATCACGACAGCAATGGGGCTACGACAGCGGATGCCGCATTCCTCGAAACCAGGGCGATAGGGATGTGGCCGTTCAACATGTTGTCGTCATGCTGCTATCTTCACGGTGGACTTCCAAAGCACGACGTCGAGGAGATCCAGGTCCGCGATGCCAACAGAAACCCGGAACAGGAAAGATTTGAGGAGCGCAACAACCCGTTCGGCTTTCTACCTGGTGACCTACCTCCAGAGGATGACAAGCGCGGCCCGTCGAGCAACCCTTCTTCACTTAGCGGCCACACCGACACCGATTCCGATACGCCCGGCACCGGCTCGCCCGGCTCAATTCCCCCCCTGCCGGAGCGATCCAAGTACATGAATTTCGCGTGATTAGTACCCATTCTGAAGATGAGCGTCACACTCACACTCTTCAATAGCGTTATTCTTATTCATTGATATTTCACGACTCTAATATGACAAACAAGCAATACCAATATCTATATCAATCAAGAATGTGAATGATTGAAGAAAGCTAAGCAGCAGACGATGAAGTGGAGTACTACTTGCAAGTATAATTCGTCCCCAAAAAAAACATCAGCCCCAGAAACATGCGGTTCATTCCCCTCGGGGGAACCGGCACCCCCCGTGACACCTCGTGAAGTTGGCGTGGCGCATCCCAAGAAAATAATGGAGCTTGGCTACCACAGGCACAGCTAACATGAAAATCACACGTGCTCCCTTTCCGCTGCTTTAGCTTTGAAAAACGAGTTGTTATTTTGATGAGAAAACGATAGGTATAAATATATTGGTTGACAAACCAAAATCTCAACCACGCCAATTTGTCTCAACGTTGAGACAAAACGCCCCAACGTTGACACCGACGCCTCAACTTCGGCACCGTTTAGGGATTAGGGTCTAGGGTTTGGGGTTCTGGTCGTCGGCCAGGGCAGCCGCCGCCGGCCGGCCGGCCGGCCGGCGGCGGCTGCCCTGGCCGACGACTCTCTCCTTTCCTTGTGTTGTGTTCCACACCCGGCGCACCCCTGCCCGTGTGTGTTGCCGCGTCCTTGCCCTCCTTGTGTCTCATCGACCCCGCCTCGCGTCAATGGCGGCGGGCGTACCTCTCCGCCGCTACCGACGAGCGTTGTTTGGGGCCGCCGGGCAATCGTTGAGACGATTGCCCATCGGCCTCATGAACGTTGAGACAAGAACGTTGAGATTCTGGTCTGTTAACCAAATATATTTCAATCTGATGCTACTTGCAGGAACATCAAAAGAAAATGAAAAATAAAGATAGAAAATAAGCCCGTTTGTGGCATGTGTCTATGTATCTAGTATGGAAAGACAGGACCAAACAGCTAGAGTGGTCGACCACATCAACCCTTAACCCAGTTGCATGTTATCAGAAAAGCCCCACAGTGTGCTTAACTACAGACGTTCAGTGTTTACTTTGCCCTGCTGGGATTTTGCAACGTATCAACATAGCGATTTGTTGCACAGGAAATTGAAAATGTATGATGCTCTGTCTACAACCTCTTGATGCGGATTTCACTTGCCATTGAAGATTAGTGAGAATTGTAGCAACTTCAACACTCGACTCGCGATCGCGTGGGCCCCCTTTGTTGTAATTCTAATTTGTCGTCAGATTTCCGCAGTGCTTGATCTCGATCCTTACTAACAGTGAATTTTGTTGTGTTTATCTATCACGGTATCTTCACTGATGGTGCAAACGAATGTTCTGTTCGGTGCCGCTTTCGCGTCATGATGCGTTTTGCTTACTAGCTTCGTAAGTAGTTTGAATTTTTCTACAATGAGACTTGGATTTCGGCTTCCGTTTCCCTACAAGTGCAATCAAGCCGGGCAGCGCGTTTTCATCTCGAGTGTGACAGAGCTAGAGATAGAGCGGGTACTTGCAGAGTGCGAAGGGCGAGTGTTTTTTTTCAAATTCCACTTGATAGAGACCACGACGACATGTAAGTAGATGGGTCACGGAAGTTGACTCGAGTGATCGAGGATATGGATACAGACAAAAAGCAGATGTCAGCATCTCCGTCTCCCTTCGGAATTTCGCTCCCGTCCGCGTGTCTGGGCCATGCCAGCACTCAGACGCCCGGTCGTATATTACCACGGTTTCTCACTTTCGTCCTTTGCCCGGCAGCTCTGTCCCTCGCGCAGGCAGCACAACAAGAAGAAAGCCAGCCGCAGGAGTACGCGTATTCTCCCAACGCGGAGCTACAAATTGAGGCCGGAAATGATCGTGGTTCAGATACACAAGACAATTCTGTGGCCCCCTCTGCATCTGCAGCAGCGCCGCAAGAAACTACAGGTACATCTTCTACCACCGTCCAACAAGGGCAATCCCAACCTCCAGCAAAGGTCCGGCACACCCCCGACCAGCGAGAGTGCAGCAACAACTGGCTGAGTCCGGATTTTTGCGCCGACATGGTGTGTTGTATTTGTCCCGCCGAGCAGTGGCAGATGTATCCGGCGGAGTACCAACTGGACCCGACGCAGATGTACCTGTACAAATCGCGGGGTAACAACGCGTTTTTCTGCGGTTGCGCCGCATCCGTCCCCGACCCGCAGCGCCCGGTGCAGATTCCGGAGGACGCGGCGGTTTTTCCCGACGCCAGCCCCTACAAGGTTCTCGGCCTCGAGGAGGACGCGCAACTTTCCCTGCCGGAGCTGGAGCAGCGCGCGGACGAGAAGATAAACCGCGTGTCATATCAAAATGAAAAATGCCTCCAGCCCAAAATTTGCAAAAGTTCTTTCTGATGCAAAGTTTCCAAATGAAGACTTCTTGTCTTGCACGAAAGGACTGCGAGTCTCATTCTGATGCAGAAGAATCTAGGCTAGTGAGGCATCTTTATCTTTTACATTACAGGCCCGGCTGCTGCTGGGCTCTTGCGCAACACAAATTTGAGCCATTCAGCATGGCAAATTTGTGATGCTGATATATGCAAGACGGGGAGTGTTTCTATTGGAAAGGTTTGCAATAGAAATGCTGCCGAGTTCTTCAGGGGAGGTGGGGGCATTTTTCATTGTAATATGTGCTTCCCGTACTTCGCCGACCCGCGGTTCGACCGCGTCACGCTGTCCTACGGCTTGCCGCAGTCGTGGAAAAAGCTCTTTCCCGAAGTGGACGACCGGGAGCTGAAGAACTGGCTGGATGCCCAGGTCGCGCTGTTGGCGAAGGCCAAGGAGACCGTGCAGGTCGGCTCGGTCACGCGGACCAAGTACGCGGACGGCCAGGTGATCGCGGACGTTTTCCAGAAAAACGCGGAAGTCTCCGGCAACGCGGACTGCATGTGTCCGCCGGGCGCCCGCCGCCAGCAAACCGTCCGGTACGGCTTTGTCTGCCGCGCCACCTCCCCGCCGACCCTGCTCACGGCCACTGGAGCTGCCGCCGGCGAGCAAGTGCTGGCTTCTACTCCGTCGGGGCAGGAGGAGAACAAAGGACCACAAGGAAAGCTGCGCGGAGGACAAAAGGGGGAGCGGGTTCCCTTTATCGAGTGGGACCTCGTTCGGGAAAAACTGGCGGAGGCCACGGGAGGTGGGGGTTTGTCCAACATGTTGCCGAAACAAAGCATACGGATCACGCAAAACGGGGATGTAGATGCCAAGAACTAGTTTTTCTGGAAGAGCGTGCAACATCTTTGTGTTGTTCGGAGAAGCAGGCGAAAAAATAAAAGGAAGAGAAAATCCGCGCGAAGCATCATCATGTCGCGTGGAGACCGACTGAAGACGAGTGAAGTCCACTCACATTGTGGCTCTTGTCCCTGATCTGTGTATCATTTGTTCCTTGGAGCGATCCACCGCTTGATGTACAAGTAGAGTACAACTTGCTCGACGTGCGAGTGAGTTATCTAGGAGATCTGCACAACGACAACCTAAACCCGCTTTCTTGGGAAGATCATCATCTGGATCATAGCACAAAACTGTCGGATGTCATGTCGTCGTTGTGTTTGTGACTTGATGAGATGAAGATGCTCTCATTTTTCATACGATACACTTCAGTCTAGTGCTTCATTTTTTCTTTGCAGCTGCGTCTTCTGTTATATTTATCTAAACCCTGACGTCCGCGCAGTGTTAGAGCTCGAGTTAAGAATAAAATGTGCTGGGTGGCCTAACGCCCTTACCTAAACCGCGCTGGGGGCTTGCAAATTCTGTTGCCGAAAGCGATGGTCTTTGTAGGTCAACGTGAGTCCGCTGGTTGGGGGCTACAGCGTAATTTTCCTGGCTGCGCAAACGCCTAACTTTTCGACAATCTCTCACAAGGTTAAGCTCGAAATAAGTTCGCAAATTGCTCAAGGTCGATATTTTTCGGGATGTGTAGATGGTGAGAAGGCGTTGATCGCTCGAAATGTCTCTCTCCAGCACAAGATCGATTTTTTCGCGTACAAGCACCAACGTCAGGAGAAGTAAGAAAAGCACTGGACTACATTTTTGAGGGGAGGCTTAGATCTGCGAGACGCTCAGCGAAGTTTTAAGCACTACTGAAAAAGACAGAGTCTAAAGATCGGACAAGGTTAAACGTTTACCCTGCAGTTCCTGTAGTAGCATCGACCAAAAAGTATAAATAAGCCAGCTCAACAACCAAAGCGCCTGTCCTTTTTTCACTTTTTCTATATCGCTTTTGTCTAGTTGCACTAATTTTCTACCGCCGCTTTCGAGCGAGCATTCATGAACACTCTTTCGAGTGCTTCTTGAAACACTACTTGACTTGACTTGCTTGACGGACTTTATTTCTTGGAGTCATGATCTAAAGCCTTTTTTCAGCTTTTTTTCTTTTGGTGCAAGAAACACGATCGTGGTACGGTTCTTTGTAGCAAAAGATGTGAAGATCCTCGTCAAGTTTTTTTTCGATGGATTATAATATGCCATGATCACCTCGAGCTCGACGCAGGGTAACAAGAAACGCCGTGTCACCACTCCTGACAAGGATCATAGCCCCGTGGAGACGAGTAGAGCACAAGGATCAAAAGCCAGACGATCACCGAGCCCACGGAACGTATCACCAGCAAGGGACGATCAAAGCCACAGTGTTGTTCAAGATTCTGGTCGAGTTATGAAGAAAGCGGTGCAACCAACATTTTCATCCAGCAGTTCGTCAGCCGCACCCCCAAGCGGAATCACCAGCATGGTGACTGGTCCTGGTACATCAACACCGACCTCCGTTCCTTCTCTTTTGGCGGGGATGTCTGCCAGTAGTTCCTCTGCGCAGAAGATGAACCAAGACAAACAGCGGCAGGATGCGAGGTGGATGAAGATGGCGGTGGAGGAGGGCGAGAAGGGCAGACTTGTAACTGCCCCGAATCTATGCATTGCAAACGTATCTTACTAGTAGTAATTGCATTAGAGCGGGGTAACAAATGTCCCGTTAACTCGCACCCGCGAGTTAGCCGTCCGCCCGGCCGGCCGGGCGGTTAACTCGCGGTTAGAAGTGTAGACAAATCGAAAGGTGGCGCAAATCTAACCCGAAGGCTCGCCAATCCTCACTGCAGCATGCTGACCTTTCGATTTGTCTACACTTCTAACTGCGAGTTAACCGCCCGGCCGGCCGGGCGGACGGCTAACTCGCGGGTGCGAGTTAGTGGGTCATTTGTTACCCCGCTCTTACAAATTTGCTTATCATTACAAATGACATTTGTAATGCTGTTTTACGTTAATAAGGAGATTTGTCATGCATAACAGCTGCACTTACTACGAGTACCAGTACGATCCTTTTGCAATCCATAGAATCCCTGGGTGGGGGTCGTGATCGTGCACGACCCGACGCAGACGCTCCTCGGGGTCGGCCACCACAAAGGTCCCGGCACCCCGCACGCCGAGCCGAACGCAATCGCCGACGCGGAGGGGAATTTCGCGGCCTTGCTGCCGCGGCTGGGAAGTGATAGTGAACGAAAGGAGGACAATCACAAAGACAATATGTTCGAGAATTGCACACTGTACTCCACCCTGGAGCCGTGCCACCGAGGCCCTGGGAAGCGCACGCCGCCCTGCGACGAACTGATCGTCGCCAAGAAAATTCCGCGGGTTTGCATCGGCGTGGTAGACACGGACGCGACTTTCGGGGCGCGTAAAGGCATCGCGTTTCTTCAAAAAAACGGAGTAGAGGTTTGCACCGTGGAAGGTGGTATCATCGACGAGGTGGATGAGGATGCTTGTAAGAGCTGCATAGATCATGTAGATCACGACCAGCATCTTGACAAATCGTCATCTACTCGCCCCTTTCGCCCGGCGCTGGACTCCTTGCGCCCCTATTTACATCAGCGTGTATTCGGGACGCCCTACGTAGTACTGAAAATAGCGTGCTCGATGGACGGGAAAATCGCCTGCGCAGATTCCACTTCGCAGTGGATCACGGACGCTCCGGCCCGCGAAGACTCCCACCTAAGGTTTCGCGCACGCTCGCAGGCCATGTTGGTCGGCAGTGGGACCTATCTCAAAGACAAACCGCGCCTCAACGTGCGGGTACCTTCAAATAGCGTGAACCATGTAAAGATGTTGAAAAGTGCTTCAACTACAAGTAGTGCGGGCGGAGAGCAGCAGCGCGCCGAACACCAAGACGACAAGGCTGGTCCAGGCCCAGTTAAAAATCAAACACCCATACTACAATTTTACGACCCACTGAGGGTCGTGCTTGACAGTCGTGGGCGGCTAGCAACACTACCGGATCCGTATATGCTTTGGAAAAATTTTTATCTTCGGTGGTCGAGCACTCGATCTCTGTTTGTGCATCGCGACAGATGATTTACTGCGTGTTCGCTTCTAACAAACAGGTTTACTGCTTTTAAAATAAAATGAAGTTTCAGTTTGACCTGACCACCTGGATGATTTTTTGTCCCTCGATACGCGTAACGGCCGGAGAAAACCCGTGGCTGCTATTCACACACCAGCCAAAATCCACATTCCCGGAACACATCCAGCAGAGCGCCGAGATCGTGTGTTTGCAACAAGAACGGGCGGGTGGACTACACAACTTGCAGAAGGATCAAAGTTCTCGTCGCGAGAATATTAACAGCATCAACCTCCAGGAAGTTTTACAGTTTCTCGGCAAGGAGAAGAAGGTTTTACAGGTTACCGTCGAGGGGGGCAGCGCGTTGCAGGGATCCTTTCTCCAGGAGAATTTGGTGCAAGAGGTGGCGATCTATCAGGGCGCATGTCTTCTCGGCTCCTCGGGTATCCCCTGGGCCACGGCTCCGTTGACGAGCACCATCTCCGAGGCGCTTTTCTGGGAGTTAAAAGACGTCTCGCGCCACGGTGAGCGGGATGTTTTACTGCAGTACGGGAACAAACAGTGGGCGGAAAAACTGGAGGCGGCGTTTGTCAGTGGAAGTGGTACGAAGGCGCCAACTACGTGAACATTTTTTCTAGCCCTTCGTCTGTACTACTGCCACTGCAAAATGCATAGAGACTGACACATATCATGACAAAAACCATATGTAAAACATGAGCGAGCAGCACAAGCAGATCCAGATCTCTGCTTCAAGCAGACAAAACAGCTTGAGTGCTTTTCATTTTTTATGTGAAGACACTCTGGCAGCTCTGGCTACATTCATAAGCAGACCGGGTGACATCACAGATGGCCACCACTTATCTCATTTATCTCGCCTCGTAGTCGTCACGTCCCCCCTTGGGCGAGAGATTGAGATTCTCCCTTACTCTACAGAAAGCGAAACTCGATGAGAAATCATGATGATGAACGAGAAGCGAGGGAGGCAATCGCGTGATCGGATCTGAGTGCCAATCTGTCGTCGGAACGAGCGCGGCAACGCGAAGGCATATTCTCGTGAGAAAACCGTGTCTGAATTGTCAGCAGGGAAAAATAACCGCTTCGTGGAATAAGAAATTTTAACCGTAATAGTTTATCGACAGGACCACCATCAGCATTTCCATCACACCACTTGTAACTCAAGAACAAGATGGGCATCATGTGTGTTTCGACGTCTTCTGAAGCTTTCCGGTTTGGTCGTTGAGCACGCTTGCAAAATAAAACTTTTCGTATTCAGCGCGTTGCCAACATGATCATGTCATCGTACCTTTCGAGCAGAGCAGAATGAGGGCATCTGCACCCACCTCCCGCAATCCGTCCTCGTGCTCCATCCGCGTTCTCTACGGCCTCTGTGGTGAGGAGCGCGAGTTCGAGTTTCCGTTGCAAAAACTTGACCACGAGAAAAATGGACGAGAAGGGGAAAAGCATAAACATGTTTACGAAGCGCCGCTGGTCCGGGCACTCCTTGACAAGGTGGCCGCTTGGCAGCAGGTACCTGCCTGTCTGCTGAGGTGGCGGGTGTACTGTGCTGCAAAAGGCGCCGGCGCACAATCACGAGACGGAACAGAGGGTGTGAGCACAGATGATGATGTGAACGATCACGAGCACGACAGCGACAGCGTAGCAGACAGTACCGACAACCTGATTGAAGGTCATGACCAAGTGGTTGACAATACATGCCAAGAACCAGACGCAGACCCAGGAGAGGACGAGCCCATGAGCAGCGGTAGTTTATTCGGTTTTCACAATCTCGTCCCTGTTGCAGCCCTACCTGCGGATTCTGTTGGAGACAGGTTGAACATCCGCAATTACAATCGGGAAGACGAGGAGGAACTTTTTGCGAACGTCGTCTACGATAAGACCGTGGAAAAAAGACGGGAAACCAGGCTGGATTTGCAGGGCGTGCGGGTAGTATTCGCAGCAGATAAAGTTGATTCTGATCGAGTGCGCGAACGTACTGAATCTGAACACGGCACGACACGACCAGGACAATGTGCGAGGGTATTATCCGAGCAGGTGGAGGATCCAGATGAACTACATGAGCGGCCGCAAGGGACGAGCCTAGAAAGTCTCGGCGTTGACATCGTGTACCATTTTTTCCTGGCCTGTCCCTCCCTCGAAGACCTCGTCTGGGATGAAGCGTTTCGAAGCAGCATGAAGAGTTCAGGATCAAATAGGTCGAGCAAGACCTCCACCAGCCTTCCAGCTGCGAAGGAGCGAGAAGAAGATCTTCGTGACTCCATTTCTCCTCGTGGTTCCGATGGAAAAAATGATGACGGCTTTGCGGGGACCAGTTGCAGTACTACAGATGATGATGATGAAATAAGTCGAAGGGCCGCGGAAACAGAAATGGAAAGAGCGGCCGCAGTGATGGGCAGAGCCTTGTCGCCGACGCGTCCATCGTCTATTCTCTCGCTCGCGGTGTGGCGGCAGGTTGCACAGAGGGGGTTCGGAGGGTGCTGCGCGTTTTTGTTCCTGCGTCTGCACGAAGACTGCCCCTTTCTGGGTTTTGACGAAGAAAAGATGCAGCTGACCGATTTGCCGCAGTGGGTGCAACTACTAGAGGCCAACTGCGAACTGTACGCAGCACAGGAGTCCGGCCCAGCTTCGGAAGCGAAAACCTGGCGAAGGGCACGGTATCTCATCCAGACAATGGCGCGTCGGTAACTAGTACGGGTTTCGTCGTAAAAATAGTCGTAGTTGTCTAATTTTACTACAACTAGGGATAGTGGCATTTTTGAAATTAATGGAGGTGAGGAAGTAGAGTTCTTGTAATCGTACTTGTAGCCGAACTAAATGTGAATACTAGTAGAGCAGACGAATTGATAACAAGAAACAATCGAGGAATAGCAATAGGTTTTTCGCAGAGCTTTTGGTTTTAGTGAAGCTAAATGTAAAATCCAAGCAGCACCAGTGAGGGGTGCCCCGTCGTAGTGTCATTTTGATTGATATTTTGAGCTTTTATTTTGCCGGATGGTAATCTGCGTTTTGCTGGTATTGAGTAGACGGCTACGCTACCAACAAGAATAAATGTATACCTGCTACTAGGAATCTTCTGGCGCCAGAAGCAGAACTAAGGAGCCGACTATTTCTTCGTTGTAAATGTAAGTGTAATTATTCTAATTTCAAAAGAGACCGACGACGCTATCTAAAGCGCCTCATCATCCCCATCGCCATGTTTCACGCGATGAACAAGATTTGATCCGTTACCGTTTCCGAACTAATACTAAACGAGAGCTTCACTTTTGCTATGTTGTTCGCCTTATGGTTATGGATGCTTATAAAGAAACAAGAAGAACGTAGAGGCAAATGTGGGAACACCACCACCGCGAGTTTTGTGCGCAAACATGTGTTGTTTCCTCCAAAGTTGTTGCTGTTCTTCGCAACAAGGACACTGCAGTCCCTTTTACGTACCTCTCGTGATCTAAGTTCTGTGATGCAGTCATCGTGTTCGTCGTGCGTGTCTTTCTGTTTCACTTTCTTGTCGTGCAGCTCGTTGTGGGTGGCAATAAAGAAATCTAGTACCTTCTCCACAACCACCACCAGATCTTCACTTCCTTCCTCGTGCGTATTCGTATTTGTTGTCGTTTGATGTCCGCCTTCGTTCCGGTGCCACATCGTGTTCGTCGTTCTTCGTTTTCAACCCCATCTTCGTTCTGGTACAAAAACAAATGGAAATAGGCCTAGACTGATCTTCAAGGCGAAGGTATAGTCTATTACAGCTTCTTTGGCTCCTCGTCGTCGTCCATCTTCCCTCAACTCGAAATATACGCAAACTTAATTTCAGGCGGCGAGAAACAAAAAACCCAGTTCTCAAGATAGTTACTTACAGCTTACATTAGTATTGGTTGCGTTCGCCGCAATATTTCTTTTTGGCCGACGAGATAAAAAGAAAAAGAATATGATCAAGAATACAAGAGTCAAAAGTTAGAAGGATCAAAAATTTCCTCTTTGGTCTTCAAGATGCCTCCAATTTCTTCCAACATCTCAACATCATGATTCGGGGGAAACCGCCGCGGCGGCGCCTCAGTGCGGCTGTTGCGACCTCACCGCGCAGTTCCTCCGAAAGTGCGACGCCGTTCCGGAGCTTGATAACGCGGCAAAACGAACGGAAGAGCCGCCAGCCTCCCCCGCAAATTCTACCTGTTGAAGTGAGGAAATCGGATCCACCACAAGCAGACAACAACCGCCTGCGCAGTTCGGGCAACTACAGCCTCAACACGGGGCAACATGACGAAAGGTCAGCAGCAGGTTTGCCCCCTCGACGACTCACGTCCGGTCGTGAGTCGGTGCGGAGTGCGGCCTCATCGTCGAAGCCCCGTCGAGTCAAGCGAAGCCCCGTCGAGTCAAGACGCGTGAAGGATCAGATCAAGCACGAAATGCAGCAAGTTTTGCAGCAAGAAGACGATGTTTCTATGGTGCCTAGTATTGGCAGTAAAGCAACTACGTCGATGAAGAACCACCAGCATCCTTGGTCGCCGAAGCAAGCCCGGTCGCCGAAAGACAAAGATCAAGTTCTCCAAGCAGAAAATAGCAAAGTATCGCCGAAATCGAAACGACACAAGCCCTCCGTGAAAGAAAAGTTCCTTGAGAAAATGACCATCGGGGGGCCGCGAGGCGGGAGTAAAGACGGGATTCTTGCAAACGAGCAGTCTTCGCAGCAGCAGCAGCTTCCGGCCGCCGGCAAAGCGAGTAAGGCGATCAATGTCAATGCGGTAGACCACCGACTGCATCATGGCGACCAAGCGCAACAGCAAGATCATCTTCGTGAAAGCGCCGATAAAAGAACTACAAACACCGATCTTCAACACCATCATCAGCAAGTTCTCCTGAAACCGATGAAGCTTCCGCATTCGCCGTTGGCCTCTCGGCGGACACGTCCACAGACCGGCGGTGGCTCGCCCGGAGGGGCTGGCGGATCATCGTCTCCAGTTGCAGCTTATGCATTGCAAAAGTTGTATCTCACTAATCCAAATTGCATCACAATTTTTTTCAAGAAGAAAAATGGAATTTGTAATGCTGATTTGCCTAAAAAGGGATATTTGTGATGCATGATAGCAATTACAACTACGAGTACGATTACGATACTTTTGCACAGGATACAGCTTCGCAGTTCGAAGACGCTCCGGTTGTCTCGCCACGAGATACGAGTCGGAATCTGCTTTCGAAAGCTGCAGCTGCACAAGGCCAGCAAAGTTACAACCAGCAGGCCCAGGCGCAAGGTCAATTATGTCTTCCGCTGTCCCCAGCGCAGCAGCGTAATCATCAGCTACATCCTCAGCAGAAGAATCAGGTTCCGAGTACGCAGGACGCAGCCGAGGACCAGTACAGCAAGAAGAGGCTAGATGAGCAGACCTCCTCCTTCATTCTGCCGAAGTTGGTAGGGGCCGCGGTCGCATGACAAAGTTCGTCGAGGGACTACGGTTGACTCAGCGATCTGGAAGCAGCGATTACGTCTGGTCGTGAGTCGGTGCGGAGAGCGGCCTCATCGTCGAAACTGACCACAGCCACACCGTCCTCAACGTTGCACCCCCCGCAAGAGGACGGACAAGTAGACCGCCGCCGGAGCGGCAAAGGTAACACGACCATTAAGCAGTCTTCTAAGAATCTGGTGGACCAGCAGCAGTTGGAGCTCGATTTCCTTCGGCGCCCCAGCGTGTTTGAGACTGCGGAGAACAGGTTTGCTTCGGTCCACGGGGGTAAGCGCGAAGCCTACAACCTGTTGCTGAACCTGTGTTCTGATGACGTGGTCCGGGCGCACGGGTACGACCCGGACCGCTGGAGTTACCAAGTGTACGAGTCGCAGTGGATGACGGGGTTCCTGGTCGCTGTGGTGGCCGTCAACGTGGTGCTGATTGGTTTCGAAGCCGCCGACGAAATGAACAACAAGCCGGAGAACCAGACCTCGCAGGAGGTAGCGGACGACTTCATGTTTTCCTCCTGGTGGTTTGTGGAGCTTGGGTTTTTCATCATTTACTTGGCGGAGATATGCCTGCGGTTTCACGCGTACGAATACCGCAGTCTGTTTTTTCTCCGCGGCGACTGGTTCAACAACTCCCTTGACTCGTTGCTCCTGGCACTGCAAATCGTCGAGCTGGCTGGCGCGTCCAACATGGGCATCGACCTCGGGTTCATGAAGATGGTGCGGCTGGCGCGGTTGACCAAGCTGAAGGCGAGCGAGAGCATCTGCATGACCTCGGCCGTGTTGATTGAGTCCATCCTGGAGTCCGTGTTCCTCTTTTTCCTGCTCTTCCTCCTGATCACCGTGAACGCCACGGTCGTCATGGTCTACCGCGCCTCGTTCGGCAAGTTCGAGGCGGATTCGCTGGAATTCGGAACCACCGCGTTTTTCAGCGACTACGGGGCCGCGGTCTACACCTTCGTGCAGCTGACCCTGGTGGACAGCGTCTTTGACCGGTTTCGGGAGCTCACCGGCGAGGCGCCGGTGCTCGGAGTGCTGGCGATTTTGCACATTTTGCTGGGCTCGATCATGATCATGAGCCTGGTCATCGGTCTGGTCACGGACATCCAGTTCCGCACGCAGAAGGCCATGCGCCTGCAGAAAAAGCTGGAGTCGGCCGTGGAGCTCGCGAATTGGCTGATCGTAAACGTCGGGGCAGTGGATTCCCATCTGAATAGTCTCATCCTCGCACGGGAGCGCAGAAAAGAAAAAGATGAGGAAGATGGCATGGGGAAGGGTGGAATAAATCTACTCAACAAGAACAACAACAAACCACTTGATGGCGCTGCACCGGGTAACAATGAAAACGAAAAGGATGGCGTCGAAGAAGATGTTCATCTTGGGGGACAGAAGCAGGCGACAATGAAAAAGGCCGACAATGATCCTAGTTCTCCTACAAGTTCTACTCAAGACCAGCAGGCGAACGCCAGTGCTGATGCACCGCCTCCCGAGGACATCACACATGCGGGCCCCAAAGAGAGCAAACCAACAGGAGACCACGTGGTGAAACACGTACTAACCAAGGAACAAGATACCGGACCCGGGCGCGAGGAGACGCAGTTGCGTGCGACGCAGGGTCTGACCATCCCGTATTGAGAGGAAAAATCCCCCCTCCCCATATCGAAAACGAAATTTGTGATGCTGTATTTGAGTACACAAATCGACTTGTAATGCTAGAAGGCCAAGAGCCGCAGTTGTGGCCTCGTTTGCAGGCAATTTGTCATGCTGTTTCCCACTTCCAGTTGCTTCCTGTCATGCTGAAGATGCAAGGCTTCCCCACGCCACCCAGCACTACAGTCCGCATCCTTTATTCCCGTCTAGCATGACAAAGCTGATTTGTGACTGCAAATCTGCATCACAGATTTCCGTTTTGATATGGGGAGGGGGGATGTTTCTTCTTGATATCCCGGTGAGCGTGTTTTACGATCCGGTTGTGCAACGGCAGATGCGGGTGGTGGGGCACGTGAACGAAGAACACATTCCCTACGTGATTATCTCCGCGATCCAGGAAACCGCCCGGGCGGCGGGGGTCCCGGACGACGCCAACCTGCATTCCGTGACGGCGATGGCGGTCGCCGAGAGCATCTACATGCGCGAGCTGGACCTGGGCCGCGACGACGTTCTGACCGCTTTCCAGGAGACCAAGCGGGTGCGCAGCTTCATCGGGTGGCAGAGCCGCCTGCAGTTTCTCGGCATGGAGCTCCAGCGGCTGGTGCTCTATACCCTAGGGCACATCTTGGAGACAAGACCAGAAATAACTACAACAAACAAGCAAGGCGGGTCGCCAGCTGCTGCGAAGATGTCCAGCAAAATAACTTACGACCCAACTAGTACTTCTAGTTCTGCTGGAAACTACAGAGTAAGTACAGGCACAGCTACTGGAGGGACACGACCAGCAGATGATGGGGTTCTAGCATCGGGCAGTATGATTTTCCCGGAACGTGGTTTTGCCCCGACCTCTACATCACCGGGGACCGAGTACCTGCTGCCGTCCAGTGGTAACAGCTACAAGGACCGACGAGACAGTACAACTAGCACAACTTCTGTGCAGCTGGATCCTCAAAGAACGGGCGTTGCCAGCGATCAAGCACCCTTCAGTCCTGCTGGTAGCAAAGGCACGACAAAGTTGGCAGTTCCCCGCCCGCACGGCGTGCTTCCCGAAGGGGAAGGACTCCAAGAAGGGCTAAGAACTACGAGCAGCGCCGATCATGCCGGCAGCGACCACGAGCTCCTGCTCGAGGAAAGTGATACAGACGAAATTTTGTTCGGAGCAGAAGCGCGTCATCTTGCTGACGCCCCTGCAGCACTGCACGTGCACCTTGACGAGGCACTGCACATTTACGAGAATACCGTGCAGAATCAGAATAGGACGTGGTCGAACCAGAGAAACAAAAACCAGAACTACCAACGAAAGAATAATGTGCGTGCCGAGGGCGAAATGGCGGGCGAGCTGCCGGCCATGTCAGTGCAGCAGGGACTGCTGACGCCGGCCATGAAGAGGCGGCTGCAGGAACGGCAGGAGCAGGGCCGGTCCTCTCTCCTGAGCCTGTTCAGTACGAACAGTCCTCCGGGCTTCCGTTCGTTCGACAGTTTGAACAGGAGCACGATGGCTAATAAGCACCTGGTTGGAGTAGACCACCACGCCGAGCTGCATACCCTGTTGCTGCAGCAGATGGCGTCTCTGGAGCGGTTGACCAAGGAACAGGACTTCTCCCAAGATATTCTGTGCAAAAGTATCGTACTCGTATTGCAATCATGCATTGCTGCAAATCCCTTTGTTAAGCTTAAGGTAAATCCGCATTACAAATTTTATTTCTCACGCTGAGGAAATTTGTAAATGCATTTATAGGACGAGTGCGATACTTTTGCAGTTCATACAAGACGACTACAGGCAACACATCCTGGCGCGGTGCACCGGCGGCCGCGGGGTCGGCGGAAATAAGAAGGGATCGTTAGGCGCGGAGATGAACAACATAGAGGCTCCTGACGCACCAGCCGCCGGCTCCTCGCCGTTGGAAAATAAAACCACGGAGGCACGGCTGCTGGAAATCATGGAGCTTTTGTACCTGAAGTGCGAGGCAGAGAACATGCTCCCTTCGTGTGGGGTCAAGTACCACAGTGCCAGCGCGGCCATCGTGGACGACTTGGTGCGGGACCGGCTGGAGCGGCAAGGGAGTACCCTCGCCTCCGTCCTGCAGAACCGCCTGCAGAACGCGCTCAGAAGCGAACTCTTGCAGCAAGGCATGCAGATCGACACGCAGGTCTTGCAAACCAGGATTGGCCACACGGTTTCGTGATAGAAGAAGTGCAGCTCTTTATTTGTTTTGGTTTTTCATTTTCAGATGCACGAGCTCGAGCGCGTGCACGTGAACACGTAAGGTGTGTGGGGTAGATTGATCGATGTCTAAGCCCAGACCACGTGGGTCACAGTCAAACCTTTTCTTTCTACACATCCTTATCCATGATCGTATACGATACTAGATTGATATATTCATATTGGTACCAAAAAACGGCGTTTCTTGGCACATAATGTATGCATTTGGAAGAGCTATCGCCCGGCAACTTTTCTTTCCAGAATGAAAAAGTAATATTTTCACGCGATCACTTCGAGTATTTCTATTTTTCGTTTTCTTCAGTTTTCGCCCCAAGCGAGAGCTCGTTCTTGAAATTTCGGTGTCGGTCTTTCTCTTTCTGGTCGTGCGGCTGCTGCTGTGAAAGAGTATAAATCTATTTACTTCTTGGCTCGGATCGATTCCATCGTACGTCATTACTGTTTTTCCTCGTCCTACTCGTTCGTCCTCGTTTGTGTAGTTTGAAAAAAGTGTAATTTATCGTCAGGCACAGGCCCTGCTCGGTACTCCTTTTGACTCAATTGTGAATTGGTACTAGCTCGGTGGCTGGTCTCGTTCATGGATGTGGAAAGTTTCGTCTTCGTTCTCATCGTCCCCACGTTCTTTCAGGTTTTACTGAACAAACGTATACACGTCGTCGTACCTATTGAGGAACGCCCCTATGACTTGCGCTTCCTGGTTGTTTTACTGGTGTGGCTTCGCCCGTAGAAGTTTCTCCATCATTGTTTCTTCCGTCATTTCACAACAGCGGTTCTTTTCACTCCCCCCCCGCTCAGAAATTTTTCCCCGAAATAGATATCCATGAAGTTTCGAAAACAAAATGTAAAGTATGCACAAGTGCAACAACAACATGAACATGATGATGTGTGTCTGTCGTGTTGTACACCCTATTTTTTAGAAATGTCACCAATTTCTGGCTAGTAATTCGTAGCATTTATTCCCTCGTGCTTTCCGCACAAAATTCATTCAGAAAGTAAGGAAGCTTATTCTTTATTTCTTCGTACGATTCGCTTCTACTTCTTTTATGTTGACCACCTCCTGTCAGCTTCATCGTGGAATGATATTAGCGTGTGGTCGCCCGCCGCGGCGCCGGGCGACCCTGAAGACGATGTAGTTGCGCGGCTTGTTTATCGCTTTCTAGAATTGGAGAATTGACAGCTGCGAACAAACGTTCTATTTTCATCATGTCTCACGTTCCGTGCATCGGAGTGGCGACCACAGGCGCTTTCGACGAGACAGCAAGAACTCCAAGACGAAAGCGACCCCACTTCTACAAGAACCGGGTGGCGGGTCTAAGAATTACAAGTAGAATTACCGGGGCAAGCGCCGGGTATTTGCTACTGTTTCTGGTTTGGCTATTGGGAAGAGCAGTGCATCACCTTCTGGTGCAGCACCCCTTGCTAAGGCAAGAATCCGAATCGTTGCCACTAGTACAGCAACCACCTCTACTACTCGTGGACGCGGTTACCGTCCGCCGCGTCTACAGGGACAACTACACGAGGAATAAGCAGAGGAGCGTCAGCACCAGCGTGACGAGTACAAGAACCACGGGAGCTGCGACCGGATCCAATGAGGTTCTTTTGCGACGGAGCGGCATTTCGACCGTGCAAATCGATACTGGACGAACCACACATGAGAATGATGAAGACGAGACCGCAACAGGCCCGGATTGCGAAGGCACGCTGAAATGGAAAATGGATTCGACGGCCTCGGGCGACACGGAGATCTGGAGGGACACGCACGCAGACGCCGTAAGTTACTGCAAATCTCCCGATGTGGTCCCCTCTCTTACTGCCGCACAAGCCACCAGTTTCACCCGTCAATTCCAAACGACCCTCGAGCCGGGTACTGGAGGCAAAAACTGCGACACAGTCGAGGATGAACTGGTTCAAATGCTGAAGGGCGATCTGGGCGACGCCGTCTTCGACAGCCAACGCACAGTCGCCTGTAGTGACCACACGGCCATCAACTGTGCCGGGCGCTGGAAAATCATCTCCGACCCGCCTTCCGATTACACAGAGGAGTACGCTGACCTAGGGCTCGCACGGCACGCAGCCATCCGGGAGTGTGTGGACCTGGGAAATGACGCTGCGGAGAATGTAAACAGGACGCTGCAATTTGTGGTCGACCAGGAATCCCTGAATGGCGGAGAATCTTGTGAGGATTTCGTCAATTCACAGAACAATCCCACGAACGTCGTGGTCAAGAACGTCGACACTGAACAAATCACACACGACGTAATCTGCAAGGACCACCAATGCGGGTGCACGAAGGGAGAGGTAGACACGAGCGACTCGGGGAAAGCCAAATGCGAAGGCACTGGGAACGAGGAACAGAATTGCGAGAAGTGCAATCAAGGGTTCAAGATTAGGGAAAACTGGCCCACCGTGAACCAGACTGGATGTGTGCCGTTTTGCGGCGGACTTCCGCCGGCTGAGTGGAGTGCCACTGATGGGACTTATTACACGTTTTGGGGTTCGCTAACCTCTACCAGCCATTGTCCGTATTTTGTTGAGAATTTCTTGACGCAGGAACAACTACTCGTTGTCCTCTCCGAGACAGGGTTGCGCAATAGGTTTTGCAGAAAAGAATATGATCCGGAGCGCGGCCTGGGTGGGTGTTTCGAGAAGAAGCAAAGCTGCATCGAGCCGGACAGCGCTGCGGTTCAAATTTCCTCAGGATCATGGAGCTCCTCCATTTTAACCCGTGCCTCGTTGGCCCCCGGCGGGAAAATTGTTCACGCAGGCACCTTTAGGGAAGTTGACCACGCGGTCAGCATCCCCGAACTGAATCCGTCGTGCCCGAGTCGCTACCAGGGCGAGCCGAAGTTTTACTGCACCGACGGCGGAGAGCCGCTAAGTGTGACCGGTTGCACACTTATTCCCAGCGTGACGTACGAGTTTTACCTGACGATCAAGGGGGCAAGTGATACGGTTGCGGTATGAATTGCAAAAGCATCGTACTAGTATAAATTGCATTACAAATCTTCTCAGCATGAAAAATTGAATTTGTTATGGTGTTTTACACTGGAAAGGACATTTGTCATGCATAACTGCAATTAGTACGAGTGCGATACTTTTGCACAGGATACGCGGACCTCGATAGCAACGGGGAGTTCAAAGACGCCGTCAAGGAAGGGCTTCTGGAGTACCTTGGGAACGAAAAAGGTTTCGACCGAACCAAACTGAGCATCGAAGAAGTGACTCTGGAAGTACACAGTGCGAGCGCTTCGTCCTTCGTGCAGCTGGGAACGACCACCGCCGTAGTTGAGCGACTTGTAATAGAGGAAAACATTGAACAAAAGCAGGCGACGAGGACGCACGTCGAACTCACGCGGAAGGAAAAGAAGAACAAGAAGCTTCATACCGAAACAACAAAAGTTATCAAAGTAACCGTGGTTGTCCGGCCCACTACTGCAGATGTCGTTGTGAACAATATTTCCCTACCGGCTTCTGACGCAGACGATTACTTTGATACCGACGCGGACGCGTTGGAAAACCGGGTTAGTGACGCGCTCTTGGCTAGTACTAGCAGCCAACCAAGTGGCGCGTTGGCCTTGGCGGGTGTACAAGTCGGACGTGACTGCGATGGCTTTCTTCAGTACGAAGTTCTTGGTTCTTCCGAGCCGACAGTACTCCCTTATTACGAAAACGCCACAGACTACTGCATCCAGCTCACCTCGTGGTCCGAGGCAGTGGCCACGAATGTAACGCGGACTTTCAAAATGACTTCCCCACAAAGCGGCCAAGGGCTTGACTGCGATGCAAAGCACGCACAGCTGGAAAGGGTAGCACTGACACTTTTGAAGCTTGAGCCGGTAGTTCAGTGTAGCAAGTACGTGGAAATCGATTGCGAGGGGTACTGGCGGCTCACGCGTGTGGAGGACCACTCTGGTAATAATCAAGAAACGGAACTATCCCAAACGGAAGCCAATCTCGCCGACGCGCAGAGTGCGGCGGGGAACGAATGTTCGAAGGAAGGGAGCGTGCTAACCGTGACGGACGTGATACGCTTGGACTTTGTGCAAACAGTACAGCCGCGGAACGCTGGAGACAGCTGCGCAGTAGTTTCCGGGGGGAGTATGGACGCCAGCGGCACGCTACTTCCAGTAGAGGTCAACTGTGCTGATCACATAGTGTTTGATTGCGTTTGCAACCACGGGAACCCCGGGCCGCCGGCTCCGGTGTCTAGCGAAGGGAGCTGCACGGTCGCCGGCCATCAGAATTGCGAAAGCTGCACGACCGAGGGCTACAAAGTAAAAGACGACTGGCCGAGCACAGGCGAGAGGGGTTGTGTGCCGACGTGTGGCCCACTTCCGCCCACGTGGGACGCGACTTCCGGAACCTTTTACCGACAGGGCGGATACGAAGACGATGACTACTGCCCCATCTTCATCACAGAAGGAGATGCACGCGCCGACGCGATTGGTGCCGCATTGCAGCAGGCTGCTGCCGGACAAACAGGACAGTCTGAGGAGGTGCAGAGGCTGTGCCTCTTTGGTGCCCACACCGAAGCGGACGCGGTCCCGAATTTGAGCTGCTACAAAAAATTGAAGAGCTGCATCGCCCCGGGTCGCACGACCCTGCTCCAACTCGCGGCCCATGACCGTAGTGGGTGGAACGAAGCCATTCTCACAGACGAGAGCTTACTGCCTTCAGCCTCCAAGATTCCACAAACTTCCTATCCCGGCTGGGTTGAGTCGCTCTCGTGCAAAGTGAGTGGCACGCCGCAGTTTCGTTGCGAGAAAGCCGGGGAACCACTAGAGATCGCCGGATGCGCGGCTCTGGCTCGAGCCGCGTACTGGTTCCCGTTGCAGCTCACCGCCGACCGCGACACCGCGGTGGAGGACCTGACCAACAGCGAAGCACTGAAGGAGGCCGTGCTAGACGGGTTTAAAACTTACCTCAGGGAGAAGCTACCGGGGTCGCAGGACTTGAGCGGATATGCGTTTGAAGTGACACTGGAGGTGAAGGACCACGGAGCTGGTGACAGCAGTTCGTCGTCGTCCAGTTCTTCCTCCTTCCTGCAGTTGCGGTTTTTGCAGCAGCAGAAAGAGAAACGCAAACAATCGGAGCGCGCACAGCTGCGCCTGGAGCGCATCAAGATGCACATCAGGCGTCGCGCGAGTACTGGTCAACACGCCGGGGGGCGGGCCCAAGAACATAAGGTTTTGGCACGACATGGGAAAGAAGAGCTACGAGGAAAGAAGAGTGCGCCGAATGCTCAGGAGTCTCAGCAGGTGCAACTCGAGGCCAAGGTCGAGGTCGAGGCGGCCGAGGACGCCGCCGTTGCCAATGTGAGCAGCGCTCTGTCGGCGGCGGGCACCGACGCGGCAGACAGCGACGACGGCGCAGCGGTGCCGACCAACGTGGCGGCTGCTTTGGAAAGCAGCGTCAGCGAAGCTGTGATAGTGATTGCGAACTCGGCGGAAGAAGGTGCCGCTATTTCGGGTGTGCAAAACGTCGGCTCAGACTGCGAGGGTTCGCTCGCGTGGCGGGATTTGGGCTCTTCCGTGTGGGTTGGCACGCACGCTAAGGCCGTGGAGCTCTGCGAAGGTCTCGGCTCGTGGGAGGCGGCCGAGGCGACGACGTTCACCCGCACGTTCACAGTCACTGCTGAGGCGACGGGGGCTGGGAAGAGCTGCACTGTTGTAGAGGGGGAGGTTGAGGCGGAGATGAAGACTGAACTAGGAGAAGAAGTATTCAATGAGCAGAGTACAGTCGCGTGCACGGACCATTTGGACGTCGATTGTGTCGGCGTGTCGACATGGACGCTCGTAGGGAGCGGCCCCAGCGTTTCGTATACTAACGCCGAAGCCGCCAAGCAATATTGTCGAGAAGATGATGGTGCGCAGGTGAGTGATACCTTTACGATGACTTTCACCGGAACAGATCAGGCGAAGAATGGTGGGGAGAGCTGCGACGCTAAGAAAACGCGTCTGGAAGATGCGGATGCTGATGCTCCTGTCGAGTGCAGCGATCTCACACCCGTGGACTGTGTCGGCGTGTCGACATGGACGCTCGAAGGAGGCGACCCCAGCGTTTCGTATACTAACGCCGCAGACGCCGAGCAATATTGTCGAGAAGATGCTGGTGCGCAGTTGAGTGATGCCTTTACGATGACATTCACCGGAACAGATCAGGCGAAGAATGGTGGGGAGAGCTGCGACGCTAAGAAAACGCGTCTGGAAGATGCGGATGCTGATGCTCCTGTCGAGTGCAGCGATCTCACACCCGTGGACTGTGTCGGCGTGTCGACATGGACGCTCGAAGGAGGCGACCCCAGCGTTTCGTATACTAACGCCGCAGACGCCGAGCAATATTGTCGAGAAGATGCTGGTGCGCAGTTGAGTGATGCCTTTACGATGACATTCACCGGAACAGATCAGGCGAAGAATGGTGGGGAGAGCTGCGACGCTAAGAAAACGCGTCTGGAAGATGCGGATGCTGATGCTCCTGTCGAGTGCAGCGATCTCACACCCGTGGACTGTGTCGGCGTGTCGACATGGACGCTCGAAGGAGGCGACCCCAGCGTTTCGTATACTAACGCCGCAGACGCCGAGCAATATTGTCGAGAAGATGCTGGTGCGCAGTTGAGTGATGCCTTTACGATGACATTCACCGGAACAGATCAGGCGAAGAATGGTGGGGAGAGCTGCGACGCTAAGAAAACGCGTCTGGAAGATGCGGATGCTGATGCTCCTGTCGAGTGCAGCGATCTCACACCCGTGGACTGTGTCGGCGTGTCGACATGGACGCTCGAAGGAGGCGACCCCAGCGTTTCGTATACTAACGCCGCAGACGCCGAGCAATATTGTCGAGAAGATGCTGGTGCGCAGTTGAGTGATGCCTTTACGATGACATTCACCAGAGAAGTGGACGCGAAGAATGACGGGGAGAGCTGCGACGATATGAAAACGCGCCTGGAAAATGAGGCTAGCCCGGTAAGCTGCGAGAATCTCACGCCGGTGCATTGCGAAGGTGTATTACGGTGGGAAGCGGTCCTTCAAGACGGCAGCACGGAACAGAAGAGTGCCAGACCCAAAGCCATTCAGTTCTGCGAAACTGCGCAGGCCGCGACCCTGGAAACCACCTTTCAACTTGTTTTCGTGCAGACGAGCCTCACCGGCGGCATGAATGGAGGAACCACTTGTACAGACAAGGAGGACCAACTGCGTGATGCAGCTTTATCCGAAGGGAGCGCCGATCCCGTGAGCTGCAGCGATCACAAACCCGTCGATTGCGCCGGGCATTGGGAACTCTTCGAAGATGAGGATGCCGAAGATCCGAGTGGAATATCATACGCAAGCCTCACCCTCGCGCGCACCGAAGCGATCCAGCAGTGCAAGGCTGCTGACCCTCCCAGAACGGTGGAAAACACTGTAAAAGTGGCGCGCTTCAACGTGACGCAAGTGCCGCTAAACGACGGGCGGATCTGTGCGGACCTCAGTCTTCCGCACAACGAAGGAGCTGACGGCTCGAGTGTGGTCATCGACGAGGTCGGTAGCGTGCTACAGCATGCTGTCGCCTGTGCCGACCACATCACCTATTACATTTGTGTTTGCAGCAATGGAAACAAAGATGATATTAACGAGTCCTTCTGCAACGGCACGGATTACCAGCACTGCGAAAGCTGTGACAGTGGATACAAGCAGAAAGAGGACTGGCCCGCCGGAGGGCAGACTGGCTGCGCTCCCAAATGCGGGGACGCGCCCGCTGCATGGGATCCGATGACAGGAATCTGGTACGAACTACAGCCTTCACGGTCGTCGGAGGATTATTGCACCGCGTACCAACACGTTTCGAGTGATCTTACTGTCGCCCTCGCTGAAGACGATGACTCACGAAGCACCGTGCGGGAGGCCTGTGAGGACGAGTGCTACACACAGAAGCGAACTTGCCTACCAGTTCCAGCAGAGTCGCCTTTCCGCTCTCAGGCCGATTTTAAATTATCCCCCACAGTAGACACGACTGCATGGCGAGATGCGCTTGTCAATGAAGACTTTGCCGCTGTTGCCGAGAATTGTGCGGTCGGGTACAGCGGTTCGCCCTCGTTTTCGTGTGACACCTCCGCAGCAGCTTCGGGTCCCCCGTTTCCTCTGAGTATGACTGGTTGCGAGCGGCTGCCGTATGCGGAGTACACGTTTCCACTCCAGGTGAGGATCGTTCAGGGCGCGGGCTCCGGCCCCGCAAGCGCGCAGGACCTCGTGGAAAATGTCGACTTCAAAACGGCTGTAATAGACGGCTTCCGAGCGTATCTCAGCAATTCCGCTTCTATTTCGGCACAAGACGTGACAGTCGAATCGGTTTCGCTGACAGGCGCATCTGCGAGTGCTAGCAGCAGTTCTTCTTCCTTTCTTCAGGTGAGACGAACAGCGAGGCAGGCGCGGAAAGAACACGTCGCGCGCGAGCATGCAACGCTGCGGCTCGACGAGAAGGTACAGCGTCGAACCGGAAGAAGTCGAACCCAAATCAAGAAAATGCAGCAGAAGGAGAAAGTAGCCTCTTCCGTGGGCGTAGCAACACTGACGGCCGCCGTCATCGTTAGCGCCTCGACGGCTGCGGGGGTAAGTTCCGTCACAACTGCGCTGGGAGCCACACCAGGAACGCCCGGCAGTTCTTTGACCGTAGGGAACGCCAATGCGCAGGCTGGCTTGGTGAACAGTGTTAGTACAACAATCGCCGCTTCGGGGTCAATTCCTGGCGTGGCAGTGGGACAGGACTGTGAGGGGAGTCTGGAATGGCAGTTGACCTCGGACACAAACGCCCAGTGGTGGTCAAGCCATGCGTTAGCCGTCGCCGAATGCAAAAGCCTCGGCTCTTGGACTGATGCAGTAGCTACAAGCTACACCCGCAGGCTGAGAGAAACTGTCGCGCAAACGGGGGCGGGGAGGACCTGCGACGTTGTCGAACAAGAGTTGGAGGCCGATCACAGTGCGAACCCCCCGGCGCAGGAAGTTGTTGAGTGCGAAAACCACAAGGACATTGACTGCGAGGGACACTGGCAAGTGACGCTAAATAGCGAAACGGTGAGCAACTTGGCCCTCGCCGATGCGCGGACCAGGGGAATCAGCGAGTGCTTGGCCACCGACCCGGACGTCGCGCAGGGCGTTAGCAAGCAGCTGACCTTCGTGATCACCGAGCAGCCCCGGAATGACGGCACTACTTGTGCGGAGTTAATCACGATGAACTTGAACAACGGCGACCCACCCATAAGCAACGAGGCGCAACTTCAAGACACAGTGGCCTGCCAGGACCACCGGCACTGCCACGGGGAGTTGTGGTGGGGTCAGAGTGCAGGAGGGATATGCGGTGCGGGCGTGCAAATGTCTGATGCAATAGAGCCGGGTGTCTGCTACAAGTCGCGCACCGACGCGATCGATTACTGTGAGGCGCAGGCCTACAATAGCCCCACGCCCACCAACGTCTTCGCGATCCGGTTCCACGAAACGTTTTCTCCCGTCGGAGATTACGCTGAAAACTGCGACACGGTGAAGAACGGCCTGGAGAGCGCGGTGGCGGAGACCGGGCAGGTGTCTTGTGCAGAGTATGCGCACTGCAAAGGGATCTGGAAGTGGGGAGATTATGAAAGCCAGGCTGCCGCGATCCAGGCCTGCGTGGACGACGGACCTTTTTATGACGTGCACACCCGCGTGTTCGTTGAGGTAGCTGGTTCGGCCGGGATTCATGGCAAGGACTGCACGACAATTCGGGATGAGGAATTGGACTCTGCGCCCATCAAAGACACGCAAAGCGAAGTACGCTGCGAGAACCACACTCCCCGGGACTCGGCGTACCAGTGGGTGTGGCCGGCTGGCCTGGCATCGGAGGGGAATCGAGAAACCGCGTGCAGAGACGATTCCACTTACAACACCGACTTGGACTCCGAGATTTTGCAAGTTTTCGAGTGCGTGGATGACAGCTTGGTGGCGAACACCGGGCGCGACTGCGCTACGTTAGAAACGGACACTGTCGACGAGCGGGAGAGCTTCTCCTGCTGGCACCACATCGTGTGGGACTGTGTGGGGCAGTGGGAGCACACGGATACCACGCAGAGTCCCCCGGTGCTCACCGCAATGACGCCGGCTGAGGCCGAGGCCAAATGCAAGGAAAGCGTAGACAACTTTGACGACGAGTACGAGTTGACGTTCCACGTAACCCAGCCGCAGCACACCACCGGCACGAGCTGCGCGATAGCAGCGGGCGTAGTTCCGAACGGGGACGGAGACATCGTGAAGACGGTACTGTGTTCAGAGCACACTGAACGCGACTGCACGGGCCAGTGGGTCTGGGAAATCGACGGGCCCACCTCGGAGGAGGACGCGCAGGATAAGTGCAAAGAGGACGATGTACCGATCAACACCATATATGAGCAAACGTTCGAGAAGCTGCTGGAGAACGCAAACGGAGGCGACAGCTGTGACACGGTGGAGGCGGCTATGGTAGGGTCGAAAATAATCGTGGACTGCAACGATCACAAGCCGGTGCATTGCAAGGGAGAGTGGAGGTACGACCCTCTGAGTGTTGGAGCTCTCCTGGAAAAGGCAAGTGTGGAGAACTACTGCAGCGTTGGCAACGAGGAATTGTATGATGACGTATTTGCCGCGGAAGCCTGGTACTCAATTTCCACCGAGGTCCGAAATGGCGGAGATAATTGCGCGACCGTGCAGAGCAACGCCGACCGGCCGGCCGACGTTAAGTGCGAGGATTTCACGCCAGTGGACTGCGCGGGGGAGTACCAGTGGAAGATCAACGACACCCACTTTGTCCAAGACCGGTCCCGTATGGATGTGTCAGGATCGAAATCGACAAAGTTGAAATAATTTGTGATGCATAAAACGGATGCCAGTTGGAGCCCACTTTCCAAGCGGCGCATGACAAATTTGGGTAGAGCCGAAATCCAGTTTGTAGTGCTGTTTGGGTAAGAAAGACGCCTTTTGTCATGCTGCTTTAGCAGCTCTATGTCTACCCCTGAACAGGCTTACAATCGGCCTCCCTTGCCTACTCTGCAAAACAGGCATTTTGTGGGTTGCATTTTATGCATCACAAACTATTTCAACTTTGATGATTTCAAACCTGACACATCCATATCCCGGGTCGTGCAGATGTGTGCCAACAGCGAGCTGGCGGAAAGCGCGATGATCCCGCACGTTTTTGTGGAACGGGAGTGGACCATCGGGGCGTTGAGCGGAACCGGGAACAGGAACGGCGGTAAGAGCTGCAGTGCCTTGGAATCGGAGCTGAATCAGGAACCGGATCTCGCCTGCGTCGACAATCAAAAAGAGCCCTGCGTGATTGAGTGGCAGTGGCCGGCAGCGTACGGAAACTTCGCGGCAGTGGAAGAATACTGCCGCCTAGACACCACCGACGCATCAACAAGCGTGGAGCAGATATGGGTCCAGACCGAAGCGGCAGAGAATGGCGGAATGACGTGCGAACAGGTTGCACTCGATCAGATTGGGACCCAGAAACAAACCGTTTACTGCCTGGCCTACAAGCCGACTCCCTGCGTGGGTAGTTGGGGGTGGGGGGATGACCACCCGACTTCCGCACTGGCGGCGGTGGACCAATGCAAAGCAAATGACTACGCAGACGGCCTGAACAACGAGATCTACCAGCAAACTTTCGCCGTGTCCGCGAACCCTACAAACGGGGGGAGCGATTGTGCCACAGTGGCGGATGCTGCCCAATTCGACCCCCCCAAAGAAGTCCGGTGCGCCGATTACGTCCCCTGTGTGGGGACCTGGGACTGGCCCAGCCCCTACGGAGACAAAACACAAGACGAGGTCATCCAGGAGGCGTGTTTGACTGGTACTCACGATCCTTCAAAAGAGATCAAGCAAGTTTTCACCGTTTCGCGGGAAAACGGGACTCTGGCCGATCCGACCTGCGAGCGTACGAGGATGAAAATTGTTCTTGTCTGCGAAATCAATTCGTGCGAGGATGGAACAACGTGTAGAAGAAGCTGCGAACAAATTACATGTTTTGGTTGCTTGTTAAAGTCGTTTTTTGCCATGCGCGCATTTCTACTATGTCGTTGTGGACCGACCTTTGTGCAGTTGTGATATCATGCGTGTTGTAGTGCCGATGTTTTCATTCGGATTCGTGGTACACTTTGATTGACGCAGTGTTACTATGCGTGCCTTTTATTTTGATTCCCAAAGTCACGACGATGTCACCGATCTGAGAACAATTTTCATCCTGATAAAGAAGTTGCGAACCGATACATGGAACGAAGACATGCGGAAGGTGGATTGTGAGTCGCACAGAAACTGTGCGGGGGAGCTTCGCTGGGTTTCTAATCTTGAGGGCGCAACCGAGTTTGACAATCATGCCGCCGCAGTGCTGCACTGTCAAGGCTTGTTCGATGACTCTAACTTGGGTAATCTCCCGGATCCAGCGGATCTTCCGAATTTAAAGAGAACCTTTCACGTTCTGGCGGACGCAGCCGGCGAAGGTGGCAGCTGCGCGGACCTGCAGCTTGAGCTGGAAAGAGCCGCAGATACGTCGAGCCACGAGGATGTGAGCTGTGCCGACTATCAGCCGTGCGTGGGATCCTGGGACTGGCCCGATGAAGTGGGCGGTACGAAGACCGGCGCCATCGACAAGTGTCTGAATGACGCGGATTACGCGAGCCAAACGGTCAGCCGAGTCTGGGTGGAAACCAGGGCTAACGGACCGATGGGAAGCAGTTGCGCAGATGTGAAGGCGGAACTCAAAACCCAAATCGAGACGAACCAGAACTTCGCGGTCGACTGCAGCAACCACAAGCACTGCTATCCCGCACAGAAGTACACCCATAGCACCAGAAAAAACAGATAAAGAGTCAAACAATATACAATTTGTGTTGCGTGACAATCTTTTTCAGTGCCTCCTTAACTCGATTGTTAACAGGGAAAAGAGCGCATGTGCCGCTTATACATAGCTGTATTTAACAAGAATATTTGGATGAGCATGCCAGAAAGTCACCACACCATCACCTCTGTCTTGTAGTATTCGACGCATTAGCGCTAGCGTAGTTCTTCTGACGCTATATCAAAATCACTGTTGTACTTCTTGTAAGAACCGTGAGAGACATATTTCTATCCTGGGGCTATTAGTGTGCTACTTTTCTGGAGGATAAGTGCGCCAAGATGTTCATTTGGAGAGAGAATTCTAATGAAGTCGGGTTCCTCACCCGTCAAGCTGCCATTGACGGATGTTTGGCGCTGGATGCAAATGACAGCGTTGCGGCGGGAAATTTGGTTCTCGCCCGACAGTGGGGTACCCAAGACGGTTCTTTAGGGAACCATCTGGGAGCTGGGACGAAATGCTGGGATCTAAAAGAAGAGTTACTAGCGGCGCAGCCACCGCCAGGTGGCCCCGTTACTTGCAGAAATTTCTTGCCCTGCAAAATCAAGTGGATTTGGAGCCCCGACCACGCAAACGAGAATGACGCGATCGACACGTGTTTGGCGAACCCGAGTCTGTCGACGAGCGGCTACGTGATCCAACAAAATTCTACCATTACGCGCACACGTGGAGCTAATGCCGACAGCAGTATCGCGTGCGTAGAGGAGAACACACGCAGCGAGGTAAACTGTGCCGACCACTTATGACATTGAACAAGCATTACCCTCTTTCTCTTTCCCGGAATAGACAAGCAGGCGTGCGTCTTTTCTTTCTATGAACCGTTGATTATGTATGTCTACGACCAGCTACAACACTAGGCGAAAGCATGTGTTGCAACGTCACAGTTTGACATTGAGTTTCGAACTGAGGAGACGGTTCATGGTTCCATGTTCTCGTGCAGGTCCTGGTCAAGAAAAAATAAAGAACAGATCTGCAAGAACATCCACTTCATGATTCTAGCACACATAAGTATCCGTCAGCCTCAGGGAACCAGCAGAGCAAGACCAAGAGCATTTCTTGTTTTGCTTTTGTTGCACTGACTATTCAGGGACGAGGACCGAGTTAGAGGGTGTTTTTCAATGTGACAGTGGCGGCACTGCGTTGGGTCCCTGAAGTGGGTGTACCAGAGTTCCTCATTGGATACCTTCGCCGATGCAGAGGCGTATTGCCGTCTCGCCGACGCGCGCCACGCGGCAGCAGGAGGATCTTCCGGGGGTAGCAGCGCCGGGGTCGGGGAGGTGCTTATCAGACAGTTCGTGAAGCAGACCGACGAGGTGGGTAGCTTCGGCACCTCGTGCGCCACGCTCGAAAGCGACCTGGTCGCCCAGAGCAACTCTGCGTCGGAAGGCGACGTGACTTGTACGGAGTACCTCCCCTGCCAGGGCGAGTGGGCGTGGATCGACTACGCCAACGAGGAAGCCGCGAGAGAGGCCTGTCTCGCACTGAGCGACGGTGAGAAAGACACAACCGTTTACCGGCAGACCTTCAGGCAAACCCGACCGGCGGGAACCAAAGGCACCCCTTGCGACGCGGTCGAGGCCGCTTTGCCCGGCCGCGGAGAGGTGCCCTGCAGTGGGCAACGCGATTGCGACGGCTACTTGCAGTGGGGCGGCAGTTTCACGGATAGGCAGGACGCGGAGCAGTTTTGTCACGACCAGGCGGCGCTGTGGGTCGCAGCCGGTAGCGACCCGTCCAATTTTTCCATGCTACCTACTCAAACACGCACCTTCGTGGTGACGGTGTCAGCACTGGGCAGTGGGTTAACGTGTGCAGCAAAAGAACAGCAGCTGATCACGGATTCAAATGGAGACGTCCTCTGCACGTACTACATTCCCTGCCAGGGCGTTTGGAAGTGGGGACCATACCTGACCGTCGAGGCGGCGGAGGAAGGCTGCAGAGACGACGCGCCAGCAAACTTCGACGACATTTACGAGCGTGACTTTACTATCACAAACAACCCCGCCGCAAACGGGAAGAGCTGCTCTGTGGTCCAAGAAGCACAGCTGGCGGAAAAATCGGAGACGGAACGAAACACCCCTGTCGTCAAGTGTAAGCACTTCACCCCCGTAGACTGCGAGGTCGAGTGGTATTGGCCGGATGGTCAGGAAACGAAAGAAAAACGCGAAGCTTACTGTAGGGCGAGCGCAGTAAAGGAAGACGAAGTGCTCAAGCAGCTGTGGCGTGAGGTCGCCCCACCCCTCAACAACGGCGCCAGCTGCGAGGATGTTGCGAACTCAGACCAGCAAGCTGGCGTGCCCGCGACCGAGGACTGCCACCCTTTTCACGTCGACTGCGAGGGCAGCTTCCAATGGGCCCCGGACCACGACTCGGCACAGGCGGCCCAGGCCGCGTGCGCGGCGAGCAAGGGGATGCAAGACGTCGTGGTGCGGCAGAACTGGACGGTGACCACGGAACCGACCCGATTCGGGAAGACCTGCGAAGTTGCCGAGCAAGAGACGACGGCGACCCCGTTATCCGTGGGGTGCAACGACTTCATCCCGCTTGATTGCCTTGGACAGTGGGTCTGGCCCGCCGGCGGGACGTTCGACGAGCAGGCGGCGATTGACCAGTGCGAAAAGGACCCCAGCCTCGGGTTGGACAGCGAGGTCGCGCAAATTTTCCAGATCACGCGCGAGGCCCGGCGACCACCAGACTACACCGGCCCTCTGGAGACGTGCGCGGAACTCCAGGCGCGCACGAAGGAAACCGACCAAAAGATTGTCCGGTGCGCTAACCACATCCTGGTCGACTGCGAGGGGCATTGGGAACCGTATAAGACGCTTGCCGAGGTGGAAACTGCGTGCAACGACCCCGCCAGCGTCCCGCACATCGCCGGCAATTTCGCTTTGCAGTTCGTCGTGGAGCAGGAGGGTCTGAACGCCGGGAAAACGTGCGAACATTTGGCTAACGAGACCAACTTTCTGCTGCCCGACACGTTTTTCTTCAACACGGAAGATGGTGCGGCCGCAACACGGCAGCTGATGCGGACCACGACGGGAGAGGACGAGGACAAAATGGTGCTGATCAACGAACAGATCCAGTGTGCGGACTTCATCACGACGACTCCTGCTGGTGGAGGCACCACCAGCACTACTACCAAAGCGCCAGAAGAAACGGAAGAAGAAACCACCGAGGAGGAAGGTGGCGTGCCCATGGTGGTGATCGTGGTGCTGATCGTGGGGCCGCTGGTACTTCTAGGTCTGGGCAGCTTGATCGCGCTGGTGGTGTGGAAGTTGGTGCCGCACGACTACAGCCTGCTGGAGGACGACGGCCTACTACTTCCGGAAAATATGGATCCGGAGCAGGGAGGAGCGGACAAGGACAAAGATGGCGTAGCCAACAACTACGTGCACCCGGGCGAGCACATCATCCAGGTGCGCAAGTCGGCCGCCACACGGGAGCGGGAGGAGCAGGCGCAAATCGCCATGCTGCAGGCGGAGCCGAACAGTGCAAACCGGTACACGGAGCAGGCGTTGTTTAGTATCGCCGAGTCGGGGCAGCTGCCATATGGGTCCTCGTCCGCGGAACCGGTCACCAAGGACTCCTCCGGGGAGCCGCACGACGAGTTTTTTTCCAAACACGACCACGTAGGGGACCCGATCGACAGCCGGGCCACGGATAACACAACCATGTTCAACATATCACACAGAAAAAAACTGGCAGGTCATATTTGTAATGCAAAAATAAACTGACAAAACAATAACAATTTGTATTGCATATCCTAAGTAGCATGCTATGAGGCCGCCCATGACAGATTTTGCTGTGTATTTATTTTTGCATTACAAATATGCCCTGCCAGCATTTTGCTGTGGGATACAACATCCCCAAAGCCTACGTGCGGTCCGGGTCCCACAACCACGGCGGGGCTCCGAAGCTTCCCCACGAGCACCTGGACTACACCTCACCGGAGAGCGACGGCGGGGAACAAGATGGTAGTGCACCTTCGTCGGCACCGGTGTCGGGGGCGGTAGGGAGGAAGAAGAAGAAGAAGGTAGTCGGGGGTGGGGACACTACTACGCCAGGGGCGGCCGGTGCTGGTACCAAGAAGAAAAAGAAGAAGGCCGCTGCATTTGGGGCAAATACAACGAACGCATCAGACGACGGCCCGACGGATGACGCGGAAACGTCGAACCCTACCGGAGATGAGCACGACACGGCCTCCTCGCACAAACAAGAGGGTGGGAGAAAAAGCAAAAAACCGGGCGTGAAGAGGAAAAAACCGGCCGCGAAGGACGGCTCCCCCTCGGACACTGGTGCAGCACCCGCCAAGAAAAAGGCGGCGGGCTTGGGCGGTTTGAAGAAAAAGAGGAAGGCCGAGGGCGACGCGGTCGCAATAGTAGACACGACCGGGGCCGTCGTGGTGGGGAGGGAAGATAGTGAGGAGGATGTTGCTCTGGAGCAGCTCCTACCAATAGACTCGGGAGATGAAGTATCGTCGGAGCAGTTGTCCGAGGACGGGTCCTCGTCCATAGATGAAGATACCGATAGGAGTGCAGGCCAAAGAACTAGCAGCTCCGATCAAGGTGAGACAGATGAAGAGGACAGACCTTTCTTAAGAAAAAGGCCGTTAGCGCCGTAGTACTTTTCTTATCAGAAGCATACTGGAAGAACAGGAGTGGTCACTGTTTCTCTCATTGTGTCATAGGCCATGCTTTACTTACAGCACTGTGTGCGCAGCTCTTGAAATTGTTCTTGCCTTTAGATATTCAAGAAATATATGCCAGTACGAAATGGAAATCCCCAGAATCATGATAGCATTCAGTACCCCTAATTCGGAACAAGCATTTTGATTTGCCTATTAGACATTTTGATTTTTACACTTTACACGTGTCCATTTTGATTTTACGCACAACATCAAGCTCTGTACTTTTTTTCAAAATCCAATGCATATACATTCTGCACAAAATCGAGATTATTTGTTACAAAGAGACAAAGAATATTTGAACTTAAAGTTTACCAGGTTACAGGCAACGCAGTTGTTTTATTTTTGATACTTGTTTACATCATTAGCGCGACTTTTTTTTTCCAATTTTTTTTTTTCATTCATTTATGCTTTAGAAATTTTCTCTTTTTATTTTTTTAGGATCATTCATTACGTAGTTCGACATGTGTTACATCGTGGTCAATTTCCGTTCACATACGAAAAACGCGACCCAACGGGCGCGCCTATCCCATTAAAAATTAACATTAAGTAATTTCATTTCACAATTTACATACAATTAGCGTGACGTTTTCAACATTTCAGTCAAAGTGAAACCCGCTCCCGAAAAAGTGTTTTGATAAAAAGCCCCCCCCGATGGAAAAACAAGGCCCAGAAAGTAACCCTAAGGAATTTCGTCTCATCTCTACTTCGAGCAAACGGGAGGTTAGTCTGTCTCACTCAGGACCAGCTCCAGCGCAGCAAGATGCAGCGCAGCAAGATGCAGCGCAGCTGTGCCGTTCTCCCGAATATTTTCTATTCCGAATATAACCACTTTGAACTATTGGCCAACGATCGCAGAGTTGAGTAGAGAGAAACAGAAACAGAAAATTGAAAAAGAAAATACGAACTCAGTATTAAAGCGTTAAGGTAAGAAGCGCGCGAGGAGTGTGAACCTAGTACAAGAAGATTCCATATGCGCAACAGCCGGTGCAGGTCTGTACCTGATCAAAAGGGCGGAAGAAGTCGCAAACCGCATAAGAGGGTCGAAAAGCATGAAAATTTGAACGCACGACCATGAAGACTAAGTACATATGTGCAGTAAATGCCCGCCACGAGAAACTCAGAGCTTCGGTGGCTGTGTGGTGGTGAAATAGTAGTTATTCCATTTTTTTCCAAAAGCACAGCCACTAGTTACCAATCAAAATCATCGATCAACGTGATCATGTCTACGTCAACATCGTATACTGAGGCGCAGCCTCAGGAGGCGTGTCAGACCCATCGTCGTTTCATCTCAGCATCGGGTTGTTCATCAGCGTGGTTTGACAAAAACCCCTCCGCGGCGTCTAGTCACACATTTGCGCCTGGGACGGAACTACACCAGCTTCCACCTCCTAACAAGGGCGACCTTGAGCTCGGCGCCCTTTGTTCGGCGTTGAGCAAGGTTCTTGCGCGGCAGCTGGAAGTGCGGGCGGAGTTGCTACACGCCCAGCAGAGGCTTGCGGAGGAATCCCAGCGGCTGGAAGCCGTCGCGAAACGGGAGCACGCACGGCTCGAGGCAGCGAAAGCAGTTTACTTGCGGCAAGGCGGCTGACGCTGCGGTGGAAAGAGAGTCTGAGTTTAAATGTGGCAAGAGGAGTCTACCTGTATGTAATTTCAACAAAATGTTTCAACGCAAATGCGGGGACCGCTAGCAACATGCGCTTGTATCTTCGCCTAGTCTACTAGCACCGATATGGCGAGATCGAGAATGACGCGCTTCGATATGTGGCACCTCGCAGCTCCCCACAAGATCAAATGTTTCCGGTTTTTTATGTCAAATCAACCATCGAGGGAGGTTGGTTCTTGGCTATTGATTTTGTTCCTTTTGGAAAAGTCGTGAAAGTGAACCAAGTAGGAAGACTCACAGTTTCTGTTTCGAGCTGGAGCCAATAGGTGTCATCTCACCTGCAGCGAGCTGCGTGCCACCAGTTACAAGGATACAATGCCGGTCGAAGAAGTAGACCACAAGGACACGGTTTGTTGTTGTTCGGCTGTAGTTCGCCTAGCAAATAATGCGTTTCGTCTGTTCGCGACACCACCGGAATTTTCTCAGTTTGGAAAGTGCGTAGTATGTAGTTCATCAGAAGCAATTCGGCTGGAACTCGTGTTCGTGCGCGATCGTGTTGTTCAAGCTTAGTTGTGTTTTGTGGAAGGTCGGAGTTTTGCGGAGTCTTTTGTTCGACGTTAGTGAAAATGATTTCCGGACGAGGAGGTTTTGATCATTGAATACATATAGCGCCGCATTGACGATGAAGCCTCAGGTCGGCCGAGGACATCAGCATCACCACGTTATGGTGTGCTAGAAGAGCAACCAGAGCGACCTCTCAGAAACTGCCTCATCATGCCGGAGCTGTTGCTAAGTCGCCGGCCTCCGGAGGCAGCAGCTTTAGGTGCAGCTGCCGGCCCACTCAGCGGCCCGTTGCGCGTGCGCGGCGTGGTGGGTGCGGAGGCGATTGCAAACAAGGCGCGGGACCAGTTACAGCGATGAAAAACGCTTTCGCTTTCAAAATTTAAATTTTTTTGCAGCCCGTCTCTAGCATCCTGCCCAACTGACCGCATCTGCGTCATCCCGGTCAGCGACCCCACAAGCTGCTCCGGTTCCTCCAGCCTTGGAGTTGCTTTTTTTGCAAATGAAGTTTCTTGATGACGAATGGGAAGACGAAAGCACACAGCTAGCTTGTCGCGGTGATGGCTGGCGCAAGTTGCGTAGTGCTTGAGATGTTCCGTGAAGGATGTCTGAAGCAGGTAGACGCTAACCAGCGACACAAGCCTCCCAGCTTCGGCGCCCACCCTGGGCGCCATCCTATCCGCCACACCCTGCGAGGGAAGTCAATGGGGACGAGCCGCTATGGGAGATAGTTCCGCCTTGGAACAGCAAAGGTTAATGGTTGCCAATACTGATGGAAACAACGGGCGGTCTTCGAGTTGCCTCGAGCTGCCGCACTGTGTCCGCCCCACGTTGGGCGCTTGCAAGTTTCGTTCCAAAAAAAGGGAGAAGGGGCCGGGGTCCCTGTAAGAGCCTTGGAAAACATTGCGCGGCCAAACGCGTGGCCGTGGCGATGCTGGCGCGCGAGCCCACCAGGTACGAAGATAGACGCGACCGCGCGACGGCCCCCCAAACGGCTAAAGTGTTGGGCCAAGGTGGTTGGGCACGTAGCGGGCTTGTTTTCATTGGGCCCAGGCGCGGACACGTTGGGTCCGTAGCGATGACCATTTCGGAACCCCGGGAGCCCAGATGATTCTGGCTCCAGGTGTTCTCTTTGCCCTTCATTATACCCCCCCCCTTGAAAGCGTTTTTTTGGAGGCCAAAAATCGCGAAAGCGTTTTTTACAGGAACTAAAAAACGCTTTCACTTGATTTTTTTATAGCGCGTTAAGTCTTGCCAAAGCCCTTCCGAAGGGCAACACAAATGGCAACGCTTTTGGTCCTCCTGGTGATAGTCAAAGTCCGACAATGTCGACTCAGGTCATCGCAACACAGGGAAAATTCCTCCTCACAACAAAGACAGCGAACATCGTCAGAAAGCGGCGCCTCGGTGCGTAAATGGTGACCGAATGGCCTCCAAAAACCGGCGGGCTCCTGCTAGTGTGTCTGCATGGGCTGGCGGATATCCAAGAAAAAACACGAACCCGCAGGAGGCATCTATGGCGTCGCAAACTTGTCGCCCAATAGCATGACAACCCAGCGCCCTTTCGTGACAAATTTCATGGAAGCCCTGCGCGGCAATTTGCGCACCGCGCAGGAGGTCTTGGACTGTAGAGAAGACCTGCTGCGGATAGGAGTTTGCGGGGCAACTTCACTGACGTTCCAGTGGGAGCACCGACCTCGCCTCCGGATTTGGCCGACTACTTGCCGCGCCCCCCAGGGCGGTGCTCAGCATGCCGCTCACGGCGATGCGCAGCGCCGGGGCGCCCACCCCGGCAGCAAAGGACTATGCGGAAAAGCAGGCGCAATCGCGGTCGCATATTTGCGCCACCTATCACCGCGACAGGCTAAGTACATAACGAGAAGAAGAAACTGACGACATCAACACACTGAAGTGATTCAGGCAACAAAAAAAAGCTTCGCTGCTCACCTGCCCAATGCCTTCCACTTCAACGAGGCCACCAGCGGGGTCCTATCTGGGCCGACGCTTAAGGGGGGCAAAGAAAAATTTGATTTTTGAAAGCGAAAGCATTTTTCATCGTTGTACCAGTTCGGCGGGAGTCTGTGGCACAACCCCGTAGCCTTCGCCTGCCCAGGATATTACGCAGCAAGCGAGCGGTGGACAGCGCGTGGTCGCAGCTGTCAGGACGACCGCAGTCCCTCTTGTTGCGCGACCAGTACTAGACCGCGTTGTTCCCTACTGGAAGAAGGCTCGCCGAATAGATCCGGCGTTTCTACTCCGAGGAGGAGTGCTGGGAACAAGAATGGCCAAAGTGAAAACGCGGAAGAGGTGGAAGTCGTTGCTGGGGCGATTTCGGTCTGCTCTACTCCGCGAAACGAGCCACGTGACCGAGCAGCTACGGGCACGCCCGGGCGCGGCTCGACCTCTCGTTCAGGAGCTCAACAGGAGCCGAGGTGCAATACAACTTCTGGAGTGATGAAGAATGTGTGGAGCAAGGATATAGATCCAAGCGAGCTTCCACCAGCCGGCGTTGCAAGTCCCAGACATGTGAGTCCACGCAATAACCGAGCTAGTGTGCTGGCGGCTGCAGAATATCAAGCTGGAACCGTTGACCCTAATGTGGTTTCCTCGTCCTCCCTACGACAGGAAAAGACAACGAGCAACAACATCTGTGTGACGCCACGACAGAACAACATCTCGGAGCAGGACGGCCTCGGCAAGCGAGACCGACCTGAACAAAAAGGTCCGGATGAGGAAGTCGGATGGGCGGCAAGATCTTCGAGCAGAACGTCACCGGTTTGTTCATCGTCCTCCTCCCGTTCCCGAGTCGAGCACGTGCTCTCCACCTCCAGGGACAAGATGAGTCTGCAGTTTCTACTGAAAAACAACTGTACGACGTCGAGCCCCTCGTCAAGAAGACGACCTGCAAATGAAGATCTTCTGGTTCATCGGCCGCGGGACCGAACGTCCTCGGCGCGCTCCTTTGACGACGAAATATTCGTCCACGAGCATGATCTTACGGGAAGACAGTCGTTGTGTACTGGGACGACCACAAGAAGCCGGGCGCGCCGCTTTGTCGGAATTGGAGCTGCAAATCCTTCGACGAAAGGGTCCACCTCCCGACGTCAGCAACACCTCGCCGTTCCAACAGCCACGCGCTCTCCCCCCGCGCAGCATCTTCTGCGAACGCAGCACTTCGACGCGGCAGCGCGCGACGGCGAGACGTCGCAGCTCCCGGGCTACAAGCCGGCGCGGCCGCGGTCCGTGCCCCACTTGGGGCACTGTCCGTTGCAGGATGAGTCCCTTACCTGGCAAGAACATCAGCGGTCCGCGGAGCCTCCGCACGAGAATACGGAGGATCCACTAGAGGAGGGGATGGTGCGCCGCGAGCGTATTTTTCCCGCGGACGCCAACCCGCATTGTCGCCTCCGAGACCGCTCGGCCAACCACGTCATGCTCACAGAGCTGCAACAGTACATGGCAGCGAGGGATGGTGCTGAACTTGGAGTGGGCGATACGAACGTGTTGGGTGCCAATAATCCGAGCACCTTAGTTCTGGAAGACCGCTCGCCCGGAAAAGCGAGTAGTCGGACTTCTTCGCGCGCAACCTATGTGGGTGCGCTGCACGAAGAACACGCAAAGGCCGGTGCTCTCCGTCGAGTCGAGAAGCAAGGTAAAAAGTTGGGCGTCATCAATGCAATGCGAACAGCTCCTGCTGCTGAACTGGAGCTGGACGAATTTGCAACACCTCCTTCTGTGTGGCTCTCTTGATGGCACAAATTCGTCATGACCACAGACCACTGAATCAATAGGACGAAGCTACTTCTCCTTCAAGTTTGGAATTGGATAAAGTTCAAGTTTTTGCACGCATGTTTGCTTTATCACTATCAGGTTCTAGCGCTGGCATACTCGAGGTTGGACAGCAGGATTCTGTCGAGAATGGAATTACGACCACGGGTGAGAGCGACGATGCGGATGCGAAGTCCGAAAAGCCAAAAGCCAGAAATTGGGTGCCTCCCGGTACTCCATTTTTTTGAGATAGGTGTACGTGTTGTAGCATAAACCTAAGGGAGTGTTCGTGTATACAACCCGGAGGTCGTCGACTTGTGAAGGTCATCATGTTGTCTTGCGCTTCTGTGCCGATAATTTTCGAGTCTCGCTTTACCCTTTGTCACAGGCAAGCGAATTTCTTCCTTCGCGAAGCATTTGAGGGCACGCACAGCACTGGAGCTGAAGGAAAGCAAACAGTTGATGCCGATTTCGGAACATCAGCACACCAAACTCCAGCCCGCGGCCTCGTCTGCTCGGCGATCCCCAACTACTAGGTCCCCTGTCACCGCCTCTGTGCTGCGAAAACCAATTCTCGCGTCTTCCCCGCTGCGTTCGAGCGGAAGAAGTAGAGTAAGCGAAGAGCACCAGCTTTTGGACGTGGTTCTCGAATCGGCTCCCGCGAGGCAGCCGTCCAGCTATGGAACCCTCCTGGACTTACCCCAGCGGCACTCGCACAGGTAAGTATCTACTCGGCGTAAGGTAGACCAACAGCGAAACTATCTCTCTGTGTCTCTCTCTCAAAGTCATTTTGTACAAGCACTTTGCTCATTCGTAGTTTGTGCAAGTACTCGTGCCCTGCGTGAATAGTGCGGTGAACAATGAGGAGCATCTTGTTCTTTCGAAGCACTAGCACGAGCAAATTCGAGTCATTTTAGCTGCGGTCTCAATCAGACGTTTTTTCGCATTACAACAGTTCCGTGCAGCTGAACGCCAGCCGCGACTTGACTCAGAATGAAAGTTCTGGCCGCTCGCCCGCTTCCTCAGCTCGCGCGTCCTCCGCAGCAAATGCGAATGAAAAGAATTCGGTCCTTTCCGCAGGAAACATGAAGAAAACGAACACTACAATTACGGGCCATCGGGGCGGCACTGGTAGTGTGACCACAAGCAGCACCAGCCGTCATAAAGCAGCAAGCTCCTCGTACATCCTTAACAGCTTGGCGGAAATGCGCGCGGCCAAAGCCTCGTCGCGATTAACGCGGAACAGCGCTGCGGCGGCCGTGTCTACTTCTGGGGATACTCTGCAACCTCCTTCAGCGAGGGGTGCACGACCCACCGCTGCATCCGAGACTAAGAGGAGCGTAACATCATCATCAGCCCGTGCCGTAGCAGCGGAAGAAGTGGCGGTCAGCACGAACATTAGAGCCTCGCCCACCTCCATCTCGCAAGCTTTGCGCACCCCCACGTCCACCTCCTCTGCGCAGGTGCTGAGTAATCTCTGGCGGTGTCCCTCGGTTGGTCAGCAGAGCGGGGGAGTGCGACGGGTGCCGTCGGCTAGAACCCCCAGGACAGTCGAGCGCGGCCCATCGACACGAAACACGTAAGACGATTAAAAAGCTGAATGGGCAGCTCCACCTGCTTTGAGTTTACTGCTTCTTGCATCAGTGCTGTGCGGAAATTAAAACAGTCTCATGCAATAAACTACAAGAAAAAAAAAACAGCCCGCGTCGAGTGAACTCGGCACTCGCATCCGCCAAAGCTAGTTTCAGTGCCAGTTAAGTGGTGGAAAGGCTCACGAACACGACCTGCTGACAGCCGGAGTCGGAAGTGCAAGGAGCTCTCCACGACTTTCATTCGTGAAAATTGCCGAGCGACAGCGAGGACGATGAAGCGCGCCGGCCGGCCTTATTGCCAGTTGAATATCAGACGACTATATATCATCCAAAGAAATCATACCTTCAACAGCGCACCATCGTGACCGAAGATGTGTTGACCTACTTTGAGAATACTGTACTTTTACCGAATATTTTTTCTTGTTGGACTTCCGGCACCAGCGAAGACCTTCTATGGTACTATCACTACGCGCCAGATCTTCCGACACCAAAATGCACCGAGCGCTTACAAATACAACGGTTGTCACAATCATGAACCACAACTACCAGCATACTACAACTTGAATACTTTGTTCTCCTTCGCAGATGTCGACACGCCATTCTCATAATGCTTTTTTTGACGCCAGCACTCGTCGACCTTCCTCTCCTCGACCACAGAAGTGAAATTTTGATTTTGTCTACGTTGAACTTTTCGCAAAGAGAGTTGTTTTTGGCACTCGGGAAAGGGCGGCCACGCATGAAAAAAAAATGAACACTTAGCGACTAGTATGAGATTGTGCAGTTGCTGCAGCTCGACCTCATGGAAGCGCAAGATGAAGATCGCAGCAAGCAGCGAGCCATCAAATAAACACAACTCTACCTGCCGATGGGTTTGCCCTCGAAGAAGCAACCTGAGCGTTAAACCCTCTCTATCAGTAGCAAGCCACGTAAGACGCAATCTTAGTGCACGGAGTGAGGATCTCTGCTGCAAGACAGGGACGTCGCCTTTTGGAGCCTCACTTCGGCGACGCCTTGCGTCTTGTGCTTTCCCAAGAGTTCTTCTTACTTTTGGTTTTGGGGATGCGATCCTGTTCAACAGATGTATAGCGACATGGATACCCGTCAGCGTCACTGATTCCGACCACTCAGAAGTTGAACTACGTCTACGTTAGCGCAGCGATAGGGCGTAAAGGCTAAAAATACCGATCCATTGGCTTATTTCCTGAAATTTTTGACGGGATATACCATTTCGCAGTTGTTCCAACGTTCGGAAGCGAGGGTAGAAGTAGCGGAGAAATAACTTTAAACGCGAAGGAGCAGGTCTGGCTTTCTTGCTAAAATGGAATACAAAGAATCGTCCGTGTCGTTGCCTCCTCGGGATCGGGATTCTCATCGTTTAACAAAGTCAACAAAGTAGATTTCGACATCATCTTCAAGTTTTTCTCACCTTGGCAGTGCCCTCCTTGTCCTTCAGGTTTAGCCTATCGGCCCAACACTGCTAATGCATGAGTTCATTCGCTAGCGCTCGGGATAACAAACGTCGCAGTCTTTTTCTAGGTGATCGAGATCGTGGAACAAGATTCAAATCCTCGACATCGACGACGAGCAAATTTGTCAGCATCAGCACACCAAAGTAAGTATACTCGAAGAAGAAACGAGTCTCGCGCAAATAGTCGTCCACATTACCATGGTTGTCCAAACCTGTAACAATTGCGGTGGCCGGGGGCACATCGCCAAGGACTGCCCATCCGAAAAAACGTGCGACTGCTGCGGGCAGCCGGGCCACCTGCGCGCCGACTGCGACAAACGGGACAAAATTTGTGACTTGTGCGGGAAGCGGGGGCATCTGAAAATCAAGTGCCGACAGCCGCAGGCAAACAGCTACAACAAGAACCGGGGAAGGGCAGATAGGAGTCGGTCAAGGGAAAGACGATACAATCGCGGTGTCAAACCTAAATCCCATGAGTGGTTTGATTGCTTTTTATAAAAAGACTCGTAGAAAATTCCAGAGGCGTCGGTGACGCGGCGTCCGTCACAGTGACCGCTCGCCGTCGCCTCACACTCGCCCTAAGAAAATGCGAATACTTAAAAAATCTCCGAGCAACTCAACTTCTGATGATACTCGTGGCGCAGCAGGGAAGTCCAATTCCAAGAAAAAGATCTTTTCAAAAACAGGCGACGACGATGAGTGTTATCCAGTACGCGGGTCTTCTTCGCAGGCGTGCAGGAACTGCGGGAAATTCGGCCATGACGGTGCGCAGTGCCGGGACCGCAAGGAGTGCTACCGTTGCGGGGACTGGAACCATGTGGCGCACGAGTGTCCCGCAAAGGATAAGAGCTGCGACACCTGCGGAAAGCGAGGGCATCTGAAAATCAAATGTGATCAGCGAAGATAAACAACGATGAAATCATGTTGAGGACTTTTTGCAGACAAAATCAAAGCTGATACAACAACTACGTGAAGAACGTCGGATACGTTGAGACAAAAAGGGGAAGCATATAACTTTTTCAAATGAAATCTCGCAACGACGGCCGCATGATAGTAATCGATCGCAAGAAAAAATGCTGCCGGATGAATCGATGTCAAAGACGTGGCGGCTCATTCTTCGTCGACCTCTGAAAAGACGCGATGTATTCAGATCCTCTTCCTTACTTGACTTGATGTTTACTTTTCGTGGTAGTTGAAGTTCCCGTGGTGCAGGTGTCGTCTCTACTCGTCAAGCTACAGAACAACGTTTCGCTTTCGTTACTCGATCATACATCCTGCAGGTGCTTCTTTGGTGGAGGGCTTGATGACAGAGGTTCTCGCTGCTCTGCTCGAACAATTTCCGAATCGTGTAAAAAGCCTTTTTGGTGGTCGAACCGAACCTGTTTCTTACATCGTTCACGAGCGACTGAGAGGTGCTCCTGGGGGAAAATCGCAATATAGTTCAATTCGAAGCGAAAGCACACGACGCAGGGTTTAGTTGAGGACTAGATACTAGACATGCTTCATCACTTCATCTGCTGGATGTGGATCGTGGGTCGCTGTTTGAGTTTCTGATGTTTTTGGAAAACGTGATCCACAATTCTACTTCCAGCTCAGCCAACATAATAGACGATTGAGACTATCGCGTTAGCCGCGATTCGCCGCCCCTAAAGCGGCACCGCGAATGACCTGGCCTGGTCTGAAAGTTTTACTGGGGGCCTCAACACAGGGTCAGAAAGCGGCGAGCAAATCGATGCTACGATGACCCGCAATTTCAAAATGAAGGAAGACCGTCGTCGTGCCTTTACTTGAGGCGTCGTGGTTGCCTGGGGCGACGCGAGGCTGCCATTGACGGCGTGTGTCTTTGCGGCAAACAACTCAACTTCAGCTACTTCAGCAGAAAACAAGACCGGTGCGGCGTCATCTCAAGGTGATCATCCTCCAACACCTGCATCAGCGTCTTCCCTTGCTGGCGTTGTAGCAAAGAAGACCAAACAGAAGGAGTTGTAGAAACTGAAACACCGCCCTTGCCACATCCACAGTGATCATGTCGGCAACCCCGGGGGGCAACACGACGGCGGGCAACAGCCCGGGCACGACCGCCCGGGATGTGGAGACCACGGCCCAGAATTCGCCCACGGAGAGCGAAGAGGCCGACTTCAAAGAGGTCGACGGGCGGGAGCAATACTACGTGAAGAAAGAAGCGGAGTTCAACGCGGTGGCCGACTTGCTCCGGCCCGTGCAAAAGGGTTTCCGCGACAACATGTCCTCCATGCACAACTCCAGCAACAGCTCCTACGCGGTGAAAACGACGGTGGGGGTTGCGCAGCCGAAGTTGGAAATCAAATTTGACTATCAAGTGCATAAGTGTCTGGGTCTGGAAGGTGGTAACTTGTGATGCTGTCTTTGGATTCCAAAAAAATCTGTATTGCATGACTAGCAAAAGGAGTCCAGTTTGTGCTACAAGGGGAGGGCATTTCTCATGCGGAATAAGCATCAGGAAGCCTTTTGAAAATCTGGGATGCTAGGGCATGCATTACAGTCGTCATTGGTCATGCAAAATATGCATGACAAACCTGGCAATCTTCCAGACCCAGACACATTTGCATTTGATATTGACAAATTCGACAAGGCGGCGCTCTTTTTGAACGAACAGCCGAAACGATATGACAGCCTCAGGTTGGAAATCCTCAAAGTGGAAATGCTTTGTAATGTAAAAAAACGACTCCAGTTGAAGCGACATTTGTAGTCGGCGCATGACAAATTTCCCGGTCACGTACAGCATGTTTGTCATGCAGGTTATGGCAAGGGGGTTCCCTTCTGTCGTGCTAAGCCGCACTCCAATTCTTCACCCCTAGCAGGACAATGGTCGGCCTCCATTGCGTCCTCTGCAATACAGTCTTTTTTGCGTCGCATTTCATGCATCACAAATCATTTCCTTTTCCACTTTGAGGATTTCCATTCTGAGGCTTTCATAAACGAGTGCTCGCCGGCGGGGAAAACATGCGACTGGAGATCAAGAAGTTAAAGTTCGAAATCGTCGGCTTGAACGACGACATCCGGGAGCTGGAGAAGGAGAGAAACGGCCTCCAGGACGAAAATGCCTACTTGAAGCAGGAACTCACAGCGCAGGTTTGTTTTTCAGAAATTGTTTCGAAACATATGTTTTGGATTTTGAATTGGAACAGATGAATTGGTACTGTTTTCTGGTCCTCTGCATGATCATGTTTTTGGTAGAACCGCAAGAAAAGCTTGAACAAATAAATGTCCATGAACAAATAATGGCTCAAACAGAAACTTCGTGCCGAAGCCGAGCAGGAGCGCATAAGAGCCACCATGGAGCGCGCCTTCTACCTTGCATATGAAATGGCGAAACGGAGGCGAGTTGCTGCTTGACCCCGATGGTGACTTTATTTTACGAAGGGCATGCAATAGTTTCAATTCGTAACGACCTCCTCCTCAGGTGCAGATGCAGTTCAGATTCTGACGAAAAGGAAAATAAAGCTGTCGTGGCTGTCGCAGACTCGGACTAGCAAGCAGCTGCACAATCTGCATCTGCTTTTTGCCTGTTGAGTGACGATGATAAGTTGTCCTCTAAGAAGGAGGTCTTCATGGTTCATCTCTCTGAATCTATCGATCAACATGTTCTATAGCACAACTCCTACTTCGTTTCCTCTTTTCCATACGCTTGAGTACTGTGCGGAGAACAAGGCCAACCAGGAGTGTGTGCAAGAGTTTTGGGGCATTTGGCGGAACCAGTACCAGCAGGACAAGGTGGCGGAACTGTTGTTCCAGATCAAGAACCAGGCGGTGACGATTGATAAGTTGCGGAAGAACAAGCGAATCAAAACGAAAGCGTCCTTGGAGACCATGAAGCAGATTCAGAACCGGGTTTTGAAGGAAAAAATGTTCCAGGCACTGAAGGACTACTGCAACAACCAGCTGGCCGACAAGCACGTGGAGTACCTCGGGAACAAACTGCGGCAGAAACAGGAGAAAATCGACGAACAGAAAAAGGAAATCAAACAGCTCAAGGACGTACTTCTACTTTTTTCTTCGCTTGATGTTGTGTTTGTCCTTGCCGGTTCCTGAAAATTAGAATTACGTAATTTTTGTAAGTTTGTTTTGTTTACAACTGGGCTTCCTTCTATCTGGTGCTTCCGACGGTCGTCCAACATACGGCAGATATCAAGAATTGTGAGTGTGATAGTTTGAGTTCCACATTCTTTCACTTCAAGAAAAAGACGAGATCATATCAAGAAATAATTACATACCATGATTTCAGATGGTGGCGGTCCTGGAAGCGGCCCAGGCGGACAACATGGAGCTCCTGAAGCTGCAGGAGCAGCTGAAGGCGGAGATTGCCAATATCAAATGCAAAAGTGTCCGGGTCTGGAAAAATGCAAGTTTGTCATGCTTGTCTGGCATGACTCGAGAATCTGTGTTGCATAGGCACGACGAAAAAGCCCTCTTACCTGTCATGCGAAAAGGCAGCTTGCCATGCGGAAGCGGAATACGTAAGACATGGATGGCAGCCACAAAGTTTGTCATGCGCACCTGCGTATTGCAGTGCGTCTATCATTCACTTTCAGCATTACAACTTTCCAGACCCAGACATATTTGCAATCCATAGCCAAGTTGAACGTGCAAATCGAGGAAATGAACGCCGACTACGAGGAGCTCGCCGCCTATGGAAGCGTCAGGTTTGAAATCGTCAAAGTTGAAATAGTCTGTAATGCATAAAATGCATGACCCGAGGCACGTGCGTTGCAGAGCAGGCAAGTGAGGCCGATTGTAAGCCTGTTTGGGGTTACAGCTCGAGCTGCTAAAGTAGCATGAGAAAATCGCTCTTCTTTGCCTAAATAGCATGACAAACTGGATTTAGGGACCGCCGAAATTTGTCATGCGCCACTTGGAAACTGGGTTCCATCTGGCATCCATTTTATGCATGACAAATTATTTCAACTTTGTCGATTTCAACTCTGACACATCCATACCGCCGAGGCCCGGGCCATCCGGGCGGAGTTCGATGCGTACCGCAAGGAAATCGAGCGCGAAAAGGCCGACACCACGGACTACAAGGGCTTGTCGCAGCGGTTCGCGAAATTGTTTCAGCGCGAGCAGCAGGAGAGGATCAAGTTTCAGACCAAGTTGCACATCCTCGCGACGCCCGAAGAGATGCAGAAACTGATCAAACAGGACGAGTACGAGGCCATTGTGGCGCGGTTAGAGGAGTACGACAAAATGTTCGAATACCTCCGGGCGGAAATGGCCAACGCGGAAAACTACCGAACGCAGATACACGAATTGAAACTTGTATTTGAAATTTTTTTTGGTGATCATGTTTTTCAAGTTTTGGTTTGTCCTAAAAATGTTTGAAGTTGTTGTGCGAAGAGGGGGATTTCTGTAACTTCTGTCGGAGGTGAACAAATGTTCACCTCAAATCCGATTTGCACCTTGCAACTCGCATTCATTGTCCAGCGTTGCATGAAAATTGCGCTTTTTCTCAACCAATTACAGATCCTGAAGGACGCCAACAAGCAGATGAGCAAGATGGCCGACATCAAGAAGAAGAACCACATGCTCGAAGAGGCAATTGGCATCAAGCAGGACGAGGGCACCAAGGGTTTTGTGGATCGGTGGATCAAGGCGAGCGAAGAGGTGAACAAGTCCCGGCTGGAATGCCGCCGCATGTTCGAGGAGATCGAATCCGTCCGGCGCCAGCGCGAGATTTTCAAGTTGAACTACCAGACCGAGGTGGCTTCGCACGTGGCGACGTGCTACCGCGCGCTGCGGCTGACCGCAACGGTGGACGAAAAGGACGTCTTGGCGGCCTTGTCCCTGGCCAGCCAAGGCGACATCGACGCACTGCAGGACGAGGTCGCGCAGGAGGGTGAGGAGCAGAAGCAGGAGCGGACGGCGACGGTGTTGGAGCGGCAAAGGAAAGAGTTGGAGTCGTGGTTGGTGGATTACGTGCACGAGGAAGAGGAGTTTTTAAAGGAGAGGAAGGAACGAAACAAGGAGTTGAAAGACCTTCGCGACAAGATCGACGAGCGGAGTCGCACGCCCGCCATGTACCAGGTGCAACACGACACGGGCGAAGTGTTGCGCATCCGCGGCGACGGCAGCTTGGCGATGCCGGCGGAGAAAAACCGCACCAGCACGAGGATACCACCCGGCGTCGTCCCGCCTGCCAGCTCAACGTCGAAAGCGCCCTTCGACCCCCACGGTATGGTGTACCGCGGCAGCAACCGACAACTCAATCCGAAGAACCTCAAGGGCACCGGGCTGCAGCCGAATCGCTCCTCACCATCACGGAGCAAGCCGTCCACGCGCGCTGGTGTTATGCAATGCAAAACAAGTATTGATGCACTCGTAGTCATTGCAGAAGATGCAGTGATGCATGGCAAATTTCCTATCATAGGTAAATCAGCATTGCAAATTCTATGTTTCTTCTTGGCAATATCTAGCATGCTATCTCTACTAGTGCGATGCTTTTGCGATGCATAGGTGCGTCGAATCAACAGAGTTTCAACATCTCCTCGGGTTTCGACCACAAGAAAGGATTGCTGATTACGCCCGACGGCCGGACCGGCACTACGGATCCGCCAGGGCGGCACAGTTATCAACATCAAATGCAATCCGGGGGAAGCTCCTCGAGCACCGCACCCTTCCGCGGCCAGGGGCTGCAACAGCAGCAGAACAACAACTCCAGTGCGGCTGCGACCCTGCAGGCACCAAAAAAGATGGGACTACGGTCGACGACGGGCTTTACGAAGGTGAAGGAACAGCGGAAACGCAGCTATCTGGTGAACGACGACGAAGACGTTTACATCCCAGACCTCGACAACAAGGCCGGTGGAGGTGCGAAATCCTTCGGCACTCCTAGTTCGCCAACGAACAAACCGAAAAGCAGGCAGGCTGACAGGGACAGAGTACCTATCGTGTTTTCATCTAGCACTAGATGCATATGCATTTTTTCTTTTCGAAGATTAGAATGCCGCTCACATGGAAATTTTGATATGGTCGTTTTTTGGGTTGTGATGATCTGTACTACACATAATTCATCAATTTTTTCATCAGTACTCCTCCGCTGTGTACTACGAGTCGTACGAGCAGGACCCGCCCGATTCGCTGTACGTGGAAGAAAACCGCGTGCCCAACCGGCTCCGCGTCCAGGAGCTGGGTGGCGGCGGGGTCAACGGCCAGCCCATCCACATGGACGGGTCCTTCGAGCGGCGCGACGTGCTGGCCATGCGCGACTTCCACCAGCACAGTTCGTCGCCGCCGCCGGCCACGCACGGTGTCGTCCGTCGTTATGGGGCTCTCAAACGTTACATTCTCAACTGTTACATGATTTGTCATGCAAAATGACCACGAGCCGCAAGACGATCCAGCTGCTTCGCATGACAAATGATCGAAGGGCTAAACAGCATCTAAATCCGTGCTAAATTTCTGATGCAAGACTTGCAAGCTTTCCCCTTTCCCTATTGCTGTTTTTGCATGACAAATTCATGTAACAGTTGAGAATGTAACAGTTGAGAGCACCATAGTCGTGACGACTGGGATGTCAACCACGACCTGCGAGAACTGTCCGCAATTCAAGAAGAGGACCGGGTGCGAGAGGCGATGATCCGCGCCGACAAGTTGCAAAACCTGTCGCGCACCTACGGTCGAAGTTCTCCCGGCGCCAGGAAAGGTTCGAAATCAAGGTCAGGTTCCCCGTACCGCGACCGAACGGCGCAGCAAAATTCCCGGTTTTCCACGGTGCGCCATTCCGGGGTGTTTGCCGATGAGAATCCCATAGCGGAAGCGCAGGGCTTGGGAATTGTGGAGCAGATGGTGCTGGAGCGGGCACCCCCCGGGGCGCTGCCAAAGGATATCAGGTACCAACCATGTTTGTACAAAAAGAAAGTAAAATATTAGCATTGAAGAATGTATGGTACACAACAATAGTGATGCAGTTCTGTCTACTTCTGTTGCTATATCTGAGTCATGTTTTCTATTTCTTCACCAACCTCCGCATGATCAACACAGGAACACCCTGACGGAGCTGCAGCAGCAGTATCCTGCGATAAGAGAAGCCGGTGGGTTGCTTGGCGGCGGCAAAGGTAAATCACCCTCGGCATCGCCGGGCCGCGCCGCTGGCCGAAAACCGAAAAAGCAGCCCGACATCAGCAGCGATGAGGTACTGCTGTCGCTGTGGCAACTCGAGTTAGAAACCTGTCTTTTTTTCACCGACTTGAGGAATAAAATCCGTGAGATCATGTAGCATAAAAACCGTGTTCAAAATAAACAAAACAAAACCAACCAACAGGGCGGCGACCCCATCTACGCCCGGAGGGTCCGTGGCCTGCCACGTATCGGGAATTTGGACTCGGAGGGCTACCCCGTGGAGGAGTCGTTGCCAAAGCCGCTTTCGCAGGAGACGATGAACCCCTACAAGGAGGACGATGAGGACCGGCAGAACGCGCTGTCCCAGGACGTGATGGAGGAACATTTTAAAGATGTCATGGACCGTATCGGCGAGGAGCGCCGCGTCGTCAAAAGCCGCGAGCGGAAAAACGAGCAATTGTTCGGAAATCTCGACAAAAAGTACGAGGAAAACGCGGTGCTGCGAAAACACTACGCCGGGGTGAAATGGAGACCATAAGGTGCATAGTGTCCGTGGATAGAAGCGGGTAAAGCAGGAATAACTTGTAGTGAAAATGAACGAATCTCAACTGTCAAAGAACTGTCTCTCGATCATCGATCATCTCATTGCAAAGAAATGTAAAACGATAAGGTTTTAGCGTCTTCTGTTGAAGATCGAAATCAATCATCTTTTTGTTTTTCGTATATTCACGTGTCTGACGTGTCAAAAAATGGAGGTAGAGGGAGAAGTAGTCCAACGAGAAGTCAGTCTGAACGTCAACTTTTGTACAATTATTATCAAGGCTTTTCGTTTGTACCTCCTTGACACAAAGCAGGTATAGAGCTTCGAAATTGAATTGATGTCTGATACGCTTTCACAGCCAGATTCTGACTGTTGATACTAACTCGTTAAGTTGCTTACAGCGAAAGGAGAGGAAGCCGACGAATAAGTATGGCGGAGGCAGAGTCGGGGAAATACTAGAGGAGGAGTTGTATGATCATTCAATCGAAACAATGAACAAAATTGAGTTGTATAAAGAAACAAGTCCCCTGCTCCTCCTGTCGCTCCCTCCTGCAGGACGATAAATGCCTGGCCGCGGCTTTATTTTTTCGCACGCTACAAGCCCAACGTAGAGCAATTTCCTTGCCGTACATGCATCAACGTCAATGTCTTAAAGGAATCCCAATCAAATTCTCGAAAGCGGGTGCTTCGCTACTGCTCGCTGCGCTTTGTGGTTAGTGTTCAGTTTCTTCATCTTAATAAAGAGATGGCAAGCGAGAAAATTTTTCTTTTTCTCAACAAAGTAGTGCACCCCATATTACGCAGAGCGAATAGGGGACGAGTGACGACTTTTATGTCTACAAGGAGCAGCACCAAGAATTGTCAGAGAAATTGAAGGATTCGGTTCGCACTCATGAAGCATGTCTGAGAGAAGAAGATGCATTTAGCCACAGAGATTTTTAGCAAGAAGTGTTGTATGAAGTTGATGCAGGATCTATCACCTCATTGAACTGCATGTGGTCACGATTTCTCTCTGCTGTCCAATTGTTTCAAGTAAAAGTACGTGAAATCTATCCACCGTGTTGATCACACCGCTATTAATTTGTCTTCTGTTGTAAGATAACCTTAATCTAAACCTTCGAGTTATACGAAAGAAAAATTCGCTGTATAATAATTGGCAGGGCGCGTTGTGCTCTAGACAAAGACATTTAAATCCAGTAGAGTTTGCCTCTCAAGACCATTGGTTCAACTTTCTTGAGACGCTACAAGAAACTCTGCATCGCGTCGTCCCATCGCTGCTCCGTCTTCACCTGCGTCCAACCACCTGCTCTACTTTCGTCCATGCTTGGGCCAACTGCCTACAACATGACGACCGTTTCCACAAGCGCAGAGGAGCATATGCCAGAGCAACATCATGCGGAGACCGCGCTGTTCCCGAGCCAGCAGGTCTTCATCGATACCGAAGACAAGTATGGCGCGCACAACTACCACCCCCTTCCGGTGGTGCTGGAGCGGGGGGAGCGCTGCTTTTTGTACGATACCGACGGCAAGTATCCAGGAAAAAACACCCATCCCCATCCATTTTGTGCATGACAAATACGGGACTTTATGCATGTTTTGCATCACAAATTGGATGGGGATGGGTGTTTTTTCCTGGATAGCAAGAAATACTTCGACTTTCTCGCGGCCTATTCCGCGGTCAACCAAGGGCACTGCCACCCGAAGATTGTGAAGACCATGCAGCAGCAGTGCTCGAAACTGACCCTCACATCAAGAGCCTTTCACAACAACGTATAAGCTTCTATACTCTTTCCCTTTCACGTAAAAATATGCGTGTGTCTGGTGATTCCAGGCAGAAGCGTGCATGTGTGCTGTGAGCTTGTACGAAGCAGGCAAAAATTATGATCTTGATCCACGTTCTTGTTCACTTATACAGGTGTACGCCGGCTACACGAAGTTTATCACGGACTTTTTCGGGTACGACCGTGTGTTACCCATGAATACCGGCGTCGAGGGCACGGAAACTGCCATCAAGTTGATGCGAAAGTGGGCCTACACAAAACGAGGCACACCAGAGGGCGAGGCCAAAATCGTCTTTGCGCACAACAATTTTTGGGGACGATCAGTGTGTGCCATTTCCACTAGCACCGACCCGGATTGCTACAAAGGGTACAGAACTTTTGTGCAGATGAAAGAGATCTTACTTCTACTTTTCTGTTTTATTTGTTTTTGTGTGTGCTCCACCTCGAGCTTGTCAGATCATCAAGGTGAGTTCGACATTCTTGCTATGCCCACAAAAGCGGCTATGAGCATGAATCTGTTGCCATTGGCTTTTCAGGTTTGGTCCCTATGCACCGGGGTTTATCCTCCTTCCCTACAACGACATAGCCGCGCTTGAGAAGGCGTTTGAAACGGAGCCAAATCTCGTCGGCGTGTGCTACGAGCCAATACAGGGCGAGGCAGGGATTATTGTTCCGGATGAAGACTTTTTTCTCAAGGTAAGTAGTGCTAGTTTTGGTATCAGTATAATGTATGATGACCTGAGGCATTTTTTGATGTGGAACTTTATCCGGTTTCGGTTTCGAAAAGAACGAAGAGAGACTGCAACGCTACGTATGTTACGTCCACAACGCTCGAAGAAGCCAAACCCAGGTTTCCGCCCTGTGCAAGAAGTACAATGCATTGCTGTGCTGTGACGAGATCCAAACGGGGCTGTGCCGGACGGGAAAGATGCTGTGTTCGCAGCACTTCGGCGTCCGGCCCGACATACTCGTGCTGGGGAAGGTATGGATGTGTCAGAGTTGAAATCGACAAAGTTGAAATAATTTGTCATGCATAAAATGGATGCCAGTCGGAACCCAGTTTCCAAGTGGCGCATGACAAATTTCGGTGGTCCCTAAATCCAGTTTGTCATGCTGTTTAGGCAAAGAGGAGTGATTTTCTCATGCTACTTTAGCAGCTCGAGCTGTAACCCCAAACAGGCTTACAATCGGCCTCACTTGCCTGCTCTGCAACACACGTGCCTCCGGTCATGCATTTTATGCATTACAAATTATTTCAACTTTGACGATTTCAAACCTGACGCTTCCATAGAAGGCTCTCTCCGGGGGGATGTACCCAGTTTCCGCCGTCTTGTGCGACGACGATGTCATGCTCAACATACGGCCGGGCCAGCACGGGTCCACCTACGGCGGCAACCCGCTCGGGTCGGCGGTCGCGCAAGCGGCTCTGGAGGTCTTACGGGACGAAAAAATGGCGGAAAACGCCGAGGAACTCGGACAGATCTTTCGGAAGGAACTGAAAGCGATAAAGTACAACTACCGGTTTTTTTTGGTGCAGTAAGCATTTGAGTATTCATTGTGTATTGATGATGGTTGTAAGTGGTTTAATATTTAGTGGCGGGGTTATTCTTATTTCTTCTTGAGCTTTATTTCAAGCGGCCAAAATAATGTGGTTCTAGTCGACGTGGACGTAGTAGAGCCTGTTTCTGTTTCCAACAAATCAAGAGCAAATGAAAATTTATCAGGTACGCTTGGATAAAGGATGTCCGGGGGAAAGGGCTGCTCAACGCTGTCGAGGTCGATCCTGCATTTGCTGCCAAGGTAACCGCGTGGCAGGTGTGCGTCCGCCTGGCCCAGAATGGGCTGCTTGCCAAGCCAACGCACGAAAACATCATCCGATTTGCGCCGCCGTTGTGCATCACGAAGCAGGAAATCATGGACGCGCTCGCTGTGATAAAGGGCACACTGGAGGAATTTAATGAGAAAGTGGCGAAGTTGTAGTAAAGCCACGGTCGTGCTGTGCGTCGAGACACCGGAATGCAACCGAATCATGATGTGTAGTATGAGGACAGAATTAATGAACGCAAGCGCAAGTAGCAATATTTGATGATTGTAATCTGCACAAATCCACCTAGTAACGCAAACCTAGACTGCGAAACCGCCCCGGACCCAGAGTATGTCATTTCGTTTTCCTAAGCAGGCGAGGTCCTACCCCTCTATGGTGGTAAGGCGTGTTGATGTAGAAGTGGCGAAAAAATGAACACCTTTATTTTTTGTCCTTGCAACTTGCTAGAGCTGGTCCTGGTTCCGCTCAAACTCATTGTGCTTTCACTCTGCAACTCCAAGCTCGTGCTTTCTGAAGTTTGATTTGTACAGAAAGATAACCTTTTACTAGCCCTGGTTGTTAATTTATTACGGCGGACTCGTCGTCCTGCCCTACTTTTGCGTGTGAACCCGGCCTACCAGCTGCACCAGATACAACTGTGAATGCCCAACAGAAAGAACTTTTGAAGCCGGAAAGAGCGAAATGTTGTAGCAGGAGGGGTCGCGAAACCTTCGAACCCCTCATGTGAGTGTACAAAAACAAAAAGATCCTTTCTACCTCCACCTTGCAGAAGAAAAAACTAGGAATAAAAGCAACCTGGTGTTGTAGTTGCAGACACGGGCACTGGCCGCGGCAGCTTTTCATCTGTGCGGCTGTGGAAAAAAAATCTTCACTCGGCCACGTAGCAGATTTCTGACTCGCTTCTCTGAAGCTGCGCAAGCACTGCCGGCGTAAAACGCAGCGCAGAACTTCATACGAAAGATCCCCTTGCACTTGCTACTTTCAGCAGCGTGATTCTTCCAGAAGTGTCCTCCCAGCAGGAAGATGATCTCGAATAGAAGGAAGCAAAAGGCACTTTTCCATTCTTAATTTTTATCTTCCGATCATGTAGTTGGCCTTGGCCTTACTTACCGTTGCGTCGAGGTAAACTTCTAACTAAGCAAGATCACCTCTGACTGAACCTTGATGTTGCTATCGTTCCTCCTGTGGCTTGAGCTCATTCATGATGTTATTGCACGGCAACGGCTTTCCACCTACTTTTCGTTCTTGCTGGCGCCGCCAGTACTGGTAAAAAGTACAATGACAATCTACTTTCTTACCACCTGCTCCTTTTTGTGCGGTAATCATTCTCATTTGCTTTCCGTTTCACACGACCCATTTCTTGTATCAATTGGAATTGTCGTCGGCTTTGAATAAAACAACTTGCAGGACTCTCCTAGAAATTTGATAGTGAACGCTAAGAAGGAACTTGTCACCTTAGTTGTTGTCGAAAAGAAAGGAAACAGAGACTCCTACTTGTAGTAGTTTTTGTCGCATTTACTATAAATTTGTGTGTCTAACAGAACACAAAGAAAACATCCAAGATGGTAGTCGCAACTTCCCCCGTGGCCGCCGCGGGCGAGAGCAACGAGCAGATTCTGCGTATCGGCAAGGGCAAGAACACGGGATTCTGGGCCACCACGGTTACCAACTTTCTCCACGGGCCGAGTAAACCCGCAAAAGAGGGTGAGGAGGAAAAGAAGAAGGAAATTTTCGAGGAAGTGAAAATCTCTGCGCTCGGCGCCGCGATCCCCATGGCGGCGGCTGTGGTCGACATGTGCGAGAAGCGGAAGGTGGGCACACAAGTGAAGGTGGAGACCCACTACACCGGGTTGGAGAAAGCCCACAAGCCGCAGATATTGGTGACGTTAAAAAGGAATCCGGAATACGTGCCGCCACCTCCGAAACCAAAGGGAGCCAAGGTGGTGGTGCCGCCCATGCCGGAAAGGTTGAGTGAGGAAAAGTTGGAGAAGAAAATGAAAAAAGTGTTGAAGGAAGGAGGTATTTATATATCATTATGCGCATATATAGGGAGGATTTTTTTTTTCTTGATGGACAGGATGTAGATGCGAAAAGACAAAAAGCGGCCGTCGCAGCTAGAAGTAGTGTGATGCTGCTTCATTCTACTGTGCGCCCCGGTTCTTGTTGTTGTTCCTCTTCTCGCGTCGTCTCTCCAACTACAGCTTCGATAATTAATAGAAAAGTTTCGAAAATCAAAATTTCGACAAATTTGTTCTGTAACTGTATCAACAGGAAAGCGCGGCGTCGAAATTGAAGGAGCTGCAGACATGGGTGGACTGAAATACTTTTGCACGAAAGTCGAGGAGCCAGCAGGCGACTTGGATATGCTGGTGAGTTGCTTTTTTCCAAGACCAAGACTATGATCGAAATTATCGATGAGCTTAAAATCAAAATGTCAGGCGCCATGCTAGTGTGATGACGACCACCTTTCGTGTGGTCTGAAGGATGAGTCTATCTGTTTCATCATAATCTATCAGGTCGAGTCGGTCAAGGCTATGAACGCAAAGTGCGACCCGTCCGAGGAAGAGCGCAAGGGCGGCAGCGGAGCCATTGGCAAGACAGTAATGTCCATGGCCGAGGGCGGTGCACTGTGCATCGTCTGCTACGTGCCAGCTGCCGAGCTCGCAAATAACGACGCAAAGGACTGGTATTTAGGTTACGTTTGGGTTTTTACAGATTCATTTGAGTATGATCACTTTTCCTGATCATCCTGATCCAGGAGCGCGGGCTCATGACTGCTCCTGACAACTGGAATTATTATCACACCGCGACCTACAACTCCCTCTACATCTATCAGGTTGAAGAAGATCCTGTTTTTCTGCGACGTCCCTTCCGTCGAGCTCCGCGAAGACTCCACGGCCCATTATGCTATGGTCAGCGTGAAGGAGGACGGAGAGAAGGGTATTTTCCCCATCAAAATGCGGGATTACGTCATTCAGAACGCGAATAAGTACCTGCGGGAAAAGGGTTTGATCCCGGAAGTGGACGACGATTCCGAAGTACCAAGTGCAAAAATGTCTGGGTCTGGAAGAATGTGAATGCAACTTGTGACGCTACATTTGGATTCCAAAAAAATCTGTCTTGCATGAGTAGCAAAGGGAATGCAATTTTTGCTACGCTGAGAAGTCATTTGTCATGCGGAATAGGCATCAAGAAGCCCTCAAAAAATCTGTATTGCTAGGGTATGCATCACAGACATCATGGCTCATGCAAAACGTGCGCGACAAGTGTCAGAATCTTCCAGACCCAGACATTTTTACAGTTGATACGAGGAGGAAATGGTGTTCGGGGATGACGACTTTCCGTAAAAAGGTGAAGTGATATCAAATGCAAAAATGTCATCTGGGTCTGGAAGAGTGCATGTTTGTCATGCTTGTCTGGCATGACTTCTAAATCTGTCATGCGCGTTAGGTTACCCAAGACAGAGCCCCACTTTGCTGTCATGCAGAAACACAGTTTGTCAGGCAGAATAGGCAGCACCTAGAAGCTCAAAAGCTTGGCATGCTGAGCCAGCACTTGTGGCCTCTTCATGATACGCCACCCAGCATCACAAGTTTCCAGACCCAGACACTTTCGCAATCCATAAGTGAGATGGCGGGACACATGAGCGTGGAGGCCACTCACCTCGTAGTTGAGTCCTGCTCGTCCAGCCTAACAGATGAAATGTACAAGTACATCATATTTTGATCACAACTGTTGTTCCGAAAGGAAATGCTTTTTTAATATACTGAAATCGAGCCTGTACTAGTTCTAGATCTAGTTGCATATGATTTTCACAATACTTACATCATCAGCATCAAATTCATTTCCAAGAGTTTTCACGAGGTTGCCAGATTCAGAAATTCGACGACACCATCGTCGATTTGTCGATTTGGCACAGCAGTATTTTTTGTTGATATGATAATATCCACTGCGCGCGGCTAGGGCTACTCGTTTGTAACAAAAGAAGTCATACGTTTTTTATAGGTGGTCGTCCGTTTTCGCTCCGTGTACGAGGGCCAGCGTAATTGATGCAGTAGTTTGCTCGTACGTCAGTACATCGCATCAAAACGCCAGTTGTAGTTTTATTGGGTTCGCAACCAATGGAAATGGACACTGAAACTGATGCATGATCATGAAAGAATTGTCGTCCTCCACCCCGACGCACGGGCTCTGAGGGCACAGCTCACCATTTCGGGTGCAGTTTTCTGGCTACGAAGATCTGTGGCTTTGTACCCGCCCAATGAAGTGGTGTTGTTCGAGTTCCGTTTTCCTTTTCGTGGAAGGTGGCTTTGGTTGTGCTTATTATATGCGAAAGAGCAAATGGAAAAGAAAGTACGTGGAACCTAGAGAAAACGAGCCGAACGAACAGATTGATTCACTAAGACGTAATATTGAAAAGATAAAGAAGTTGCGCAAAAAGAAAAATATCGTAACGTACGTAAAATGGTCATGATGCAAGGTACAACTGCTGGTCCGCCAGCAGCACTATCCTCCACCAGCGCTGCTGCCTCCGCCGCCTCCACCGTGCTGCAAGAAAAAGCCGAGTGGCTCCGCCAGAGCAGCTCCTCGCTCCTCGGCGCGCTGCGGCAAACGGCCGGCAGTGTCGCGGAGAGAGTGGAAAGTTTAGATTACCACTATGCAGACAGTTTAAACGCGTTGAATGAGGTCACGCAAAAAACGATCTCCTCCGGGACCAATCTTGCGCGTAAAGCGGTCGAGGTGGTGAAGCCCCAACCGTACCGCGACTCGGTGCAGTCTCTGGGGTTGTTTTTCCGGGCCTTCCTCCTGCGTATCTTGCTCGCGGCATCTGTGTATGTCACAGACCAACAGGAGGTGCAGGGCTTGCTGCAAAGGCTATTAGCGGTGACCACGTTTGCAGAGCTGGCAGAGGGCGCCATGGACATCTGGTTGCTGGTGAAACCGGAAGCTTGGAAGGACTTCTGGTCCCATTCTTTGCAGTTGAACTTTCTGACCGAGTTGGCGAAAATTAGGGACTGCGGAAGCTGCGGATCAACAGCTTTCTTGGATACCACAGAAGGGAACTCGTATCTCCAAAGTGCGATGATTTATTCGGGAGCCGCAGCAGCAGACCACGTTCCCTTGTTCGCCCTTCCCGACGTGCTGGACAGTTTTCTGACGGTGCTGTTCGACCTCGCCAACGCGTTGCGGGACCCCGAAGACCCGGAACAGGCCCGCCAGCGGAATTTGGCCTGGGGCACGCGGCTGATGGAGGCGAAGATGTTGGTCGCGGAGTTGCGGCGGTACTTCGAGGTGGCGAAAGCAAAACTCCCGATCCCCGCTGGCGACGCGATTACGCTGGCGCCGTGCCTGCTCGCGCCGGATTCCACGATATCATTGAACTCGTTGAAAACTTACCGAGTTGTTTGGAATACGCAGATTTTTGGATCAAATCAGGTCAGTCAATTGTCTTCAGCGTTTTACGCTGTATCGTCGAGTGCAACCTCTGGAGTTGGACCTCCCATTGGAATGACGTCGGTATCCGCGGAGGACTTGTTCGTGAATGTGCGCAGCGGGGAGGCGCAGCTGGACCTGCCACCGCTAATTCCGCTACCGCCCGAAGCAATTTCAGAAAATTCGCCTGCACCGGAGGTTCACGTCGCGCAGGAACTTCTCGGGCGGAAAGAAGATCTTCGCAGAAATAATTCAAGCCTGGCCGCGACCTCAGCAGTTGAAATCAACAGCGGAACGGTCGTCCATCGGGACAATCGCCGCGCCGATATTCTGCAAGCCTTTGAGAAGCAGTGCGAAAAAAAGGCGAAAAAATTACAGGAGAAAAAGACCCGACCGGTTGTGCTGCACAACGCGAGCTCCATGGCGTTACGCGCTTCGGTGTTTCAACACGGGGATTCCTACTAAGTGGAATTTTGCAGGAAAAAGGAAAATTGAAAAAAATTGCCCCCTGTGCTGGACGGGACGAGGGCGACGGCGGCTGGGAGCGGGGGCGACACGACGGCCTTTCTTGCAGTTTGTTTTCATCAAAAAGCATCAGTATAGGCACAAAGCGAAAGCTTCACTATAGTGCATTTCACAGGTACAAATGAGGGACATGAAGATGATGAGCCATAAGGTGCAAGCAGCTTGCCTCGCACAGGGATCCGGCTTTCCGCTCCACACACGCGCACACTACGATGCAAATCATCACAGAGCCCAGTGCTTTTCTCTGTTACTGTTCAAAAAATACCTTGCGCGAGTCACAAAACCCAAAGAACAGACATAGTAGGCGGCTGCCACTACCTCCCCGGCCTCTTCAGCGCGTCCCTTGGCACGGCCCTGATTGAGTCGGCTGGAAGAAAGCGGCCCAGGTGCGGCTCCGCGAGCAGGGCCGGAAAAGGCCGGCGGCCCTGAAGCACCTCGACCACCTTCTCCGGGAGTGCCCGGGCAAAGATATCGCCAGGGGGTTCGACTCCGGTGCCCTTTTTGGCCGTTTAGCCCGTGATTGAGCAAAAAACCAATGGATGCCCAGCGGTCGCAGAGTTCACAGGAAAACACAAAGGGGGGGCCTCCGGGGGGGCCGAAAATGGGGGCAATTCGGGGACCCAAAATGGGGGGCAAAATCGAGGCACTGCCACCGTGTCACAGAGTTCACAGGAAAATGAGGGGGCTACCCCTCCGGGACCCCCCGGGCCCCCCGGCCCCGGGCCCCGATTTTTAATGCAAAAGCTCGCGCTTTTGCCTTTTCGGCCAGCCAAAGTTTGCAAACAGGTGCGGGGGGCCTTCTCCTTGGGGCCCTTTTTGGCATTTTTCGGCCCGCCAGATATTGGCGCCACAAGTCGGATATTTAGGTGCGGTTTCACCTCCGCCGGGGGGAAAAAATCTAGATGGCCATTTTTTTCGCACTCTCCCCGGCTCGCGCAAAAAGTGCGGAAATAGTTCGGGGCGACCTCTCCTAATGGCAACATATGAACTGTCTGGCATGTCAGCTGCTGGGCCGCCAAATTATTTGGGTAGACCCCGGCTCGCGTGGCCGCCTTTCTCCCCCTGCCCGCATAGCGTGCCCGTCTGGCGCGCGCCGTCAGCTTGGCACAGCCGCCCCCTGTCGGAGGTAAGCTGCCCTCATCTCACGGGCCATGGTCCTCATCTTCCTTATTTGTAGCTGTGGCGATGTATTTTGATGAAGGTCTGCCACGTGCCTGTAGCGGTGTTCTTTGATGAGGACTGAGGATTACAAAGGCCGCCGCGTCCTCACCACTCCGAACCGCCGTAGCCGCCGTCCAATCCAGCACCGGACGCATTTTTTTTCAGTTTTCCTGCTTCCTGCAAGATTCCACTTAGTAATTCCTTCTACAACGTGATTCCCATCACTACCACCGTCCTGGAGCCGAACCACCGCGCTTTTCTCCGCTTGGAGGGCGAGGCGTTCCAACTGCAAGTGTTTAAAGCCGGCCATGCGGGGGCTGCGCAAGCGGAACAGAGCGGGAGTTTCTCGATTCTGACAAAAATCATGGACGACTTCGCGCCGCTCTACTCCGTGCCAGCCATCCGACGCGGCGAGACGGTAAGTTTGCGGTCCAACAACGCAGACGTGGGCCCGAGCGGATTCGGCACCAGCAGGGCGGCAGCGAATGGCTTTGGAACAATCAACTCGCTTACCAAAACATAGAGTGTGACGTCGTCTACTCGTGGTTCTTTGTTTGTTGTTTCCGTTCGATCATATTGAAAACGAAATTTCTTGTGTGATAAAAATATTAATGTCGTGTTGATCTTGGTGTGAGGAAAACGAAAACCGATACGTGTGTAGTGTAGATGTACTGCTGGAACCTCCGCGATCTACTGTTGAAAAAACAATCTGAGTTGGACCACGTAGACGTAAGAACATATCACAAAAACACACACGACTCAATCGCAAGAATCCCATCCGCAGCCATGGGCACAATGCTGACGTGCGCGAAAGGCAGTGCAAGTTCTCCGTCGTTTTTGTAGTTTTCTCGAGTAGCACTAGTGAATGTGTTCACGTTGAGAGCTTGAGCGCATGTACGAATCATTGGCTCGACGTCACAGAAAATACACAAACCTGTTGAAGAAGAAGGACCTCTTTCACGTTTTGGCTTTGATTTATGTTCCCAACAAGACGAAGAGCGTGAACTTCCATTCTGAAGAAATGCCTTCGTCCACTTTGCCCGCTGACGCAACTCGCGCCCACCCGGCTTCAGTCGTCCTCACGACAAGCTCGCCCAGTGCCTCAAGCAAGCCTAGGGCCGCGGCTGACACCACCACCAGCGATGCAAAAGAGCAGCTGGATGAACACGACGAGGAGCAGGCCACCAAAGAGCTGTTGATTCTTTCCATCATGGACTCCGTGATGAAGCTCGACGAGTCCCAATTGCGCCGGACCAAAGCTGCCGTGGAAAAAATTGAGAACAGCAGCACGGTCTTTGCCGATAAGGTGCTCCGCCCGGCGTTACTCGATCATTTGGAACGCGGCGTCTTTGTGAAGGTCGGGATGTCGTCCGTAGAAGGCTGCGGGGTGATCGCGGTCCGGGATATTCCGGAGGGAACCGACCCCTTTCAGGTCTGTAACCAGTTTCTGGGTTTGTCGGACACCATGTCAGTCGTGGTGTCAGACGCAGAGCTGCGACGGAGGAAAATCCCACTGGAGGTTTTGGAAATGGTCAAAAGTTTTTTCGCACCCTTAACGGACAGCGATGATGAAGGAGACAGCGGACGTGGCGGTATTTTAATGCGTTTTGCAATTAGTAGAAGTCGTGATTTGAGAAGTTACAATGCGACAGGAGTAGAGCAAGCCTTGGCACTCGTCCTGCACGACCTGTGTTCACACAACTCACTACAACCCGAATTTTTCAGGTGATCTTGAATATGGTGTGAACGCCACAGGGCTGAACAGTTTGAATGTTGGGTGGTACCTGAACCACAGCGATACCCCAAACGTGTGCCATTTTGAGGCGACCGAGGCGGGGACGTTTTGCACGTACAGGACTACAAGAGCCATCGCGAAGGGAGAAGAGCTCTTCATCGACTACAAAGAGCTCGGTTTGGAGTACTACGAGAATATCATGCATTGAAATAAGTACGTAATTCGAAAACTTTCAGAGGAGCGACAACCTCCACATACTGCATTTATTATGTTCGTGTATACATCATTTTCATTCACTTTCAATCCAATCGACAACATGGAGAACCGATGAAGAAGACTTTCAGAGAAAAGAAAATCATTATCATACTGATCGACGTGCACTACTCACGGTAATGACTACTTCGAGTCTGAGCTTTCACGGCGTGCACTGTTCCGCAACATCGTCCTCATGACTCCCTTTCTGTGGTACGCATGCCTAGCTGCAACTCGTGGACGGTGAGACCGGGAACTTGGTCCGTGTACTAGGAATTTTCAACGTCATCAGTTGTTCAAGGCTTCTTGCACCCACAGCTTCGATGTGATGAACGGTATGTGTATGAATTTGGGTCGTGATAAACGGCAACGGAACACGTTGGCAATACGTTGAAGTATGTGACGTTGGGTCGGCTGTAGCTGGTGCCACGTGCTCTGTAAAAAGAACATCGTCACCAAGGCACAAAAACAAGAAGAGCAAGTTTAAACGAAATGGAAATGAAAAAAATCCGCAGGAGGCCCGTTGTAGATAGATGTAGTTGTGTATTTTTGTTTCTGGTTGAGATTGAGGCCATTCTTCGGATTGTTATTTAACATTGAAGTTGAACATATGTCAGATCATTTCTACTCTTTCGCTTTTCGCTTTCGTATTAACTAACACAAGATACTTGTTCACATGAAAATAAATTCCATCCCGTTGAGCAAGCGCAAGATGTCTCACCGGGCCGCCAGCTTTGAATGAAGATGAACCAGAACCGACAGACAACTGGAGATGCCTTCGTCTTGACAGAATTCTACTCATTCTTACCCGGAGAAAGACACGCCCACTTTTTCTTGGCTCCTGACGGGCAGTGCTCAGAGTGGCAATCTTTATGTTCATTCTCGATCCACGATAAATAAATAATTCAGATTTTATCCCAGCATGGCACTTGACGCGTGGAACACGCTGCTCCAGTCGCCGAGCAACTCTTCAGACGACGGGTCTGGTGACGATGATGGCTGCCGGTTGCAGAGCGAAAAGAGTGTTGACTCCTTCTCCGGCGGGGGAGGTGGGCGTGGTGGTAGCAGCGGCGTGGTGGACAACATCAATCATGGGGCATCAATCACTCACACTCACCACAGTGCCAGAGGACCACGACTCGGCGGACCGCCGAACATAGTAGCCTTAGCTGCTGAGAACAACGTCTACAGAACAAACACGGGTGGTACTGCGCCCCCGGGCATCAATGTCAATCCACCCCAGCAGCACCACCAGCGGGTCGGCACTATCCAGCCCGCGATCACCGGGTCTCCCGGTCTCCCCGGATATAATTCGGTGCCACCACAGACGTCGTTGTGGGATGTCTTGGGCGCGACCGTGGTGCCCACCAAGAGCGCCGACAACCCGCGCAGTGTAGGCGGGCTCAGCTCAGTGCCAATGCCGGGAACGCAAACTAACAGCTCCACTGCTGCTACTTCGGCGGCGCACTCTGTTGGCGTTCGCGGTTCTAACTTGGGAGTGAAGGCGGGCCAAAATAATCTTCAGCAGCAAACCGCCTGGGCACCAGCAGGAGGGGGTTTGACGTCGAGAACCACTGGCAGCAGCTCTGGTCCAGTTGCAACGCCACAGCCACTAGCTGGCATCTTCTATGCAGGAGGTGCACTGCCGCAGGGCGGCGGCGGAAACAGTAAGCTGAGGAGTGGTGCTGGTGGTGGTGGCAGCGTGCACCTAAACCATCCCCAGGTTTCATCTAGCACAACAAATCACAGCACGCCATCTGGTGCACAACGTCAAAGAAACGCGGCAGCTGGCACCAGTGGGACGGGCACGATCACGACGAGCATGATGACACCGAGTGGTTTCCACCACTCGGTGCCAGGCATGAACACCGTATCACAGGGGTAAATGAATCACATTACAAATGAATCACCATACGGAAAAAAAAAACTTTCCAAGTACCGCAGTGCATGGCCCGGCTCGCACGCATAAGGAAGCGCCCAATATATACAACCAAATAACAACCTGAGACACAGCGACGCTCCCCAGGAAGGTCGCGCCTTTCTCGATAAGGTTTGCGCTATTTGGTTGGTGGCTACGGGGGGCGAACGCAATGGCCAGGAGTGGATGCTGGGGGCATCGTGCCTGAATAGCTTGCAAACAACTCGGGGGAAGCATTCGCAACCCAAAATACCAAGCACAAGCCCATTGCTAAAGATAGGAAAAGCGACACCATAAAAATGAAGTGACTACACCTCCATACCGTCGGGCGTAGCGTCCCGAGGGTGTCGGATTTTCTGAAAAAAGATCAACTTTTGCCAAAAATTCATCTTTTTCGAAGCAAAAAAAGAGGTGCAATCACCTTGCGTTTCGTAGCTATCAACTAGCCCTATGATTCATTTGACTCCTGCTCCCGCTTAGTATCTGCTTGAATCACCCCAGCAAAAAGCCGCGATTTTTGGCATCAAATTGATGCCCGAAACACGTCTTCTTCGCGTCAAATCACCCTAGCAGATATCAAGTGGGTTTGGCTTTTTTTTCGTCTGAAACAGGCTGCACATCTCAAGTGATCACACCTCCACTGCTCCACTTCTGCCACTTGGTAACAGTAGAGTAGGGCAAAAGTAAGAATAGTGCGCCAATAGCACCATGCGGGGTAGCATTATGCACCACGGTATGATGCTTTGGGGCTGGTCTTGGGGTATCTTCTATGGCATCTTCTGCGCACTACATCTCGCAGTCTTCTCCTTACCAAAATGCGACGCCTGGGGCTTTTGGTCGCAGCCTTCTCAAGCATTCGCCCACTGCAATCTACCGACCAGCTGTGTCTGGCGCGGGGAAAAAAGCTGCAGGCGCTACGGCAGTTGGGGACGCTCCGAATTTTTTGTTTTTTCGAATAACAGTGGTTTCCACCACTCGGTGCCAGGCATGAACACCTATAACAGGCTCAGATGTCTAATTCAGCGAATTCCAAAAAAAATTTTTTAGGTCGTGGAAACGCGTTTCGCTTTCAATGCTGACTCCCCCCACAAGCTGAAACAAACTGGCTATGGCTATCTCATAGCTGGATAATTGTCTTGCCACGTGCAAGGCATAGGCAACCACCTAGCTGCGACCTAGCTAATCCCATTAGTTTGAATGGTTCCAAGCATCCCTTTGGAGCTGCAATAGCACCTGCTGTCGCGATCTTCGTCCTGTTTTTGGCTTCTGCTTTCTTTTTTGTCGTACTGCTTTGGAGAAAGCTGCCCGAAAATTGGCTCCCTATTGGATATTGGTCTTCTTCATCTCGTGCTGCTTTCGTGAAAATTGCACAACGTAAGAAGCTTCGATCTACCATAAGAAAGCGCAAGCTCACCCCGGGCGACTGATTCCGCTCGAAAGGGATCTTCGGGGCCTCTGGGACTGCAAAGGCCCTTCTCCAGAAGAAATGGCCGGCGGGCCCGGTCAGGTAGACAGGGCGCTGGGCGGTGGCTCCAAATGTACCCAAAAGGACAGGACTCAGGCCAGTCCCCGGACGCTTGCGGAGATGCGATCTCTGGGCAAGTTTTCGCCCGATTTCGCAATACGAACATGCCTGAGCCGGATGCTGGCAGTGCAGACGAGGTGCGTGGCTAACGCGCTGAATCGAAGCCAAGAACGACAAAAAATACACCGGAAAGCGCACGGAAAGCAGCTGCCCTCGCTCCAGAGGGCACCTCTTGGGCCTCGAGACTCCAGTGGTAACTTTGGAACAGGGGCAGCAGCTTGCCGCGCGCTTTTGCTCCTTTGTCCGGTTCGCACCCTTTTTTTGTCGTGCAATTCAGAAGAAATCTGCAGGACAAACAAAAGTCGAGAATCCAAAAGGACGAGGTTGCCGGGGAATTGTGGCGCAACTGCACAGATCCATAAGGCGGCTCCCAGTCTGTGCGCCAACTAGTTCAAAGCCGGGCCTTGCGAGGGGCCAACTAGCTCAGTCCGAGGCTTCAGTGACCTAAACAATTTTTTTTGAAATTCGTTGAATTAACAGTGGTTTCCACCACTCGGTGCCAGGCATGAACACCGGCAACTCTGTTACTAATGTCCACAACAGGCAGCAATCGGCGCACCAGCACCAGGATATTCCTGCAGGATCTAATTCTAATGACCAACTACTACCCTGGTCCACTACTACTGCAACGTCGACGTCGTGGTCGTCGTCGCGTCGGCCCGGAACGAATTCGGTTAGCGGCCCGTCCCCGCCCCTCCAGCAAATCACCAGCACCGTTGTCAGTTCCGTTCCAGGCAAAAAAGGCGCGGCTGGCGTCGGAACTGCGGGCGGTAATGGCGCGATTGGGAAGGGGACAGCCGGAGGTACAACAACTACAGGGAATAGCGCTACAAGTGCTGCCAAGAACGCGGGCACTTCTTCGAGAGCAGTTGTAGGGTCGGGAACTTCTTCGACTTCCATTCGGCTTCCGCCCGGGCTCGTGGAACAGAACAATATCAACAGCCGAACCCCATCTGGGGGAAAAAATGCAGCGGCGCATCTGCTTCATACTGCATCAGGCGGCGGGAATAGTTGTGCCTCGGACCACGGAGCAAGAAACAACAACACAACCTCAAAAAAGAACTACAACACGCGTCCTGGTGCTGGTAAAGGGACCGCGACGGCAGGTGGTTCCAAAAATTGCATCGGATCGCCTGGACTTCTCGGAAATACCAGCGCGGCTGCCGTTTCCACCTCGGGAACAGCCCATCGAGCCAACGCGGCCTTGATACACCAACACCAGGTACAGGTAATTTGTGTGTGTCGTGCTCATCAAACACGACCCGTAACTGCAGCAATTATCCGGGTAGAAAAAAATTGGCATGATGTGCATGTTTAAATATTTTTCACAGGTAGCGCTCGCCTCGCAATCGCGTCCTCCCTCGGCGCAGAGTGGCGCCCCCGCAGCTCTGACTTCCGGCGAGATCGTGGCTGCCCAGCGCTACTGGGCGAACCACGATGTTGCAACGGTGGCGCAGCTGCAGCCGGACCAGCTGCAGGCAGCTATGTTGCAGAAAAATTTGCAGTTGCACGTCGGAAGTGGTGCCAGTTCCTCCCGGAAGCTAATTGGAGTTACCAGTGCCGCTAAAGCGGCGCTGCAAGCTGGCCACACTTCTTTGTCCTCAAGCGGGGGATTTCATCCAGCAGTACTGCGTGGGAGCTGCACGACAGCATATGATGGACAACTGCCGTTATTTGGTGGAGCACGCCACCTAAGCGCTTCGGCCTCGCAAACAAATCTACTCGGTACCAGAGTTGTACTAGGAAATAACGGAGCTAGTGGTACTACCTCCGGGACGCTCTCTACGTCCACCACGGGAGCCGCGCATCTACAACCAGCTGCTTCCTCACGGGCACTTCTAAACCCCAGCGGGTCTTCTTCCTTGTTCAAAAAAGTTCCGAGCCCATCAACACACAAATCCGCGGGAGACACCTTGCTGATGACGGAGCGGGGGAAGTTGGATCCGGACTGCAGTGCGTGGCTGATTCGGCACGGCGTGCGCGAGGGCTTGATGGGCGCCATTATTCAGCCGCAGCTCTTCAAAAACTGTGCGCTTGAGGGGCTCAAGGCCCGGGCGGAGTGGAATGCAAAGCTCGCGGCAGCGGGGGCCGGGAACAGGAAAGGAGCTGCGAACACCAAGTCCGCTTCCGCGGCAATAGACATGGCGAACGCTACCGCATCGTCGCAGTTCAATGGAGGTTCGTTTTCCGGCTATGGCATGGGCATGGCACAGACGTCGAACAGACCTGCGGCTCATCAACAAGACGTGCACGGTGTTTACACTGCCGACCAATATGTTGACGACCAGAACAACTTCGCTCCAACAGATCATAACAGCATCAACGCGCACCAGCTAAAGAACAACGAGAGCGAATACCTGAAACAGATGTGGCGGTTCTATGGCGCAGGTTCACCAGAAAATTTGAAGAGAAGCAAACCAAAAACCTCGAGTGGAGGGGCGTCGAAGACCAAAAACAAGGGCACCTCGTCGACAACATTGCCTTCCTCATATTCCAGTAGTCTAAATCAGGATTATCCGTCTGGTAGCGACGACTCAATCAAAAATCCAGTAGTTGTTCCATCTGGAGGGAAGAAAGCTACGCGCCTGCCGCCCGGGCTGGAGCTCGAGGTTCATGTGGGAGGAGTAGATACATGCGCATCTCAAGAAGCGACGGGTAGTTCTTCGAAAAATCATTCTGCAATTATGCCGACTGGTGGACTACAGGTACAGGATACATACGAAACAGAAACCTACCCGCCCACGACCCACGACGAAGCTACAGGAGCTACTAGATTGTCGCGGAGCAGCATCGTTTCTTCCTCTACATCCTTGCACATCGCGGACCATTCCTCCTCCACAGCATGCTCGCCCGCGGAGAATCAGAAGTTTGACTCCAATAAGTCTTGCACATCGTCTGCGACGTGCACTAGCAATACACCGGTGGCGGGGACCAGCACGACTCCGTCGGTTACCATGGGCGCCGGGGGCGTCGCAGCCAGGCTGATGCAGCCGCAGAACAGGACTTCGTCTTCTTCTCTCGGAGGTGCTGCTGTTCCTAATCCTTGGGCAACATTATCTTCTGCTGGAAGCAGCGAGAGTAGCTGCGCAGCGACGTCGCTGACTTCTGTGGGAGGTGGTGTGATAAAAGACGGTGCGCCAGCTGCTCCTCCTACGCCCGTAGTACAACAACAACCTGCTCCAGCACATCAGCAGCGGTCGATCTATGATTACTTCTCCTTCGATCTTTCGCGCCAGAATTGTCTCGAAGAGCATGCTCCGTCCAGTTTCCACTCCAGTTCTTCCGAAACCGAACACAGCAGCGTGGTGCCTCCGGCGGGGGACCATCTACAACTTCAACGTAGTTGTGGCCAACCCCAACCAGCATACGTCTCGGCGAGGTCCAGTTTACGCACGCAATGCAACGAACAGCAGACCACGTCGATGAACACTTCTGTAGGTGATCTTGCAGCAGGAGCTCCTGCGGAGGAAGGTCACACAGCTACAGCTGCGAGGACTACAGCTACGGCCGAGTTCACTTCTGCGCGTGACCCCACGGCAGGTTCTTTGGCAGTAGAAGGTGGGCGCGACACGCCGCAGCAGGAGCTCCTTGGCGCCGGCGCGATGAAAAATAGCTTGTTCCCAAATATGGTTTTTGCTAGTTCTTGTAAGACGAAGACCAAAGGCCCTCCGCCCGGTTTGTCGCTGACTACGGCATCTGACGAAGATCCTGCTGCGGTTGAAGCGGTAGATCCAGTGGCAGAAGAGCAGGAGCTGCGCCATGATCTTCATCACGATACTAGTACCGTGGCGACTCGAAAAATCACAGCAGGAGCATCAACCGAGGAGGATGCTGACCACGTTACGCCCGTTCGCAAATGGAGTAAGTTGTCCGCCGCAGCGCCGGAATTTGTGCCGGCTTCCTCCAGCTCCCGGCATTCGAAAGCGTCCATACCGGAGCTCGACCGCTTTCGAGCTTCCTTCGGCGACAGCACAGGAAAAGAACACATTTTGCTCGAACATCAAACGCAGAGCCTCAACAATGTTGGGGGTTCTAGCAGTACAACGTCTTGTGCGACGTCGGCGCCGCCAGAGGCGGCTCTTGCGGGCACCGCCGGAGCAGGAGGTAAGTCGAGTTGTACTATGACGAATACTGCTGGCCTGACGTTCAATAACATCCAAAATGCGCAACACAGTGCCGAGCTCGCGGAGCGGATCAAAATCGCCATTGGCAGTAAGGCCCCGCAGGACGCCCACATCCTCGCAGAAACTTTCATTCGCGACGACGAGGACGGTAGGCTGCTGCGGGCGTTCCTGCACGAAGAAGTGCGGTCTTACTACAAAAAGGAACTAGTAGTAGAGACATCAAATCAAAATCATGTTGACCTTGACCCCACTTCGACGAGTGCGCAAATGACTGCAGCGAACCCGAAGAACCAGCAACAGTCTCTCCTGCAAAAAATGCTGCAAACTAACTCTAGCGCTGGAACATCAAGAACGTCGACCACGGCGACACCTGATTCCGAAGGACCGATTTTGCCCGTCCCCGATTCGGTTTTCAATGCCTTGGTGAAGAAAATCGCACCGCAACGTCCCTCGTGTCTGTTCGACCGGTTGTTTCCGCACGTTCTCTTGGAAATCTTGGACCTCCGGGAGGGCTGCTTTGCCGTGAAAATGACGAAGCGGCAGAAGAAGATCCTCTCCGAAGTGAAGGCCACGAATCGCGTTCCCTCGCTAAACACGCGACTGATTTCCGTCGTGGGGGTCGACCGCGTCGGCAGCTGCGTGCGCGGCACCGACATCTCCACGTCCGATGTGGACTTCCGGATCCGCTACGAAGTCAACCCCTCGCACCTACCAAATCAGAACTGGTACGTACAACCTGGGAGCACGCCGCACCTGCAGTTGCTAGAACGGATCCGGAAGATGCTTGATAAGGTACGACATATTTTTTTTGTTAGTTCGGCGGTTATGAAAAAGAAGTTTCGGTTTATTTGTTGTCGGCAGCCACGAATCGGAATCTAAATCAGCAACATCAAAAGCCTAGTACCCCTCAACGCCTAAGTGCCAACAATTTTGAACCCAGGCTCTGAAGCATACCACGTTGGACAGCGTGTGCAATTTGGTGTGGAAATCCGACGCCTGCCTGCAAGTGAGCTTTCCGAAAGTACACATGCACACGGAGGCCACCGTGCAGCAGCGGATTGCGCAGCCCAGCCGAAGCAAGCATTTGGTCTATGATGTGTGGTTTGTACCTACCAACCTCCCACCGGAGCCGGACCCAGCGGCACCCGGCACCGCGGAGGGTGTGGGAGCTGCAGAGGACCACCAGGCCGCGTCAATCGGTGCCTCCGCGAAGGCGAAACCTGCTGCCAAGCGCAAACAGAAGAAAACCGGAAAAGCCGCCGCCGAGGCACAGGTGGCCCGCGCGGACCGGGTTGGTGGAGACAATAACACCAGCCTTGGCATGCAGGTGCTCGCCACTTTGCAGGCCCAGCCCGCCGCGGCGCTGCTGGACCCCTACCAACAAGTGGCTGCTGCTGCGGCCAGTTACTACGGCGGCGGGCATTTCCCCACCCTGATTGGAAAACCGGCCAGGGGATTCGACAATTGCATGGACGAATACAACCATCGTCCCGACGAATCTCCGCTCCCGACCGTGCAAGGCCTTGAGTTGCTGGAGCAGGGGCTGACCAGCTTTTTCCTGCACAAGGAGCCCTACCGCCACGTGGTCCGTCTGATCAAGTGGCAATTTCAGGAATTTCTCGCGGCGCGAGCGCCCGTGACGAGTTGTGGGGAAATAAATCAAAATGGAGGGCCGCGACACACGAGGGGAACCAGAACTACTGGTGGGCCAGCGACTTCGGAAGTGGATGTGGAGAATCAGCAATCTGACCAAGACTGCCGGAGCCGTCGCGGGCTCCCGGGATTGTATGTCGAATGCGCGGTCTACAGTGTAGTCATGATGCTCGGCGAGCAGGATTGGCTGAAGCACAACCAAGAAGTTCTGGAACATGCAAAGAAAGCGGACTCGGAGTCTTACGCAGCTGCAAATAGGACGACACCAGTGAACAAGCTGAATGGAAAGGATCAAGGCAGCAAAAAGACCGCGAACAACAGCTCTACTTCCAGCGAAAATTATTCGAGAGGTTCGCCCGAGAGGGCCGCCGCGGCCCCAAAGCAGGAAGAGCCAAGAACGTCCCTGGTTTTGGTCGAACGTGCGCCGATTTTTGCGCAATCGTACGAGGACGTTGCGTATCAAATGCAAAAATGTCTGGGTCTGGAAGAGTGTAGACTTGTCATGCAGATTTTCCATGAAGCGCGAGGTCTGGAATGCGGGACCTAGCATGACAGACTCTGCGAGGTCTCTGCCATGCCTATTCTGCATGAGAAACTCCGTTCCAACTTGGTCAAAAGTGGAGCTTTTGGCACTCATGCAACACAGATTTTTGCATGCTTCAGATTTACCATGACAAGCTGCAATCTTCCAGACCCAGACACTTTTGCAATTCATATTGCGTGGGCCCCGCGGGGACCGTTGCCGAAACTGGGGGAACTGAATTTTTATCAAGATAGTTTGCTGAAGACCAAGGAAGACCAAAACCGCAGCTACGAGGTCTTATTCGAAAAGTTCGTCGCGAAAGAAGTTGGGCTAGGCACGACGATGTTGCCTTTTCCAGGAGAACAGCAGCTGCAGCCGCACAGATCGTCCGACAACGGTGGCACAACTAGAACAACCCCGATGCAAACTACGGACACTAGGAACGATCGAAAAGAGAAAGGCCCTGCTGGTGCCTCATCAAACAAGAATCTTCATGATGACCAGCGCGGTAATGATATTAGCCATCTGAAGACGCTGCAAATAAATAACTTCACCACCGACCACCAAAAACCCGGCACGAGCGGTTGCCTTCCTCCCGCCCACCCCCCACCGCCACCTCCTAATGCAGGCAACTACAACGTGAACGTGGTGGACGTGGACCAGAGCAGCTCCACCTCTTGCCCGAATCGCGGTCCGCCGCAAAGACCCGCACCCATTATGAAGCTCTCACCCGAACGGCAAAAACTGCACCAGAATGTCGCAGGAGACTGGATCGGAACCGTTCCCGACCGGGAAGTCAAGCCAGAAACGAGACTAGCGCAAACTACTTCAGTACAATCACAGCTGCAGACCGGCGCAATTCATCCTGGGGGAGGACCAGGACCAACCGCTGGAGAACAACAAGTTGACAACTCACACTCAGCGGCACGACCTCACAGCAACAGCACAACTCAAGTTGTGAAAAAACGACAGAAAATCAAGATAATTGATCCTCCCTCCGCCTTTCGTGTGTACTTGCTGACTTTGTTGTATGGGAGTGTCGGGATTGAAATCGACAAAGTTGAAATAATTTGCAATGCATAAAATGGATGAAAATTGTGACCCAGTTTCCAAGTGGCGCATGACAAATTCGGGTAGAGCCGAAATCCAGTCTGTCATGCTGTTTGGGTAAGGAAGACGCCTTTTGTCATGCTACTTTAGTAGCTCAGTTCCTCCCCCTTAATAACAGGCTTGCAATCTGCCTCACTTGCCTACTCTGCAAGACAGGCACTTTGTGGGCTGCATTTTATGCATGACAAACTACTTATTTCAACTCTGACAATTTCAATCCTTACACTCCCATATGTTGCTGATCGGCGGCGGGATGCACGTCGAGGAGGACTTTGTTGAGGACAGCGGGGAGTCGAGGTACACATTTGAAGCGAAAAGTACACCACTTGGGAGTTTGCTCCTGGCGTTCATCGACATGCACGCTAGCTCTCCGGTCTGGAAACTCGCCAATGAAGAGGAAGGAATGTGGGCGGTATCCGTATCTATGACGCGCAGTTTTTTGCTTTTTTTCTCGTAGTTTCCCTTTTGATTACTTAGTTCCACGCGATCAACTTTTTTTGGCGCAGTGTCAGCACGACCCTACGCTTACATCTTTACGTTTCTCGTTCTCGTCCTCTAGGTTGTAACCACGAACATTAAAAAATCAGGTAAGCTATGAAGTTGCGCAGATGCTCCGCGACGTGACTCGCAACCTGCACGAGTTCACGGGCTACAACACGGACCACCCGCCGCAGACCATTCGCCAGCGGCTGGGGGACCTGGCCCGGAGTCCGAGTCTGGAGTGTTGGCGCACGGAGATTTGCGGGCCGCTGCTGTCCCAGCTTTCCACAGACGAGTCGCTGCGGCTGCTGTACCAGCAGTTCGGCGTTTTGTCCCCCGACGCGGTAGTCCAAATCGAGGACGAGGTTCGGTCGCTGTTCCGCACGGTGTTGGACTTCTTCTACGACAAAAACTGCCTCGTGCGGATCTTCGGATCGGTGGAAAACGCGACCGCAACACGGGGGTCGGACGTGGACTGCGGGTTTGTGCTGTCCAAGGAAATGTACCAGAAGTACCTGCATCGGGTGCAGGTGGAACGAAAAAACGCATTGGCTTCCGGGGACTCGTCACTGCTTTCTGAATGTACTATTACGTGCACATTACGGATTTTTATGCGACTGTTCATTTTTGTTGTGGCATATTGAAGATTTTTGTATAAAAACGACATGATACGTTTGTACACGGTCTGTTATGGATGCTTTTACTACTTTTATCCTTCTTTTTATTTTAAAAACAAAATCCTATCAGCCGGCCTGGCCCGCCTGGTAAAGTGCGAAGCGTTGCAGGACCTGCAAAAGTTCATGCAGAAGTTGGACAGCGACGGCAAGATGCTGGATCTGGAACTCGTGCTGCAAGCCCGCGTCCCGATTGTGAAGTGCCAGATCCACGAGAGCATCCGGAAAACGCTCCCCTGCATGCTCGCGCACGGGATCAGCGGCTTTGACATCTCCGTTCTGGTAGAAAACGAGTTTTTCGTCCTGCAGAACTCCGCTCTGGTCCGTTCGGTTCTGCTTGCGGACGAGCGGTACCGCATTTTGGCGGTATTAGTGAAAAAGTACGCCAAAGCGGCCCAGATCTGCTCCGCGTACGAGGGAACCTTGAGCAGCTACTCGTACGCATTACTGGTGTTGCACTTCCTGCACTGTCGGGAAAAGCAGGAACAAGCGGATTGTAACTATTTGTTGTCAACATCTTGTTCCTCACCTTCGGAGCTGCAATTTGGCACCTGTAGTTCTTCGTCATCTACGACACCGAGGAAAATCGCCTCGGTTATCGCTCCAGACCAGGATTTGTTCTACGCAGGAACAGGTGGAACTAATTTCCCCAGTCCCCCGGCGGCGCCCAATACAGATGCAGTTAGTACTGCTAGTTGTACAACCAGTCAGCAACAGCAAACTGTTGTGGAAAAGGCTCTACTGCGATTATCCGAGAACAGCATGTCTTACGAAACACTCGCGACGCTCCGCACTGGATCAGCGCCACCGAAGGTGCACGTGACCGATTTGTTGGACGACGAGGACGGCTTCCTCGCTGGTAAAATGAAGCACAGCAACTACCAAAGCAACTCGGCGTCGAAATTGACAAACGCGAGTTCTTGCGGGGTACCAACAACCATCGTAGACGCTAGTATAGCTGGAAGTTGTACAACTGGCAACATCGATGATTATTGCCACGGATCCGACCCGTCTGTGTCGGCGAACTCTTCGCGAAATGGTTCGAAAGCGAGCGGGACCATGCAGAATTCCCTGACCTGTTCCACCACAGCGACGAAAAGTTCCACGATGTCTAGTACTAACACTCTACCCTCGTGGTTGCAGGGGAACCTGAGTGCGGCGCGCTCCTTGGTGATCAACGATAATATTACCGGGGACGATGTTAATATAATCGGCGCAAACAGCAATAGTAGTTCGTCTACGGCGGGCATCTTCAACCACCTACAGCTACACCACGCTGCTTCCTCTCCAGTAGGAGCGGGAACGGGAGGACGAGAAATGTGTAGTAGAGCGGCTACAAAGCACACAAACGGGGACCACAATACCGGGCAAAACGAAGCAGGCGTCTGCGGTCCAAGTTCTCCAAACGAGAAGATGTTGCACCACCAGCTTCCAAAGCGGCCAAGTGCGAAAATCACGAATCTCGAGACGCTGAACAAATCCGTCACGGTGGAACAGTTGTTCACCGAGTTATGTTGAGAGTGCACAACTACAACCTCTCCGCCTCATTTGTGATGCAAAATCCCAAATCCAAATCGAGTTGTGTTGGGCCCTTGTGGCGCGGTTTGCATTTACACACTCCGGACGAGGCTTCCCAAGGAAGCAGTACTAGAATCTGCGCATGAAGAACAAGAACATGTCATGTTCAGGCTCCACAACTACATGTGCAGGTTTTTGTATTGCATTGCTGCTCATGCCAACATACAAATGAGGGGCACGAGGGGATGAAGTTTTGCACTGTCATACGAGTTTCTCGAGTACTACACGACCCTGGACTACAAAAACAAAGTGATCGGCGTGACCGGCATTCGGAACCGCCGTCCGGAGGACGGCACGCGGTTTCATTTTTTGATCGAAGACCCCTTTGAGCCGGCGATCCTGGAAAACCCCCGCGCGGGGAGACGGTTGCTCGGCATGATGGACGGCTCCACGTTTGAGCACACGGGGAACAATCGGGTTCCGGGCTACCCGCGCTTTCTCGACGCTTTGCTGCGGGCGAAAATGCACCTGCTCCACTGCGCCAAGGCGAAGGAGGCGAGGCGGGAAGCGGAACTGGGGCAGGCCCTGCGGGAAGAGGATAGTAAGGGCACGAAGAAATCATCATCATCCTCCGGAGGAATAACCGGAAGTGCGAACTTGTTTTCGGCTGAAGTATCAAACGGCGGCACGACGAACATGAACCACGGTAGTCCTACTTTTGTTGACCCAGCACAGTTCCAGTTATCTGCCATGGACGCTTCGGTGCTTACGATGTTTCACTTGTGAGAACAACCTCCGAAAGGGGGAGCTCGTAGCTGTGCTTCGCCGCTGCACATGTTGATCAAGACATCGTCGCATTGAATGCGAACAACAAGGACATTAAAAACTTGATGTCGGTTTTATTTCCTTGCACGAGGAAAAAGACCTGATCGGATAAAAATTTCAAGATCAAAGCTATGAATGCTGTAAGAACGACCACGTGCGTAGAAACACAACTCGATAATTTTCGTCATTTGTATCTATCTGTAATGCTCGATAATTTTTCCTTCGAACGATGAACGCTGTATTCGTACGAAGAAAAACGTAGAGGAGGATGTAACCACTTGCTTTGGTCGTGGTGAACCTCCTTTTTGTTTTTCCAGATTTTGTAAGTCATCAGATCACGATAAACTTGAACTTCAATTTTTTTTTGTTCTCCCAGCGAGGACATTCAACTAAAGAATTTGAACGCGACGGAACCCGCCTCTACTCATTTTCAACTATTACATGATTGATTTCTTTTCTTTTTCACTTCTCTTCCCGAACGACCAGCACTTTGTCTACTAGTACTTCGAGGTAGCTAGCACGGATGAACTACTATTCTTGATAAGTACTGCTCATAAGAACTTACCCCGTTTTTATATCATCATTTCGTCCTGTTTTAGTTTTTCTTTTTCGTTTTCGGTCAACAGATTGTCACTGGCCGTACCAGCGTCAACAGGTATCATGGTGTTATCTCCGATGAGGTTTCTTCAAGCTCTCATTCGATTTTGTCGTGTCTAGTAGGTCTACAAATTATTGTAGGCAGTATTGCTGCAGCAGAAGTCTCCGACTCTTTACAACGAGGAAAACCAAAAAAATCTAGAGCGACAGCAAAGAGCGCCGGAATTCGTTCCACGAATCCGTTTCGAATCGCTCGCTGTGGTGTAGTTGCCTCAAGATGAAGTGCTGCTATTCTACATGCTGTCATAAAAAAACCCAGGAAATAATTTTCAGCGACAAGAACACATACCGAGCAAAAAATCAAAAGACATGAAAAACAGCAGACATGGTATTGCACCAAACTCGTGATATCGACGTAATTCTTTGAATACAGTCGGAGCTGCATCCATGGAAAGAATGGATATGTTCTTCTTTTTCTTTTTTTCATTTCGCATGGTGCTTTTGATTCCACCCCTTCTGCTTTTCGAGCAATTTTGTTTTCGTTTTTTCGGAGAGATATTGATAAGAAACAAACCAGTTTTCGTGTGGGTGGAGGGAAGTGTTTTGAGTGAAGAGCAAGAATAAATCGCACAAGGACTACAGCACGAGGGAGAGGACCGCGGCAAATTTGACTCGAAGTAGTCGAAAATGATAGCCCCGCCCACAAATTCTTGTAGGGCGCAAATCAAAATCCAGCCACACTGCAACCTTTTGATTGTTCGTCCGCGATTCCTTGTGTATGTGAATTTTATAGCTTTGATAACATCAAGATATCGCTTGTAGTTTTAGAATTGACACAGTTTATTTCTTTATTTGCTTCACCACCGCGAAGAAAATATGATCTCGAGAAATAAGTAGAAATGATGCCGCCTTTCAATCCTAATCAGCAGAGTCACCAGGCGACGGGCACTATGAAATGCAAAAGCATCGTGCTAGTATAAATTTAAATTGCATGACAAATTCCCTCAGCATGAAAAATAAAATTTGTAATGCGGATTTAGGTAAGGAGGGAGATTTGTGATGCATGATTGCGATTACTACGAGTGCGATACTTTTGCACAGGATAGGCACGAACAGCTCGGGGTTGTCCCAGTTCGCGCCCATGAGCAGGCCCATTGCCTTATTGAGAGGAAAAATCCCCCCTCCCCATATTGAAAACGTATCCGTCTGAAAATTTGTGATGCGCATTTGTGACCTCAAATCCTGTCTGTCTTGCAAGAAGGCAAGTCCAGAGAGCGCCCCGCACTTTCCAGGCGGTTCGTGATGCTGTTGGGCTTAGAGCATACACATTTGCCATGCTAGGCGCCTACGTCAAAACCTCTCGACTGAGGCTTGGCATATGCCTGCAGTCCTCTCCAGCAAGACAAATCTGATTTTTGTACGGAAATCCAGCATCAGAAACTTCGTTTCGATATGGGGAGGGGGGATTTTTCCTTTTAATATCCCTCCGGAGGACCCTCGCCACCCTTTTTGCCTTCTGATGACATACCCCCGCTGCACCAACAGAACATGCCGGGCGTTGTCTCTGGGTTTGGTCTACCATCAGCTGCACCACCAGGTACTAGAAGTTGTACAGGCGTTTATTTCTTTAATTATCAGTACGACTCCGAAAACAAATATGCACTCGCCCCTTCGTTCACGTTCTACAACGACATCTAAGTCTAATGCGAGAAAAAGAAAAATAGAGGTTGCAGCTTCGTTTTGTTCCAGATGCTGATCATGCTTGCCAGGCACTATAATCGTCTCGATTGTAGTGTTACGACTGCGACAAAAATCTGATCAATCGCTGTGATATTTTTTTTACAGGTTTTAACCCCACCAGTGTTTGCGGCGCGGCTCCTCCTGCGGCTGCAACGCCCGCTGCCCATGGGGCGGGACGGCAGCGCGGTACAGTGGCTGTGAACATCATGAATAAGGACAAACCCAAACGAACTCCTATGGAAGGATTTATGACAACCACCAAGTGGGGCGACGTTCCGTTTGCCGGCGATGTGGCAGACGCAGAGAGTGATGTTGAACAAGCGCTGAATAACATCAACGGCTTCGGACCGCAGCGAAGTGAGAGCAATAACTTCGAGCCCGAACAACAGCAAATGAACGAGAACGCAAAAATTGGAGATCATCATCATCAGGGCTTGTGTGGTGCATTACCCGCTGGCACGACGCCGACCGCGCAGCAAGCTCGGGCACGATACCAAAGCGGGCAGCAAGAGCAGCAGTCCATCTTTCAGGAACAAGAAAATTTGAGCATGAACTTGAAACTGCAGCAGCAACAGCAGCAAATGATGCAACGGCAACAGGAACAACTGGACCGACAGCGGCAACCGCAGGAGCCGCATTTTCAGCAGCAGAAGGCGCATCGGTTCAATGCGCAGCAGCAACAGAGGTTCCAATTTGACGACGATCAGCATTACGAGGACGGTGTCGCACCGGAACAGCTCATCTTCCAAATGCAGCAGCAGATGATGAAAAAGGACAAGGTTAAGCAGGAACTACGCGCTGAGGAGGAGGAGAACAATGGTCGGGGGCGGGGCCAAGGCCAGAAGCTGGAGAACAACATGACAAACATCAAGAACACCCTGAACCAAAACGAAAACCAGTTCGATCAATTCCGATCCTCGCAAATGAACCAAAATTTCAACAACTTCAACCACAATGGCAATTTCCACAAAAATTTCCGAATGTCCACCACCTCCTCCGATGCCGCGGAGCAGGTGCACCTGTTGCAACAGAAGCCGAACCAAAACCTTGACCCGCACAGCCCCCCGTTCGTCGCACACCAGCAGTCTTTGCCCATGCGGCAATCGCAGCCGTTCCGCCCGCCCCAAGGCCTGCCCCGTGCGGCTGGTCCGCGGGAAAGTTTCGGCGTGCCGTGCGAACATAGTGGACCGAGCCTGGGCAGCGGTCATGTGGGGGGACCCGGCAAGCAGGGCGGGGTGAATCAATCGCCGGCTAATGCGGATTTGATGAGTCCGCAGTTGGAACTCGGTATGCGTATGCAGCAGGAGCAGCAGCAGCAGCAAGGTAAAGGCTTCCTCAATGGAGGTGGAGGACCTGTTACTAAGTGGAACTTTCTAGGAATGAGGAAATTTTGAAAAAATTGCCCCCCCTTCGAATTCTCTTCCGAAAGCAGCAGCTCTTCGTAGCTGTGTTTGGCTGGCGTGGCGCGCCAGCATTTGTTTGCTGTATTCGAAAATGGAAGCGGGAAGCGACTGTGTCAGAGTTCGGACGCATTGCCGCGCAGTGAAATCACCAAAGCAGGCAGGCGGCTTTTCGGGTGCCACTCACCTCGATCGCCAACTAGCCATCGCCGGAGGCTCAGCACACACCTACAAAGCCGCGCTTCATCTGAATAACGGCCGCGATCTCTACATGTGCATCGCAGTGAGAGCACCGCGCTAAGGTGGCAGGTCTTTGAGGTCTCTGGGCCTACTCTACCGAACAGCAGCTCGCCGGCAATCGCCTAGTGGGGCTTCCAACCCAAGGCGGCAGCCCTGGAAGGGGCCAATGGGGTCGGGCGCGTGGCCTGGCCGGCTCGAGGAGTTGCAGAAACATTTGAAAAGAATGGCGGAGGACTACCGCGGCGCCCTCAAGTGCCTCGGCCGGGTTTTGGCGGGGTGCCCCAACAAAGGTCGCGCCCGAGGGCTCAGCCCCGCTCTGCTTTTCTTGGTGTTTCTTGTATGCTTCAAATAGAGATCTGCGCTTTCCGCTCGTGATTCAATTTCCGAGGAAAATGGCGAAGGGGGGGGTCGCGGGGGGGCCGGAGGGGGCCTCGAGAGGGCCCCCACTGAAGGGGGCAAAAATCGCCCCCGTGCCGTCGTGATTCAATTTCCGAGGAAAATGGCGAAGAGGGGGGGGGAAGGCAAGGGGGAGGGGCCGGGGGGCCCTGAGTTTTCCTCGGAAATTGAATCGCGACGGTATGGCACCGCTTTTTGCCTTGTTTCGAGGCGAATCTGGGAATTGGCCTGCTTTGCCGGCCTTCCCGGGCTCCCTTTTTTGGGTAGCGAGCGCGGCAACAAAACACGCCCAAAGCGAGGCCAAAACCATCACCATAGCACCGCGATTCAATTTCCGAGGAAAATTTCGAGTCCGGTGCGAAATGCCCTCAAGTTGGGAGCGGTAGGACCAAAGCCGCGGCAGGTTGGTTCACGGTGGGAAGCTGTCGACGGCGTGGGATATTTAGCGCGGTTCGGTAAGGGGGTATACCTGCCCCGGTTTAGCCGTTTTATTTGTAGCGCATGGCGTCCATGAGTAGGAAGGCCCATGGCGCTTGAGGTTTTGGCTCAATGGCTTTGAGAATGATGCGGGTGTGTGGAGGCGCCACCATTCGGAGAGCAAGGCGCTGTCTTTTAGGTGCAGCCGCGATAAAGCCCATTATATGTGAGCCACGGATGGCTCTCCAGGCTCGGCGACCACAGTTGTCCACGGGGCTCTGCGAGCTCGTCTCGCGCAGCGGTATTCGCAAATGGGCCGGCACAGGGCCGCGACCTGATATCTCCACCTGCCTACTTTCACCTGGGGACTGAATTTTTTCGAATTTTCCTCATTCCTAGAAACTTCCACTTAGTACCTGTGAACAACCAGAATCTCAACAACAATCAGAACCAAAATGCATCAAACCGCAACCCGAAGAACAACGTGCTGAACGCGCAGCAGTTCAACCACAACAATAACTTGCAGTTGAGCGTGATGCCGTCGCCGGATTACGGATTTTATGGGCAATTTGACGGCCCACCTGGAGGTTTGAACGCCAACTTCAACAATCTTCGCATGCCGATGAATCCACCACAAATTATGCCCCGTCCGGGGATGGGGAACAACAGCCACAATTTCTACAACAATCCAGGAGGTGGAATCAATCAACAGCAAAACCACTTTTCTGCTTCGCAGTTCTACAATCAGCCGAACGATATGAACCAGATCGTGCAGGGTCAGCATCCGCACCAGAATACGACGAACAGTGGGGAAAATAAGCCCAAAAAGCCACAGAACCCGTGGATCGGCGGAGACATGGCGGTTTTGTGGACGGACAAGCCCGAGAAGAAAAAGAAGCACTGGCAGGAGGGGTTTCTCCGAATGCAAAACTTCAACACGTTGGAGCTTTTCAACTCGCAATTGCGGTTTCTGGAGGAGTTTGTGTTCGACGACAAGCATATCACAGGAAAATAAAGTGCTATCGTTAACGGAATTTGTGATGCAGCAATGCATCACTATCACTCCACTGAGCGTGCCAGGATTTGTCTTGCATAGCATGCATATTGGGCTACATTTGTGATGCATGACTGCAATCTGTGAATAAAACCGTTAACGTTATTGATACTTTTTCTTCGTGATAAAGCAGAAGGAATTGTGGGACAACGACGAGGAGATTTTCTATGGGAAAAAGCACGCCATCCAGGTCCTCCCGACGGACGAGTCCGGGGGGTATTGCAAGGCGTACTACTTTTTCCGTGACCGGATACCCAAATACAAAACTACAGATTTGGTCGGGAACGAATGCAACATGGACTACCACCCCTTGCATTTACCCTTCGAGAACACGTGCAAGGAGCTGAAAGCCAAGCGGGAAAAGGATCGCGACGTGTACAACTACCGCAATTACGTGCGGCCACCGTTATTGCCGTCGTTGAGGAAGCAAAGGTTGCTGCCGGCGAAGAATGGAAGTAATAGTGTCCTCGCCGGACAAAATGACGTTGGTAGAAACCTCCGCCCAGGTGGTCGCGAGCAGATGACCCCGGGAGCCGCAGCCAGATTGGAGTGGGAACAACAGCACCGACGGGGAGGTGGCGTCGGTGCGCGGGCTGCGGCGGGAGCTGCGCAGAGAGTAGTGTTTACTTCTTTTTGTAGCGATAGTGATTTATTTTCATGCATTGCAGCCATTGGCTGCGGCTGCGCTGTGTCAGGTGGTGGTGGTCGTGCAGCGCATGCAGACTTTCTCTTGTTCTCATTCATGATCTCTTGCACTCCGGTCAACTTTCCACACCTAGACCCAAGGGAAGAATTCAAAAAATTTTCTAACTTCAACAAAAAACCAGCCCGATTCCAAGCTGACTTTGCCGGAAGGTCCGCAGAGTGGCGACGCATTTGTTTTCCTGCGGGACGACGATCAAGCACTGCATCAACACCACGACGACCGCGGCCCACCGCCCCCGTACTTTCCTGGAGCAGGAGCTGAAAACAACTACGGCCAACAAGGACTGCAGCACTACTTCTTTCCCAATGGGGAGCGGCCCGATGGAATTACGGAAGCCAGTCACCGCGACATCCACGACCGGGAATTCAATCCGCACATGGGAGGTACTGAATGTGAAGATAATTGTTCCCAGTACATGTCCCGACAGAGGCAGAACCAGTGGCGTGGTCCTGCTCAGCACGGTGGAATCGTTAGTCCGGAAGTTGTCGGCGATGATCAACAGTCGGAAATATCATCAAATGGGTCGAACATGAACCAACACGTCCCGTTTGCGGGCAACAATCCCCGGGGGAGAAAAATCCACACCCGAGGTGATTCTGCAGTGGGGAACCGCATCAACATCAGAAGCCGGTCCCGGAGTCCGCGGCGGCGCGCCGGCGCGGAACTGTTGATTGGCGGGAAGGAGATTGAAGTAGAGGATTTCGACGAGGAGGAGGACGAATTGTTTCACGCTACAAGCGCTGAGGAGCAGCAAAAACAGGAGCAAGAAATGCGGATGCGGCAGCAACTACAGTATAGTCTTCAGCAACAGGAACAGCAACTGCATATGCAGAAGAACAACAAGTCGTCTTTCCAGACCGCGGACAAAATTTCGTACAATGACCCACTAGCGAGAGAGATGCGGGAGCGCGCCGACGCGTTGAATGCGAAGAAGGGCCGCGGAGGGGGTGGGAGGAATAAGTCGAAACTGAATCTGAATTTGTCCTCGATGAAATCGTCACCAGCGGAATCTGGTTCGGAGGATATGATGTACGCGAGGTGAGGAGAGAGTAATAACTCGAGCTGGATTCTTGGAGGAGGTGGCCGCACTGATTATGCACAGTGGTATGGTCGTAAAAATTGCGTTTCCGTCATGTACTTAGTTTCAAGGGTGGGAGCAGCTGCCGGATATAATACTTTGTTTTCTGTATGATTACGACAAGAAGGACAATGACTCATCTTTTTGATTTGATATACAGAGCTTTGGTTTCTCTTTCTTCAGTTTTGAGCTGATTAGATTTTGTTTCATCCGTCGCTTGCAACGAATGAAAAAACCTGACGGGAGCGGCACAGAGAAGGCAAGTTGAATAAAAAAAAATAATGAATGAAGAAATGAAAAAAGAAATGAGATAAAAAGACGGCGTGTCAATATGTTACTTACCTAGTAACGATTTTGCAACTCCTAGAGCTTCTTATACCCCGCGTTTTCTATATTTTGACAAAACAAACTTTCAGTTTCTAATTCAGTTCGTGAACGTGAACTGCGAGGCCGAAGTTACTTTGTTTCGAATCCAAGTGAGCTTAAACAGATAGATCGATGAAAAACGCTTGCGTTTCTACAGCTACTACAAGAACGCAAACAGAAAGAAAAATTACAGCACGAACTGCAAATAATGAACGAAATTTCAGATAACAAAATGCAGCGACTGGTAGACGATACATAACATCTACAGGAAATGAAAGCAGCTGCTGTAGTACTGAGATTCTCTACAACCAAAACGAACCAAATGAATCTGTTAAAGTGGTGCTTTTTCTTTTCTTAGGGTCCGTTTTTATAATTTTGCTCGAAGTTGTATATTGCAAAGCAGAGAACTAGTCCTCGAAAAAAACGCTTCACCTTTTCGTTTTCGACACTCGCAAGAACTAAAAAGCTGCTGCACAGCAATTCAATTCAGAATGCAATGCCGATGCGCAGACCATGCGCAAATGAACCATTAATCTCAAGAACAAAATGGGTTTCCAATCCGCGAGCTTGGTTTTTGGTTTGTATACGAATACAGAACAGAAACGAGAGGTATGAATCGCCAAAGGGCGTATTAACCCTCCAGATGAAAGAAGCATCTCAACTCCGACTGTTTATCTAATCCGCGGCTGAGCAATATGTTTATGTTCTTCTTGCGCGAAATGTTAAATTTGCGTGTGGGTGTGCCTCAAGCATGTTGTGTTTGGGTTTGCGAGACGAGTGAGTGGGGAACGAAAAGCTCAAAAGTAAAAGAGAGAGTGGCTTAGAAGTACTAGATAGTTGGATGTTGACTTCTGTAGCGGGTTCCTTGTTTTATCTAAGAGCGGCAAAAAGTCTGCTTTCTCGACCCTCGCTACTGGCGGTGCTGTAGTTGGTTCCGGTTCGTCACTCGGTGCAGTGTGGTCGTTTAGTTCCGTTGCCAAAAATCGCGAAGATGGTCCGTTTGGGCAAGATCTATCCCATCAAAATTCCGAAGGAGGTGGCCATTCGGAATGGGAAGCTGTCCTTGTTCCAGCTTGGCGTGCAGGTTCTAGTCGTGTCCCTGTTGTTGTGGCAGTTCATCAAGGAACGAATGTACTACGTGGTGCAGATTCCGCAGGGCTTTCCCAACGCATGGGTAGGCGGCTCGGGTAACGCGGATGCCTCTGCGGTGAGCGCGGACTACAGTTCGGACATCTGCCGCGACAACCAGTCCTTTCTGTACAAGTACTCCGCGGGCTGGACCCACGGGGCCTACCAGTGCCTGCAGACCCCCAAAGCGGAGGCCGGGTTCAAGATCGGCAAGCGCGAGATCTACTTTCCCACCTACTTCCGTGAAACCATCGTGGAGACGGAATCTGGGAGCACCTGCAGCTCCGCGTCGTTTTGCACGAGCTCTGTCAGCTGCAGCCACAACAGTCTCTCGCAGGCGCCGTTATACAACTTCGGCCAGAAGTGCTTCGAGGATGCGACCGAAAACAATGTCCCGGCGTGGAACGGCCCAGCTGGCTCGCAGTCCCCGTCGCACGCTCACCAGAACGTCCGGAAGTGTTCGTGTAACCAACAGTCGCACTACCTCGTCGCGGGTGTATCGTCCAGGAAAATGACATTTGAGCACATCTTCAAGGTAAGTACAGAAATTGGAATGTTCATTTTACGTGGGCAAATGCGAACGAGATCATGCAGAAGCGCAAGCGTCTGTGATGCATGAGAAGCATGGACGCCAGCATTGCATTTTCATTACAGTGCTCCGCAAGAAATCAATGGAACAACGTGAACATCGAATGCTGCAAAAGCATATCAAAGTTACAGCACAGGCAGAGCAAAGCACCAAATAAAAACCTTCAGGTTACCGCCGCGGACACGGAGGTTTCTGGTTCCTCTGGAACCCCAAAAGCGGTTGCGGACGAGGATGAGAACAAACTGCCGGTGGTGTCCATTATCATGCGGAAAGACCAGGACGGTGCCTACTCCGAGTACGATTGCTCCTACATACAGGTGGGCGGCAAGCCCGGGCAGTGCCGGTTTTCGGAGACCGCGGGCGTCCCGAACCCCCCTACCCTGACGCTGCAAGACTGGGTGGCGGCCGCCAGTAACGGGGACATCGACCTGCAAAACGCGGACGCACGCAACCCGTCCATCGCCAGCAACCAGGCGGGCTCGGGCTATGACGCGCGGGCCCCCTACCGGCTCACGGGAGTGGAAGTAGTGGTATCGATCGAATACGTGGGGCCGGCCTTCCACAACCGCATTCCGGATGACGTGGACTTGTCCGGCTTCGGCAATCACATGGTCGCGCTCATCAAGGTCAGCGTGAATCAGGCGATGTGGACGGGGCTCCCGCACCTGGCGTACCAGAAGCCCACGACGTCGTACTTCGGCGACATCAGCAACTTCAACAAGGGCAAGTTTCGCGAGCGCTACTACTACGGAATTCGGTTTCTGTTCACCACCTCCACTTCCTCCGCCTACGGGGCGTTTTCCTGGACCGATTTCCTGACCGGTATGGCCGTGTTCAAGGTGTACTTCGGTGCCGCGGGGGCCATCGTGGTGCTGTTCGCTTTGACCGCACTCGGCCGGCTGTCCCTGCAGTACAAGCGAGCGACGCTGACGCCCCTGGACCTCGAGTACGAGGCGACGCGGGTCGCCCCGGCGCGGATCCTGGTAGCGGTGTCGGCGTTCCACGGTATGTGCAAGATTCTGGAGGACGAAAGCCCCAAACTGCTACTCACGGACGAAAAGGGAAACCGGGTGATCCACGCGAAATCGGTGAACGCCGATGTGCTGAACAAGTGCTTTGGCAAGGTGTTTGGGTCGGGCAAGATCCAACTCGGCTCCGGGGGCATCGAGGCCTTGAGCGAGGCGGTGCTGGCCACGCTGGGCGACGAGCACAGTCTGGACGTCGAAAAGTTCGTCAACGCCTATCTTGCCTGCGATTGCTTGGACCTCACGGAGATGCAGCAGGTTTTCGACGAGGAAAGGCAAGTGGGCCGACTGGAGCAGTTTTTCGCCTCGCCCCTGGAGCTCCCGTTCGCGTGCGAAAACCTGATGAACCGGAGGGGCAATAAGGAGATTGACGGGTCCAGCCAGGAAGCGTCGCCGCGACAGGCCGGCCAGATCCAGATGCAGCAGCCGTAAATTGAATCGAGGCCCGCGGGGGCAACTGCTCAAAAAATGTTGATTTCCACGTCTCTCTCTCTCTCTCTCTCTGTTGTACAGTTAAGACGATGAGGAAAAAACAGATTTACTTATATTTGAAGCGAGGAACGTATTTGGAAGAAGCAGCCAGTTACCGTTCCCACGTGTAGCTGGTTTCTTGATGCACAGTAAAACTACTACGGTAAAAACACCATCAGAATTATCTTCCCTTGAGACCAGCAGCACTGTCTCTGCTAAAGAGCAGTAGATGGTACTTTTTTTTTATACAACTACTTTTCTTCCCCCTTTTTTTGCTGAATAGTTAGCCTCCTCACGTATGCGATAGCACATGGTCTGTCGGATGGTCTTTTTTCGAAGGCGCATCGCCAGCATTAATGTACGATTTGGCTTTTCATCAGACAATTTTCTCTGACCACACATGTTGAAGAGTTACACTTACACAGCACAACATAGGATGATGCGATCAGATACAGACTAGGACTAGCATGAACTGTGCATGAACTAGCATGATAGGCTAGAGGCTGTATTTCTCTCGCTCTGGAGCTTGACGCCTACGCACCTCGACTATGAAATTTTTGCGGAACAACTCCCATTTTTCCAAGAGCAAATTTATGCCCAGCATAAATACACGAGTTTGTGTCGGATTCTAAACAGACACGCGGCAGCGACCTCTCTCTTCTTTAGTGCAGCGGAAACCGAAACAAGTACAAGCTCTTTGGCTTGAGCGAAAAACTTTTTCGGCGGTTTGGTCTGTCTTTCTTTTCTCGTATACATAAATGATCCTACTAGTAATGATGACGCACCACAATTTCAGCACGGTTTCTGATGATCTGCTCATGCTCCGCTGCGTAACTACAAGTAACAAGCAAAAGCCGAGCATCATTTTCCCTGACAAACGAGGTCTCTTGACGATGATGCGACTCCATTGTTGGCATTGGCAAAAGGGGTCTCTGTGATCACAGTTGCACAACATTGATTAACATTTTCAGATCTAGTACTATTCAAGAAGGGAGTTTATTTCAGTCTCCATATGAATTTTTGTGCAGAAGCAGATCAATTTTAATATGCCATTCTGGAAGATGGGATTTTCTTCCCTCTATGCAGCCTTCCATTGGGCTGTACGCTGCGTGGCTGTTTTTCAACTTTTTGCTGTGTTTCTCCAACAAATTGGATGCTGCTCCAGCACGACCGCGGCCGCCCTCGAGAGGACAATCTCGCCTCCAGAAGATACAATCGCGTTCGCGAGGGAGAGGCCGCAGCGACCGAGAAGGGCCGCTGGCCCGCTGCCTTTTTCTGGAAACGACCATGGCTTGGCGACCACGTCCACGGACACAACAACTTCAACTGCAGCGCCGCCACTGCCAAGCTCGGCGAGAGGAAGCCGAAGCACTGACGTGACTACTTCTGATGAACTTCATTTTCACCATCACCACATTCAGCCTCGCAGTAGTGCCATACCTCCGCGTGGCGGTGTCTTCGCACCCGCATCTTCTGCATCATCTTCACGATGGAGGACAACGGGTGAAATAGCAAGAAGAGACCAAGGAGATGAAGAAGAAGAACCACGCTCGTGTTGCAAGGCCACCGGATCTTCTAGTTCAGGATCAGGTGGCACCGCCAGGAAAAGCTCAGCGTTGCAGCAGTCGTCTTCAGCCGGGGGACAACTAGGCTTTGCATTGCCATTTCGAGACCCGCGGGTTGTCGTCGACGTTGCGCCAGTGCGGCCGTTGTGCCGCGCGCGGCACTTTTTTCAGAAAACGTCAACAAAGACGCGATGTACAACTTGGGACGCTCCTCAGACACAGTCCTATGTTCATTCCGAAGCGGCTTCCTCAGCGGGCAGCGCAAGTTCCAGCTCGTCGTCTGAAAAGAAGGCGAGAACTTCTGAAGACGAGACCCCTGAGTTGCACGCTGACGATCACGCTCAGGCTCCGTCCTTTTTGGAATACCAGTTTCCCGGCTTAGTCTCACGCGCGGACGAAGTAGACCAAGAAGACTCATCGTCGCAAATAGCAGCTGGTCGTGGTGAAGATGCAAGTGCCAGTGCCTCATCAAACGAGAAACGGAGAGAAACGACTACGAAACCAACTACCGCACAAGGAAAAAACCACGAAGGTACACACACACCTCATCCACACTCCATTTTTTTCCAGGACCATCTCCCAAAAGAATTGCTTCCGCGGTTGAATGCCTTCACGGAAATGCCGAACATACCGCAGACCTTCGAAGCGGTCCACGTGGGCGTGCAACTCGTGCCGCAGAGCCGCTCGGGTGGTCCCAGTTTCCAGACCCATCTGCGGATCCAGGCACGGTTTGCCTTTGTGGTGCCCACACTGCACGCGTTGATCCAAAAGTTCCGGGAAGAGGTGAAAAAAACACTGCACGCCGCTTACGACGACTACGATTTGCCACACTGGTGGGCAGGCCGGGGTCGTCGTAGGGACGATGATCTAAATAATATGGCGAAATGGAAATGTAGTTCAACAGGAGCTCCTGCAAATAAACGTGGTCAACAAACAACTACTCCATCTAGTACCTCGGCGCACAACCTGTCTCTGCCACAACTCCTTCCCCCGCTACTTCCAACAGCGAGAAATGACGTTTCCCGGATCGATCCAGAGTTACGTGAGAAATTTTGCGGCGCTTCTGTAGATGAGTCCTCTGCAGCGTCGACTGACCGCGTTCGCCGATGGAAAAGGGCGAAGGCGAAAACTCGAGACAGGTTACAAGTGAAGCTGACCGACTCGGAGATCGATGAAGCTGACCAAGAATTTGACGTAGACATGGTGCATGCGCAAAAATTCGATCGGATTGCCGCAGTTTCTTACGGGTTCCGCCAGGGCATGAACGACGAAATCTTCGAGCGGTTAACTAGCAGCGGAAGCAGTACTAGCTCCTCAACACCTACCTCGAGCGCTGCCAGCACACCCGCTTTTGCCGCAAACGCGGGTGGTCGTCGGGAAGGAGAAGAGGAGCCGAATGATCTGACTATAATTGGCACCGACCACCGAACCAGTCCCTCTGTGGGCGCCGGGCTGGTGGGGTCTTCTAGTTCATCTAGTGCGGCTGCAACTGCATCATCTTCATCGTCGCAGCTGCAGCCTGGTTCTTTTGTTCCGCGCGACCAACAATCCCCCGCAGCACTCACAAGTACTCCGGCGGATCACGCAGCTGCGGACTCGATGCACGCTAAAGAGCAGCGACGACTGCGACACGAGGCTGCGTTTTACAAAAGACTAAAAGCGCTGCGCATGCTCGTTCGCAGCGAGTGGGGCGACACGGATTACATTCGCGTCCAAATCGGGCGGTTTACCGTTTCTTACTACGAAAGCAGCCGAGAAAATGCGAAGTCGGTCTTCCTCCCCTTTCATGTCGGTATGGAGGGGACGCCTGGAACACTGCTCGCCACCTACCTTCGGGACACCCAAATTTTTTCCTGTCACGAGATGCGGATGGCCTTCCTGCGGGCGAAAGGCTTTCCCACAAGTCTGGTCGCGACAAGACAGGGAGGTGCTGCTGGCACGACGGCGTTGGGACGTGGAGGAGAGCCGCGTAGTTCTTTTAGTCCACAACTGCAAAAAACGTTGTACCAAAGCAAATCTGTTGAAGCTGAGCTGCGCAATGAGTATGAGGCTAGGGGACCAGCAATGTTGGCTTCAGGTGGTTCCGAAAGGGCGCCGAGACGAATTATACGATCCTTGAAGTATAGCGTGGCGGAGGGGAGGTGGAGGAGTTTTGCTGAAGCTATTTCAGCAGGCACGGGACCCCGGCGCCGCCAGAAGAGGAGGTACAATAAGAGGCTGGCGGAACAACCGGGAAGGCTAGGCAGTCAGAATCAGGAACAACCCGCTCCCGCGGCGCAAGACGACGATCCACATCCAAGTGGCCGACCTGCGCAACGTACCGATCTACTTATCGGGGGGCACGATTTAGATCATCTCAAGGGAGATGCACTAGACGAGGAGGATGAACAAAACAGTAGCAGCGGAACCGATATGGACGACCCAGAGCTACTGGAAAATACTCTTCACACGGGCGAAGCGATCGGAACGTCCGCGAAGATTGCCTTCTGGGGCAACGGGTGGCTAGGCACCACGTACTTCTACCGCGACGCCCGGTGGGGCTTCATGCTGATTGCCACGGAAGTCGCAAATTTGATCGCTTTCCGAGTGCGGAAGGACGCGGGTCTTGCGAGCAAGAAGGTGTGGTCGTCGGCCTCGTCTGCAGAGATAAGCAGGCATGATGCTGATGCAGGCCGTCGTGGGGAAGATGATGCTCCTGTTGGCGACAATGACAATGATCGTGCTATGCCAACTCGTCGCAGTCGCCGTACAAGTAGTGCAGGACCAGGAGGCGAGACTTGGACTTCTAGAACCAATCCTGCTGCTCCTGTTTTTAACACGTCGACACACGGATTTGCTGGAATCAACATGAGCGCAAGCGTGTCGGGAGTTACATCACCTCCGGCGGTGGTGTACTCAACATCGACGGCAACTGCGACGCCCGCAGCAACAAGCTCGTCGTCTTCCTCCTCTAGCGCTCGCTCTAGAAGAACACACCGGGAGATGGAGGAGCACCATCATGAACACAGCCAAGCTGCGCGCAATGAGAAACCCGACACGGGAGGTCGAGGAAAAAAACACGTTGAAGGAGACGAGCCGCTTACGTCTAGTCTCCACGCCGAGCCGGACTTCCGCACAGCGTGGCCAGTACCGTACTCGTGGTCAGAGTCCTTTTCCGTGCTCGTCGGAACCCTTGCCCTGGCCAAGCGAGTCCGCGCCTCCCTCTGCAGCGTTGTTCGACATCTGTATGGTGTTTCTATGCCGGAGCAGGAGGAGGACGGGGAGGAGTTTTCTTCTGCACGGGAACAAATGTCGCGAGGCAGTTCCGGCGCAGCCTCGTCGTCTTCCTCACCGGGTACGTTTCGTCGAGATGATGCAGGTACGATGATAAAGCAGAAGATTTGATTTGTTTTTTTTCTAGAAACTTGTCTGCATTACTGTTACAACTCGGATAGAAGTTATTTCTGGCATGATGTCCTCATCAGGGTAGTTTTGACGATGAACCCGCCTCCTACTTCAACGATTTTATTCCGTAGGTGCATCTTCATCTCCACCTCCCGCCCACCACAACCTCCTCTCCACCCTGGACCCCGAGGCCCAGACGCTGCTCCGCCGGCAGATCCAGACGGCCTGCGAGCAGGCGGAGGCCGACGACACCGCACTGCAGGCGGACGAAATTCGGTCCGATCCAGACCTGGCGAAACTCCAGAAATGGCTGCCGCCAAACATCAACCTCGCAGCCCTGTTCGACTTCCGGGCGCCGCCGCCGGCCGAACTAGAAGAGGTGGAAAGCGAGGCGGGCAATGTTGAAGACCAATCTACTTCAGAACATGCAGGTGAACGTCGTCGAGACAGAACAGCTACAGCAACTACAGAAGACGAAACCACGACCAGACCGAGCGCTATAAGGGGAAGGAGTACGTCGACGAGCGCAAGGACAAGTTCGGTCTCTACAACATCCAGAAGGACCAGAAGCAACAGTGATCCGCGCAGCACAAGTAGCGGGAGAACGACGGAGCGAAACAGAAGCTCGTCGGTTCTTTTCACAACGACAAGAACGGCACCTCCCGGTGCAGCTGGGCTCTCTAGTATTGCAACCACTGCCACCTCCCGGGGACGCAGCAGCACTACTTCCCCCCGGCGGCCATCTTCCCCTCCGCGAACTACGAACGGCGGCGCGCGACGCTTCTCACCAGAGGAGTGGCGGCGCTACGTGGCAAACGTGCACGAGCCGAACTGGAATCTAGCGCCGCTGCCGGTGGGCGTGGAGGAAGAGGAAGATCAAGATGTGGAGGACGTGACGAGCATGAATGTGGAAAACGATAGCGAACGACTCCATAGTACCGGTATGGTACTCGACGGGAACGACGGTCAACTGTGGATACGAACGCAAAGGAGACCTCTGGAGCAGCAGGGTCGAGGACCCAGCACCGCCGCATCTCCGGTGGTCCTCCGGGAGCCGCAGTTTCTGCGCAGGTTACGATTGGTGCCTAGGTTGCACTCTCCCCGGGCGGCACTATTGTTTCTGTCCCGCGCACTGCATCGCCTCCCGCTCGACGTACCGGTTTTGAATTCGTGGACTTTTTCTAAACCTGCACAGGAGAAACATCATGATGTCAAGTCGGCTGCATCTTCCGCAACATCTTCCAGAAACAAGGGGATCAAGCAAATAACATCGGCCGCCGCGGCGGATTACGTTGAACGGATTCAGAGCCCTAGCGGCACACGTCGTGGTTCCTCTACGTCACGCCCGCTGAATATCTGCTGGTCTCCTCCGCGACTTCCGAGCGAGACACGGGCGGTCCCCTTGAGGACTATGGCGGTTGCGCAGAAAAACACTAGGATATCGACTGCCGGGAGCAAACTGGACAATTACGACCACTGTGACGGAAACGCCGCGATCCTCGTCGGGGAGAAGGGGAGTGCGAGTGGTGGTTCCGAAGACAGTTTTTTGCAAACTGCGGATTTCAACTACAACAAACAGAAGAGCATTTTTCCCGGCGTCGCTTCCCTCAACCAGGGTCTGTGGAACGAGGAGAGGTTGCACGACACAGCAATGCCCACCTTTGCACAATATGTCGACTCCCCACAGTTTCCTTCGGAATTGTTAATCCCGCAGGAGCTGGCGCACGACTTTGGGCTGCTCAACAATTGGTACAAGACCGGCCTGTCGGGGCGGGACCCCGCTTGGCCTAACGCTTGGCCGAGAACCGCAACGGTCGTGCTGGAACTTCAAAGCGGAAATAGGGAGTGGTACAACGTGTCTAATTTTGACGCAGCTGTAGGTGGAGCGACTAGCACTTCCGCCGCGGAACACGAAACCGCAACCGCAGCGGCAAACGCAGCAGCTGCACGAAATAACGGCGGGGGCAACAATGTTGTTTTTGGTCCTCACCCCCGGCCTCAGCCCGCTCCGGCCCGACCGCCGACACGCCGCGGGTTCGGAGACATGGCTACGATGCTGTTGGGTCGAACCAGAATGGCAGGACCGGCGGTGCGAAACGTCAATGCGGCACAGGCAAATAACCCGAATGGAGATCCTGCTCGTTTTATTCCCAATCCCACTGGGTCTACGACTTTGACTCCCGCGGAAGATGGTGACGCGTCGACGACGTCAACTTTCGCAAGCGTTCTATACTTTCATCGCCAGCTGCCCCCCATCACCGGGTCAGCTGCCTCCGACGGTAGTTTTGGAGTCACAGGATACGACCCACGAGGAGGTGCAGGGGAAGCAAGACCGCGAACCAGGGTGGTTCGACTGTAGTGGTCGCATACGCAAATGAAAATGAGCAGAGGAGCTCCAATCCCAATCCGTTTTTGGCCGCCGCGTACGCGGCGCACGAAGATGAAATCATCATGCCGGCGTGTGATAACAAGTAGTCCACCTCCTCTCGGTCTCGACTATCTCGCGCTCCTCCCCACGGACTCGAGGACGTCGAATTCGACGAGCGCGCACTGGGAGTTCGCCCTGGCCCTACAGTGCTCCTGCATGTGCACGTCGCGCGTGATCATTTTCCAACGATGTGGAGGGGATTCTGAAAGCCACTGAAAAGTCGCGTGTCTCCTGAACTGTGCAGGCAGCTGCGCTCTGCGCTTTTGACGTTTTGGTCAGCGGTGGTCGCTTGAACTGTTTTTGTCAAAATGCTTTCACGAGAACTCAAATGTCATGAAAAACGCCAAAATGAACAATAGTTATGAACAAGATCATTAGAAAATAGCAGCATCAGTTTCAGTACTTCTGCACCCGTTGCAGTGGCAACGATGGTGCTGCGGGATTCAAGATAGATATGATGTCCAAAAGCAAAACTTTATCTGGTAGAAGCAACCGCTGAAAAAGAAATACAACATGCACCTTAAAGCATCTACTCCAACATCAATTCGGGGTATCTAGAAGACTCGTCGTGCCCCCACCTCCTGCGCAACGAGAATATAAAGCGAGTAAGGATCCCATGAGGTGAGATATTCAGATTCAGGCCGTTGATTCGAACGCACCAGGCGCCATCGCCTTTGCGTCATCAAAGATTTGTCACGCGTAGCCGTAGTTGGTTTCAGGAACGTGAAGAATGAATATCTACGATCCTGACGGAAGTGGAAGCCGGTCTGCCTCTGCGTACCAGGCGAAACCGTGCTACGCCACGGAACTTTGTTTCTTTCTGGAAGGAGATGTTGTCAGTAATATCTCATCTACATCTTCTACACGATGTTCGTCCCGCTCCCAATCGTAGTGTGGTCGTTCTGGTTATGGTTTTTGCGTTGTCACCACCATCTCTTTGCTGTCTGTATTGAAGAGCGATCTCGCATCAACAAAGAAACCTAGAGAAACAAAATGGAAAATATGGTTACAGTGCCGAGAGGAAGTAGTCTTCAGACTACATTACTGAAACTCGAAGCCCCGACAAGGTACAACAAGAAATGGCGGTGTTTTGTCCGAGTTCTGAAAAAACAAAAAACTCCTAAAAGAGACTTCATGGACTGCGGCCAGCGCCAGAAGGAAATTCAAATTTCTAATCACGACCTAACGCGTGGTAAATCCGTTCAGTTTTGATTTTGAAGTGCACAGGAGCAGTCTTTCCGTGCTTGTGCGTATACATTAGCATTACTTGTTGTTAAACAAGATGTCGGAAATAGTGACCAGCGCCAAGAAGATGCCGATCAATACCGCCGAAGCAGACCACGTTGGACATCAAACCGCGAAGTAGACCACCACCTGCACGATGCGCAATCAACCGGCATCAAAACCGGGACAACTACAGAACACGATGCAACCACGTCCACCGCAGCTCCCGGACAAGGTGGACCGCACCCCGGGGCCGCAGATGAGGGTGAGCGACGTTCTGCGGTTCTGTTTCCCGCAGGACGACGTGCGCGCGCGGAACGAGAAAAACGAATTCCAGAAGCGGCACGCGAAGGAAAACAAAAAGCCCGGCCACTTCTACGAGTTCAACCTGGCGGACGACTCCCCGTTCGGTCGGTTGGACTGTCTCGCCCTCTTCGGCCCCCTGTCGCCGGACGGCTACCTGTGCCAGAGTCTGTGTCTCCCCGGCTCGGGGCTGCAGTCGGTGCGGAAAACCCGGGCGTGTGAGGAGCGGAAAAGAGCGAAGGCAGTTGCGGAAAGAAGGAGGATCGAGGACATCCGGAAAGAACTCCGGCGGGCGTTGGGAATCACGAGCGAAGATGCAAGTGGATTGATGGCGTTAGGGAAGATCACAGCACTTGGAGGTGCAGGTGCAGCCGAAGACGCAGGTGGTTTTCACGACGCCTCGTCTGGAGGTGCACAAGAAGCACACCTCGACCTCGACCCAACCACGCCCGCAGATGATCGACCATCCGCTCGTCCTGATCTTCCAGGTGGGACCTCCGCGCAAGTTCAAGTGAGCTTCGCCGAGCCCGCCCCAACCGAGCAGGCAAGTATGACGCCGGCGGATGACGCTTTTGCCGCAACTATCAAAAGGAAAAATCCCCCCTCCCCATATCGAAAATGTATGTTTCTAAAGATTTCTGATGCTGATTTCTGACCACAAATCCTGTCTCTCTTGCAAGAGGGCAAACTCAGAGACCCCGCCACGATATTCAGGCGGTTTGTAATGCTGCAAAGCCTATAGGGCAGATGCCTGCCATGCTAGGCGCCTACACCAAGAGGCCCTCCCTTAGGCTTACGATCTGCGTGCAGTCCTTTACTGCAAGACAAATGCGATTTGTGTACTCAAATACAGCAACGCAAATTTGGTTTTCGATATGGAGCGGGGGGATTTTTCCTTACGATAGCGACCGACCTACTTTTCCCAGCGAAGAGAAGATTCCGGCCACCCCGAACCGGACTGGCCAAAGACATTGAGATTGCGCGACCGGAAAGGAAGGAGCAAGAAGCGACAGGAACTAAAGCAGGCAAAGCCAAAGGCTCGTCTTCGGCCCCGGGGGGTCAAAAATCAGCTGCGACCACCGGCGCTGCATCTCCATCTGTTGACATTTTCGGGTTTGACGAAAAAGCAAAAACAAGCGCCGGCTCCAGCAACTTTTCAAAGACGAGGCTCCGACGTCCCGCGGAGCACTGGGAAGCACGGTTATCAAATGTAAAAATGTCTGGGTCTGGATGAAGAGTCGCGGCTTGTCATGCAGGTTTTCCATGACGCATGAGGTCTGGAATTGTGTACCTAGCACGACAAACTCTTCGAGGTCTCTATGATGCCTATCCTGCATGAGAAACTCCCTCCCAACTTGGTCGAAAGTTGACAGGTTTTGGCACTCATGCAACACAGATCTTTGCATGATTCTGATTTAGGTTTAGCATTACAAGTTCCACTCTTCCAGACCCAGACATATTTGCAATCCATATCGGTTGCTGGAGATCAAAAACGCCGACGAAATGATCGGGTCCAGCGAAGACCCCTACGTCAAGGGCGTGCGGCAGGAGCTTTTGAATGCCATCGAGATGGAGCTGATGGATGAACAAGGAGGCCACGACGACGGAGGAGGTGCTCCAGCTACACGAGCTGGTCGTGGCCATGAAGATGACGACTCTTCTAGCTCGGACGAAGAGGTTGATCGCGTTGTTGTCAACATGGCTTCCTCACCAAGGAAGGGAGCGGTAGAAAGTCCTGCTCCGGGCGATAGCAATAGCGTTGACAAAGACCATGACAATCACGGCTCTCTTGAAGACGGCAGCACATCGTCCCCTTCCCCCACCAAGAAAGCGGTCCACCACCAGAGTAAAGCCAACGCTCGGGCCGAGAAAGCGCGGCGACTGTTGCTACAGGAGCTGAACCTGCGCAGGGAGGAGGACATTCGTCCGGGGCGACGGCTGAAGTACGACGTGGGCATCGTGAAAAACAACAAGGCCCTCGCGGACGCAGAGGCCAGTGTATGGGAGGGTGCGCTGAACCGGGTGCGGAATCGGGACGAAATCGAGCAGAAGTGTATCACACCAAAAAGTGTTGACGTTAACGGAATTTGGCATGCAGGAATACACGAGAAACTATGCCCAAATTTGTATTGCATAGCATGCATGATAGTGAAAATTTGTCATGCATGACGGCAATGCCCCAAAAGCAAAACCGTTAAAACACTTTTATTCTTTGCTTGATAAAGTGGATTCAGAGCATCGTAGACGAGCTCGAGGAGCTGAGCCCGGCGGGAGCCGGGCTTGGAGGTTCTGCACAGATAGACGCCAGCATCAGCAACGGCAAGAAAACTGAAGCAGGAACCACTGTGCCGGGGGATGCAAATACGGAGGAAATGGATGTTCAGAAACGCCGGGCAGTTGCAATTCAGCAGAGGAGGCTGACGAATCAAGAAGTAAGTGCCGCTGATCCGCTGATATAGTACAAAAAGCGAATGCGAAAGATGAAAGCTTTTGTTGCTTGATAGTGCTACTTATGCTTTGTACTATCTCCCGCGATGATGAAAAAGAAAATGTATGAAAAGCGAAAAGCAAAAAATAAACCCATCAGATCTACACGATGTACCGGGAGGTGCACTTGCACAAGTGGCGCAAAGTGTTTCCGCAGTACACCGGGTGTTTCGACGACCTTTTGTCCCTTACTCTTGGCCTCGTCGACACCGTCAAACTCGGCGCGGAGAAGCTCCAGCAGCGCCCCTCCGCAGTGCCGAAACCCTACCTCGCCAACCTGGGCCAGGCGCCGGACGCGCTCACCGCCGGCAAAAACACGGCGCACTGCGTCCCGCCGTATGGACGGGACTCGTGGCGCGCCTCGTGGCGGAACGAGGGCGTGTACGGGGCCATGTTGGAGCACGAGCGGAACCAGTGGTCCCAGGTCCCGGACGTGAAGGAGCGGAGTGCGAAGCGAAAGGACCACTTCGAGCAGAGACTGAAAAAAAAACTCTCCGCCGTAGACGGCATCAAACCGAGTGGCGAGAAGTACAAAAACGCCGAGAAAATCCGGAACATGCGAAAGGAAATCCAGCAGGAAGTTTTTTCCCCCGGACTAGCGACGCTACCCCGAGACGCTTTCTTGCAGCGGGGCGGGGGGGAGTTGAGTGTGGATCTGACGGCTTCTTCGCCGTTGAATCGTGCTGGTGACGGAACAAAGAGTACATACGTGATGGTGCCGAAGGGAGTTGTTGCTGGAGGAGGTAAAAACGTCGACAGCTCCGACCACCTGGTCCAGCCCATCCGGCGACTAGATCTTCCGAAACACTCGCCACGGGGGATCATAAACAATGGCAAAAATGTACCTGCTGTTGCGTCGAACAAGAACAACAGCAAAACTCACCGCAAAACCAACACGAGTTCGACTTCAAACCGTGTTTCGAATTGCGTTTACACGGTTGAAGACGTTTTGTATTTCCTGCAGAATTGCATCGTCAGCGACTGGCAAACCGGTGCGTCCCCGCGAAACCACTACAATGTGGATAAAGTAAAGGCGATCAATGTTGATGTTCCTGACCTGTCGGTGTCCTCGTCCTCTCCACCCGGTCCTACCACGACTACCCAGTTGCTGACGACCGACCAAGTGATTGATTTCAAGCGATTCCAGGCGAAGGTGGTGGAGAATTTGAAAAATCGGTTCGAAAAGGCGAAGTTCCTCGTGCAGAAAGTTCGGGACCCGTCGCTGCTCGCCCAGGACTTCACCGAAGCGAGAAAAAACGCGGAGTTTGTCAAGGAAAAAACCATGCCACCTATTCCAGTCACGCCGTCCATCGCACAACAAGTGGAAGCCTATGTGCGGGAGAACGGGGCCTTCATGGTACACCCGCTGCCGGGCAAGATGAAGCCGTCGCCGCGGGGACGGAGCAAGTCGCCGCAGCCGCGGTCACCCCGGCACAAGCGGGAGCCGGCGTTGAAACTGCCGCACTTGAGCGGGAATGGCGGCACTGGAACCCACAATTGGTGGGCATTGTGAATTCTTTCTGTTCTTGAATGAATTCTTACTCTTTATGGTAAGTTGTATGATTTTTCAGCCTGCTGTCATTTGACTTGCTTTTGTTTCTTGAAATTGACTGTACTTTACTTAAGTTGATATTGTGAGATCATGCCCGCGAAGGTCAACGTTGGTTGACGCGGGAACAAGTTTCGTGTACTTGTAGGATGTATTGGCCGAGAAGCCACAGAAACAGCCCCAGGAAAACAATTCTAACACTGTGAATGGAGCGGGTTACTGTGGATGGAGCACAGTGGAGGTGGTTATTAGGCTTCAAACAAAAAATGACATTTTTTGGACACGCTATAATCAGTTGTAGTTGGTGGTAATATTGCGTTTAGCTTTCTGTTCGAATCTGAGTCGGGCACGGATTCGCTCCTGCTCCAGGCTATCGATAATTGTGGTTTTTCTTCTTGTTCGTCGTTGTGACATGTGCGTCACGGAGAACACGCAAAAACACAGGAAGTTTTCGACGAATGGGTATGGTTCAGCAACCACAGTATACGTATGAGTTGGTCGAAAAGGATCGCTAACTTCTCAGTTATTTTTGTTGTACGCGACCATGAGCTTGCTCTGGTCCAGGTCGAATGGTGGATCCCCCGCTAGAGAAGAACTGGATCCGGTTCATCTAGATCTCAAGGCGGGCTGCAGAAGTATTCTCGGCGTTTCAGAGTTCCTGGGGAAGCAAAAGGGTTCCCAACGGCAACGGGAGTTTTAGTGGAAAGATCTCAACGATTGCGATCCTACTTTCAAGAATTGCAGATTGTTATCTCCCGGCAGGAGGAGGAACCAGTTGGATCTTCTAGCACAACATGTGTGGAGATCAACATCCCGATCCTGCTGAGTAAGTCATCATTCGTTCTTCTCGCGCAGAGAAGCGCTTTCGTCCTGGTTTGCTGCCGGGAATTTGTTATTGTTTCTGTGTTTGGGTATAATTCGTATAGCTTATGAAAAACGAACAAATTAGTACAAGTTCTTGACGCACGTGTTTGTCTCACTGCTAGAAAAGGAAAACAGAGACAAAATCTAGGGAAACACAACAAGACACAGCAACTAACGGCTGTACTATGTAGAGCTGCGAGATTTTCATGTAATTTTGTGTCTTTGGCAGAGCAGACCAAGTGTAGCTTCCACAAAAATACTGGAAATAACAAAAACATATCTGTGCCAGAATCGTTTGATTTCCTCCGGCCAATTACGTATATCACTTTTTTCAAGCGACTTATCCAGCGAGCGACAACAATGCTAGCACTCAAAGCAGTGCGAGTGCTGTGAACTCCGAAGCGATAACTTTCAACCGCGACCATGCCGGCCTTCTGATTTCGACTACCTACGAGGGGGTTTATTTTTTGGTTGGAAGAGCCGTAGGCAACTACCCGAAGAGGACAAGAGAGGGGGCAGGGCACGAAAAAACCGATTGGGAACATTAACCACGGACGCGGCGCCCGGGTTGTAATAGACGACAATGTCGCCGTCGTCCCACTGGAGTAGAAATGGGCGCGATCGCTCCCCATCCCCGCACCGACGCCGTGACAGCCGGGATCGCGGTGGACACCGCCGTGCTCATGAGAAGGGCAAAGGCAAACCGCGATCGCCTAGAGGCCACCACTGGTATAATACCGACCGCCCAGCCGCCTCGCGCTACAACGAGCCGCCTCGCGGAAAGGGCCCCTACGACTTCTACAATCAAGATCGCACACCATGGTGGGAGGAGCGAAAGGGCAAAACAGGCGCGGAGGACGCGGGAGGTCGTGGTGGAGGATTTGCACACACCTACCACAGCAAGGCACTCTGTTTCTATATTTCGTTTCGGGTTCATCTCCTTCTCTTCTGAGACGTTCCCGAGTTCGCTCTCGGGCGGGGAGGTTTTCACATGCATCTGAACAAAATTGCGGGCTTGCATTCATTTCTGCTCTTGCTTTTCGCTTTCGGATAAGAAAGTAACCATGTGAACAAAGAAGACACCGCATCCGCATCATCTATTTTTCAAGAGTAATCGATCTTCTATACCCTACAACAGGATCATGTTGCGAAAGGAGAGGCTGTGACAGGAAAGGGAAAAGGAAAGGCGACCATGAATGCGTTCTTTGCGCAGCAGCACCACTACGCCTACCCCAGCAACCAGCCTGCCCCCAATACTGGTCACTACGGAACGAAATCGGGAAAGAACGTTGACAAGGGGAAGAGCGGCTGGCATGCGGTCACCAAGGGGAAAAGCGTCGATCCACCTCCGCCACCGGCGAATAATACACTGACTGTATTTTTTACAACTATCATCTATCTTGCCTATTCATACAGAAAGTTCATTGCTTGCAGTTGCCTCGCTCATTAGTACTAGCAACAAACATGGCCGCTTCATCGTCGCGTGGCTTCATGACGCCGCTCTTGATCTGTTGGAAGCTTCGCGTACTAGACCGTTCTTTTTTATATACGTACTCCAAGGTTTTTCGTGGAAAGCCCGGCTCAAATCAGCACCACGATCCGGGGGCGATTCCAATTCGGATGGGAAAGAGCACCACTTCCGTTGTACTGAGTGTTTTCCTGCTGCGATGTACTTCTACTTCAGTGCAACATGTTTTGCGTTTTTTCCGCCGAAGAACAAAAAGTATATGCTTGCCGGTACTACTAGATGTAGATGCTGACGTAGACCACGACTTTATGCCTGTACACGACAGAGCACATGGTTCTTCCAGGAGATGAATTATTCTACCTCGAAAACTAAACCAGGACATCGACATGCTGGCTTTAGCCCAGGCGCAGAGCCGTATGCAAGAGCAACAGCAAGTACAGGTAGCAGGAGCCGCACCGCAAGCTGGCAACGGCAACTCCCAGCGACAGGATCAGGAAACCGAATCGCGCAGCGAGCTGAGACAGCGCGTCGCGGCGAGAGAAAGACAGCTGAAAGCTGAGGCCCTAGACAGAAAAGAACGGGAGGAGCTTGAGGCCGTACAGGCAAAAGAACGGGAAGCACAGGAATTGCACCGATTGGAAAGAGAGCGGATTGACAAGGAGGAAGAGAGGGCTAGGAAGGACATCGCAGAGGAAAAAAAGAAGTGCCGGATCGATGCTTTGATTCGTGGGAACAAAAAGGACGACTTGGTGGAACTCTGTCGGAAGTTGGAGATCAAAACCGCGAAGAGCAAAAGCACGATGAACAAGCCCGAACTTGCGAAATTAATTGCGGAAGCGGAGGTGGTGCGGGAAGCGGAAGCCGAAGCAGAAGCTGCAGAGAAAGAGGAACAAATCCAAAGTGGGCCGGAAGGTAATAACCCAGTAACGAACAGGCACAGAGCCGGACAAATGTCGGGCAACAACAGACTGAGGCGCCTCTACTATCGCAGCCCAATCTTGATTTTTTTCTTTTACTTTCAGCTAACGTCTCGGTATCGTTTGTCTGATCAGATCAGGGCGGCGAGGGATCTCACAGCTCGCGCAGGAAGCTCTCTGTCCATCCAGTTCCGAATGGTGACTGACACATATGCCATAAGGATAAAAAACTTCTGTCAGGTACCTCCGCCGGGGCCGGCCCGAGTTCCGCCAGTGCGAAAGATGAGACGGGCTCTACCTGCCCCTGGTTTCTGCAGAAAATGGGAGAGCCGGACAAGAAATGGGGGCAGGAGTACGTCTGCAGGCTCTGCGAGCATTTTGGCAAGCCTCATCGCGAACTTTTTGGCCTGACCGATGTAAAGTGGCACCTCTCTCGTCAGAAGCATGGCAAGGCGAAGAACTGGCATGACGAATTACATGCCAGCGAGATCGAGAAACTGAAAAGCGAGCGGAGTGGTCCGCCGGCTTGGGGGGGGCGCGTGGACTTAGAATACCGGGGCGAGGCATAGAAGTGTGGGGCGCTTCGAAAGCTTTGTTTGCAGCCGTTTGCCGATACGCAGGCACGAGAGGACTGCAACCGCTTCATCGGTCACGTCTTGGGCGTTCCGAAACGAGAACCAATCTCCTATTCTTTTTTATATCGACGACGCACTAAATTATACACGTAAATTTTGTAGGCGATAGCGACAGGTCTTCGAAAAGCGACACAAAAGGGGCGACAGTGACACCTTCAGTTTGTCGAGGACATTCACCTACTGCTACTTTCCACGGACGAAGGAGGGACCCATTTATATCTTCAACTTGTCCATCTTTTTCCTCCCCTGGCTCGAAGATAATCATCATACAGCAGGCTAGACATGATTCTGGATCTGGATGAAATTATGACATAAGCGCCTTTCGTGTCGTCCTCGTCCTCATTGATGTTGTTGTATTTGTAGCGCGAACTGATCAAAAAACCAACATATATATAAAAGGAAAAATAAAAAAACAACAAGAAAAGGAAGAGCTCGAGCTTTGTTGTGTTTCCATAAATGAATTGCCCTCGTCGTTGTCGAGTTTCTGTTTCTGTCATAAGGGGAAGTCTGGAGAGACGAAAGAGTTGTGTGTCGAGAGGAAAATGAATGCTGACATTCATTGTTGCTATCTCCAAATAATTCTCAATGAAACGCTGTGGGTGATGGGTTTCGCTTTCGTTTTCTTACGTGTCCTCTTTTGTAGTAAAGTGAGAAGACGCAGACCGTTAAACCAAGTGGTGCGTCGAAAGTAAAAGGGTCGTACGTAGAGACGAACACGAAACCATGTCGCATTCCATCCAGGTGGAACACGAGCATGAAGCCATTTGTTTCTTAGATCGCAAAAGTGAGAACCTACCACATCTGCAGTAGTTCACTTCATTCATCTTGACCTTGTTCAATTTCTCTCACCTTCATAACCTTCACCTCCGTTCCCATTTTTTCCTCTGTTAGAATACGAGAGAAGCTCTCTGCTCCCGATTCACAGTTTATTTGTGAGAAAAAGGTATATCATGCGTGTTCATCAGATGCTATGTTTCCGTGTGATGTTCTTGCTCCTCTCCTTGCCGTTGGCCGCGTTTTCCCTGGAGGAGGCCGTGGTGGATAAAGCGGCCGACATTTTTAGTCCCGTGGGAGCGCCCCAGATCTCCAAGGGGAAGGTGTATGGCCGCAAAGCCGGCTCGTCTACGGAGGGTATTTATTATTTTTTGACTCGCAGACTTCCTCTTCCACAACTTCGACTCCAAAACTTTTCGCGCGCCTCAGCTCACTCAATTTGACACAATGAATGTGATTGCTCATGCAACGACGAACGTATTCTGAATCTGATTTGGAAAACGACTCTGAAGTCATTCGCTCGTCAATTGAAAAGTCAACACGCAACAACACAGGCGCCAGTCCGTCGGACCTCCGACCGACCCAGCGCGTTTACCCCGATGACGCGCAACAAATCCGCGCTGAAAGAAGTGCCGAAGCACCGAGTGCGCCAACTGCGGCAAGCGCGCGACATTGCGAAAGCGGCGGAGAAACACGCGAACACGATGACCGCGGATCTCGTCTTCGAGTACGGCGCCAACGCTGTGCAGTTCGGTCTGTTGGACGCCGACGAGAGCGGGCACCTGGAGGGTGCGGAAATGGAGGCTTGCCCGCCGTCGGCTGATCTCAATCAGGACAAGAGGCTGGACCTCGGCGAGCATGATCAGTACTGCTCCGGTGCTCTTTCGGAGGGAAGCGGTGTTGCGTCCTCTTTTATTCTGTCCGAGGCCCCGGTGGTGAAACCGTCGAAAAAGACATTTGCGGGGTATGGGGTGCAGAAAGGCCGGGTGGTAGTGGTGTGGCAGTTGGGCGATAGCACAAACCCCACATATGTGCATGACCGTAAGATTGCGAACATTCTGTTGTTTTTACATCGTGACTCTACCATTCTTTTTGGCATCGTATTTTAAATCTAGATGAGTTGAAAGAAAGCAATCCTCAGTCAATATCATTCAGCCGAGAAGAACGAATACAAGCGGTACCTCGGAACGGATTTGTTTGAAACAGAGGAGGAAGCGAAAAATTTTTCTTTAGCGACCCGCGCCGATGCGTCAATGGTATTTACGTGCACCCGATTTCTGTTATTAGGGCTGTTTTGATATATATCATCTCGACTGAAGCTATCGGTATTCGTATAGAGCTAAAGGATTCGGACCATCGTACATTTCTCGTAGTGGCGTAGAAATACTAATACAAATAGAGTCCTCGTACTTGTAAAAATTAATGCATGCAACTACTACATGATGAGAACGCACACACGATGAAGAAAGGAAGAAGACCGATCATGATAGGTCTTTGATTGCGCGCTGGCAGGCTTTTTTGTGAACCTAATATACGCACGGCACAATGTTGGAGCTCATAACTAGCAGCACCCACATCCGTTGCCTGAGGATCGTAACCGCATGAAATTTCCTAAAATTGCCGCTCACCACACTCTTACATAGGGAACGCCGAAAGCGGGGCAGTGCTGCAGCTTGTTTTCTGGGTGGGAGCTCCCGTCGTTTTTGCGGAGCTCGTGAACGCAGAGCGAATGACCTATTTGATCGACTACTACCCAGAAAGGCAAGCACCAGGAGGCGGGTATATTCCTGCGGTGTGCCGCCATGGCTCACCTCTTGCTTTAAGTGATTCGTTGCTCGCGCTTTGTTCTTTTATGGGAAGATGAAATAGGTAGTAAGATGGATGTGGAGTGAATATGTATAACAGCCCTTCCGGGAGTGGGAGACGAGCAGCCCTCCAGCCGTGCCACATATTGCCAGACTTTCTGACCATTCGCTGGGCATCGCAACCAAAAACTACCTCCAGTCACTCAAATTTCTCAGCACGAAGCTTCACTGAAGAACAAGAAGCTGCTGGCCACGCGAAGATTTATTAAATTCCTCGTCTTCAAGTGTGGCGCTGCCGCTGGAACAGGCGAGACCCTTCTCTTCTTCCTCTTCCTTCTCCTCTTCTTCAGCGCATCAGCCTAGTACTTCCTCCTCTTCAACATCCAGCTCTGGTCCACCCAAAGCTACTTTCCGGCCGGGGGACGAGAAACAACGTCACGGTTGCCGTGATCATGGGATGTCTACTTAAGTCTACGTCACAAAGTGAGAAGACGTCGATACCCGGCTCATGGTCATGCAAGGCGTGAGGCCTCCTTTACTTCTTTATACCCCCGCTACGGAAGCCGAGGAAAACCAGGAAAGCAAGCGGAAGGTGTGAGAGGTGAAGTGGAATCGGAGCGATGTGGAAAAGAAGTAGACGTAATAGCAAACATTAAAAACAAGCAATATTTGACCAAGTCAAAAACAAAAGCATAAAAGCACGACAGGAAAGGAAAACTATTTTACCAAAATGCGACCAGGTCCTCTACTGTTTTTTCAATGGTTTCAAATATATTTTTCATAAACAAAATCAAAAGCATTCTTTGTTTCTGTTAGTACGTAAGATTCAAACTCAAGAATACAGACAGGCCGCCCTTTTTTTATGTTTTTATGTTTTTAAGTTTTTTAGGTTTAGCTTATTTTCCTCAAGCTTGATTTTTCTACTACGGTTTTTTCATGAGTAGAGAAGTCCCCCTTCTGTGGCAAGTGAAGGTGACAAACTTAGAACAGAGGCGCAGAGCCTGCTCACATCGCCTCCCAGGATCCTCCATATGCGAGCGATTGACTGAGACAAAGGCTAGCGCATTGTAGAGTGATTGGCTGTCTGTTACCATGCGCGCAGCGTTCTTTACTTTTTGTATTGTGGGTTTATTTTTTATTTTTTTTGTGTTGTTGTTCTTCGTTCTAGCTCTCGAGGAACCTCGTCAGTTATTTTTGCTGGTTCCTATTGCCACGGCGCCGATCAAAATAGAGAAAGCGCCAAGTGCAAGCTTGTTGCAGTTTGAAACAAGTGTCATCTTGGGCTGCGGAAAAGAGAGGAAGAAAGTTGTAGTGAGTTTTGAACTTGATAAAATTCTGATAGGTCTCCTCGTGTCTTCATCGCTGCCATCGTTGCGAATGTTTCATCATGAAGAGTGAAGTCGAAGTAGTGTTGTGACGGTGTCGAGAGGAGACAGGTGGTACACGTGCGAGTTGATTTTAGATGCATTTTGCATTCAAACTCTGAGATGAGAAAAAATATAAGGAAAAAGTGAGCGTCTATAACTCCTCGGTGTTGTGCTTGTGCTAAAAGTAAAAGCAGTGTCAGTGATGTAAAGATTAATTCTCTATAGATACTTACTTTCCAGTAAGTGGCGGAGAAGTAGAAGAATAGAAGGAAAACAGTACCATGTCGCATTCCATCCAGGTGGTGGCGCGGCACGACGTGGCCATCACGAGTCCGGTGTTTGGGCCGAACAACGACCTTTTCACCATTTCGCGAAACGGGGACATCTACCGCTACCTCGGCAACACCGAGACGGACAGCGAGTTCCAGGTCGAGTCTTGGGGCAACAGCAGCGGACAGCCCCTCGGGGTCCTCTTCGATCCGCAGGGGGTAGCGTTCGTCTGCGACTGCGCGCACCAGGCCATCTTCCGTATCCTGCGAACGGAGGAGGAGGGGAGCGCGCCCCGACAGGAGATCGAGCCCTACGTAAAGGAGTACGAGGCCCAGCAACTCCTGGGTCCCAACTCCGTCTGCCTCGGCCAGCAAAGCGGGCTTTTGTACTTCACGGACTCCGGCCCCCTGGGAGAGACCAGCGTCCAGAACCCAAAAGGTTCGGTGTTCGCGATAAACCCGGCAACGCAGCTCCTCATCCCACTCGCCTACAACTGCCTCGCGTACCCGAGCGGAATTGCCTTGACAGCAGACGAGAAGGTGCTCTACGTGGCCGAAACCAGTATGAACCGGGTGCTGCGCTTCACGCAGTCGCCCCCCGGGGTCTACCACTGCACCGTCTTTCACCAACTTAGTGGCCGCTTCGGACCAACAGGTACCTCCCAGTACAAGTTTTTTGTACGACTGCATGCAATTTTCAAATTAGAAGAAGCTGTCTTTTCTTTGGTCGTTTGGTTTAAGGATGTGATGTAGTTGTGCTGCAGCCCGAAGCACGACTATTGTTATTGATACAAAATGAACTACAAGACGGCTCGACGCTCCATAAAAACTCCTTCAGCCTTGGCCGTGTCATCCACGGGGGATCTTTTCGTGTCGCATTTTGACTTCGTCGACAACACGGAGAACGGCAGAATCGTGGTGATTGACCCAGAGGGCGAAGTTATTCGCGAGAAAAAAACACTGCTTTCATCTTGTCATTTCGTATGCTGCACATAGTGTTGTATTCATTTTCATGACAAGCAAAGACTATGCAGTAGCTGTTTTCCCGCCCAAGTTTGTCTTGTCTTTTTGTCGTGTCCTTGTTTTCAAGATGAAACGCTAGCTCGACCACCGATACAACTACAGTGAAGCAGTGTATTTCAACCTCCTGCCATACTCGTAACCGCCATCATGAGCGTCCCGGGGCCAGAAATCACCGGCCTCTGCCTCACACCAGACGAACGCTTTCTGCTGATCACCGAGGGCAGTGGCAACTCCCTCTATCGCCATCCGTTGCGGTAGGAGTAGACGAGAGCTGCGGTGAATGGACAAGAACATCCAAAGCGGCGGGCACCTAGGGATACGAAGTCATGGCTCAACCCGACGAGGAGTTCCAGGTAGTTTGTTATCGTCATTTGTTACTTGCTCATGGTCATGGTCTAGTATTTGCCCTTCGTGATCCAGCAATGGACGTGATTTTTGCTGTTCGAAATGAATGAATCTGCAGCGAGGTCGTGTCCATTTGATTTGAAAAAACATCTTTGTAGGCCCGAGCACAGAACCAGCAGCAAGACGCTCTGGCCAAGAACCCCTACCCGCACACCTAATAAAGCGAAAGTATCACCTGTACATGTACGGACAGCGAGACTAAGAACCAATTGCTCGGTGCAGCAAGTACAAATCGAGGAGCCTGCATCGCCGTTGAGGATGTTCAGTCGAGCTCATTTATTTGCCCAGATAGTTTTGATACGCGAGTTGTCTTCAGCGGAACTGGCCAGCTCCAGTAAATCACACACACAATCACAAATATTTTACTCTAACCTTAACGCTTTCGCTTCGATATAACTAACCGAGTCTCGTCCGTCACCACATCCTGACTTATTTATGCAGGAAGTGCAAACTCGAACAGAAAACTCTGCAGACAGAGTGCGATTTAGATTTTGAACAAGAATTCGTCATTGCCATTGGAGCAAGACACGAAATGAAATGGGCTAATGCAACAGATTTGTATGAAACTTCGGCTTCGCTCAGTGCGAGAAGTATTGCAGCAATTACGCTTGTATGTCAAGCTAAGCACAAGACCAGGGTCGTTGTGGTAGAGCAGCCTGTTCTAGTTTCTTGAGCCGTCACTTTAGTTTGTTCGTCTTGGTACTTAACTAACAGTAACAGCAAGGCCATGCTGTCGCGCAAGAACGTCATATCTTTTATGGAGCCACCGAGTTTGTTTCGTCCTGACGTGTGCAGAAATTTCGGTGAGAGAAAAAACAACAACAAGTCGGTTCTGAAAATGAAAAGTGGAAGCTCGTCGGTTTGAAATTTTTTTTATTTTACGAGACGAAATGAGCTTTGTGTTTGTTCGGTCACCGTCCACACCTGTCGCCGAAACAACCGCAAGGAACGCATAAAATTGGTCTGTTTCCGACCGGTGTCCACTGGCAGCAATCTTCATGACCTAGACCTGTGCAAAGAAAGTGAAACTGGAATGATGCGGCTCCGAAAAAAATGATTCCTGAGTTCCAACTACGAACTGCAGCATTCAAAATCTTCACTAAACATCAACTAGAACAAATGCAATTGCCATACCAACCACAAAATCACATGATATCCAATTCCAATGAACCGCTCTCATGGTCAAGACAGAAAATCGAAAATGAACATGATCCGTGTTTTTAAATCTTCTACCAGGACCACTACCTCTCCCTTTTCTGTTTCGCTAGTTATTCGGGCGACCATGAATTATGCCCCCTACAGCCTCCTCATCATCTGCATTGCTGCTTAATCTTCAACATTCCTATTTTTTCCATTTTCCCAGTCAGAAGTGTCTAGCGATTTATTGAATCTCGCCCAGATTCGTTCGTTGAATTGTTGTTGTATAGTGAAGTAACAACTAAGAATTTCCGAAGAATTTTCTACTCTTGTTCTCCAAGGAGTAGACCATATCGCACTTCTTTGCTGGTCGTCAGATATTGTCCTTCGAAGAACTTCTTTCCGCTTTCTCGTCCCCGAAACAAGCAGCGAGCACCAATCTTGAAATGTCGCCTGCATCGACGTCAACATCCAATGTGGCGCACGAAGAACGTCGTTGGCCGGAGGAAGGTCCTGAGCGCCCGTCGGGAGTGGATGTGGAAGATGAAGAACTAGAACCCGTGAAAGAAGTAGAAGTAGCTCGAGATGATGAACTACAAGACCATGAAAATGACAATTCCAACGGGTCGTGCGGGTCCTGTTCCGCATCCTCCTCTGAAGAGGAGATTGACCTATCGGAACGCCTCTCCATTGTCCTCGTCACGAGCCCGATCGGCATGCACCCGCAAACCACGCTGGTTGATGGGGTGATCACCTCCTTCGATTTGATCCCGGGACTGCAGAAATGCCCGCTAGTCATTGTCGCGGACGGGGTCTGTTTGATCCCTTCCGATTCGAAGCGGTTTCTCGAGCGGCCGAATAAACGACTGCAAGAACGCCGGGAGCAGGAGGAACGACTGATGGTGAAAAATTTGCGCAGAAAAAGTTCCAATGTGGAGATGGAGATTGAAAATAGCGGAGTTCTTGAAGGAGACCACCACGGCGGGAACAGAACGTCGAAAGTCGGCTCTGGTAGAAATCGTAGCAGAAGAGCCAGCTCTTGTAGTGAGAGTGGAATTGCAGCTGGTGTACTTGCAGTGTCGTCCACCTCGTCCGCGTCCCCCGGGGGTTGCAGAAGTACAACACCCGGAGATCTAGTTCATGATGATGCTGAGTCAGCACCATCTACAACTGCACAAGAACATTCATCTACAATGCGCCCAGCAAAGACAAAATCCTGCACCAGCACGTCCTCCTCATCCTCACAGCCCGTGCACGAACGACCGCGGAGGACAATAGGAGCACTAAGTAACCGGCAAGAAGATGATGAGGAGACCACCGATGCCCAGCGGCGCGCTGCACGGGCGCAGCACACCAGCGTTGTTCGTGTTCCTCAGAGGACCTCCTGCACCCGGTCTGACACGGCGAGCACGAGCTCGGGGGGCCGCGGGTCGGGCAACAACGAAGACGATGCAGACGAGGACTTAGAGGAGGACGAAGAACCAGAACTACACAGCTGCAACTCGAGCGGTGGAACTACTACACTTGGTCGTGTGCTGCAGCAGGAGCAGCCGCCCTGGAGGAACTACACAGCGAGTAGCCCAGCTGTGGCAGCGCAGGCCGACGCGCCGCAAACCAGGTACTCAGGAACTGCAGATCATGTAGATGAAGAACATAATACCACGAAACAAGAAGTAGCAGCGGTCGAAGACAAACTCAAACCGTCGGCCTTCGAACAAAGAGATCAAGATGAAGCTCAAGACTCAGGTAGAGAGGACCAGCCTGACGAAGAAGACTTGAGATCCGCCGGTGAACAAGATGAAAACGAAGACGAGGAAGACCAAGATGACCAAGACGAGGACCAGCAGGCGCGGCTGCGGCTGAAGACCAACCAGCGACAGCGGGTGGTCTGGAAGCGCGGGCTATCAAATGTAAAAATGTCTGGTTCTGGAAGAATGCAAGTTTGTCATGCTTGTTTGGCATGACTCGGAAATCTGTGTTGCATAGACACGAAAAAGCCCTCTTACCTGTCATGCAAAAACGCAGTTTGCCATGCGGAATACGTAAGACATGACAGCCAAAAAATTTGTCATGCGCAGCTGCGTACTGCAGTGCGTCTATCATTCATTTTTAGCATTACAAGTTTCCAGACCCAGACATTTTTGCATTTGATACGGGCGGGTGACCAAGGAGGACCTGGACCGGTACACCGAGTACGTGGAGTATCAACTGGAAAAATGTCTGGGTCTGGAAGAATCCAACTTGTCATGCTGATTTTGGATTCTAAAAAAATCTGTATTGCGTGAGCAGCAAAGAGAGTCCAAGTTTTGCTACACGGAAAGAGCATTTGCCATGCGGTATAGGCATCAGGAAGCCCTCACAAAATCTGTGACGCTAGGGCATGCATCACAGACGTCAGGAGTCATGCAACGTGTGCATGACAAACCTGGCAATCTTCCAGACCCAGACACTTTTACATTTGATATGGAGCGGTTGCGCACCAAGTACAGCACCAACCCCGACCGAAAGCGGGAAACCACCGTGCTGGGCCCCTTGCCAAAACACCTCTCCTTCGCGCACGCGCTCCGGAGAGGGCTGGAGGAGGTACTTGATAGATACTTCACTTCGTCATCATGTCATGAGCATGATTTTTCGTTATATCGTTCATGCTCGTTTGTATTCCTGAGTGGTCTGCGGCGCTAATACAATTTCAATTACTATGTGGTCCGGACAGGAGGAAGATAGAGATACATACGCTCACACATCATAAAAATCCATCGCTTTTTAAACGACACAGGTGAAAACGGAGTATGTGATGGTGGTGCAGCACGACCGTGCCTTTGTGGAGCAGGTGGACTTACCTCGCGCGCTTGAGTTGATGGAACAGGAATCTAAAATCCGCTACATCGGCTTCCAATCGCGGACCAACGCCAACTACCCGAACCGCATGCTCGGTCGCTACGGCGAGTGGGCCCGGATGCCGTACTTCTGCGACCAGCTGCACAAACCCAAGCGGGGCCAGGTGGTCTTGGAGGAGTTGGAGAAGAGTAGCAAGGTGATTTCCAAATCTGTACAGTTGCAGCCGCTGCTGTCGAAGGAGACTACAGGAGATGAAACTGGCTCTTGTACAACGTCACCGGACGGCGCAGAAGATCTACGACCTCCGACGACAGGCGATATTCTTGGCGCCGGCATTACGTCTTCAAAAGCGGCGGCTTGCGGTGATGAAAGTGCACAGGTGCAGCACAACGCGAGCCCCCGCGGCGAAACCAACAGTGGCGCCGGGAGGTCCAGCACAAGCACGCCGACTGGCAGAGAGACCACCACGACCAGAGCAAGACACTTGAGCTACTCGCCCGTATACAACCAACCCTCACGACCAAATTCTGCGTCGTCATCTTGTTCCGCGGTGAAGATGGAAGTGCACGACTCCCCAACAGCAGCTCCAAGATCATCTTCAGCGTCGCCTGAGCCTGTTGAAAATGTGAAGCGAAATCTTTCCGTGCCCATCCATACCAACTCGGTGAACTTGCGAAAAAACAACAGGAGCCCCGACCCGAGCCCGACAAACCGGAAGAAAAAAAGCAGGGCGCAACAATTTCGAATACCAAAGACGAGTTCATTATCGAGGGGCACTGGAGCAACGGAAGCAGTGGATGCCACCCCGCCCCGTTGCGAAGACGACGAGGCAGCTGGGGAAGTAGATCAAACACCCGCTGCTCTTGCCGATCCAACTCGCATCACGACCAGGGAAACATCTAGTAGGCGGGAGCAGCACCAACGTGGAAACGAGGAAACTGTTCATAGTGCCGGCTCTTTGTCATTTGTTTCTTCTGATAGAGGTCCTCCTGGACGCGACGAAAGCGACACTTCGGCACCTAAGCAGGAGGAGCATCAAGTTGTAGAACAGGATTCGAGATTAATAGTACAACCCGAAGAGCAGGAAACATCCACAACGGTAACAAAGACGAGAACTTCAGACAGTAAGAACAGCATCAAGACGAGCACTTGCGGCTCCAAAACCAACACGTCGAACAAGAACGCTACTAGCACAGCAGCATCATCAAGTACTAGGTCCTCGAAGGAGCACCTTGCGGAGGAGCTGATTCCGCTCTTTTTTTGGTACGACTCGACGCACATTTGCCACACGCAGCCCTATAAGGAGCTGATTCGGAAAGAATGCAAACTCGGCCAGTTCATCGAGTCGACCTACGGGTTTCGCATGGAACAGGAGGTAAAGGAGGACGGGATGGCGGGAAGATGGAACTTTGACCACCACTTGAACAAGTACGGGTGCTTTCTCTTCCACGACCCGGCCGTCGGCGTGCTGAAGCCGATCGTGGCGCACCTGCACGGGCGCATGTTCTGGTCCAAGGACGAGCGCGTGGCACGAGGCTGGCCCGCGGTGCCCTTGTTCAGTAAATACGAGAGGCTAGCGCGGCTGGAGGGGGGCATCGTGCCCGAGGAAACGGTGTGTGAGGACGGATTAGACGACGTGGAGCGGGATCGCCGGCGCGCCGACCCGGAGAAAGCGGTGGAGGAAGACGAGGGGTATCTGTGGCAGGAACTCTTCGACTAGGACCACGGCGCGTGATGTATGTAGAATTCATCCGAATTATAATTTTCAATCGATGGTACTGCTGGTGCAATCGCAGCTGCAGTTGTGCCTCGTTGCTGTTACTCGCAGTCTGTCACAGTGAGTTCGTGTGGTTGTATAAAGAAGTAGCCAAAATCTACTCACTCTCTGTATCAGTATCAACCCAAAAGTTGTATATTTTTTGTTTTTCCTGCAGAAGTAGAAAGAACGTGCGAAATAAAGTGGACGAAGCATCGCTGTATTCCACATCGTTGGAGATTGTTGTTGCAAGATGAACCGCGACTATGTTTGTACAAAGAACGTGCTAGTACTTCAGACGACTTGTTGCAGCTTGTTCCTGTTGTAGTTTTACGAAAAAAACTGTGTCGCATACGGACAATCATGAATACCCTTGCGCCTCTCGGCCTCGCCTCGTCGCGCGCAAGCGGTGTAGTCACACCCACCTCGTATCTGTTGTTCTGTTCCATGTTAACTGGTGTCAAACTAGTACAACTAGAAGCTCTATATCATGGCTTTGTTTCGTCGTTTACCAAAGGATAATCTCTACTTTCTGCAAACCAAGTCGTGAACCTCGTGGTCGTAATCGTGTATAATTGTGCTCGTATTTGTAGAGGGACAACGACAACCACAACGGTTCGCTTGTCGCCGGTCGTAACAATCGCGTATCGATGAGCCGTGTCTTGTTGCAACTGAGTGAACAAGTCGGACCTTTTTCGTACCATCGCTATCACTCATCGTTGCAGACAAATCTACTTGTTTTCCTCCTGTTCATAATCTGTTTTTCGTGTTTTTCATCATCATCATCGCTCGAGGCAGGCCGTGTCGACGTCGTCCTCCCAGATCGAGGGAGAGCCGAAATCTCGTCGCCCCTCGTCTGGAAATACAAAATCGACTCTGATATGCGTTTTCGGCAATCGACGGAATCGAAATTTAAGGCTAGCAATCGAAGTGCGGCGACCACGCCGCCGCCAAACTTTTTGCCGGACGTCGAGAAATGTACTTAAGTAAGTTAGTATATGTTGTCCTCAGACCGGTTTATGTATTTATCTTCGCTTCTGATTATCAGAAACAGAATCTCCACTTATCGAAATGGATATATCATCGCTAATGAAATGAATTTAAATTATGTCCTAGCGCTCGCCGGGGTGTCTTTTTTTCATACTTAGTTTCTTGTTTGTGGAACGACGGGTATTATACACACTATTAAGTAGAAAGTCATCAAAGTTGTATATTATTCGTGCCCAGAATTGTGCATGATGAACTTCATCGCAAGAAGCAGGCCTCCATGAGCAAAACCTATACGAGTCGTTCATCTGGTACGTTGATGACACCAGTTCTTGCACGATTGTAAGTAGAGCCCAAGTAGCAGTCTTTCTATGTTGGGGGCGCCGAAGATGCCGTCGCAACTGCAGCTGAGGTTTGTCTACTTCTTATTCGTCAGTGCTATAATTTTGCACGAGGAAAGTAGACGGTGGAGCTACGATCTGCTGTCGTTGCAGCAGGATTCGGGAAATTATAACGCCTCGACGGTGTCCGTGTCGTCCCACCTCGTGCTGGGTCTGATGCAGCAAGATCATGCTGCCGTCCGCTTGCACAGAAAGAACAGACTGGAGGATGTAGACGAAGAGGAAAACGAAAACGTAAACGAGTTGTATCAAGAAAATCAGGGGATCATTCGGCAGACGAGTTCTTACAACGAGTACGATTCCGGTGGAGATCGTGACGAAGTCGACGAAGAAGTCGACGAAGAACTGGCGGCAGAGCGGGCTTTGTTCGTCCAAACGAAGGAGAATGAAAGTCCAGACGACGACGATGAGGCACCAGAGCAGATACAGCTTGTTCCGGATGAAGTAGATCCGCCGGAAAGTTTTGGCGAGAAGGAGCGTCGTGAGGAAGATGATCTTCTGGCAGGAGAACATGAACAAGACGACTTCGACCCCGAGGACGACGCGCAAGACGAAAACGCGGCGGAAAAAGGAGAAGATGAAGACCATATCCTCTGCAAAAGTATCGTACTCGTAGTAATTGCAGCTGTGCATGACCCGAACACGCATGACAAACTGCATTTTTCTTCTTGAAAAAATTTGTAAAATGCAATTTCTACTAGAACTAGTGCGCTAGTTTTGCAACGCATAGACCAATTTGAAGATCAGTTCGATCCGTTGCTTGACAGAATTCCGTCGTATGAGCTGGACGAAAACGGAGAGGAGGATCCGTCCTTTCTGGATCGCGAGGAGAACCTGATAAGAGATCATGTTGAAGAACCAACAACAACATCTCCGATAGCCGCGATAGGATCCTCGTACTATAACAGAAGTGCTACCAGCATGCTTCATCCGGCGCGGCCCATCAGCTATGATATCACCGGAGCCGGTGCGATCCGTTCCTCCGGAAGAAATTCGGCCGACGATTATGATCCAGATGATGACTCCCTGCGCGACTATGTGTCGCCGTACAATCCGGAGATATATGGAGCTCTCGAGCGTGGCACTGTGGTCAGCTATTGCGTGATACATGCTAGACTTGTCATGCAAAATCACCATTCAAGCCATGCTATGCTACTGCTACTTCACATGATGACTAATTTCCAAAGTAGGGCTAAACAGCGTGGAAATAATCTGTGCGGAATTTGTAATGCGAGAGGTGCAACAAGCTGAAGGTGTAGGTGAATCAGAAGCTCCCTCCTATCACGTAAGAACAGCTGAGTATGTTTATGTATCGCTTGAGAACCCCATAAGATAGACGCCCCGTTTGTCGACGAGGACGGCAATAATGCTACCCCGGTGCGTATCAACTGCAAAAATTAAAATGTCTGGGTCTGGAAACTTGTGATGCTGGATGGCGATGATTGAGCATACTCCTGAGTGCAACCAAGCATGACAAATTTTTCGGATACTTTCTCATGCGTAGTGCGTATGAGAGACTGCGCTTTTGCATGACAAAAGAAGGCTCCTTTTCCTGGTCATGCAATACAGATTTTACAGGAATCCAAGACACGCAATACAGGCTCTACTCTTCGCTCTTCCAGAGGACCCAGACATATTTGCAGTGGATAGTGCAAGAGGAACTTCTTGCGTCCGGCGATGAGCAAGGAGAACAAAAAATACGCGAACGCGGCTTCCACACCGTGATCGGACCGGACCGGTCCTTCAAGCGCATTTCCTCGACCCACCTGCGCAATTCCGAATTGCTGCAGGCCATCCACGGGAAGACCCTACAGGGGGACAGCTTGCTAGAGGCCATCAACAGCTTGGTGCCGGATGTTGAGGATGATTCTCGTGTGGAGCAGGTGGAGTACGACGAAGGCGGCGAGGATGATGACAACAACGACGAGAAACGCAATTCTGAGCACCCTTCTCGACGAGTTGAAGATGTGTTCACCAGCGGAACTAATAGCACCGGATCATTCGTGGAGACCGCAGCCACCGCCCAGGGGGGCAACGGGAATAGAATGCACCTGACGGAAGAAGATCTTCACGCTGCGCTCGATAGCAACGTGGAGGACGAGGACGGGTACGCGAAGTGGAGTCGGGCCGTCCGAAAGCTGCTTTTCGAGCAGGAGAACGGCGAGGAAAAACAAAAACAACATGCTCGCGTCAGACGAGATATAATGCAGCGCGGCGATCATCAAGAGCATGCTCATGGCGGTACTACTGGCCAGGAGCTGGAGCACGAGGACGAGCTCGAGCGTTCACACAATCATGATTTTCTGGATCATGATGTTTCAGCTTCTGCTGGTCGATCATCTATTGGTGCAACAACTTCTTTCCTTGCCGGCACTTCTACTTCTCCTTGGCCACCACCTCACCAAAAGACTGCCGCAATGAAGATCTTCCGAGCAGCTGGGGAGGACGCTGACAGCGAAAAGCAAGAAGACCTGATGAACAAGGAGGCGGGGAAGGTGGAACACGACGATGAAGACTACGGATACTTTGACGTAAACTACGACCCAGGAAATGAAGAAATGCAACTACGAAGTACTACTTTCACCAATGATTCTGCAGCCACGTTCCTTACCGGCACTTCGAATGACCATCGTGACCAGCATTCCTCTGACTTTTTGCAGCAACGCGGCTCTCTGATCCTCACAAAATCGTGGTCCGTGGGCGGGAGTTCGAATCGAGAAAACTGCCGCACCGTGAATGGCGTCCCGCCTTTGCGAATGAACTACGTGCCCCGACTATCCAAGAAAAAAACGTTGTTAGTGTAAATTTGTGATGCGCAACATGCAAGACGATTGCGTCTGTCATGCTTGGCATGCGTCGCAGGGTCCACTAAAGGGCGTTTTCACGTACTATCTGCGCATGACAGGTTTTGCTGTCATGCCAGACAGATTTGCAATGCTGTTCCTCCAAAAAAGTTACACCTACAGTGTTTTTTTCTTGGATACAGACACGGGCCAACTTCTTTCAAAGGAGTGTCTATTCCGGCGATGGACGAAATTCATTCCTGCTACCAACCGCTGCTGGACCCGCCGAAGTGCGGGGGCCAGTGGATCCGGCATTATCCAGCCCTGGACTACTGGCTGGGGGACATTTGCACTCTTCCTTTGGCGTGGAACCAAGTTTGGACGGGCTTCAACCCCCAGAACCTCTGGCCCTGGGGAAGCAATTACCAGTGCCCCAACAAGAGGGTGTGCCACACCAAGCCCATAGCGCGCTGGATGTACAACCGATGGAGGCCCGCGTGCGTCGCCGCTCAGAAATGGGTGAGGAAGATGCATTATTTGCAAAAAAATACGTATTTAAAAAATCAAAACCCGTGGCTGAAAATCACGGGATACCTCCCCAGCAAGATGGAGTGGAAGTGCCGCTTTCTCTGCGAGGTGCTCCCGGAGTGCACAATGTACTCCTACACGACACCAGCGGCCTTTTCCGGAGCCGGGTACCATTGCTGGATCAAGTGGGCGGCGCTGCAGGGCACCAAGCTCACCCGAAAGCCGCACGTCACGTCCGCGATCTGCAAGCCCCGCCTGTGCAAGCACCAGGGCTTCACGTGGAACGCGCACAGCCAGCGGTGCGAGCGGGAGCGCGTGTGTCGCGGAATGTGGAAGCCCTGGACCAAGTGCCGCTGTTCCGCCGCCAACACTATCCGGGTGTCAGGATCGAAATCGACAACGAAATCGAAAAAAAAATTGTAATGCGTAAAATGGAGGGCACGCATGGCCTGTATTGGGGAGCAGGCAAATGGGACCGCTTGCAAGCCTGATTAGGGGAAGGCGATGCGCTGCCAGAGTAGCACGACAGGAGCAGTCTCCTTTGCCCAAACAACGTCACAGACTGGAGTTTGGTGCTCCCGAAATTCGTCGCGCGCTACTTGAAATAAACTGAGGCTCCAAAGAACCGACTGGTATCGATTTTATGCGTGGCAAATGATTTCCACT